CAGCGGTAAGCTGAAACAAAAGCCACATGTCGGCACAAGCCGATGGCTGCTGCATGCCCAGGCCGTGCAGGCACAGGAGTTGTCCTTGCTGAATTATCCCACTGGCGACCGACAACGGCAACAATTGCTCCTGGATAAATTTTCGGTCCGGCACAAACACCAGTTGGAGAAGTTTCGCGGCGGGTACGGACTGCAACTCCACTGGTTGGGCGGCGCCGCCGAACCGCTCAAATAAGTTGTCAAACTCGTCTTTTTTTACCTGATCGTGGAGCAGGGGTTTCGCAGGGTGCTTCTCAAGCTGAAAGTGGTCGTGCAAAAATTGTGACAGCTCAACCACGTCGCGCGCCCCCTCGGGGTCCAGACCCGCCCACTGCGACATGAACGATCGACACTCGATCTCCAGTGGGTGGTCCCCCTTCGCGGGCTGGTTCCGCCGCAGAACCGTGGCGGCTGCCGGGCGGACCTCGGTACTGGCTCCAAACCTTAGCCACGACGCGTGGTCGTCCCAAAATCGCAGGCTATCGGGCTGCGCGCCGCACAAGTGCGGCAGGTCAATCTGCTGACGAAAGTATCTCCGGAACGTCGCCGCCTGATCCTGGCTCCCGATGATCCCAAACGCTTGCAGACTGCTCTCCAGCAAAAAGGCGAAGTTGGCGTAGATGCGCAGACTAGCCGCCCAGGCGCGCGCCGGTAGCGCCTTCTGATCCCGATTGTCGTAGTTTTGCAAGAGATATGCTGTGCAAAAGTATCGTACTCGTATAAATGCAATACAAATTTTCTCAGCATGAGAAATGAAATTTGTAATGCGGAATTACCTTAATAGTGCATGATTGCAATACGAGTACGATACTTTTGCACAGGATAAGAGAAACTGCTTTTCCGGCGGGCCACTTTGCAGGGACCGGTCCACCATCCACTCCACGAGCAGCCACAGCTCTTCCAAGCCACGCAACGCAAGTTCTACGTCCTCTGTGGAGGTGGCAGACGGTGTGTTCATCCAGTACTCCGGAATGTGCATTTTTGGCAACACCATCGGAACGAGGAACTCCAGCACGAAGTTCAACAGCTGAGCGCGGCCGCCGCTGCGTTTCTCCGGCCAAAGGTCCGTCACATCCAGGGTTGCATCCTGGTGCCGCAGCTGCGTCCCCGCTGCGGAGTCGAAGACACTGACAAGCCGAGCAAGAACCGCGAGGCGCGGTGGGAGCGCGTGCCCCGCTGCTTCGCCGGGTGATGCTGAGGATGCGGGACCAGCAGGCGTTTTGCTCGATGCTGCTTTTTTTCCGCAAAACAGCAAGCCACCTGTACACAGCTCACGGACACAAGACCATCCATCCGCCCTCATGGTCTCCTGGTGGTTCATCTCGGTGCTTGCTTTACACGCGGATTTCAATTTTCGCACAGCAGCTACAAACCATTCAGAACTGTCTTCGTTTGACTCCGCCGGCTGTCGTGCGTCCTCCGCAATCAGCTCCTGCCATGCTTTTTCTACCCCATTTCTTTGCTGCTGCGGCGACGAACTGCGTTTCTTGTAGGAGGTTCCAGTCTTCTTACTATCTGAATCCGCCACTGACTTCACTGCTTGCGTCAACAACTTTGGCAATTGCGAAGCTTCGCTCACGAGCAGTTGTTTGGTCCGCTTGTTCAGCACGTCGGATTTCTTCTCCTGTACGAACGTGGCCGTTTCGAGAATGGCCTTCGCGTCGACGTCCAATCTGCCCACCTGCGGTCCCTGTGCCTTTCCTGCTGCCGAAGATGCCTGCGCTGCCGACTTTGCAAGCTTTTCTCGAATGCGATTCAGTTGCCGGGCCGTTTTCTCGGTACTGTACTCCAGAATCTGCAGCATGCTCCAGATTGCCGCGGTCGCACCCTCCTGCTTCGGCGCGTTGGGATCGGAACTCACGGCCGCCGGAGGCTCGATGTTGGCAACTTTAGGGTTGGCCCACAGTGCGGCGATGCCGTCCTGCAGGTCCAGCAGTAACGCCTCGCCGCCGAAAAGGCTGAAGTACTTGTAGAGACCCTTCCCCAGAAAAAACCGCGACCACGCCAGAAACGACTTGAAGCTGCAGTGGCCCGTTCGCTGCGGAGTTTGCCACAGGTCCTCCTCCTGCTCCGGACGCGCGCCCGCTGAAAAGAGTGTGTTCTCGCGGCTCGGAGGGGTCTTTGTACAGTGGGCCTGCAGGCGCGGAACGAGGTCGTCTTCCCCGCGGAACGGGGGCCGCAACTTCCTTTCTGCGTCCCGCTGTTTTATGTCGGCCATTTCCTTCAGCTCGACTATGGCAACCCAGCAGTTGGAATTCTGACCGAACAGTGCCTCGTAAGAAACATCTTCGTACAGCAGCAACGCTTGAATTTTCTGCTTTCCCGTGGCGTCCGTTAAGGCCGGATGATACTTCAAGACATTGCCGCCGGTATTGAAAAGCCGAACTTGGAGAAGCTTGCTTCCCTGAACCGTGTCAGCCTTCGGCGACCACCGAACTTCCAGTACCAGGGCGTGGCCCCCGGATTCCAGATCGGGGTCTTTCTTCCAGGTTATCCCAGCCATGGCGACACCGTCGGTTAGCAATGCTCGAAGCATGTCGGATTTCAGCCGCTTCGCCCTCACACGAATCTCGCAAGCGAACTTCCACAGCTCGGGCGCCAGCTTCCCGGCGTTTACCTGCGGAGGCATCACCGCATTCTGCGGCCTACTCCTCTCTTCCATTTTGTCCCTCTCCTGAAACACTAGGGCGCGTCTGTCGGATAAGGTCTTGCAATCATCTTCGACGTCCCCGCCTTCCGGCCGGACGAGTTCAGCTCCCTCCAGGCGATTCTGTGTGTTCGTCGATGTCGCAACCACCTTTTTGAAGTCGCTCCACTTTTTCACCAGCAGATTCTCCTCGGTCTGCGATCCTCCTTCCGCATTGTGTTTCCTCGTCCGCCCCGCCAACTCGGGAATCGCGAGCTTCAGAATCTTTTGGTCCAGGAGGGTTAATGCTTGCGGCTCAACCTTTTGGGGATTGTTCAACAAACGGTTCATCGCGGAGAACATCGTGCTGGCCGTATTCCCTTCGAGCTTCTTTTGATTCTGCTCCCACATTTTATCCCACTGCTTGCCTTCCGTATCCAATAGGAAGCGGTCCGCCAGGTGCCCGCTGTCATCCAATTTCACTCCGGCCACCCACTCGCCACGCAGGGTGTGGGCGGCGAGCGCCGCGAGGTCCACCGCAGACACGCCAGTGGACGAGGCATACACCACCGGCTGCCGCGACCGTGCTTGGACAGGTCCCGCTTGCTCTCCGCAGGTGTGCGCCAGAGAATCAGTTAACATGCCAAAAAACTCGTGCGCGGAACGCGCCGCGGTCCCAAACATGCCCAGCATTCCTCGCTGCCGAATCGGTGCGAGTAGCGTCGACTCCGGTAAGACAAAAGGATTACCCTTATCACGTTTATCCGTATATCCTTGAAACCACTTCTGTACCACCTGGGGATCCAGCGCCTCGCACTCCCCGATATCTGGAACTGTGCGGGCCGCGAGGTCTGCTGCAAACAGGTGACTCTTGCCGATGCGGAACAAATCTTCCATTGTTTGCAGGTTGACCTTGACCTTCTCCCCCCCGGTCAATGTTTGGTGCGGCGCGACCCCAGGTGCGGTCCCTTCCGCCTGTTGTTGCAACAGGGGCAGGGTGTCGTCGGGCTGCAGAAACATACCCGGCTGGACCAAAATCTCCGCTATCTTGGCGCAGCGTAGATTCTCTCCCGGGGGCAGCTCCTGGCCAGCGTGGTCCATTGGCCGCGCCGCGTGCAGGGCGAGGGGAATCCGGCCCGGTTGTCCGAATTGTTCGCACGCCGGGCTGCTGCCAGTGCCTGGCGTTGCTTGGCAGGCCTTCTCCCGGATTGCCTTCGCAATCGCGAGACCGAGCAGGTACTGCGAAGCTGGTTCCTGGACACCTTGAGGTTGCAGCTTTTGCTGTGCAAGTTGCTCGCCGAGGGACCTCTCCGGGTCACATGGCAGCCGCCCGACCTCCACCGCGGCGTTCCCGCGATGGAGGAGCCACACGGGAATTCCATCTGCCGTGACTAAACGACAGGAGCCAAGAAACGCGGTAAGAAAGGCGACATCCGCACACCGGCGAATAATTGCCCAACACTGACGCGATCTGCCGAGGACTCCACGCGTTCCGTTTTTCGCCTCGCTTCCGACCTGAGATGTAGACACGCGCATCACTTAGTGCGGCTGCTCGCGAAGTAGACTCAAGAAAATGCAGTAGCACACCATATTTATTCGCTCGCCGCGCATACTTGCCCGACAACTCCAATTTTACTCAGATTCTGCTGCAGTGTATTCAAAGAAATTCATATCCTCGAAAAGTCGAAAAAGGTCGTACGAAATCATGGATTTACATTCAACGAAACAAATACTTCGCTGACGGTTTTCTTTACTGGTGTTTCCTTCATCATACAATCGCGGAATAGCTCAGAAGTATCAAGAAGTGCTTTTTTCCGGTTCACCTTCTTTCTCTTTCTACTATAATTTTCTTAGCCTATTCAAAAAAACCACAGCAACCTGTAGGAATTATTGACAGAAAGTGTCGACCTTGTCGTGTGCAATAGGTGCTGTTTGCACCTATAAACAAGCACCGTCCAAGACGATGCCAATGTAACAACGACGACGACAACGAAGACGATGTGAGCGACCCTGACGACCCCAAGTCTAAAATTTTCAAGTACTTCCAATTCTCGAGATACCGATAAGAGAGATTCACAGCTACGACTTCCTGCAGTTACGAATTGCGCACACACGGCTATGTGTTGCCAAAATGCGCTGTTTCGCATGTGCTTCCAAAATGAGCCGAATTCCGTGGCTAAAGAGCTTCAATGGAACAACTTTGAACACAGCACGGAGAGGGAAACAGCACGGTCAGCCTGCTGAATGATACCTACTTTACTGAAATTCGGGCAGCACAAAATTACTTGTACAGGGAAATATTTTCCAAACCATTTTTGTACAATATTGAGACACACCCGCGTATTCAGGACAAGCACCGCCCTTGCATACCTCGCCGCCAGAAATATTGTACAGTGCCGTAACCATAACTAGAGCGTCCAGGGCCCGCCACAAACATAACTCAGAGCACCGTATACATTATCAAACCAGGTTTCAGATATTACCATCGAAGAGCAGCAAGGCTTTGTCGAACATAAAGGTAACATAGTGTGACATGTCTTATTTTTAATTCTTCAACATACTTAATCTAACTTGAGTTACGACAGAACCCACTCTTCTGTCAAAACTCTTGCGTAAAAATGGCTGAAAGGAGAGGTCGAAGAATACGACTATCACCTGGAAATCACAACAAGAAGGGCTCAGGTCGATGTTGAACATACGGAGAACACAAGCAACCTGAGAATTCCTTGTGGCTCTTCCGAGGCGTTCGTGAGTCCCTCAAAAACCACTCACATCTGAGCCATCATGTCGCGTTGCGGATCTACTTCGTCAAGATAAAAGCATGCACCCGAAGAACGAACCCAACAAGAACTACCGCTCAGATATAGTCCCAGGTCTTGTCCCTCTGCTCCCCCTTTTCTTCCGCGGTCTGCAGCTCGACCTCATACACGACCTGCTTCTTCCCCGCGGCGCGCTGCTCGGCGGCCGCCTTCATGCGCTGCCAGTTCAGCTTCTCCTGCCCCCGCTCACGGATGTCCTCCAGGTAGTACCGCCACTCGACCTGGTCGTAGAACCGCGTGTTCTGCCGGTCAATCTCCTCGTAGATCTTGATCATGTAGAAACTCTTCTTCGCCAAAAAGTCCGCCCGGTTCAGGGTCTGGCAGATGGTGCTGATCTGCTGGATCTGGTGCCGGAACTTGATCTGGTGGTACCGCTCGCACCACCGCCGCATGTCGATCTCCTCCCGCAGCAGCGCGCGAAACTTCTTCTTGGGAATCACGAACGCCGTGGCGCCGGCGCCGCGCGCGACCATGTACAGCTTCGTGAACTTCGTATGGATTGTAAAAGTGTCTGGGTCTGGAAGGTTGGAACTTGTAATGCTAGCTTTCCATACCTAGAAAATCTGTATTGCATAACCAACAAAAGTCGCAGCCTCTTTTGTCATGCAAAAACGCAGTTTCTCATGCGGATTGCCTATGAGAAAGCGTTTTGGGAAATTGTCATGCCGGACTGCATTCGGAAGTGTTTCCATCATGCACATTTTAGCATCACAAGTTTCCAGCCCCAGACATTTTTACATTTGATACTTCGCGTCCTTTACCCAGTCCCGGACGCCGTGCGCGTTCGGTCCCCCGTTCAGCACCTCGCCCATGCCGAAGACGAGACCTGCGTAGAGATGGGGAAAAAAAACAAATCTTTATAAACTGAAATGATGAATTCGTCCATGCAAAATACGTACACATGTAAGGTGGATAGCAATGCAGACCTGCGCATCAACATCCCATTTGCTTCGAACGTGTCGTCGCCGACACCGTGCGACAACAAAAATACTCTTCGAAACAGAAAATGCATCGCGCATCGTCCTCGGGCGGAATACCGAGCACTGATACTACAGTTACAATTACAAAAAGAAAAACTTTAGTCTACAACTCGAAATAAACAGGTCAGACATTTTTTACTATTGCATTTATTTTCACTTCGCACCACTTGATGCGTCAACAAAACAATCATGAATGTGCATGATACCTGGTTTGTCGAATTTGAGTATGGGCACTTTTGTGAAGGTCTTGCGCGTTTTCTCCCCCTCGTTCAGGACCGCGTTGCCGCTGCTGTCGTACATGAGTTGCGCTTGCGTTTCCGCCATGTTGAGCTCGACGTCGGCCAGAATTTCAAAATTCCCCTTCCGCGTGATGATCAAGTGCTCGGCTAAGTTGGTTCCCGGACACAGCTCGCGGTCCACCTGGATGTTCCGCGTCTCCATGCACGCCGCAATCTTTCGCTTGAACGGCGGGATGTACTCGGAGAAAGGAATGCAGTGGTGCACGCACGCGTAGGCCTGGGCCTGCGAAATGGCCTCCTGGTTTGACACCATCGCGGAAAACGTGTGGCGGGACAGCAGCCCGCACAGACACGCGGTCTTCGCCCGCACCGTTGCCGCCCGCGGCGTGTCGTTGATCAGAGCCAGCTCCCCGAAACTCTGACCCGGCCCCAGGGACGCGATGGGGCGGGCACCTTCCTGCAACAAAATATCCACCTCGCCGAGGAACACACAGTAGAAGTGGTGGCCTGGAGTGATCGTTGATGATGATAGTAGAAATCGTCCTAAGGTGCACGAATGTTGAACTTCTTATATATCATCTTCAGGCGACACTGGGCTCCTTCTCCTTGCTCGTAATATTTTCAATGAAGAAGTAAAGCTGCAACCACCTACCAGGTCAGAAAGTTCTTCGTGACCTCACTACACATGACCTTGTTCGAACAAATAAGTCGGGCTGACCTTAAGGTGAAATGGACGAGGAGTAAGTGCGCAGTAGCCAGAGGGCTTCTGGAAAAATCGAATGAATCATACCTGTGGTTCCTTTTCTGAATATGGTTTCTCCCGCTGTGAACTTCCTGACTTCCATTAGGCTCGCGGTTTTTACCAACTGCTTCACTGTCATGCGCTCGAAGAACTTGAAGTCCATTGCAATGATCAGTTCCGCTATGACGTGGTGAATCTTTTCCATCTCCCGGTTGGTTGCCTCACACTCCCGCATATGCACTGCAAACATGTTCGGGTCCGGAAGATTGTCATGCTCGGCTAACTCTAGAGAAAGTGAAAGAACATCAGATTTTCAAATATGCTGTAGCACAGCGCCATAGGTATATGATCGTCATGCTGCAAAACTACAGTCTATCACGTGCTTTACGTATAAATGTTGTAGTCACGTAAAAACTTGTTATGCGTGGCCCCGGAGTAGACTGCTTGCCATTGCAATGATCCATTCATCTTCGTTCTCCATGTCTGTTAGCATCACAACACTTACACTCCCGAACGCGAGATATTATTTGCTGATCATACCGCACGTTCCTCCTTTGGGCGGCGGTCTGGATTTTTTTCATGCTCGCGTACTGGTTCATGATCCCAGCGACCTTGCTCATAGACACCACCGGTCGCCCCTCCGCAATGGCTTTCTTCGCTCTCGCCAACTCGCCCCGCGTGTCCGGCGGCGCTGTGGCTGGACGGGTAGCCATGGCGTGATGGTGTGGGGGGTCGTTCCGACGCGGGTACCTACTTCTTACTCTACGTATCGGACCTCGGGTATGGTATTGGCGCAGCAGTGATCTGTTGGGATTAATACTTAACAAGAGCAGAAAAACGGAGAAGGACTCACAAAGCCGAAAAAAAAACAGGGGGATTGAGTCAGGGGGTGCGTGAGAGGGGATGGGGAAAAAAACAGTGGCTATGTGGGACTACGGTAAACAACCTTCTGAATTCATCTACTATCAACCTCCTCGTTGCTGAAAAGGCAACAAAAAGGAAACAAACGACTGCATGCACAAACGGCAGCTTAGGTGCGTCGAAAAAGCATCGGTAGATAGGAATCTGCCAGACAGTAGGACCGATGGTAGAGCCTCTGTGCGGGAAAATGTACACCGTGATGATACTGTGGGTAGCTGTGACGTTTGGAAAAATGAAAAACGATGTTCACGATTCTTGCAAACACGACCTACGAGAGACGCCTGACGATATTTCGGAAATTACCTGGATAATATGATCCACGTTCATTGGAAAAAAGAGCAGGAAAAAATTGAACGATGGCTTTGCACGAATCACGAGAAGGAGAAATATCAATACGGAAAAAATTGAAATCGCCTGGACTTCGAGTACCGATAATTTTTGCGGCGCACGATTCCACAATACATCACGACAGTGCGGTCTGCTTCTTCAGTATTGTAGAGCTTCTGTATACTATGAAGTTCTTGTAATCTTTCAGTTACAACGCTCTTGGTAAAAAGTGCCACGCTTGAATTGACCAGCTGTGGTGCTAGATGTATCTGGAGCAAGCTTGCGAACACGAGAAAACCTCACAAAGTTGTGGCGGAACATAGGAGTAAGAGCTCTTTTAATTCTGACACGCGCGCAATTTTTACGCGAACCTCATTATGTTCGAGCTTTTCAGAAGATAAAAGTGATTCTTCGCGTCCTTCTAAGCATCTTCCCACGAATGCAAACAAATCCCGTAATGTGTACCAGAAACAGCGCAATCTGAGTTTTCGGTTATTTCCCCGAACATTCCTTCTACTTGGTCGGATGGAAATATCACGAGTTTTTGTTCTCTTCTCAATTCTGACTCGAACGCACGTTTCCGCCACCACCGTTTACAGCAGTCGCACTGGCGTCGTTCTGCGCCGCGTACGAGGAAGTTTCGCCGGCACTCGTCCCCGTGGTCGTAGTTGACAGCAGAGGCAAAATCCAGCTGCCGTACACGTTGCGCACGAACTTTTTCCGCCGGAAGCACGCCATCAGAGTGAGCAACACCACGACTAGCATCAAAGAAGAGACGGACAAAAAGGGAAACAGACTCGTCCGGTCCATGCAGTGCACCGAGATCGCGCTCGACTCCGTGCAAGCAGCGAAGTACTGGACACACAAGAATCACTTGGAAAAGAGTTTGTTCCTACTGCTGGACGTACTACCACAGAAAAGAGCACTTAACGAAGCAGCTCGACCAGAGACACGCATGGGTGCATGATGATATTGATGTTTTATTTCATCATAGGGCAGGACATCAGCAATTCGTGCAGCGGGGTGGGCAAAGAAATCCAGGTCGCCGTACGGGTCATTTTAGCCCTTATTTGCTGGCTTTTTGGGTGCAAGTGACTCTGGTTATGCTAAATCTGATAATTGCGCGCTTCGTATAAATACAAATTCGACCCGTCACAACAGGTACGCTTTTCGACGCTGGCGCCAGCGGAACTACTCTTTTCATCTTGATAGCAACGACGGTTCGCACAGCGAGCAGCCTTTCTTACTGGGTATCAAGATGGATTTCGGTTTCTTCTTCTTTCGTTTTGTCGAGCTTGCACTAGAAGTGTCCTTACTGGAGGTGGTGAGGCGTTTTGTGATTTCTCGCCGATAAACAGTTTCGCCGTGTATTTTTCCGCCCCATCTGAGTGACGCTGTTTCCTTAGTCTTTCTCACGCTTGTCTTGTGTGTAGCGGCGGACTTCGCTGTGGTCGCTGCCGGAGCGGCGGAACTGCTACTGCTGCTGGTACTGCTCTGCCCGCCGACAGCAGTCGCTGCGGAAGTAGAAGATACCGACGCAGGCACCTCATTGGTTGCAGTGGCGATGGAGTTTTTCGCCTCGCCCCTGGTTGCACTGGAGGATGATCCACTAGATGAAGATCCAGAAGGAACTAATGACGGACTGCTTCCTCCACCAGGCGTACCCGGCTCCGTCGCTTCGGCAGTGACATCCGTGACCTCCTCGCCGCTCGCGTAAAACTCCTCGTCTAGTTCGTCTTGTATCGCGAGGAAAAACGTCCCCACCACAAACTAGTTGTGCAGCGTATTCCCATGAATAGCCCAGCATCTCTCACGCGGGTCCGCCGAGGAGGCGGTTTCTACTGTTTGGAAGTCGGTCGCGCGCTAATCAGGATGCGCGAATGGCTTTGTCATGCGTCTGGAGGACTACCTAAGCACGACTATACTGCGTAAGTAACCAAACTTGTCATGCGTGAGTCCCAAACGTTCTGGAAATGTCTTGCAGGAATTCCCATGTTGACTAGCGGGTGGGGACGTTTTCACGCAGCATAGCCTGCACCGCGTCGTCGGCGTCGGAGCAGAGGCAGTTGCAGATGTTACCCACGTCAATTGCCATTCTCTTTTCGCACTAAATTGGTCGATGCACAAATTCTGTTTGTGCTTCCCTCTACAATCACGTACAGCTGAGGCAATCGACGTGCTGATACCAAGGACCGCTAGCTTATGGCAAAAGCTGAAGAATTTCGGTGATATTTTAAAGAATCATCTCCACCGATGATATTGAATCGCCCAGAAGTTGCTTGTCAAAAGTCCTACACGAACTAGGATGGAAGAACACCTCTCGAGCTGCTACAGCACTTCACTAAACTGGTTTCATCCCGAAAGGCACCGCAGAGGGGAGCAGCAGCAGCGAACAACGCACCTGCGCCTGCTCCGCGGGCAGACCGAAAGAACATGATGCGGTGTCCTGCTCTTGCAAAGAATTTTTACCCCCAGCAGTTGCTGCACTGGTGTCTGCACGCGGTGGTACAACTCCACCTCCTGTTGAAGCTCTTTTCTTTTTCACGGCAATGGGCGATATTCCGATGCCGCCAACTGTGGGTGTTTTTACCGTGTTTGCGATCACTGAGCTGTTGTTCACATTGACGGCTGCGTCAACGCCATCGGGTGTGTATCCTGAGCAAAAACGTACCCACACCAGAGTTGTAATGCAGATTTGCAAAGACAGGAAGACTTGTAATGCGTATCCCCATGAGAGCCATTTCCAATCGTGTTTTGGAATTTGTGATGCTGTGAACAGGATGAGCAGATGAATCTGTGACGCGGCTGCACTTGCTAACCTGCACTACACTGCAGAGCGCAACTTGTCATGCGTGACTCACAAAACTCCTAGGTTTGTGTTGCAAAGTCCCCATCTCAACTCTGGGGTGGGTACGTTTTTACTCAGGATAGTGTGGTGTTTGTGTTTTGTCCCCTTCCGCTGCTTCGCCAAGATAGGTTTTTCCCCGCTAGTACCTCCGGAGTCGCTGCGGCATTCGTAGCATTCACGTTACTATTTGCAGCTAGGGTCGACGTCACATCCGCTGCTCCACCACTCTGCCGACTGACAACGCTGACTCCGCCGCCAACTCGCGGCACGGAACTCCCCGCCTGCTCGCGGCGCGCGTGCAACACGGTCTTGATAAACTTGGAAACGTGGTGCAAACACACGTGCTCCGGCATGTCATTGTGCCCGTGGTTGGGAATCCAAAGTGGCGGAAACTTCACCACGCTGGCCGCCTGGTTCTGCTGGCACTCTTATCAAAGGCAACCACGTCTGGGGCTGGACATTGGTGATGCTCGAGTCTGTATGATCATCAAGACACTGACTTCCTACTGCAGCCACGCATGAAAAAATTTTGGACGGATGCAGCCTCACACGCAGCGCGCATGACAAACCGCATTTTCATCGCATCGTGGCAAACGTAAAATTCACTTGCACGCTTTGTGTGTTCTTTTTCACCGATACACAACTACTTAACGGCTCATCCCGACCGAGACGCATTTGCGTTGCATAACTCCCGCACGCGCTTGTAGAGGTTCCGTCCGTTCGTGATCGGAACAACTTCGTCTGCTTCGCCGTGCATGATACAAACCGGCGCCTGCGATTGCGGTCGTATGGCTTTAATCGTCGCACAGATAAGAGCAGGACTTCGCTTCGCGCTCTGTCGCAAAAACACAGCTGTTTCTTGTGCAGTCAACCTCTTCAACTCGAAGAACCCTAAAATCATCGTCATCAACATCATCTTAGTTGCTAGCATAGGCATAGGGGGGCTGCTCCTAGGGCTTTTGGAAACAATCAATTACTGTCTCACTCGATACCCTCACTCGTTCGATCTTCTCGATGTTCTTGAAAATGTCCAGCCCACTGCCCACTGTCGCCACTACCGAGCCGAACACCGCCCGCGCCCCCGATTCGATCGGGCTCTGCAGAACCAAGCCTGCGCAACTGGGCAACCTGCTCGCCAGGTCCGTGCTGGGCCCGGAGCCGATGGAGCGCCCGAACACGAAGATGCTCGACGGCTGAAACTATCAAATGCAAAAATGTCTGGGTCTGGAAGAATGCAACTTGTGATGCTGAATTTGGATTCCAGAAAAATCTGTATTGCATGAGCAGCAAAGGGAATGCAATTTTTGCTACGTGGAGAGGGCATCTGTCATGCGGAATAGGCATCGCGAAGCCCTCAAAAAATCTGTGATGGTAGGGCATGCATCACAGACATCACGGCCAATGCAAAACATGCGTGACAAGTCTCGCAATCTTCCAGACCCAGACATTTTTGCAATTCATAGAAACTGCAGCTTCTCAGTCAGGTACTTGTACGCGGCGTTTACCGATCGATAGCACCCCTGTTCGGTCGGCTCCCCGTCTGACAGCGAGTACCTTATCGATTCGTTTTCTTCCTTTCTGATTCTTCGATCGATCATCGGGAAAAAAGATCCGAACGTCTCCTGTGGGGAAGATGAACATAGTCGTACTGAGACGGCACAAGGCTGAGCGGAAGCCTCAAGCAAAGAAAAATATGAACTCGTATGCTGTTGCCGGACTTGCCATCTCATCGATTTTTGGCTAAGATGTTGAGCAAACACAACAACACGACTGCTCACAGGCGGTGGAACAACTATGCTCACACTTTGTACCCCTCATATTCGTAGGCAAAGACGGAACATTCGGTAATCTTCGTGAGCTCCTCCAGGTAGGGTATAGCCAGCCCCACGTCCTCGGCATTGCCGTGTGAGTAGAGGATCACAAAGTGCTCGCCGTCGTGCGCCCGGCGGGACCGCTCCTCGTTGTTCAGATACACCGCGAGGATGCGGTAATTTTTACTCGTTTTAAAGTACACCACCTGATCGCCGCGCTCTTCGAGAAAGGGCTGCGAATACCGCGGGTCCGGCGCCGGAAACGCCAGTTGATTCACTACGTTCCCCATAATCGCTGCTCCCGCGGTGAGCCTGCTCAGGAAGCAACTACGAACGGGACACCAACCACCTCAAGCAGGCGTGGAGACCCACGTCTTTTTGCGATCGGTTTGCGGGATAGCGATCCTTGACTTGCGGCAGAAATAAAAGTTCCATCTTCAACATCTTGTTATTTTGAAATAGAGTACGAACAAAGCTAACGCGGAAAAAAAAGCGAATGGATGTGAGATCGACAGGAGGATTTACTTCCTTATTTTCCAATCCGGATACTCTTCTAGCCTAATTGACAAACAACGAAACTTCTGAAGCAAGTGGCAAATGGCTACAACGCGGCAAGGTCACTGCACGAGCCAGGAGAAATTTTCACGAAACAGGAGCGGGTGCAACGCGTACATGTCAGGAACAGCTTACATCTTGATCAGCGCGCTTCTGTCGGGTTGTCAACACAAGAAGGCTGACTGAAAAATTACTGCTTTGATTTTCGCATGTACATTTTGGACACAGATGGCCTTTGTTTCACAGCAAGGGGCGTTGCTTTGCAAAATCCGTTCCTCGGAATCGAGACCAGTACGAGTGTGCGATAAATCAGAACTCGCCACTGGTCTCGAACTCGGCAGGTACGTTACTATAAACTCATCGACCGTGTTAAAGATGATGAATCGTCGAGTCGCAACTTGGTTGCCGATCAGTGCTCGTCTCGTCGTGAAAAGGTCTACGCAGGCTTTTTCTATGCCCCCAAAAAGGACTGTGCGATCTTCTCGACTTCTGGCAGCTTGGTGACTTCCGGGGTGGTCCCCTGGGCCCTCTGCGCGGAACCGCCACCCTTTCCGTTGCACACGTTCATAATCTGACTCAGCCAGTCTTTCGCCGAGAGTGCGTGTCCCTTGGGCACCTGGCACACCGCCAAAATCTTATCAGATCCCGGTGCCAAGATGCAGAGGGGGAGTTGCGGGTACTTCTTGGCCAACACCTGCGACGAGAGTGAATCATTTAATCATCAGAAGTCTACAGCAGAGGACCTGCTTCCCAGCACGATCTTACCTTCACAGCTGACTTCTCCGGCGAGTTGTACAACTACGTAAAACAAATTTCCCCTAGAAGTCCCGTATTATTATTCATTGAAAACGTGGGCAACTACAGCATCAGCAAACAACATTTCAAAAAACCGCACTTTTTACCTCCAACGCGGCTCCCGCGGCCTTGATATCGCCGTTGATGTTGTCGCTGACGTGCACGTACCCGGTGGCACTGCCCTCGATTTCCACCGCCTCCGCGGTCTCCTTCGCGACGGACAACAACTTTTTCGCGTCGCCCTTGGAGGCTTCCAGGGCCTTGACTTTCAGCTTATCGGCGTCCACCAGCATCTTGCGTTTGGTCAGCAACGCAATGTCGGAGGACTCGTTGAGTCGCTGGCGGAGCTCGGAAATCTTCGTGTCCAGCAGCACGCCACCCAACGTCCGCGCCTCGTCCAGCTCGAGGGACAGCTCCTTCGCGCGCAGCGCCGTCATGCTCGCGGCCTGCGGCCCCGAGCAGCAGGTGATCCGACGGATGCCCTTGGCGACCGGTTCCTCGGAGAGAATCATGATGCGAAACATCTCCTTGGACTTCGTCACATGCGTGCCGCCGCAAAACTCCACGGAGTAATTCATGCCGTACGGGACGTCCTCCGGGGCCTTGACCATGGGGGCGATCTCCTGCCCGATAGAGACCACGCGAACCTCTTCGCCGTACCTGTAGTAGCAATATCGTCAAGTAGGAGGGGAGTTGGTTTTCTTCCATTTTTCTGGAGGTTTAGCTTCATCTTCTTTTTCGAGGTTGATTCGAATAACTTAAATGGGTTATATCATATCAAGCCCAAGACGAGCAGGAATAATTTCCTTCCGATTTTTGGGCCCCAAATTGCGGATGAAAAACGAGGAAAAAAAGAACAACAACCAAGCTACTCACTTTAAACTCGTCCCTAAAGAAATAATTTTCTAAAAAATGTTTTTACTTGGCGCCGAACATCGCCCTTAGGCCGTTGATCTTGATTGCCTGGTCCTTGGGGCACTCCTCGATGAAAACCCGCCAGTCGTGGTTGACGATGCTGTTGCAGATTTCCTCCACCTGCGCCAGTTGCTCGTCCGACATCTTGGCGTTGCAGTTGAAGTCGAAGGTGAGCTGGTTTTCCTTGACCACGCTACCCTGCTGGTCGACCTTGGGCCCCAGCACTTTTCGCAGCGCGAAGTTGAGCACGTGCGTGGCGGTGTGGTTCTTCGCGATCAGAGACCGCCGGTCGTAGTTGACCGTGACCTCCACGCTGTCCCCCACGCTTAGTTATGCATTGCAAAAGTATCGTACTAGTAGAAATCGCATGACAAATACACTCAGCATGAGAAAAAAAAATTGTAATGCGGATTTACCTTAAGAGCAAGATTTGTGATGCAAGTCTTGCATTTATACGAGAACGCTTTTGCACAGGATATGAGCTCCCCGAACACCATCTTCCCCCGATGGACCACGTAGCCCGCGTACGCTTTCGCGCTGTTCATCGCAAACTCCGCGCCGTTCTTCACGATGGTCGCCGTGTCGTGGATCTGCCCGCCCGACTCGCCGAACACGGGCGTTTGGTCGAAAATCAAGCCCACCTCGTCCAGGTCCGCGGTGACCTTGTCCACAAACTGCTTGCCGTCGTAGATCGCGAGCAGCTTCGCGGTGACCGTGTCGCCGGTCTGCTTCTCCGACTCCCACACGTACTTCAGCTGGTCCTCCGTCTTCGGGAGGCACAGCTTGGCTTCCAGGTGGTCCGTCTGCTCCGCGTACAGCGTCAGGTCCTTCCCGGAACTGGTGTCCTTCTTCCGCGAGATCGCTATCAAAAGTAAAAATCCCCCCTTCCCATATCGAGAAGGAGATCTGTGATGCTGGATTTGCGCACACAAATCGCATTTGTCTTGCAGTAGAGGACTGCACGCAGAGCGCAAGGCTAGATAGGGGCCTTTTGGTGTAGGCGCCTAGCATGGTAGACGGTCGCCCTGTAGCCGTTAACAGCATTACAAATTGCCTGTCTAGCGTGGCGGAGAGCCTGGATTTGCCTTTTAGCAAGACAGACAGGATTTGTGGCCACAAATCTGCATCACAAATTTTTAGAAGATACGTTTTCAACATGGGGAGGGGGGATTTTTCCATGCAATAATCTCCGCGAAGTTTTCCATGTGCTGCGCGAACCCCTCGTGGTCGATGCTCAACCCCTTCTCCTTGGCCATCACCTCGGTGAGCTCCTTCGGGAACCCGTACGTGGTGGCCAGCGTGAACGTCTGCTCCGCGGGGAAGACCTTCTCGTCCTTCTCCAGTTTTGCGCAGAAGTGCTCGAACTGCTGCTCGCCCTTGGCCAGCGTCTTCAGAAACTGCTTCTCCTCGTCCGCGATGCACGCCTTCACGTCCTCGATCCCCTCCTTCAGCTGCGGAAACGCGTCGCCGAGGGAAGCCACCACCACGTCCACCAGCTTCACGAAAAATCCGTCCGGCGCGTTCAGAAACCTGTATTGTTCAGGGACGTTTTGATCATAAACAGCATTTACGATTGTCTCACATTTTATTTACTCCTGTTGTTCCGAGACGAGGACCTCGTGAGTCATCTCGTGCAGCAGGCGGCTCAACAGTTGATTTTCTGTCATAAACACCATGCACTGCAATAAAATCTATGTATTCCGGCAGCAGCACACCGCAGGAAAAAAAAACAGAAGCAGAAATAACGACCAACTGTAAGATTCTAAATACCTTCTCCCGTATCTGCAGGCGCGGCGGAGGATGAGCCTCAAAACGCTGCCTCGGCCCTTCGCGCTCGGAATGGCGCCATCAGACAGCGAGACCGTGATGGTTCGGATGTGGTCGGCGATGACGCGGTAGGCCATGTCCACCCCGTCCGTGTCATCCTTCCCCACGCGGCCGCTGTAGGGGGGGCAGGGGGAGTTCTCCGTGGTGCAGACCTCCCGGATCTTCGCGAAGATGGGCTGGAAAATGTCGGTGTCGTAGTTCGACCGCACGTCGTTCAGGCAGGAGACCACGCGCTCCAGCCCCATCCCGGTGTCCACGCTGTTCTTCGGCAGCGGGCGGAGGGACCGGTCCTTCTCCCGGTTGTACTGCATAAACACCAGGTTCCAGATCTCCAGCACGTCCGGGTCGTCCATATTCACCAGCGCCGCCGCGTCGCGCCCGCCGATGCCTGATCGAACGGTCATGCGAGGAAAATAAGTTGTTCTTGGGATGCGATGCCGTGTGTTGACATCATACTTTTATCAACATGATTTTGCAGCCGCCTGCTGCTCGAGATTGGTACTATAATGTGTTGAAGCTGCACGGAAGATTAAATCACACAAAAAACAACATCGAAAATAATTGTACGATCATAGTGCAACTCGGAGCAGGGTCCGCACGGGCCAGTGTCACCCATCTCCCAGAAGTTGTCCTTCATGCCACTGGGCAGGACCTTGCTCGGCGGCAGGTACCTCTCCCAAAGTTCCTTGGCCTCCAGATCCGCGGGCACGGAAGGCTGCTTCGGGTCACCGCCGTAGTATGTCGCGTAAAGCCGGTCCTTCGGAAGCCCGTAGACCTGCGCAGTGTAATTGTTCGGATAGAAAAGTACACAATCGAATTGTACGACTTTAATTTTCCAGTCCAAAATGAAACCCCGCGATAGTTCGTTTTCAGAAGTGCAGTCTATTGCATGAGAACGAGTGCCTCTCGTCTTGTACTCTCGGGAATAAAGTAGCTCGATGTACTTCTAAAGAGCAACATGCAAAACCCCAATCTGAAACAGAGTGCAGATATTAGAGATACCTCGGTCAAAAGCTCCCATGCCCAGTCGATGGCTTCCTTCTTAAAATAGTCGCCAAAGGACCAGTTCCCGAGCATTTCGAAAAACGTGTGGTGATACACGTCGAAGCCCACGTCTTCCAGGTCGTTGTGTTTCCCGCCCGCACGGATGCACTTCTGCGAGTTGGCGGCCCGCTTCAGCTTTGCGAACGGGTGAGAAGGATCGATCTGCCCGACAAAAATCGGCTTGAATTGGTTCATGCCCGCATTGATAAACAGCAACGTTGGATCTTGGTGGGGTACCTTGTTGGGAATTTTCAGGAGAAACTCTGGTGTTGTAGCTGTTTTCATCTGTCCAGGTCGTAAGTTTATTCGCGAAGATGTTGGCCAAATGCTGACGAAGAACTTTTTATTTCAGAGCATAATTCTAATTCGAAAATTTTCAACACGAGGATCACACAGCCCAAAAACAAATTATACCACCGCAGAACTCGGGACGAAGTCATGGCCCTTCTTTTTGACGAAGAAGTCGACGAACGCTTTCCTCACTTCGGCCACCGGCCACTTACCCGGGCTTTCCAGCTTCGCCATCGTTTCAGCCTTCGGAGCAAGACTACCACCGGTTTTATTACTGTTGGTTGTCGCGCCGGGTTTGGAAGGAGTTTTACCGAATTCCTTCACTTCCGGGGTGGTCAATAAGTAGGTCGGCTTTTCGCAAACTTTCAGCCCGACGTCCTTCAAATACTGGTGGTCCATCGACATTAAGACACAACTTTTCAAAGTACAAAAAATGAAATCGGCTCTACTTCCTTAGCTTTTCTTTCTCGAAGAAGATAAGTATTCTACTTATAATGGGGGCAGAAAAAGTATTAAAAACCTTAATTCGGAAATCAAAATGGGTTGTCGTCGTGGGAATGATCTAGTAGAGGCTACGCGTACAAGAAAGAGTAAAGGTGGTCCTGCGTAACAGTAGCAGAAACAGACGACGACTTCATTTCAAAACTTTCTTTCCAATTTTTTTGAGGAAAAGTATTTTTTTCATCCACTTTGGAGATGAAAAGACAGGAACCTTGGCGTTCTTTCAGGATCTTGGCTCGGATCAACTTTCATCGTTGCGAAACCTTTTTTATCACCTCCTAAGCGACACATTTATAATGTCACGACGGATTTATTTTCCAATAGATGTAGATCATCTTCATCAGCGGATCGGATTTTTGAACTGAAAGCGATCTTTGTATGTTGTAGTACGTACCCACCTCATTTCGTTCGGGCACGAGTGCTGTCGTCCGAAAGACGAACAAAAAATAAAAGCATGCCCCTGCTCGATTGCAGGAACCGATGTAACTTTGCTCCTGTAGTGTGCGGACAGCAGCGAAGCAGCCTCGACAAAAAGCTTTCCAGCGAACACCCCTACATTCCAAAACAAACGCGCCGTCTAGTGCTGGATGCACTCTTTCTCTCTGCAAGTTTGCAAAGGCAAATGGTGTCCTCGCTGACCTCCATCATGTTGCGATAGAAATTTGTTGTCCGCAACAGAGCAGGCTAAGGTCTTTTTATCATCACCTGTTCAGAGTTTCTGAAGCGCTTTCTATTTCCATAGTTTTTGCAGCTGTACAGCGATGCGACTAGGAAAGTAGCACATGCAGGGACCATAATGGAAAGCTGCCGAGTGAATAAAATGCATTTCAGAGTAGTGAGTAGTCAAAACGGAAAAGTTGGCCGACAATCACTTGGCGAACCGGGAACGAAACCAGGAGAGACAACTAAAAGAGAATCGATGTTACGAAAACTACCGGCAGACGAGTCATCTCGTTGCACTGAAGCCCTGTAACTATTCTCTATCCGCTGCTGCTGAAAAGGAACGCCTGGCTCGGTAAATGAAACAAAATTCTTGTGAATCTTTCTGCTCGCGAAAAACGAAGTAAAAAAGGCTTCGCCCGCGTTCAAATCTCTAGTATAGTGGAGGTGAGAGCTGAGCTCAGTGCCTTTCGCGTATGAATGGATTCTTGTAACTAACAGAGTCAGTAGGTAGCGCGTTTGCATCAGTAGCTTCGTCCTGGACGAGCCCGGCTGTTGGTAGTACACACCCATGCTTTCTGCCGAACCCGGAGATGCAGCAATAGCATGAGCGATTGGGGCTTCTGATTGCAAGTTTGCAACGTAAAAAAAATATGACTGAAACGAGAGAGATCGAAGTTTTCGATGAAAATTGATTTACATGTAGATAATAGCACAACCGGTAGTCACCACCGGGCTGCACATAGAACACAAAGCAAAAATTTCATCACCGCAAAAAAAAATAAGGAAAGTGGAAGTTACGTCTTCTTTTTCGTGCGCAATCATGGCAATCAAGAGTCTAGCACCAATTCTGCAGTCACGCAAAAATTGGAAAACTTGCGCGCGCAGCGGCATCGTCGGCGAGAAAATATCGCGAAACATGGCGTGGTGATCCCTTCCGTACAACTTGCTTCCTCGTCATAAGCCGACGCTGCCTGTATTTCAGAAACGCAGGCCCGAAAAGTTTAGGTGGCGTGGGCGTAACGGCAACATGGGAATAAAGGAAAATAATACCCGAAAGATAGAAAATTCGCGAAATTAAGGCAGGCCTCCGTGGGACGACGTATTGCAATTTTGAATACGACCCTGAGCAGCGTGCAACACAGAGCGTTCAGAGCAGGCCATCGTGATACGTATAGGTCTCGCCGCGTCGCACGGTGCAGTAGCTGAGTTCTCTGCCACCGGTGCTGCTGTAAATTTTCAGCGTGTACAGGTCATGCCGGCCGTCCAACAAAACAATCTCCGCCTCCCCTCGAGGGCGAATTTTGTCCGTCGACTGCGCTGGCACGAAGAAAAAGTAGTCCCCGGGGTTGAAAATCTTTGCACGAATTTCCTGTGCGGACCGGTTTCGCACCGTCACACTGCAATTCAGCATGGGTGAACTCGTGTTGGAATTCCCGCCGCTCCCCCGCAGATTATAGGACGCGCTGGAGGTGCGGTTCCGCGATTGGTTGCAGCTTTCATCACCTCCCTGTGGACTGTGGTAAAATCTACCCTTGCCGTCGCGGCGATGATCGTGGGCTGAGCGATCTCTGCGCAGTAGAGCTGCGTAGTGCGGTTCGGGAAAAAACCGGTCTCGTTGCTCAGACCCACCTCCACTACTGCTGGCTCGCCCGTGGACCGCGGCAGCAAGCAATTGGTTCATGCGTTGCCGTGAACGGCGCCGACAATGGTTCGTCTCCCTACCTTCGGCGCGCGTGCCGCACGACCGGTTGGAAGATGTCGAGGCGTTTGCAGTGGGCGACGTGGTCGCGCTGCGGCGCAGTGTCATGCTCATCATGCCAGAAGAGCGGCCTAGTGATATTGAAGACGACCCGCAGGGGCCGTACGAACGCTCTCGGCCCGAGTGCGAGATGAGGCCGCGAATCGACTCGGACGTCGCACCCGGGGGAAGGTGGTCCACCACCTCCTCGTCGTCGTCGTCCGGATCGTCGTCGTTGTAGTAGTCCTCGCTAAAAATTGCGGAAGATTGCTGGTCATTTTGTTCTCCGTGAACGTCGAACATTCTCGCTGCTTGAATATCACAGGGGGAGGTCGTCGTTGACATAAAACTTCGTCGGTTTATTTTCACCGAGCTCGTAGCACGCCGGCCCGAGTCATCCCGGCGGGGGCGTTTCAGAAACAAGGTCGAGGAGGCGGAGGAAGCCGCCCCTCCTAGTCCTTGGCTATGGCTGGTTGTCTGGGAATGAACGAGAGGGCGAGGATCCTGCTTTATTTTGTGTCGCAGCTTGTTGTTGTTCCCGAGCGATCGGGTACGGCTTTTCTGCTGTTTGCCTGTCCACCCGACGTGCGAGGTCGAAGACTTCTTTTTCCTCTCACTATTCGTGATAAGTCCAGCGGCCTCCTCGGACTCGGAGCTGGAGTTATTGCACGAGGAATGCGGAAGATCGTGCTGGGTGAAAGGATCGGCGGGGTGCTCTAGCACACTATTTGGTGTTGACGGCTGCTGCATTCTCAGACCTACTTCTCCCGGTTCAAAGTGGTCGTCTGCTTCCCCACCTTCTTCATAGCTGTCTTTCAAAAAATCAAGCGAGGGCGGTGGACAAAGTGCAGACTCCTCGTCGTGAGGACCAAGATCCAGCTCGTTTCCCGTCTGCGGCAAGCGATCCTCGGCAAAGCTGTCGCCTGCAGGGTCCCTTTTTTCTTGTTGCGACGAACTCGCGCCAGCACCGTGGTCACTGCTATTTGTACTGTAGTTGCCGAGGCCGCGCAGGTGAAAATCAAAGGGGTCGGGATCTTCCCTTTCCGACCCCGAAGAGGACGAGGATGAGGACGACGACTCGGAAAGCACCAAGCTCGCGAGGTTATCATACGACGTCTTGTTGTGCTGGAGCAAGTTTTGGGAGCTGCTGGGCTTGAGCAATTCGGTCGACGAGCTCGTGGTTTTGCTGCTTGTGCGACTTCCGGACTTCGACAGACTCCCGCACGACACCGCGTTGCGCCCGATAGAAATCCCGGAAGATTTTGAGTTCATCATCCCAAGACTACTACCTCCTGCTGCTGTTACCGTGACACAACCGCTGGACGCGGTGCTCTTCGAACTTGTCTGCCGGTCCAGCGTCGCCGACTGCTGCGACAGTGGCTGCACTGCTTCTTCGCCCACGTCAACCACAGTGCTCGTTGCGGAGCACGCTGCTCCGTCGACTTCCGCAAGTTTGGGCAGCTTCTTGCACGACGACAAATCTACTTTGCGCCGTTGCTGCATGTTGGGTCGTCCGGGTGTGGTGGCGTTCAGAGAAGATGAAGTAGATGCTGATGTGCCTAATTTCATCATACCACTTTGCGCACTGCTTTCGGCATGACCCTGTGCTACGAAGCCACTCTGGAGTAGTTGCGTAGGCGTGCGTCGCAAGGACTCACTGTGGTGTCCAATCCCCGGGCCGTAGGAGGGCGAGATATAGGCCGGCGCAGCTCTTTCGCTTTCAAAGGCATTCTCCTCGTCCTCCGCGAAACTGCTCTCCTGGAAGCTAGAGTCGCTCAAAATTTTCATCATTCTGCTACCGCTCCCCCCGCCGCCGCACCCCGCACTTTGGCTCAACAAACCATGGCTAGTACTGGCCGTGTTCATCTGCTCCGGCGCGGGGGGCAATCCGCTGTGCGCCATGGATTTTCGTACGTTTAACAAGTCGTGCGCCGCTTTGCCGACCGGGTAGCTGCTGTGTAGCAACTGTGCGGACGAGGACGATGTTGACACACCGCTGCTACGGTGGTAATGGTGCGGCGGCTTGACGACTTTTCTCTTCAGACTCCGTGTGACATCCACAAACTCCAACACCATACCGCGCCGACAAATACATGTGGCGAGCTCGCGGTCGCAACAACCGGGCGCAAATATCTTCAGACGGTACCTTTTGTGGAAGTTCAAATTCCAACTTATTCTCAATAGTGCTACAATGCAACATGTACTTTACTGCCTTGCTATCGATCCTTGTACACCCGGGGTGGGGGTCGTATCCAACTCTGGAAGAAGAGTCAGCATGATTGAATATATTTCTTTTTCCTGGGGCAGCTACTAATGCTCAGTATTAGAAGTCAGCAATATTGGACAGAACAATATCACAGGCCACAGTACTCTCGTTTGATTTTCCCAGAGCGCAGCAGCGCGGGCGGGTGGAAGGTAAGCTGCTCCCCGGCTTCGATGTGCTCCACGCACCGGCCGGATATCCCCGTCACTGGCAGCCAGTTGCACACATCCTCCACGGCGTATAACACTGCCTTCACGTGCTTCAGCGACCGATTGCGGATTTTGATCGGGTCCATCGCGTTTTTGGTGCCGTCCTGCGACGCTGTTCTCGACGTAGATGGAACGTTCAATTGCGGCAGAATTGTTCCCGTCCCCGCGGGCGGCCCGGCCGATGACGTAGTACCCTCAGAAGAAGTGCCGACTATGCGAGATGAACCTCGTGCGCCCTCGCCGAGAGCCCCCGCAGTAGGGGTACTTCTAGAGACGGCACCCAGTTCGTCGTCGTCGGGTCTGTCAGCATGTGGTGGAGGCGCGAGCACCCCCTGTGCAAAAGGCAGGTAGTTCAGCTGTTGCGCTTTCGTCGAGGACATCGCCGGCGACAAAGGGATACTGATCGCGCCCTTCGAGGGCCCGCATCGCAGCGAGGTACTACCGCATCCTCGAGGACGGCCCGCCCCTCCAGAAAGCCTGCTACCATTGCTGGTCGGCGATAGTGCGCTATTGATTTCCGCGATTTCGTTTTGCGGCAGGGTGGCGTTCATGGCCGCGGCGGTGCTCACGTCGGTCGCGGACACGCAACTAGCCGGGAACCACCAGGTAATTGCATATTGAATGCCAATCATATGTCTCCGAGTCAGGAAGGTTTAACTTAGTGTAATATTTCATCAATCCGCGGCCGCCACCAAGCGGCACAAGTTTATTTTCAGCTGACAAGCAAGAGGATCAATCTGTGCGCCGTCGTCGTGCCTACGCGTCACAAAGTTCAGAATCATGTCAACAAACGCATGACAAGCGTTCTTGCAGCCTTCACCTCCTAGATGACCCAGAGGACACATGTCATGCAATGCATATTTCAAAATCCTCGAACATTTCGAGAGAGAAGACCCACTTGGCAAAACGGAACAGAACGAACGCCGTGGACTCCATCTCCTCGCGCTGCTCCGTTTCCGTGCAGACGTCAACCACGTAAAAACTGTTGTCGAACACGGCCTGGATCCGGTGCTTCCGGTTGTCCTCGGTGAAAAGGAAAATCTTGTACAAATACACCAAGATGGTGACCAGCATGGTGAGCGTGGCGAGAAGAAGGCAACCCGGAAGGAACTCTGGCACGTTGTCGTGTATCAAGTGGATGACGTTTTTCAGCCCGATCAGAAACAGCAGGATGAAGGCCGACACCGCAAAAAACGCTACAAAATTTGTGACGTAGTAAAATTTCTTCTTCAGAAACACGTGAACCGCGAGGAACAAGAGCACGAAGTAAAAAAAACCGCCCCACAGAAGTATCGTCGCGTTCGTGCCAATGCTGTAGGTCGCAAACGCGAGAAAAAAACCAATGGTGAGCCCCAGGACCGAAGTGAGGAAAGGCTGGCACAGTCGGGCGGATGGTAGCCGTTCCGTGAAGACGCGCTGGTCGCCACACATGTAGGCGCAAGTGTAAGACGCCATGGCTACTTTGACTCCGTTCCACCACGTTTACGCGTGCTTTTGCTTTCCAGCAGAGATAGTACTAGCTGTAATTCCTCTGCTCTACAACTTGCAGTACAGTCATATATTAAAATCCGTGTCACGAAAGATAAGAGATTCCACACCTACACGTGCTGATGCGCGATATCCGGAGGACAAACCTGCACTCCTTCTCCTGTTCCTCGCTGTATGCTGCTGCTGCTACGTTTCATCGCAGCAGTAGACTTTGTCACGGTTCGCACCGTTCTTCGTGTGCTGCCGTAGTGGTCGCCATGTTCTCCACTTATTTGCTTGCTTCATTTTTTTTCATACAAAACTTGCGTCATTCCATCAACTTTCCTCACCCGTCGTGCTCAACTCATGCTGAGACCGGAGGAACGATTCAGCATCAGCACGGGTCGCGAATGGGGAAATAAAAGAAAGCTCAATGAAGATGCACCAAGTACGTAGGCAAGCCAGTGCCAGGAAAGAACGCCATATGTCCGGTCATAAACTTCTTTTGCAATTTCGAACAGTTCCATCAATTGCGGAAACCGTCGCACGCGGTTGACTTGAGGTTCAAAAATTCACACGAAACTGGGCACGCAAAACTATGGTGTTTGAGGCGACTCATGAAAACCAATTGTTATATGCATTTTTTGTCCATATCACAGTCAGTCGGAGATCACAAAGAAGGAGTTCTCGTGACGTAGAAATACATTCGAGAACAAGGCAATTGCGTATCATTGCTATTGAAGTCCTACATTCGACCACTGACAGGTGCTCGACCTATCATTTGCAAGGTGCCTACGAACATGTATACCAACTCAATTTGTACAGTATGTTCTTCACAAATCCAATCTTGAAAAAGTGGGGTATCATTTTCTTGGAAGATCAAGACCTACATGAAATGCGACAGATGACACAACCACGGCACACAAACATGCGCACAGAAACACAACTTCTGCGCCGGCCTTACTATATGATCGACAAGGAACATTCCTAATAATCCTACAATTCATCTTTCGGGGGCGCGGCGGCCACGGTGGCGGAAACTCCGGCTTTCGTACTTTCTTCCACCCGCAGCTCACAGTCAGACTTGTCGTCACAGGCTGTTGTCGGAGGGTCTTCTTCGTGCCAGGTCAGTTCCTCATCTTCCCCTCCGTTCAGGTCTCGCAACCGCTCCGCGAGAAACCTGCGGGCCTTCTGCCGCGACGTCCACTGGAAAATGACGTTTTCGTTCAACGTGAGCTGCACGCACTCGTCCTGCGGCCCGAACCCCGGTGGCCGGTCGGGCGACTTCTCGCTGGCCCCGAGGGTCGTGCTGTGCTTTTGGTGCACTGTGGCAGCAGCATGAGGATCCACCGTGTGGTCTTGTTCACCATCGTACTGGTCCCTCAGCCATACCAGCAGCCCGAGACTGCCGCCGAAGGGCGCCAGCACGCGCGTCGCGGTAATCGCCCCCATCTCCTCCACGACGCTGTAGTCCCGGGTGCAGTCGAAGTTGGTGAGCAAGGCTTCCTCGGGGTCGTTCCTCCGCTTCTCTTCTTCGCGTTTCGCGTCATCATGGATTTCTTTTATATCGTTCAACCCCACGTCCCGCACCTGCAGTTCCAAGGGCTTCAAAAAACTCCCCTGGAAGAACGACGCGGGGATTCTTGATGAAGAACTCCCGTCGACACCACCGGCAGTAGGAGGAGTACGCGCGGCTTTATTCTCCTTTCCGCCGTCCAACGGGATTTCCGGGGCCTTCCAGGCGTACACCTGCAGCCACATGAGCACAGGCAAAATGGTTTCCGCATGGGCGAACGCAAAGCGAAACTTCTTCTCGTTGTTCGGCCCCAGTGAGAGGAAATAGGTCCACTCCTGGAAGAAGTTCGCAGCAAACGGCTCCGCCGCCAAATTCGGGTTGCCAAACCCGCTTTTGTAAAAGTGCGCGTAGTCCATCAGCCGCTCCATCTGCAAGAAATCCGTTTCTTCCCCGAACACCTCGTCGCCCATGCATCCTGTGTGAAAACGTCTCCACCCCCGAGTTGTTTTATGCAAAGTGACATGTTGCCGAGAATGTTTCTACATGCCGCGCAAGAATCTCGTCATGCGGAGCAGTTTCTGATGCTATGATATGGGATCATCTTCTTGTCATCCTCTAATAGCGATAATGTGATGCGGCTGTACTAGGTAAACAGGACTACGCTGGGCGCCCATGGCTGTCACGCGCCGCAACAGCTAATAAACCCTATTGATTTCTTTGTGTAGCACCGCCGCGATCTCGACACTGCGGTGTGGGCGGCCCCATTTCCTTTTACACAGGATACCATGGCCGACTTATTCAGCAGTGCCCGTTCCATGATCGCAAGGTTCCAAAGAGCGTACGCGTCCGCCGTGGTGAGGTTCCACTTCGTGTGGAGATTGTTTGACGAGCTCTCTGATTGTTCGCCAGCAAAGAGCGTGACGTTCGGCAGGATGTGTTCGTCGAAATGCTTCTTGAACTCCCGCAGGTACTGCTTGTTTTTCCCCGGGCCGGTTTCCGTGTCGTTTTTCCAGCGCAGGTAGTCTTTGAGGTGCGCCGCCGTGTGGTATCGTAAGGAAAACTCCCCCCTCCCCATATTGAAAACGTATCTGTCTGAAAATTTGTGACCTCAAATCCTGTCTGTCTTGCAAGAAGGCAAGTCCAGAGCGCGCCGCGCACTTTCCAGGCGGTTTGTGATGCTGTTGGGCTTAGAGCATACACATTTGCCATGCTAGGCGCCTACGTCAAAACCTCTCGACTGAGGCTCCTTGGCATATGCCTGCAGTCCTCTCCAGCAAGACAAATCTGATTTGTGTACGGAAATCCAGCATCAGACACTTCGTTTCGGTATGGGGAGGGGGGATTTTTCCTTTTAATATGTGGACGCGGAATTCCGGGGCGGCGGCCGTGGCGTTCCAGCCGCCCGGCGGGACAATCACCATCTTCGAGCCGCGCCGCCCCAGCCGGGTCTTGAACCCGACGGTACTGGCGTCGAAGTACCGGAGCCGCTGGTCGTGCAGGGCCAAGACCCGGTCCTCGTGGGTTTTGCCGAAGGGGTTCTCGCCCAACGCGTCGTGGAGGCCGGCGAGGAAGGCGTTGCCGGACTGGGTGCAGCGCGACTTGGAGCTGCTCTCGTACTGCAGCCGCGTGCTGTTGTTCGCAAACGAAGACAGCAAAAAGCGCCACTTCAGCCCCTGCCGCGCGAGCTCCTCCCACCCGCGCTCCACCAGCGCGGCGTCCTGTTTCTCAAATGCGGCGAGGTCCGTCTGTAGCCACCGGTCGGTCCGCCGGTGTCGTTCGGCGACATGCCGCTTCAGCTTCCGCCACTTGGTCAGCTTCTTGCCGTCCGGCGTGCGCGTGCCGTGGCGGAAGAGCACGTCCGCCGCCTGCAGGCGCCAGTTGAACCGGGAGTCACGCAGCGCATACGTTTTTTTGGTCGCATTCGCGTCAACGGCGTGAAAGTACGAACTCTTTTCGGGCGGATGCGTGAACTTCCGCCCGTACGGATTGTACAGCGCTTCGTTGAAGTACGGCGTCTTGGTGCCGGCGTGGAACTGCCAGCTCCGCTTCGGGGCGCGGACCGACGCGGGCCTCCAGGACCGGCCATCTCTTGTCGGCTTTGCGTCCGTCGTTGGTGGTCCGCCAAACACCGACCCGTACGCGAGGGCCCGCAGAAGAACTGCGGCCGAGGACCATCGCTGGGCACTTCCGCTTCCCGTCGTTCCGGTTTGCGATTTCGGTCTGGCGGGAGACATTGGCATGGGTAGGCCTCACGCCTCGAACTAGAAATTAATATCAATATACTCGTTGCAAGATAGCCTGTCTTTAGGTAGCGAAGGAAGCAGCTAGGTTTACTTAGACGCTACCGATTGCTTTTCTTCCAGACTCTTGCACAATTGAGGCCCTTATCGAACTACAAGAAAAAACGCGCACTATATGCGATCGGGTGGAAGGTACGGCATGGCGGTGTGTTCGCTTGCAAGCGAAAGTATAGCGAATTTCGAATATCGACCGACTGCCTGGGGTGAGGATAGCGATGGGTGTTGCTGACGCCCGCCGGAAAAGTAGCAAGCCATTTATTTACGACCCGATTACGAAGTGCGACGCGATATTATTCTTGTCAACCATTTCTCGGAAGGGCGCCGGGCTCGCGATGCGTTTTTGCGCAAGGCAATCCCTGCAAGCGCGGCGCAGCGAACGGAGCGCGGCCAAGATGCAGCGCGGGAAAGCCGGCCGGCGAGAAAGAAAACGCGGGGCGTACCAGGTCGCGACGGACGCCCGGGGCCCGCACCAAAGCGGCAGCGGTACCGGCTTCCGTTCCCGTAGGCTCCTCCCTTCGGGGGCGTAGGCTATTGCGCATCCAAGCGACTACGCTTATCGCCCGCCCCAAGTGGGCAGGCGTGCTGTGTTTCTATGGGGCTAGGGAGGGGGAAAAGGGCCCACATGGAAACCGCGCAGGGGACAGCGGGAAAGGGCGGGGGGAGGGGGGGGAAGGGGGGCGGGTGGACGAGGGGGGGGGGAGTAACAGGGGGGAGGAATGAAGGGAGAGAAGAAGGGGCAGGGAAAGGGAAATGGGGGGGGGTTAGGCAGCAAAGGGAAGGGGGTAAGAAGGGGGAGGGATGGGGTGGAGGTGGAGGGTCGGATTTTCCAAATGTGGAGCCTAATTAATAACATGCAACCCATGCGGCTTATAAATAGGCAAATACACCAACAACGCACCGTATAAAGTGCATGGGACACATTTTGTAGTGCGTAGCTGTGAACTTTTTTGATATCGCCTAGATTCCCAATTTTTTGACTTTTTTAATTTTGTCGCTGCGGTTCACAATTCCAGGTGGTTTGTCTTTGTGGAATGCCCAATGCACAATCAGCGCACCTATATAACCACACGCATCATTTTTCCAACCCAAAGAGCTGCCATTTTTCCAGGTTTTCATGGGGCCCGATTTTTTCAATTTTTTCGGAATGTGATAAAAATCTGGAAAATTCAATCATATTTAATATATTTACAATCTCGATGTGTATTATACTTGTAAATGTTCAGTCTTTATGTTTTTTTGGCAATTTAGTATATTATTTTTAAGCTTGCAAGATTTCCAATTTTTTTCAGATTTGTTTGACTGTAGGACGTGCGTATTTTTTTTGCTAGCTTTGTCTCATTTTCTTTTTATATTATGCAAAAAATGAAAAATTTCCAATAATGTGAAAAGTTTTTTCCTTCTATTTTGTTTTATTTTATTGATTTTTTCCAGATTTTTATGGTCGAAATATTTTCAGTTTTGCCATTTTGCGTTTTTGGTTCCGAATAATGTGCAACAACATATAAAGTAACATCTTGTGGATATATATTGCTTCACTTTTGGCCATGTATGGTCTTAGATTGAACCTTTTGCATCATTCTATACTGCTCGTCAACATTATCAATTTTTCAGATTTTCTGTGAGGACCAGTCCTCGTACAGGACTTCATCCTTTGGATGCCCAAGACTTAAGTAAGATGCAGAGTCAAGCTCTTCTGGCCGCTTTTACCAAGGAAAACGACTTGCAGCAATCGACTTTTTTCGTCTTTTCACATTTTTTCCAGGTCCTGCATCTCCGCACTTCCCTTCGATCCCCTGTAATCAGTCCGTGGCTGGCCGGGGGGGGCGTGGCTTGCGGCGGCCCTGCACTGCGACAACGCGCTCCGCCTGTGACTTAGGTGAGCTTCTCCCTAAACTTACCCCATCTATTTTGTCAGTTTTCTCGGACCTGCGCAACCGAACCCGATCGGAACCACTTGGGTTTCAACGTCGGGCCCGGCCCCAGTCGCGCGATGCCGGCAGTGCGCTACCCGCGGCCGGCTTCACGCCCCGATTCGAGTGTCTGGATCTTTCAAAATCCGCACAGGGGTGATGCTCCGGATTTCATCCAAGTGGCTTTCGCGCGGGCCGCGATCGCCAGCCCCCGGGATCCGGTAGAAAGTACCGCAGGGGGGTGCTTTCATTGAGGCTATACGCGTTTGCCCCAAAAAGTGGAGCCGATTAGATCCATAGTGCGCCCATTTGGGCCACGTTTTAAAAAGCCCGCAAATTTGCCCTCAGCAGCTTATCAAATTACGGTGGCCAGGCCTTGTGGCCCGGCGAAAAATGCGACCGCTCGTGCCTTTCTTTCGTTTTTGCTTTGCGACCGCTTTTCGTGGACCAGAACCGATTGGCCCACACGGGCAAACCTGGTACCAACTCAGGAAGATTCGAAAACTGCACCAAGGTCGCTTTTTGGTCCCGCAGGGTTCCTGGCGGGTGCAATCTTGAGAAGAACATAGCAGTGCCGCCCTGTTTATGTTTTGTCGCTTTCTTTTCATTTTTAGGACGCGATTAAGTATGTCCGCCCTCGTACGAGATACTCACCCAGACGGGGGCAAGTGTTTAACCACCACGAGAACTTTCGGAAGCTGCCGCTTCAGCAGTCGGAAGCTGCGCCAGCAACGTTACACTTTCGTTAAATCGCAGCAGCCGTCGTTGTCGTTGGCGTCGTCGGTCAAATTCTCTCTGTCGCACCGGGTTGGGCAACTTCGTTTATATTTTTGAGTCATCGGTAAAATCGGCGCTCGATATTCGTTGCGGAAAAGCGCTTGGCCGCGATTGCGCATCGCGTAGACCACTTCTATCACACTGCTCGTGGTTCGTTTCTGCAAGGCTGCTAACGCTGTCATCAACAATTTCGTGGGTGCGTTTGATATATGCTTTTACTTTTTTCAAGAGGCCGACGAGACTAAACGCGGCACAACAGAAATAAGTAGTCGAGTAAGTATTTGTTCAGGACGAGCAGCAGGCGGAGGTCTGTGAAAATCGCGAGGTCTGCGAAAAAAATGCGGTCCTCTCCACGAAAAATGTATGCCCTTCTGTTTTTCAGTTTGGCGCCCGCCAGCGGCGGATTACGGGGAGCGGGGGACGACGGAGAAGTCTCCGTGGGCGATCCCGAGAATCTCTACGGCCTTCCCTACACTCCCACTGCGCGGGAAGACACATCGCACCTGGAGCTGACCCTGTTGCGGCACTTCCCTAAGCGTCTCTCGCCCTTCGACTATGCAACCGTGGTTCGTCCCGACTTGCCCCTGGCGCAGCAGTGCGACCTGAGCGGCGTCGCAGCGACCACGTCGCTGACCGAACGAACCAAAACGTGCGCAGCCTACCTGGACGCCCAACTCCAGATAGGCGGGGCGTCGTCCGACCTAATCCCCAAGGCGCACACGGAGTTGGCGGGAGCGTGGGCAAAACATGCCTTTCACGACTTCACGAAAGAGAAGGACGGCGCCGCCGCGCCCGTGGACCGCATTCTGTTCACTTCAACCATTCCGCGCGCGGTGGAAACGGGAGACCTGCTTGCAGCGGAGGCAGGGGCGAAACAAGCCTCTGTCCGCAAATTTTCAAGCCGGCTGTTCGCCGAGGAACAAGACTTCCCGGATGCAAGCGGGGTCTGCGTTTCCGTGTACGCGGCCCCATTCGCGGCCCGCAAGGCCAAGTTGATCGACAACAAGCGGCGTGACGGCTTCGAGACGAAACTGCTGGACCGCATCTGGGAAAACGCGAAGCTTGCGGCGACCCAGCTGCAACCCATTTTAACGGACGAACTGCAGCGAGTACTTATCGAGGATGATGCGGCATCGAAGCACGCAGGCGTGGGGGTGCAAGACGCGGCGGCGGGTTCAGGAACAACTTCAGGCACTTCTGCGGATGAGCTTTCATTTGTGCAGAAGGACCCTGCGCAGCGATCATCTTCGTTTCTCGAGATCTTTCGAACGGCAGAAGCGCATGGGCGCGCAGGAGATGCGGCGGTCAAGGAGAGCGAGGCCGCACCCACCGCGGAAGAGGGCACGGCAGATCCGCGGCCGGCACAGCAGGTCCTCGACTACGCGACGCGAATGTGCAAGATCGCCCAGTTTTTGCAGGTCCAAGAGATTCAATCCCCCACGGCCGGAAATGAGCTCCGCGCAATCCGCAAGAAAGCGGAAAGCGATGGCAACATTGTTGGCAGTCTCCTGGATACCGCCATGCAGGTGTGCGAGTCGCTATTCGACCTGGTTCGTCGGTACGACGTGCAGACCTTCCGCCGGTCCATGCTCGGCGCCGCCCTGTTTTTCACGGCGGAGTTTGTGGGCGGCGCGAAGCGGGAGGTGGTGCAAAAAGGATTGCTGGAGGCAAGCCTGGCATCGCCGTGTGCGAAGGACGAAGTCGGGAGCAGGACCCAAGACGACATTGCCGACATCGTTTCAGCTCCGAACAAAGAAGACGCAGAGGGGACAAAAACGGTCCGTCAGGTGGTCACGGTCATGCACGACGCAAATCTCGCGGGCCTGACGGGCTTCTTCGCGACTGGCCAGGGGTGGGTGGAAAGTTCGCCGTTCGCACAGGAAGCCAAGTACGCGAAGGATTACCGTGCGGAATTCCCGATGGTCGTGAAGTTGCGCGAAACCAGTCCCGAACTCGAGCCCTTCTGCCCCGCCTCGTACGGGGCCGCGCTTAAATTCGATGTCGCATCTGGGCCGTTCCCGCCCTTTCTCTGGGGTTACCGTGGCCCCACCACGCAGGAGTTGCGGGACGCCCAGCCGCCAGAGGTACTGCAAGCAGACGATGAATACTACTTTTTCCAATCAAGCGCCGAAATGGGGCAGGTGCTCGGCAACGTGGTGCCCTCGCTGTCGAACGGAAACGATTTCCACCGGCCAAAGACCAGCTTTATCGCACGAAAAATCTCCGTCATCGTAACTCTGTGGATGAGGACGGACGCAACTCGTAGCCTCTTGTGCGTGTATGCGCCTCTTTCATAGTAGCTGTGGCGCATAACTCTTGAAGGTTGTTTTGTGAAGTGCTAGTGCAAATTATGAGTGATGCGTGATTGTGGGTAGATTTGCAGGCGACGCGGGTTTTTTGAGCGATAGACGTTCCACGCAAACTGCATGCGCTCAAGGTGCGGCTACAGTATCTACTGACAGACTGGACCGCGGAATCCGAAGCCGAGAAAAAGTGGATAGCGGTCTGTCAGACGGCGTTCGACCAACTCTTTCCCGAGGGAATTCACTGCCCGTTTTGCTGAATGAACACAACCGAGCCCCTCTCGAAAGGATGTAAATGCTTTAGTACTGGTCGTATAGTTGACTAAAAGATGAGGAAGATGTTATTGTCGACGAGAAGAAAAATACGAAAGAAATCATGTCTGCACATGTAAAGAACAACGTGTTTCAATACCTAAAATTAAAATTGACGCAAACTGTACTTTAATGCAAATAATAAGCTTGGACAAGGATAACGATAAGGAAGAACTTGATGTCACTCCTACTTTGTACTTTGTAGCAAGAGTTTCCATGATAAAGAGAAGATAGTCCGCATGTAGAAATCCGCTATGAGCATAAGTTTAGAGGATGCGCCACGCTCAACAAAAAGCTTCCGAAGGTATCTGTCTGTTTCAAATTTCAAAAACAGTCCCGCAAAAATTGTTTCGGCTGTATCGCCACGTAACAAGCAACGTGTTCGTAGGTAGGAGTCATAAGCATGATATTTATACCGCGAGCAGTCTCCGATAGGAAGTACACACAGCAATGATCACAGGACTACACTCTGCTAAAGGCCGTGCTAAAGTCGGGAGGCGCAAGCCCGCACTACGGTTGGTCTTGTCATCAAGATCGACGACCGTTCATTTCTGAAGGCCGGCAGTGAAAAAAGAGAAAGATGAGCAGCAATATCAGAAAGCGATAACTCTCGCCTCCGTAACTTTATTCCGGCAATACACGAGCTAGACTCACATTCACACTGTCGAAGAATGAAGGGCAACGGCCGCGGTCCGGCCGCGGTAACGCTGATTTACTACCACGTGCCCACCGACCAGGACGAAGCGCAATTTCCGAACGCGTTCCCACTCCCGAAACCAAGCTCGGAGATAAGGCTTCGGGACGTGCGGGAAAAATTTCCACTGCCGGGCGTCTACCATTTCCGCTTCAAACTTAAGTGGAGCGACAATACCAGCGTCTGGATGGACGTCACCAATGAAGACAGCGTTGTACCCAAGTTCGACGAAAAAATCATATGCAAGGTAAAGAGTGGTTGGCTCATATTTCTTCCTTTTAGTACCATGTCATCAGGTTCTTGAAAATAGTTCCACTCGCATGATTGTTTTTCGCGTAGAATGCGCTGCAACTTTTTCTTACAACAATCAGGTGCTCCGCGTGTCGTGGAGCGGCAGCGGTGTACCGGCAGCGGAAAATCCTAGATCACAAAGCAAGCAGCTCGGGGCGAACACCAAGCACCCGCCCCCAACCCAATTGCTCGACAGCCTCGAAAAGACGAAAACGCCTCCCGGGCAGAAGAAGCCGGCTGCAGCGACCCACGCAGACCTGCTTTTTGGCGAGAATTCCCCCAAAAATAGCAAGCAAGCGAGCACAACAGACTTGCTCTTCGACGGCTTCACCTCCGCGCCGCCACCTCGAAAAGACGACTTTGACCTGTTTTAGCATTTGCACCGAGCAATTTCTTCCCATAATGCTTTTGTTACCGGCGCAGAAAGTGATTGGTTTACAAGCACTGACGACGCAAAGATCGCCGAAAGCATCTCGATTGCTGTTCTCAGACTCAAGGATCAGTGCGGAGAAACCGCGAGGAGAAAAGTTCAATGTGTTGTGAGCGGGAATACGACTCCACTGTCAAAATGAACGAATAAAAATGGTGCATGGTGGAATTCTGTCAAAGGAGGAGGTCTCCACTGTTTCCATCAGTTCCAGTGTTTTCTTCCATGTAGTTTTGATTCGTGAACATGGCGCTAAAAGGGTCGACAAGATTGTTGCGGGGGGCCGCACAGTGTGGGCGACCGCATTTGAAGCACGCCATGAAATCTGTACGTGATATCCTTCTTCTCGACTACTTATCATGATTTCTGAATGTCGTCCGGGTAGGGGCAGCGATGAATTTGAGCCGGGTAGGAGGGCTTGTGGATGTGAACAAGATGGCACCACCTCCTCCGCGATCGTCTTTGTGCAGGGAAAAACGGACGAGAGCTTCCGTTTTGCCGTCGAGTTCTGGCTTTTTTCCCCATGTACACCGTTTCCTGTTTGCAGTGCTGCTTCAAGATCATCTCTCCGTCCACCCGGTTGCGGGCATGTTTTTCACGAGGGACTGCGGCAGCCAGTGCCGCGCGGTGCGGAAGCGGAGTGAGATTTTCAGCCTGAAGTGTATTGCCAAATACGACAGCGAAACGGACGACGCAACGAACAACTTTTGTGCCCAGATGTGCAGCCCGTCGCAGGTGGTGCTGAAAGGGCAGCTGACCACAACGATCAACACCTGCGCGCCGAAACGGAAGCGGACTCTCTTGCAATTCCCGGCCGCGTATGCAATGCAAGTATAATGTTGTCTGGGTCTGGAACACTGCAACGTGTCATGCTGCGTCAGGACCGCTAAATTTTGCGTTTGCATGAGCGCCACAAGATTGCCAACTTTTTGTTTATCGAAGTGCGAATCCCTAACCCGGAAGAGAGACTGAGAATGTCTCGCACATCAATCTGTGATGCTTCCCGAGGGCATTCCAGACCATCTGTGTGATCCAGAAGATGCATATAATCAGGTGGAATTCGGCGTTTTGCTTGCTCTTCGGAGGAAGTAGGCAATGGGGCCGCGTAAGTTGCTATCTCCAGGAGAGAAGAACAAGATTGTCCACGAGATGCATGACAAAACGTGCACTATTCCGGACCCAGATACACTTGCTGCATTTGATATCGCGAGGATGAAATTGTTCACCGCTAAATTCTTGCAGCAGCACTGCCCGCCGCTGCAACCCTGCAACTGCAGCAGGTGCGTGTGCCCGGAGACGGTGCATCAAACCGTGAAGCCGCCAGCGCCGGTTTTGCACGACAATGTGGAAGAGGAAGGAAAATTGCAAAAGCAATTGGCGGGCCACGACATGTCCCCCATGCCGACGGTGCCAAACTTTGACCAGGCACCGCAAGTGGACGGGCGCGAGCGGTCCTGTCCCGAGTTTGAACCCTGCAACTGCTCCTGCCAGTGCGGGCGACCCGTGGAAGCGTGAGGTTCTGATGTAGTTAATCTGATGTTAAATTATACGGGTAAAAAGTTACTGACGTGCATTTTTTTCCGCTTCGTTGAAAAAAAAAGAAGACGAAGAAGGAAAGAAAGTGAACAGCTAAAGTAAGGATGGGATATAATTCTTAAGATCTGTACAATAGGGCCTTGGAAAAATAACAATTACTTTATGGAATATGATTTTTTTTCCGTTTATTTCATTGATTGGTTACAGCTCGTTGTAAAAACGTCGCGAAGTTGTTGCCCGCAAAGGGCTGCGTAGCTGCAGAACGAGACGTGGTGGGTGCGCCAAAATCAACGCAACCGAATTTTTTCTGGGATTATAAAAAAACGCTGGCTATGAAGCAGCGACGGCGCAATTTCCCTGTAGTGAAGACAGCTAAGTGCACCTGAAGCAAACGTGGTCAGGACATTGAAGGATTCGCGTGTGTTCATATCCCAGAACGATAGTCGTAACTTGACATCAAATTGATTGCGAAGGAGCAAACGGGTCCTGTTTTAGCTTCCCGCACCGGCGAGAAAGGAGGTTTTGAGATTTTCGGTGAAGAAAAGTTTACGACTTTTGGCGCAGCGTCGGAAGTACACTTTCGTTTTTTTTTTGACAGTTCCAAAAAGTTGCGAATTGCTCGACCGGATAGAAAGCATTAAGCAACGTTCCTAGTTGTAGGTCCCGATCATGTAGTAGTTTGACAGGAATAAAGATGTGGCACGCGTACGAGGGGCGGAAAGGTTTCTTTCCGACCCCTATATGTCATTGCCTACTCGTTTCGCTCTTGCTTGCAACGCGACTGCTAGACGTTGCGTCCGTTGCTGCCCTCACCTCTAGCACGGATTGCGCCAGTTTCTGCCGTGCGGTGAGAAAGAGGGATCACGTCTTCACCTTGAAGTGCATCGCGAGGGACGATGCTGACACGACGGAGCATGCGACCGCGAGTTTCTGTGAGGAGATGTGCAGTGCCGCTGCCTCGTCGAAGGACACGCAAACAACGAATTTGAGCACCTGTGCCCCCAAACGCAAGCGGAGCCTACTGCAACTGTCCGCGGGGAAGCAATCGCTTAAAGCGAAACTGCAAGGGTGCCCGAAGGCGCAGCCCTGCAACTGCAAGTGCGTGTGCCCGGAAACGGTGTATCAAACGGTCCCGCCGCCCGCGCTTTTTTTGCAGGAGGAAAAGGGAACAAACAGCGAGTTTTCGCCGATTCCGGTCGTGCCAAACTTTGACCCGCCGCCGCCACCGGATTGGCGCCAGCAGCCCTGTCCTGAGTTTGAGCCCTGCAACTGCTACTGCCACTGCAGGCGGCCGGTGGAGGAAGCGTGAGGATTTGGCGCTATTAGCAGCCAGAATTCTGGCGTCTTCTCCTTTTGTTTTACAACAAGGAAAATGGAAATTCATAAAAAGAGAAATTGATAAACTGTTTCGACGTCTATTTATTTGTTTCGAAGTTTTTGGTGCAGGAAAGGAAGATACGGGACGATTTGATGTAGCAAAGTGATTCCTTGCCGAAACTTTTTTCCGCCGGAGCCATGTGTCGGGGCTATGTATGTAACGAGACGCAGCATGACTGTCCGCAAAGGGCCTTCACACCGCACGAGACGTGTTGCGGGGCGGATATGTTGCCACCTGCCTCGTGCAGCGGAGCGGGTAGTCAGGCTGCTCTGGGCAGCAAAGCAGAAAACGCACCACAGTTGTAAGTACAGGAATCAACGCCCTGCAAGCCAACTCCGGAAGATCGATGCGTATTGGTTTTCTACGATCTAGTTAAGTGGTCTTCTACAAATATGTCTACGATGTGATCATAACCAAAAAGCAGGATGATGGCTGCACGTCTTTTACGGGATCGTTGACGTTTCGGCGCTGCAGTTACGCGTTTTCCGATTTGGATCATGATGTTAAGAAGCTCAATCTTGTTTTGCGAGAAAGCTCCGTCCTCAGTACGTCCGAGTCGTCTTGATTTTTACCTTTTTCCGCGGCCTCTCATCACGCCTGTGTGAACAAGAGTCTTTGACTTATCTATCAAGTCTCTAGACTAGCTGCGGAAACAAGAAGTCTTGCGACACTAGTCGTGAACGTCCTTTGTACAACGGGTGTTTTGCTGTCACTGCTATGCCCTGTGCTCTAGTCGGCCGATCTGTTTAGCAACCATGGCACTGCGGTTGTGCGACACGAGCGACGAGGAAGTAGACAGAAACGCGGCTACAGTTCTTTCAAATTTTTCCAACCCCGGTGTACGGACCGAAAAGCAATAAAGCACACAGCACTCTTTTCCTCCCGCCAATGGATCCGGGTACAACGAAACAGGAGAAGGCGGCCCGCCAGGCGGCCAGCAACCGGTCGGCCAAGAAAGACCCGCTGCGGCCCTACTACATCGCCAGCGGGGTGGTGGGCGGCAGCATCGTCCTCGCACTGCTAATGATGGTTGTCATGCCCGCAAAGAAACACGAGGATTTAGATGTGAACGACGAAAGCCTGATCTCCCACGTCAACAATAACAACGTCGAGTGGCGGGCGCGCAGGAACCCCAGTTTTGACGGCTACACCATGAGAGACATAAAACGCTGGGGAGCTGTTGGGGTAAATTAGTGGAGGTTGTGTGGCTTTCGCTTTTAGTTTTATTTTCAATGGCTGTCGTGTGTGTGTGACGGATTGTACTGACTCGCGACGCCGGCCCTGCTCCGGCACATCGTCGATTGCTTTGTTTATTGTGCGGGCGAGACAATATATAAATATTAGTTCTGTTTCTCAAAAATGTAAAACAGGTATCGCAGGGCGGGATGATGAATAGCCAGCAGTGCAACGTGGGGCAGATTCCCAACATGCCCGAAAACTTTGATGTGCGACGGCGATGGCCCAGCTGCTACCGGAGTCGCGAAGCTGTGACGCACACGCACCAGCCCAGTGAGTCCAGTAATCAAGTCTATTTTCAGGGAAACTGCTCCTCGAGTTACGCGATTTCAACTGCGTCAACGTTGTCAAACCGGTTTTGCATCTCAGACCCGCAGATGTACGGAAACTTGACCCTCTCGCCCCAATACCTGCTTTCCTGCGACTCGCAGTTGACTCGAGGCTGTCTGGGCGGCGAAATAGACAAGGTGTACTACTACCTGGAAGGGCACGGTACATAAAGCATTTCATTTAGTTTTCATCACAAAAATATGGACGTCTCGATTTATTTTTTCATTTCGATATATTTATGTGCTGCTGTCCGTCGGCTTCGGTTGGCGCGGCCGGTTCGATGGTCAATTCATGATATGACGGGAGGGCAGGAAGTAGCCAACTATACAGCAGCAGCAGCCAGTTGCTGATATTCAACAAAATCGTGGCGAGGGGTGACTGACGTTGATATCAATGATTTCAAGAACCTCCTTCAGGTCTCGTGCACGAGAGTTGCCGCGCGTACCAGGCGAAGGACGGTAGGAAGTTGCCTTGCAACACCGAGATGACTTGCTCGGACCTATGCCGTGCAAATATGTCTGGGTCTGGAAACACGTGGCGCTGATTCGTGCAACATCAGCAACATAGATACTTTCAAGTGCGTCCAAGCATGACAAGTTTCTTCGATGTTCTCTCATGCGCAGCGTGCATTACACACTGCGTTTCTGCATACACGATGCTCTTTTGGGTCGTGCAACACAGACTCTATGCAGTACAGCTTCAGCGTTTCCAGACCCAGTCACCTTTGCAGATGATAGGACCGGAGGCGGTACAAAAGTTCCAACACCTGCGTGATGCTGGACCGGGACCAGATGAAGGGGGAGATGCTTCTGAACGGCCCGATCGTCGGTCTCATGTACCTGTACGACGACTTTTTCGTGTACAAATCCGGTGTGTACAGCCCATCTCTGTAAGGACTGAAAAGAGGAGCTACAGAGGGCGTCTCTGGTGCATCAGTGCGGCTTACCAGAAAGACACTGCGTGTGGTATGCATCATGCGTTGTGCAGTTCTTGTATACGTCGCCTGGAGGGCATGGGCATGAGCAATTTGTTTATCTACACCGCTAGACTTTCTATGCGGGAGAATTTTTCAGATGCCGGCAATTATGAGTAAACGTCCACTGCCCAGGAGTTTGTCATGATATTCGTCCGAAAACACAAAAGTAAAAGACGCCGCGACCAAAGCACAGCCACGGCTGTTTTCCATCGTTAAACACTGATGCGGCTCTCTGTAGTACCGCTTTTACTGCACACTTTGACTGCGACTTGCATCATGGACAAGAAGGGGCAGGAGCCAATGCTGCATGCGGTGAAGATCATCGGGTGGGGCACGGAGTACGGGGACGACGAGCAGAACTACGGGCGTAAGTCCTCCTCCACGGTGGCCAAAGCGGGCGTTCCGTACTGGCTCATAGAAAACAGCTTCGGCGCCAGCTGGGGCGTGAACGGGGTCGGGAAGGTGAAAATGCAAACCATCACTCCCGGGCCGGAGTACAACCCCATGCTCAAACGGGACGTCGTGCTGCTGGAAAAGTATTGGAGCATCACTTCATGGTGATTGTCACGAAAACGAATCATAAACTTTTCGTGATCAGTGTGTCTCTCAGTGTTACGCTCCTTGTGCATCGATTCAGCGGAACCGAAAATCTTTCAAAAACCATTGCACAAAGAAAAAAAAGTTTCGATTTAAAACAGCTTCGTCCTATCCGCTACCCCCTACACGGCACGCATGGAGGAGATACACGCGCAACCAGAATTCGCGAAGAAGGGCGACGAAAGGTAGCGAAAATGGCTCGAGGACACGCCGCGCCTCGAAATTCCTGGGCACAGATAGGCAAAACCAAAGATATGGACTCGCTGGCTGACTCTGTGAAGAGACGCTTAGTTGACGCCATGCAAGATACTGGATCAAGGCGCCTTTGACTGTGCGCTGCTACAAAAAGAATGTATTCACTTTACAGCAGATCTTGGTGGCGATGCCGGCCCGTCACGGGGAGACGTGGGCTTGCGAGCTGCGCAACTGAGACGATGTTCCTAAGGTACTTGCATTCGGGCAGTGACGAGCCGTGAGAAAATAGGCACCCTACGTGAGCAAGCGTCTCTCTGGAACAGCGAGACGCGAGAGTGTGAGTGAGCGGCTATAAAACGTTCGATAAAGACAAGGGCGGGCCGCGCGATTTAGTGTTGAAAAGCCTCGAGCGATGCGCACACCTGCGCCCCGCTGCGTCGTGCGCAGAGCCGCCCGACAAGGCTGGCAGAGCGTTGCAGATCGCCGCGACGCGGCTAACCGGTCTGGCGCTCTGCTGCCCAGCGGAGTGCTTCAGCAACCTGCTCAGTTTCGCGAGTGGATTGCAAAGAAGTTGAAAAGTAAGCGGGGCCGCGCTCCGTCCGAATGGGACGGGCGCCAAGCCCGGCGCCCCCGGGAGTGCGCGCGGCTTGGCGGCCCTGCGCGGTCCAGCGCGCCCGGGCGGCGGGGGGCGGCTTTCGACTTTACTCGGCAGGAGCGCGCCGCAGGTTTCGAAAGCGCCCGCCGCGGGGTCTGCGGCTTACCTCAATGCCCTGCTCTTGGCCACGTGGGCGCCAATACTCTGCCGGGGGGAGAGGCAGGACTTGGCGAATCTCGCGGCGGAGCACGGCGCGGAACCTCTGCGCCCGGGCCTCGCCGGCCGAGCGGCAGCCAATAGGCCGCCGCACCGCAGCGACCGGCTGGGCTTTGCGAGTGGGCGCGCGTGGCTCTTGTGCGTGGCTCCTGTGCGCGCAGCTCTCGCGCGTAGCAATGCCGGCGCGTGGCTCTTGTGCGCGCCCGGCCACTGGATGGCGCACGGCAAGGCCGCAAGTAGGCCCTTCCACCAATGCGGCCGGGGCAGGAGGGGTCTCAAGCCTTCTCTCCCCGGATGCATGCACTCACGAAGAAAGGCCAGCTGGGGCTCGGACCGTTGCGCTGCCACTTTCTCTCGCGGATTGTGGTCGAGCTGATCTGACATCGCGGGAGTCTCGCGACACCCATGGCGCGATCGTTCATCCTGAGCGTCCTGCTACGGAGGTGACACTGATGGCCTTGAGAATGGTGGGGCTGGCCTGCGACGTCGGGCTATCGCCTCTATTAGGGGTTTTGTGCTACGCAATGCGCACTGCTCTGATCTTTGTGCGGTCCGAGGGGCGTATGCTGGATTCGTCAGCCATTCACGCGGCGACGCTGCCATCAGGGAGACGTCAGTACATATGGGCCCCCGCTCGTGGTTTGCCTGAAGCCGTGGCCTTGCGGCGGGAGCGGCCGGGGGCTGCCCCACTTGGCCGATGTCGCAGACCCTTGGCGGGCGGAGGTTGTGGAGCTTGGGACGGCAGGCGGGGGGCAACAGGGCGAAGGCCATGACTTGCGCCAGGAGGGCACTGGCCGGCGGGGAGATCCCGCGGGCCCCACTCTGGGGGTGCTACGAGTGGCGTTGTACAACAGCGGGCACTTGGGCTCCTGCTTGCCAAGTCCGCGCGTGAGTTTCTTACTGGCCTGCTCTTCCCAAGGGTATAGGGAGACTGACGCCCCGGAGGACCTCGAGAAAACCACGAAGCTCTTCCACAGTGTGAGAGCCAAGACGTTTGCTAATTATTCTGCCCAAGCCCTGGCGCGCCGGCCGCGCTTTTCCTAGGGAACTCGCCGACGACCGATCTCCGACGAGGCGGCGGCGATAACCACTCTGACAAAGGGCGCGCAACGCTTTGCGGCACTTCGTGCGGCGCCGGGGAAAATCGGCCCCGTCGGGCCGCGAGGCCGCCCGCGCGCGGGAGGGGCGCGGCGGGGCCAGACACGGGGGGCGGCGCCCCTCGCAGTTAAATGCTCGGGCAGAACGCCCGGGCGCTGCCGCGCAACCGCCCCGGCCCTAGCTTGATCGCTTCGGCCCCTCTCGTGTTTGCATTCGGCGCGGCCTGCTCTGCCAGACCGGGGCGAATTTCCGCGCCGCCATTTCCGCTTTGGAAAGTGTCTCGGCGTTTTGGTCGGCCCACCGTGTTTCTTCCGGCCGGCGAATAATTGCTAGTGAATTGGTGCGCGGACTTGGTGGAGACGACGAAGTGAGCTGGAGTTTGGTCCGGTTGGTGTTCCGATGAATGTGTATACTGCTTTCAAGTGATGAAACCGTCCTAACTTGATGATGCGGCCAACCCGCTTGAAGAGAGGCACGCAGCTGAGCGAGAAGAAAACGAGCCATACTGTCTGAGCGCTGCAGCCACACCAACGACAAAAAAAATGCACTTGAGGGAGATTCGGTAAGTGTCCAGATCACGTGGACCTCTTGGCTCCTGTTGAAGCTTCTGCTCCAATACTACGAATTCACTCACATAGACTAGATACGCGGCTCGACCTCGTCTGTATAGAAAAATCCTCTCAATCATGTAGACTCCCACAGACGCGCGCGCCAGAACACCCACGAATTCGATGGCGCGGTCGGGCACGTGGTTCTGGCGCGTGGTAGCGGCGCTAGCGGTCGTCGCGCGCGCCAAGCGCCGGCACGAGCGACGCGACGTTGTGTCCGACATCAAGGAAGAACTCGCAGGAACACCAGAACACGAAGAATTTCGTCCTGCAGTACCTGCGGCTCCCGCTTCTGACGTACAACACCAAGAGCAACTACATCCAAAACCACCCACAGCACCTCATCCTGGCACGGGAACAGCAGCTACCGGATTCTCTCTGCAGAAGCTCCTTAGCCCGCAGCGCCTGCTCCCCCAAAGTCGAAAAAATAAACCTTCCTTTCTTCAGCAGTTCGTGACCGCGGCGATCGGGGGCCCAGGCGCCGCGCAAAAAGTATCCAGCACCTCTGGAGCGGATGCGGACCAAGATTCGACTGTGGAGGAGGACAGTAGCTGGACGCTTTTGAACGAGAGGGACGTCTGCCGGTGTGACCAATGCAGCGTTCTGCAGCGGTTTCCGAGCGAGGTGTTCTCCAACGTGAACCTGAAGTGCGGGCCGACGGCAGGTTCGCCAACGGGCGGCCACGAGCCGGCGTTCTTTGCCCGGGGTGCCGCCGCGGCCGCGAACACCGGTCGTGCCAGCCTCGGCCCGAGCACCGGAGGAGGGTCGTCTTTTTCCTTCCTCGCGTCGGCGTTTTCCGGCGCCTCCACGGTTGCGCGCGACTCCTCGGAGTGCCGCAGCATGAGCTCGCGGACGGTACTGGAAACGCCGGTCGGGTCGTACGTCAACCTCCAGCGCCACTGCTTCTACGAGTGCCAACCCGCACAGGGATTCCGAGCCAGTCCGTTGAATTCAGCGGTACTGTTTATGAAGTGCTGTTTTGATCTTGCGAACGCGATGAAGTTATAGAAGTTGTTCTCTTCGTTTGACAAAAAGCTGCATGAGGAGCTCCACCACGTGCGAAAAGGATCAGGCTTGTTTATAAACTCAAATCTATTTTCTTTGCAGTGCGTCGCGCTGACGGAGACGGAAGTTGCGACGCTGCGCCCAGGTAAGGATCCGGCTTTTCTACTTGTCGACGCGGAGGAGAGGAAGCAGGAGCAGCAGAAGATGCTTCTTCTCGCATCTTCGTCCTCGTCGCGTAAGAAAATCGCGCCGGCCGATGTGGTGGCCAACGCCAAGAAGACGGCCGCGGAGACCGGGGGCGAGTCGGAGAACGCGTTGGCAGACTCGCATGCGACGGTGAAAAAGCACGAAGCAGGTGGGGGAGCCAACTTCGGCGAGAACGTGGCTGTCGCGTTTGCGCTACCCTGTGCAAAAGTATCGTACTCGTAGTAATTGCAGTCATGCATTACAAATCTTTTCCGTTAGGTAAATCCGCATTATGCTGAGAAAATTTGTAATGCATTTATACGAGTGCGATACTTTTGCAATTGATATGCGCAAATGGTCCACGAGGCGGAGGCTGCGGCCAACGAGGCCACAGAAGCCGCCGCGGAAACAACGAAGACCATGGACGCAATATGTGACGAGGTAGGAGATTTTGTTTTGTGTCTACAGGGGCACTGACGCTCGGTTTGGTCTGGTTGGATCTTTTTGATAGCCTCTCAATATGTTTTTCTGCAGGCAAATTCCACCTACGAACTCCAAGTGCGCTCGTTAGGTAAGTACTTACCGTCACTATGCATGAAGTTGTTGTCTCCTATGATTACGACTAGGCCCGCGCCGCCGCAGTTGGCAAAGGCAAAGCCCTGATCGCCAGTTTGTCGACGGAGGAGAAAGAAGCGGCAGCCAAAGCCGCTGCGTACAAGGCAAAACTGGCCAACACGCCGTCCGCAAAAGCAAAAGTGGCGATGGACAAAGCGGCCCAGCCCTTCTTCGACCAGATGACTGGGGCGCAGGCGCGGGCACGGGACTACTCAACCCTCGCAGACCAGAAGGCGGGCAAGGCCGTCGAGCTCGAGAAGGAAGCGCGGGATCTGGAGAAAGAGGCAAATCAATTGAATAAGGACGGAGACAGGTACTCATACAGGCTCGCGTGTTGTTTCGGCACTACGTGAATGCGCAGCTAGAACTAAGCCTACATCATGTTGGTAAAACTGCACAGCGCATGTTTGTAACTCGTGCTTCGGGATGAGAAAAGAATTCCCGGCACTACAACGTATTGCAAGAACATCGTGTAACTAAAGAATATACAATTTTCAGGGTCGGCGCGTCGCAGACCATTGCGGTGGCCACAGAGAAGTGGGAGGAGGGGCAGCGACTGGCGAAGAAGGCTGAGGAACTCCGGACGCAGGCCAGAGATATCAACGCTTTGGTACCGCAGTACCAGCACGCCGGCACGGTGGCCGGCGCGCTGGCGGCACAAGCCGCAAACCCAGCATTCGCGGCGCCGCCGCATATTCTGCCCCCGCCGCCACCAGACCCCATGGCCAGCTGGTCGGGCCCGGATCCGATGGCGCAATTTCATCGAAGTCCATGAAGCAGCTACGCATCGGCTTCGGTTCGCCCTTAAAATTACACCTGGACGTATCTACGGTTTTTTTTCCATTCCAGGACGTCCTCAACAAAACGGTATCAACGAAGATTATATGATCCGCACGCGACAGAAAAAAGCGCAAAAGTAGGCCGCCGTGAGGCCGCCGTGAGGACGAGGGGCCGTCCAGTGCCCTGCGTTCCTGGCGAAGATGCCGAATCATCTGCTCGGGGTGTTCGAGTGAAAGGCCCCTCTTTTTGGATGTCAGTTTGCTAAGAACCTGAGAGTCGAGTTCGCAAAAAGTGTCACATTTACTAGCAGAAATAGGTACGTGAACAACAATAAAGCGTAGCTGCGAACAAATTTTCTCGGCACCGTCGTGCCTGTGCGGTGCCAAACTGTTAGGATGATCCTGCTTTTCCTCACTGGTGCTTCTACTTAACACGTCGCGCCCGGGACATTTTTCACATGATTCGGATTTCCTTTTCCATATCGACAAAGCAGGTTCTTTTATTCCGATCGTTCACCTTGGTTTTCCTACTCGGATGTTTCAAAGCAAAGACAAAGAAGGCCAGAAGCTGCTTCCTGTGACGCAGATAAAATCCACCTAGTGCTGGAGAAAGCGGGCACCAGTATTCTTTTTTACAACCACCTCCTTCAACGTTATTACGACTTTCGTATATATCAAGATGTCAATAGCAGGCTCACGAACGGCGACACTTTTTGCGGCAAACAGGCTGGTTTGCACGCCTGTCTCCCCAGACACAGCCAAGTAGTTGCCAAGCGGTGATCGCACGGCGACAAACGCCGCGGAGAAGCACACGGGGAAAGCGTGGAGTTTTCGATAGCTTGCTTCGCGGTTACTTACACACGGACAGGCGCCGCGCGGCTGGGAGCTATAGTTCTTGAGAGAGCAACATCTTCAGGAAAGAGCGCTCTATGCCCGCGTCGGCGGTAGCGTCGCACTCAAGCATGCTGGGCACCAGTTCTTCGTCGTCCAGCGATGGCGTCCGCAAGGAGCTGCTGGACGTGTTGTCGGAAGTAAAAACGCGGGTGATGGACACCGTGGGCAGCGTCGATTTCCCCATGCCGCAATTTATCCTGATCGGGAAGCAAAGTGTCGGAAAATCAAGAATAATAGAAACGCTGGCGGTATGCAAGCAACTCTATAACTTTTTAAGTGTAGAAGTTTTGGCGCTAGGTCGCGAAAACAAATCTGCTTCCCTTGTCGGTTACATTGTTTGCCTTACCTGATAATGTACTGAGAATGTAACCAGTGATCATGAATGTATGAATGCTCCTCAACTTACTTCCCACGTGGTTTCAGGGCGAGACCTTCAATTTTGTCTCCGGGACGCTCGGTTCGCGGCGTCCGACGGTGCTCGAGTTTCGCAATGTGCCCCATTCCAAGCAAAGCAAGTGGAGCGTGCTGGACAAACAAAGCAACCGGTGGCAGGAGCACCCGGTGTCCCGCGTCATGGAGCTGCTGGGCGAGGCACACGAATCGCTGGGGGCCAGTATCAGCGACCAGCCGGTGAATGTCAAGCTCGAGTCCCCCAGCTGCGTGGACATGCAAATCGTGGACCTGCCCGGGTTCCGCGAGTTCGCGCTGGACGAAGAAAAGCAGCGGCTCGCGGACGCGATCGAGCGCCTGTATTACAATGAAAAATGCCCCCACCCCCGAACTTGGGAGCATTTGTATTGCGAACCTTTCCAGAGGAAGCATTCGCCCTCTTGCATCTATCAGCATCACAGACTTCCAATCGTGAATGGCAAAAATTTGTATTGCAAAAGATCCCAGCAAGAGCGGCGCTTGTCATGCAAGCGATGCGATATACGCCTAGACCCTGCATCAGAAAGATTATACCCCTTCCATGCATGGCAAAAACTTTTCATTTGGAAACTTCGCATCAGAAATTTTTGCAACTGTGGGGGCGGTGGGGGCATTTTTCACTGTAATAGCCTGGTCACCCGGTTCATGGAGGACAAGCGGAACGTGATGCTGTGCGTCGAGCAGGCGGGCGACGCGGCAAATTTGGGAACCTTGAACAAGTGCAAAAAAATCGACCCAAACTTCGACCGCACGATCCTGATACGGAACAAGCTGGACAAGTAAGTAATACTAAAAATATCCGCTGGGCGGGTCTGTAGTTGTAGTGGTGTTGCTTCATCTATTTCAACATCGAATCCTTCTTCATCACAATAAACATTGAAGCTTCATGCTGACGTTGTTGAATTTGTCGTCCTCGCCTTGAATTCTTCGTCTACAGCGACGGCGGAGCTGTACGGGCGGGTCTTGTAAATTAAGTACTCCTGGTGCCCCCACAACAGGTTCTACCGCGACCTGACCCCGGAGAACGTCAACGACTGGCTGGAGGGTTTTGGCGACCTGCCAAAAAACCTGGAAAAGTTTGCCCTCACCTGTCCGCACTGGCAGGAGGGCCTGGACCAGCCGCCAGAAGGCTTTTCCACCCTGCGCGCGAAGATGAACGACTATCCCAGAGGAAAAAGGCTATCATAGCATAACAACGTTTTATTGCAAAAATATATAAACACTTACGGATTTTTTTTTGCACCCCGTTGATCCCGAACAGCACAGCAGGGACCGCCCAGAAGAAGTTTTGCTCGGTTTTTCTTGTCTTTGCATAAGATTATAAATAGAAATGCCACACGATGTTAGGTTTTTTCTCTGGGATGAAAAGAAGGATGTGCAGATAATAAACGACCTCGGGGTCGGGGACCGGCTGAAGGAGACGGTCGGCTACGCACAGTTCGCGAAAGCGATGGAAAACCGCATTGAGGAGATGTTTGCGGACGCGATCGGCCCCGTTTTGAAGAAGCTGCGGGAAATATCCTGCGTAAAAACGTCCCCACACCAGAGTCAGGATGGGGATTTTGCAACACAAGCCTAGGAGTTTTGTGAGTCACGCATGACAAGTTGCACTCCGCAGTGTAGTGCAGGTTAGCAAGTGCAGCCGCATCACATGTTCATCTGCTCATCCTGTTCACAGCGTCACAAATTCCAAAACACGATTGGCAATGGCTCTCATGGGGATGCGCATTACAAGTCTTTCTGTCTTTGCAAATCTGCATTACAGCTCTGGCGTGGGGACGTTTTTACCCAGGATAGGAAATGAAGGACAGCATACAGGAGAAGAAATCTAACATGGAAGAGGAAATCTCGCACACCAACCCCAGCCAAATCTTGAACAGCGTGCGCGAGGCGGGGATGAGCTTCGGCCACGCGTTGAACCACGTGATGGAAGGGTATGTGCGGAGCGACATGGGCCGAATAACCTTGGAGGAGGAGCTGCGGCAGTTCCACGCAAGCTACAACAGGAACGGAGGTAAGACAGTAGGAGCGCTGTTGAAAAAAAATTTGTCGCGGTCGTATGTGTTGGTCCACCTTAGTTTGATGCCTTGACTCGTCTCAGGATCATCTCAGCTGGCATTTGTAAAGAACGAGCCGCTTCTAACTTCGTGGCAGAGGACCCCACGAATTTAATACAATCGACATGTAGTCAAGAAACCACAACATCATTTTTATCAGCTGACAAGGACTTCGCGCTGCTTCCCTCCGAAGACTTTCAGAACATAGACGACTACATCACGTGTTTGCGCGAAGAGCTAAAAGTTCCCGCTATGGACGTGGAGATCAACGGCGGGGCGCAGTTTCGACGCCTCATGTTCGAGGTCGAAGTTTTCTGCAGGTAGAGCGAGATTACTGTTGTTCGGGCCTACTTCTTGTCCCCGCGGGACAGATTTTTAATGAAAACGACCCAGAACAATTGACTGGAGGTGCAAATACAACTATTGTTCTGGCCAGGAAGAAGTAGAAGCAAATAAGACAATAAAATACGGTTTTTTGTTCATCGGGAGCGATGTCACTTCGTATTCACCGAGCACCATCGAAAGAATCAAAAACAAATTTAGGTTTGCGGAGATTTGCGTGGAAACCAAAAAGAAGGACGTAATCCAGGCCCGGGGTGTGGCCATGCAGTCCCTGACGTGGCGGGATGTAGTGGTCAAGCTGCTCTCCATATCCAGGAAAAAAAGTGTGTAAGTGTAACTTTCTTTGAGAAACAGCATCACAAATTTGCTCTACATGACAGATAAAACCTGTCACGCATGGCTTGTAAGGGAAAACACACATGAAGAGAGGACTTCATGGCTGTCTGGCATGACAGGTGTAATTCTGTTGCATGTTCTGCATTACACGCAGTTTTTTTCTTGCACACTCCAACGAAGCCCACCTGCCCATGAAGAAGCGGGTGCGGTACGTGGGGGAGCGAATCAAGTGGTTTTTCCAAACGCAGAAGGACGTCATCGTAGACTTCATGAAAAGCTTGAAAGGCAGCGCGGACGAGCACATGTATAGTTTTTTGTTCGTTGTGGAAAGATTCGAATTTTACCGTGTGTTGTTCCGCGCCTTTGATGCGATGTTTCTTTTTGCGTGACGAGTTTGTACTGCACTATCATGAGGCGATAGAAGTAGGAAAGAGCGGGTACTAATAAAATTTTCACCTCCACGATCGCTACTCTCAGGTACTCAACGCTGTACTCGAAAACGGTCGCCATCATCGAAAACAATGAGATGGTGAAGAACCTGGTTTACGAGACCTTCGACCGGGCGGTGGAGCGGCAATTGTCGCAGTTCATCGAGCTCTTCGACAACACACTGGCTTCGACCTTCAGCAACCCCTGGGTTTTCCTGAAGCGGGCGTCGACCCAGTTGGACGAAGGGTCCCTGGAGGACGTCTGTCTACCCAGCTTCGAGGACACCAAGGAAAGAATACCGTCGGAAATAGAGTCCCGTAGCGGAATCGATACTATTCTGCAGAAGTGGCTCGCGAGTACTTAGAATATAAGTCAATGATTTGTTCAAAAGATAAAGATTGTAGAGGTTTTTACAAATTTCTTCTCCCTGGGTGCAGTTTGTACAAGCATGCGAAAAAGATAAACACGATCTTGCTCCTCCACCCAGAGCCAGAGCAAGAACCGGGAACAACACGTACATGACCGTAATCCGACATCAGCAAACGATTACTGTGTCTGTTCGTACATGTTTTAACAAGGTATTCCGCAAGAGCCGTCGATGATTGACGATGCAGTGGACAAGGCCCAGATGCTGCTGCTGAAGACGTTCCAATTCATCCGCGCCCAGGTGGCGGACCAGATCGAGCTCTTCGCGGAGAGTTTCTTCAAACTCCCCATGATGAGGCGTTTGGAGGAGGACATGGCCTCCATCGAGCTTTCCGATATGGACCGCGAGGGGCATATGAATGTGTCAGGATCGAAATCGACAAAATCGAAAAATTTGTGATGCATAAAATGTAGGGCACTGGAGGCCTGTATTGGGGAGCAGGCAAATGAGGCCGATTGTAAGCCTGTTTAGGGGTGTGCAATGTGCTGCCAGAGTAGCATGACAGGAGCAGCCTTCTTTGCCCAAACAGCATGACAGACCGGATTTGAGTGCTCCCGAAATTTGTCATGCGCCACTTACAAACTGAGGCGCCAACTGGTATCGATTTTATGCATCGCAAGTTTTTCGATTTTGTCAATTTAGATTCTGGCCCTTCCATAGGGCACGCCGCGCGGCTGGAAGCGCTGCAGCTGGAGTTCGACACGGTGTGCCAGGAGTTCGACGCGGTGGGCGACAGTATCGAAAAGCTGCAGACTATGGAACTGTCAGGATTGAAATCGTCAAAGTTGGAATAGTTTGTCATGCATAAAATGCAACGCAGAAAATGCCTGTCTTGCAGAGTAGGCAAGGAAGGCAGATTGTAAGCCTGTTTCGGGGTAGAAATAGAGCTGCTCAAGTAGCATGACAAAAGGCGTCTTCCTTACCCAAACAGCATTACAAACTGGATTGCGACTCTACTCAAATTTGTCATGCGTCGCTGAGAAGTTGGGCTTGCAACTGGTAACGATTTTATGCATTAACTTTGTCGATTTCAACTCTGACACATCCATACAGACCTTCGCGCTGAAGGCACAGTCCAAGCTGCGGTCCAGGAAAAGGTGAAGATAAAAGGAGCACTTCGTCGGGACGGAGTAGTCACGTGCGGTGCTGGGAAGATGACCGAGGTTGCTCTTGCTTCGTCCATCTATTGGAAAGTGAAAACTTGCCGATGCCCCCACCGCGGGTTTTGTTCAAGATGCTCTTGCAAGGAAACTGCAAAAGAAAGTCGCGGATTGATCGACATCGCGAAGGAGCATCGCAAAATCAAGATGTTGTTGCCCGTAAGATTAAGAAGATAAGCATCAAACAAATCTGAGTATCGCAGCAGGGCGTGCGGAGACCTGCGACAGCCATGGCTGAAGAACAAGTATAAACTCTCAAACAATTGCGAAAAAAAGAGCGCATGTATTGAAATCTGCGAACCGAGAAGGTCATGACATGCTCGCCACACTGTGGAAAAAAAGCCTCCCTGTGCCATCTGTTCTCGAGCTTCTTGATCGGACCAAAATTATGGATGAAGTTCGTTGAAAGAAAATGTTCCAAATGCAGGAAAGCAGAAAGGCGCCATCGAGCGCTTCACTTCGTTAACCACTCAGATCAAAATGCCAAATTGACACTCTTTGTGATGCCGGGCGAAAAATGAACGGACGAACCGAGATCAGTTTTTCTTGTGCAAATTGGTTCTTTTCTATTTTGCTGCATGTTTCACTTTCACTCTTTTTGTCGTTCGCCACAGGACACTAAGAAGGAGTATTGAGCAGAGGGCCTACTCAGCTAGAAGAAGCATTAGGACAGGAAAACTTTCCAGCGCCGACCTTCGTTCCGATCTTGATAGATTTATTTACACCAAATTTATTTCGCCATCACCTAGTAGAGCCATTTTTACAGGGACAACTACCTTCTTTGTTTTCTTTTCCCTATAAGCAACGCACCACGAGCGGCGTTTCAAGACTCCCGAGTTGTAAGGCATCCCCACCGACCAGCCTGCTGCTCGACCGCGAGCCGCAGCGAAACAGTCGGCGCATAAGTAGTACCTTTCTACAACTAGCGTGGCGCAACTGCTGCAAAGCCAGGGACCGCTCAATCAGGGAGCTGACGGCCTTCGCGACACGACGGGAAAATGGGCGACAGAAGGCCACGCGGCCGGGGCAGAGAGCATGATGACGACAGGTATTTAATGATGATTCTGGTTGGCACAGAAGCAAAAGTGGCACAGACAACTTGTCAAGTTGCGGTTGCAATGAAAAAGAGTCCCTGTAGTTCTTCTAAGTAGTCGAGTAGTACCTCCAATTTCAAAAAAAACAAGGTATACCGGCGAGTCAGGAAAATTTGAAAGACTCCACGATGACGACGATGACGCGTGCAAATCAATAGAAGGCTGGGTCATCGTGATCAGTGGCATCCACGAGGAGACACAGGAGGAAGACCTGTACGAAAGGTTCTCCGACTTTGGCAGCATCAAAAACATTCACCTAAACCTCGACCGAAAAACGGGGTATGTGAAAGGTATTGTAACTAGAATATATTACTTTTTTGATGCAGGTTTTTGATTGTATGTGTGCATCAGCATCTACAGCTGCCCGAAACGGCGAGAAGAGTTGTCCTTCTCTACTAGCATATTACGTTGACAAACTACTCACTCCCAGGCTACTGCTTTCTCGAGTACCAGGAGAAAGAAGAGGCTATGGAAGCTATCAAAAATGCGCACGGCGACAAGCTCCTCGGCGCCACCATGACCGTCAGCTGGGCCTTCCAGAAGAAAGACACTGGTGACAAACCAAGGAAAAAAGCAAGGCGACACTAAACTACAGATTTGCAGTTCTTGGACACACGACCGGCAGATGCTGCACTGAGACTGATGTGGCAGGAGCTGTGTGTAGAAGTGATACAGTAAAAAAAGCCAAAGCGAAATTTGAGCAAGAGCAAACAAAAGCGTCTTCGGGACGTTTTGCTAGCGTTGATGGCGCTGTTCTTCTTCTAACATAATTTGCCGTGTGCGGTTTCTCTCAATTATGCTTCTTTTGCGTCCTTCCAAGATTGAAGTGTTGTTTTGAAAATTTTTCTCTTTCCAGCACCTGCTGTCACTTGCGCGCGCCTGGGTTTAATAAAGGAGCGAGCACACTACAACGTCAGTTTTCTTACGCACAGGTGCTCGTCTGTTTTGGACTTCGATTCGTCTTTCGTAGAATTCCAACTGAATATTGTGAAAAAAGATTGGACCTTCCTCGCTGCTCGCGGCAAAATAATGCGAGTCGTTCTCTGTATCGGCGACTCCCACACCCGCGGTGTCATCGGCGGGAGTTACGTTTCCGAGTTGCAGACCTTGGTAGAAACAAGTTGTCCCTCCTCCTCCACCTCCGCTTCCCAGAAGGAAATCAAGCTCGTTCGCAGGGGCGTCGATGGGCAGACGGTGAGCAGTGTCCGGCAGCGCATCCAGGGGGCGGTGACGGAAAACCGTCCGGAAGTCGTCATTCTGCTTGCCGGGACGAATGATTGCCTGGCAAGGTTGTCTTTCGAAAAGAACAACCAGCCCCTGCTGTCGCATCTGATGAAGGTCAACCATTCCACCCTGTTATCCAGCACAACTGCGGTCGGGTTCGTGGAAGAATACAGGCAGTGTTTGGAGCAGTGCCTCGCGGCCGGGGATCATGTTCCTGCAGCTGTAGGACAAGAATCTACTTTTTTATCCGGACGAGAAACAAATCACGACGATGAAGTTGATGCAAGACGACAAAGGGCTCCTGATCCTGAAAACAGCGAAAGCAGCAAACCCCCTTCATCGTTTTTGAAAGAAATCGTCTGCGTCGGCCTGCCGCCTCTGGGGGAGGACCCGGAGTCCTACAGCAACGCCGTGGTTTCGGAGTACAACAGGGCCATCCAACGGGCTGTGTTTGCGGTGGAAGCCGGTCGGAAGAACAAGACGGTGAAGATCAGTTTTCTGCCGGTGCAGGAACTGCTTCTGGAAAAAGAGCATGCTGAAACACTAGAGGGACGAGGCTCTACTCCTGCGCCAAATGTACAACCAGATGAGCAAAGAGAGGCCCCCGCGTCTACTTCACGGCATCAGTCACCAAGTAGTGGGAGCACTGGTTGTACCAACAGGACATTGCTGCAGGAGGAGCAGGCAGCGGGTCAGGCGGAGGAGAAGGACAAAAACGCAGGGAAAAACACGACACACTCGGGCGGAGACGGCGTGGCAGAATCTTTTTGTTCATCATCCTGGTTACTACATAATTTGAAGAAGTGCTGCCGCAGCTCCCTGTTTTTCTCCTTCGGCTTTCCCCTACAGCGACAGTCCAGTCCCGCATACGATCCGTTGAAAAAGCAGACTCTACTGGTCCTGGACATGGTCATCGGGAACCTTTTGTGCTACGCGGATCGGCTGTTTTCTTCAAAGTTTATGCTCACGCGCCTGCGCTGTCCCCCGAATTTTTTCACGTACCGCTGGTGCGGGTGCCGCTTTCTCTGTGACCGCATCCACTTCAACAACGTCGGGGCAGCGATGCTGGCCGAGAAATTGCACGAAAAACTGTGATGCATGAAGTGCTTTGCTGAGTTGTCCTCTGTTTATTAAAGGAGTTGCTTTTATTTCGTGGCTCTGTCCAAAAAATCGTGTCGCTGCGGTTCCGCAAGCGGAGGGGACGTGTTTCTCGCTTCTCAAATATCCACCTTCTGTTCCACAGAAATCTGAAATAAGGAACGGCAGTTCCGACAAGAATCCCCAGCAACAAGAATCGGATCATTATGAACGAATGTAGCAGAGCTGGACCTACAAATAAAGGTTCGATCATGAAATTCAAATTCATCCGAAGTTCACCACCGCGTCGTGAATTGTGTGTTTACTTCACACAGAAATTCTAGTTTCCCTTCCGATTGTGATTGTGTAGAACGCCGAGGAAATAATAAATTATACTGGTCGCAATTCCAAATCCAATTTCCACTTCTCAGGCTACCAGATGGTTACGGCATCAATGAAATACATACTGAGTAGAAATAAAATAGTTACAGTAGCAGACAGTTCTTTCAATAGTTCTTGTTGATTTTCGACGATTCCAGCACGTCTTTCACGCGACGCCGTTGTTTAGACTCTTACGCGTAAAAATCACCTCGGCGACATCAACTAACTCGCTTCAACATCGACCATGGGAGAGGGAAAGAGTTCTTCGGGTGGCGCGCACAAGCTCGGCGATGCCGGCGCGCGCGACATCCGGGCAGCGAACATTTTGGCGGCCACCGCAGTGGCAGACACGGTCAGAACCAGTCTCGGACCAAGAGGCATGGACAAAATGATCGAAGACCCGCGCGGCGAGGTCATGATCACAAACGACGGAGCAACCATTCTGAAAGAGCTGTATAGCGGTTGTTTTTTTGCTGCGGCATTCATTTCAGCGATAAGAAGAATGGCGTTAATATCTGGGAGCACGAGAGTTCTTGGAAGTTGATTTGCAATGAAAATATGGCCGCACTACAAACAATGAATGAGATGAGCTGCTGCAAAATATTGCCATATGACACTCCACAACAGGCGCGTTTCCCATCCCTGCGCAAAAATGCTGGTGGACCTGTCACACTCCCAGGATATTGAAGCCGGCGACGGCACGACCTCCGTTGTTGTCACAGCGGGGTCTCTGCTGCAGCAGGCCGAGCAGCTGCTCGGGAAGGGTATTATTGGCTGCTTGTTGACTACACAGTGAGGTTTGGAAAAAAGAACACTCAGTTTGCGAAAAGTTTGCATCCAATGCGCGAACAGTATTTGCGTTCCCCGTCGATAATGCCCTCCCTCAACCGCCGGTGGTGCGCAGCGTCGTGCAGATTATGACGGAAGAAAAGATTATTCACTTTTATCCAGGTATCCACCCGCAGACCATCACAGAGGCTTTTCTGAAGGCCGAGGACAAAGCGGAAGAGATTCTTGGCGAGATGAGCATACCAGTGACGCTGAAGGATCGCGACGCTTTGATCCGTAACGCCTCGACCTCTCTGAACTCGAAGGTCGTTGCTCAGTCTGCCGGCACTCTCGCTCCGATCGCGGTGGACGCGGTACTTGATAGCACTTAGTGGTTTATTGTCTTTTCCATAAAATTTCTTCGGGAATGAGAATGACACGAGGGATTGTGATGTTCTGTGGCGCCTGATTTGAACAAGCATACTTTATTTTTCATGCTTCTGGTAGTACCTCTACCTGCACCAAGACGTCGACTTGCCACCTTTATCTTTGCAAAATACAGGTCCTGAAATTGGTCGGCGACGACGACAGGACGGACAATGTCGATTTGAATGATGTGCGGATAGCCCAGAAAATCGGCGGCACTATGGACGACACGGAATTGGTGGACGGGCTGGTTCTAACTCAGCAAGTCGTCCGCAACGCCGGCGGCCCAACCCGGGTCAAGGACGCGAAAATTGGTATAATTTGCTCTTTCTGCCATGCATATACTTGCATTGCATTCATCCTTGGGATGTTCTTGCCGTGGAAAGTTGTGACAACGATGTAATGAATTAGACGATCATGTTCAACACGAATATAAACTCATCAGGTTTAATCCAGTTCTGCCTGTCCCCGCCAAAAACGGATATGGAAAGCAACGTCACTGTTAAGGACTACAACCAGATGGACCGCATCTTGCGCGAGGAACGAATGCACATCGCGAAAATGGTATTCAATCTGAGTTTCTGCTTTCGATGTTTTCTTGCAGAGCAAACCGCATCTAGTACTTTACTTATTTTCTTTTGACTTTGCTGCCGCGATGAACCAACACCTTGACGACTTCGGCGCGAAAATGTTTTTCCAGGTGAAGAAGATCGCTCAGACCGGATGCAACGTCTTGCTGATCCAGAAGTCGATCCTTCGCGACGCTGTCACGGATTTGAGTCTGGACTTCTGCGCGAAAATGAAAATTATGGTCGTCCGCGACGTGGAACGGGAGGACATCGACTTTATCTCGCGCATACTCGGCTGCGAGCCGGTGGCCGACCTGGAAAATTTCACGAAGGACAAACTCGGAGAGGCGGGCTTGGTGTACGACGACAATTTAGGTACAACTGCATTGACTGTGCTTTTTGTGAAAAAATTTTACATCACGTTTCTGGTGTTTAATTTTTACGCTGCATTCATTTGAGGAACAAGACATGTTTGCTTCCCTCCAAGAAGCAGATGAGTTGTAAACGACCCAATCAACGGACGGCACAAAAAACTTATGATCCCAGGTACATCGGGCGCCATGGGGGTGACAAGGTTTTGCGAACTGAAAGCGGCAGAGAAGAAGTGCGTGAGCATCCTGGTGCGGGGCTCAAATCAGATGCTGCTCGCGGAAACCGAGCGAAGTCTCCATGATGCCCTGTGCGTGGTCCGATCTCTGGTGAAGAAGAAGGCACTGATTCCGGGCGGTGCCGCGCCGGAAATGGAAATGAGTACGAAGCTGAAAAAATGGGCCAGGACGGTAAGGAACTTTTATTGGGAATAAACCTCAAGATAATTCTTGAAAAGAGCACTCACCGCTCGAAAGGTTCTTTCTCATGCTTAGTATTTTCGACAGGCACAATTAATTATGTCTCGAACGAAACACTTGCACTACCACTATCAGATCGGCGGCGTCGAGGCGATTTGCGTGGAGTATTTCGCGGAGGCCCTGGAGCGAATCCCCTATACCCTCGCGGAAAACGCCGGGTTGAACCCCATCGACATTGTGACGAAGCTCCGCACCGCCCACGTGGACGGCCAGAAGTACGCGGGCATCAACGTGAAAAAGGCGTGCATCAGCGACATGCTGGCCGAGAACGTGGTCCAGCCCCTCCTCGTCTCCGTCAGCATCATCAAAATGGCGACGGAAACCGTGCGACTCATCCTCAAAATCGACGACATCGTCATGACCAGGTAAGGACGTATGGGATGGTGCAGGTGGTGTGATGGAGTAAGGTGGACCAGGTAACAGCGGGGTGATGGAGTAACGCAGTCTCGTCCTGAGAGTGACTTGATCTGCCGCACGAAGCATACATGCTGATTGCGTTGCTGTGTGAAATGAAACCAAAAGCGACCCTGGCATGATGATTGGATGGTCTCGATTCAGCTTTACACGACATCTACATTGCTTCACCCCAAATCGTGACCAACACATTTTTTTAGGTGTTTATCAGTTCTTGAATGAAATTTCTACATATTTCTGGAGCAGTCTTGCTGGGCGAATAATTTGAATGCCGAACAACATCGTTTTTTTGCAGATGCTGCATCGATCTCTCGTGTTCGTGCTACACCATGAAGTGATCCACACACACCGATCAATCTAGCTGCTTCATCAAGTCAGGAGGTGCCTCTGTTGCGTGTCCGGCCTGACACCATTCACGTGGTACTTAATGCAAGCAGAGACCTTTTGGCGGATGGATGCACACCGTCTCAACACCTCCTTGTGGACGGATTTATGGCCATGCACGGAGGGGCGCGCGAGCGTCATTGTTTTTCTTTTCATTGTAATGTGCTAGCGCCCATTCTCCTTGTCACTCTTCATTGGTTTGTCTTGAGAACGATCTCTGACCATGTGCGTGACCGTAAAGAAGATCTATTGATTCGCATCCCCGTCCGGCACTATGAAGATTTACTGCTGGCGGGAACGCTTTGATTGACGACGGTTGTAACACCGACTGCCAGCATCAGATAAGAAATCGCCGCGTGCGCTCTCGTTCCAGTCTTTTGCTTATTGTAACGCTGCACGAACTCGGTCCTCGGTGAAACGTCCTTCACCGGCACGTTTACTTCGAACACACGAGCTTCTGACAATGCCACACCTTTGCAAGCAAGGACTTCTTGCGACGCGCGGGCCTGTTGTATGGAGCTCGAGGATATCGAGCCGAAGTAATGTCACACTATCTTGTGCTGCAACATGAATTCGTCGATACAAACTCAAGAGTAAATTAATAGATTACCACTTCCCCCAGATATACCTGTCAGGAACTGGTAATACATTGCTTATTTCTCTAATATTTGCATTTGATGCATTACTTCAGGTAGAGCATCCCAATCCTTAGCAATACCTAGCAACATGGCTGTTTAGTGCTTTGATTGCGGCTGTTTTTTTAGTTTTACTATAGGCTAACTTGGTTCGCTCTGCCGTAGTTCTCTGGATGTTGGTTTTCCTTCAATCCTTGAACCCGGTAGGGTAAATCTCATCTAAAAAAAATGCGCTTCGTCGTGGTTCTCTCGATGTTGGTCTTCCTCCAATCCCTGAACCCGAATTAATGTTAATGACGACATCGTCATGACCAGGTAAGGAAGGATGGGATGGTGCAGGTGGTCGAGTCCGAAGTAAAGGTATAGCTGGATCGATCTGGTTATCCTGAGTAAAAACGTACCCACACCAGAGTCAGGTTGGGGATTTTGCAACACAATCCTAGGAGTTTTGTGAGTCATGCATGACAAGTTGCACTTTGCAGTGTAGTGCAGGTTAGCAAGTGCAGCCGCATCACAGATTCGTCTGCTCATCCTGTTCACAGCATCACAAATTCCAAAACACGATTGGTAATGGCTCTCATGGGGATGCGCATTACAAGTCTTCCTCTCTTTGCAAATCTGCATTACAACTCTGGTGTGGTTACGTTTTTACTCAGGATACTGGTGTTCACAATGCGTACATACGGATCGCGCGTGTGTGAAACAAGGGCAAAAACTCAAACCGTCGACGACCCTGGCATGACGATTGGATTTTTTCGACTCAATTCTATACGACATCGACGTTGCTTCATCCCAAAGCGTGACCACAATTTTTTCAGGTGTCAATCAGTTCTTAAATGAAATTTTTCTGCCAGAAGGGTCCGTTTGGGACATACTCAGCCCGAAGGCGCACATGCCGAGTTGGCGTTCTGTTCTGTCGAAACGAAAGCAGTTCTAAAAGTATCTCTTGAAGAACAAGACGAAGTATGTTTCGGTGGATCGCTGGGAAACGATTAAATGCCAACGATCTCCTGGAACCAGCGAATGATCACACTTAGAAAATAAAATGTGAGTAAATATATCGCACCGAATTTCTTTCAGTCCGTGACTCTGCAGCTCATGATGCTTGTGGAGTGGAATTACTTTTTATAAACAGCTGGCTTCGTGCGCAATGTCTTCAATCTCCTCGTCTTCTCTCATCGTGGCTGTCGTAAAGTTCGTACGCAGAATTCTTCGTGCAGCAGTGGTGTCTTCACATGATCGAACCTCCTCTTATCGTTTGTGTCGTCATTGTCATTTTTGAAGAATGCGCGCAGTCGTGCTTATGTCCGTTATTTGTATTTGTAGTTTGGGTCGGCAAGCAAAAGCAAAAGCCTGGACGCGACACATTGTTTGTTGCCTTGCATGGACCTAGGCATGCTATTTTGGACTTTGTTTTTAGTTGACTAAAGTACTTTACAAAGAAGAAGTTCCCAGGTACACCATTGTGCATCCCAACATTCCGGTATAATTTCCCCGCAGACAATAAAACCAATCCACCACACCAGTATCATCTACCAATTCGGAAAAGAAAAGGTCGCAAAAATCATGACGGTCGAAAGCCGGGAGAAAGTTACCCCGGCCCGCCCGCGGTTAGGTGCTTCGACGCCGGAAGATAAGCCCACCGCCGCAACCACCGACTGGACCGCCGGCTGCTGGACCGCGCGGGTCCTTGAGAAGCCCGAAGTCCCCGTCCAGGAGACGAAGCAGAAGCAGTCCAACATCACCCGCAACAAGAACGACTACTACTGGATCCTGGGGTTCTACCTGCTGTTTTTCGTCCTCTCTCGGCTCCAGTGGCCCACGCACCTGAAAACCACCGTGCGCGATCGGGAGTACCTGATCGAGGAGATGAACAGCCTGTCCGTGTTCGGTCCGTTACCGGACCCGCGAAACGGGGACTGGAACCAGCTCTGGTTCCTCTATTTCCTGCAGACCGCGCTCGCGATCCCGGTCGTCGTTGCGTGCACCTGGGTGGTGATGTTCGGGTACGACCGCGTCTGCGGATGTCGTGCCACTCGCGGGTCCACTACCACCGGTCCGACGCTCTTGTTCCAGCTGAAAACCATCGCGGTCAACTGCTGCCTGTTCCTGCCCCTGGCCGACACCCTCGCGGTGTACCTGGTGCACAAGGGCGCGTTCAAGACCTTTGTCCAGGACTGTCCGCACACCTATCAAAAGGAAAAATCCCCCCTCCCCATATCGAAAACGAAATTTGTGTTGCTGTATTTGTGTAAGAACTGCACGCAGATCGTAAGCCTAAGGAGGGGGGGGCTCTTGGTGTAGGGGCCTAGCATGGCAGGCGTCTGCCCTATAGGCCTTGCAGCATTACAAAGCGCCTGCATACCCTGGCGGAGTCTCTGAGTTTGCCCTCTTGCAAGAGAGACAGGATTTGTGGCCACAAATCAGCATCGCAAATCTTTAGAAACATAGACACTTCTTCAGTATGGGGAGGGGGGATTTTTCGTCTCAATAACACCGCGATGGACTTCTTCGGGGTTTTCTCTTTGAACCCGACGGACCACTTTTACGTCTACCACCTCCGGGACGCGCTGCTCTGGGCCCTGGGGTTCGAGCTGTGCTGGTACTTCCAGCACCGGGGGATGCACGACAACAAGTTCCTGTGGAAGTTCGGCCACGAGTATCACCACCAGTGGCGCAAGCCCGAGCACATGATGGGCGTCACCAACTTCGCGTTCGACCATGTGGTGGAGGTTTGGGTTACCATGAGCAGCAGTTTCATTGTACCACACAGAGAAAAAGCTGGCGTATCAGAGGACTTGTTGTATATGTGTGGAATACCATGAATAGAAGACAGGGCAGATGTTCCTTCGTCGATAGCATGTTGTTTGAGCTCATTTGCAATATACTTTTATACGAATTTTTGGCTTATAGTTGTTTTTGCATGTTGTAGTTGACAGCGCATCTGCTATGCTAGCTTTTTTCTCTGGGATACATCCCGATGCTGTTCTTTCCCATCCATCTGTGGACCATGCGGATCGTGGGTTTTTTCTACATGATCCTCGCGGTGCTGGCCCACTGGGACGGGTTTGCCATGCGGTACCACCTGAACCACCACTACTTGGTGGTGAAAAACTACGGTAGCCACGTGCCGATCTTCGACATGTTCTTCGGTACCTACCAGCCAAACTCGTTTTTTCCGACCTGCGAAAAGCACTGGTATCCGGGGTTCAAACCGGAAGGTCGAACGGGTATCAAATGTTGCAAAAATGTCTGGGTCTGGAAAGTCGCAACTTGTCATGCCGTCTTCGGATTCGAAAAAAATTTGTGTTGCATGACCAGCAAGGGGAGTCGACTTTGTGCTACGCGGAGAGGGCATTTGTCATGCAGTATACGCATCAGAAACAGCGAGCCCTCAAAAAGTCTGTGATGCTAGGGCATGCATCACAGACGTCATGGGTCATGCAAAATGTGCATGGCAAGTCTTGCACTATTCCAGACCCAGACATATTTGCAATCCATAACGGGGGGAAACGACCAAAATGCGAACGACAAAGGCCAGGAGGGGACCACCAGGAAGGAGACTGCAAAGGAACAATAAGGAAGGCCGCTTGCGATGTCTCCCCATGCATAGTTTTACTGATTTCAATCATCGTCAATTTTCAATAGTGTTTGTCGAGTAAGTCGATTGTATCAGTGCTATGATTCATAGCAACAGTTTTCGGAAGTCGCGCAAAGTGCGTGAACTTCTGGGTATTATTTGCATTGTCACGACGTTTTCTACTTGAATGCGGTACTCGTTCCCTGGAGGGAGTCGTTTTCCCGATTTCTCATGGCCTCGACAAGGCTTCTCAAGTACATTCTCGCAAGAGCACCTTGCTTTCCATGCTGTTGCTTGCATCCCCATTCTACTGCGTATAAACTTTTTCTCGTGACGAAGATAAGGTGTCAAATTGAAAGTTTCACTAGTGAAAAATCAGTTTGCCTAGAGTTACTACATACAATAGTTCCGCAGCGATCTACACAGTCACACCAACGGGTCCTCAAAGTGATTATTCTATGTGGACAGTACAATTCTTTTTATTTTTTCTCTCAGCTTCAGCACCAGCAGAGCTACAATATTTACGCAAAATTTATTTCTTGGTACGGGAAGAATCACCGCGCTGTTCTCACGCCTGCGACGTCCGGCTTTGGTTGCAAATGATCCGTGTAAAGATTTGCATATCACGACAACCGAAGCCGTCGCGACACGAAAGTCAATGAGGTGTCGGTAGAACAACCGCTGGATGATTTACTTCTATCAATCGATTTTTGATGATGTGGTGAGATAGGAAGTAGAAACACTGGATCTGAATGTAGTGTGATCAATGTCGGACCTTGTTACCTTCTCCGGGTAATATCTGTGCCATAGCTCGACAAGAATGCGTGCCCGTAAACCATGGTGCGGATCTTCGAGACGGATCTTTCACAATGGTAAAATCGGTTGGGACTGCATGAAGGATGCTGTCTGTATTACTAACAAATTTCCAGAGCCAAGGATCTTCGCAGTGCTGCTTCAGATAAGCTAGCCTCTCAAAAGATCAAGATGGCTCAGCTGATTTATTCTAGAGAGGAAGGAAAAGTAGAGTACGAGATCAAGATCAAGAAGATCCTATGAATAGAGAAAAGTTCGTTATGGGACCGTAAAAACGATGAAGTCTGTTGTCGAAAAGGCAAGGTGGAACATTAGAGTACGCAGAAGTATACTACTACGCTCAATGTGAAAGAAAGAGGCCGCCGGTTCAACTTCATTTGTGTCTGTCTCGCGGCCGCGGTAGTTTTCCACTAGTGCGATCACAACAAGATCAGGCTTGAGTACTTGTCATAGCTTCGTGCTACTTACTGTACATCGCTTCTTGAGTAGAAGTCTCCAAATCAACTTTATTACAGAAGCATATCCATTAAACGACAACTTTGGAAGTATTAAGAGTTAAAGTAGTATACGACGACAATAATTTGTAAGATTGCGTTGTGCAAAAAATCATATAAAATCATTATTACGAACCTCATCTCCTCCTCGTGTGTGACTCTCATTTGCTCTTTGCCGCTGGAGCTACGTACCGACGCTTACTCCGGACAGGGACAACCATGTTGCGCGACGCGATGCCTTTTTTGGAAACCGAGGTGATGTTTGACGGACCTGAGAAGGCGGGGAAAGATGGTATCAATTTTTACAACCACGTCGGTGAAACGAAGACGCCGCACGATTTGTGGAAACAAGACAAACCGAAAAACAAGAAAGTGGTTGCTCGTTCCTCGCAGAAGTACGTGCTTGCCGCCTTTGCTGGAGTGGCCTTGTTCGACGCAGGTCCCGCGCGCGCTGCGTTTCAAGGAGGGGCTGGTCTAGGGCTTGTGGGCGGTGGAGGTGCTGGTGCTGCTGAGGATGCTATGCAAAACAAAATAATGAAAGCTACACTTTCAGAATTTGCATCATACCATGTGAAGAGCATAAGGACAAGGAGTGAACAAGCTGCCATGTAAATTTACGACTGAATATTTGCATAAGAAGTAGCAGGACTCGATCTAGTGACATAAAAGTCTCACCACCCGGTGACTTGGTGTTTGCGAATGTGCATTTTTACACATACCGATCTGATGTGCTAGCGCTAGCGTGCATGAAGTTCAACGAAAAGAAGTCGGAAAGATGGCCAGAAGCGGGCGCACAACTGCACAGAGCGGTTGGCGTTGAACAAGTCTAAGTTGCTTCAACATTCGCGACAATATCAGCATTGGAGGGCCTTGCAGAAGGAATTCTGAATGAAGAGATATATGACATCAGGCGTTGTTGCCATTGTGCTGATCTATGAGGCAAATCGTCGTGAAGTGCATAGGAATTGACTCAGCCCGTTGACTATGCATCACTCCTGACGTGGTTGTGGCACAGACATGCAAGTGGCTTTTTTTCGTTCGATACGTGGGTACAACGCGCAGGCGCCTTCGTGTCTGAACCGGTATGGTGCCATTGTGCGCAATCGGGCTAGTCCTCCAAGTATCAAAATGGTGAGCGACCAGACCACCCCGGAGAAGTTTGTATTGCAAGACTATAAAAATTCACTCAGCCATGTTTGTATTGCAAAGCTATAATTCACCATTGCAAGATGGAAACAGATTGAGCATCTGCGCATGAAAATTACGCTTCTAAAGAGAGGGAAAGGAAGCACGCAGCTTTTGTCACTCTGCATCACAGACGCGTTCCGCCAGTCTGCATCCGATATAGGTCCTGTTGACGATACATGGAAACAAATACACTGCGTTGTTCTCTCTAGGGATAAAAGGGGCTCTTCTCACTTTGATACTGGGAACGTGGGATCCGTTACTTACAAACCCAGTTTCTGAAGAGGTTGCGGGGTGGAATTCGGGAATTCCGTGGCACACGGTATGCATTGCTTCTGATATGTCTGGGTCTGGAAGGATACAGGAAACTTATATTGCACTGATTGTGGAGCAGACAGAATCAAAAATCTTCTATCATGCATGAGATGACAGCTGCGAAGGCCGCTCTTCTGGGCTGACCCAAAGAGGAGATTTTGGGTTTTGTGCCGTGGACGGGATCGAAAAACATGCGCTTCCGCGAAACGAGTACTGCGTTGGCACGCACACATGCACCCGTCCTGTTACGGACCATCGTGGTCGCAGCTAGAGTAAGTATTCAAAATGTGCATGGAAATAAAGTCGCCACTTTTCCAGACCCGGACGGCGTTTGCACTTTAGACGCGAGTGGCCCCTTATCGTCTTGCTACAATCATCGTGCTGCTGATGGCGAAGGTGCGGATGGGGCCGAAGTTGGAGCTTTCGCCACGTGGGCCAGTGGATTTTTTCAGCGGATGCACACAGTCGATATTGTGCGGGAATGCAATTGCGAGTCGGGGTACTTTGGTTGTTCCCACTCCCTCTGCACAATGCCGAAGTGCACAACCTACGCGCCTCCACCACCTCCAGCAGCCTCGGCGGGCGGGTCGGATGGATCATCTTCCGGCGCGGGCGGTTTGCATCTGCCAGGAGGTGGTGGGGCGGCAGCGGGAGACGTGGCTGCCGCAGCTGCAGCACCGGGGACGCCCTGGTGCCAGGAGGTGAATACCCGGTATGAGGAATACAGGCAGCATCTTCACCAGGAGTACAACAGCCGGTCGTGCGGCATGGGCGAGTTGGCGCGCGGCCTCTTTAACAGTGGTCGGTACGGAATCGAAGCCACGGGTGCGGCCACTCTGGCCGTGACGATGGGCAGCGCCTACTTTACGGCTCTCGTTTTCGAGACGATCACTTTGTTTGGCCGTGGCGCTAGCGCATACGTGGGGAACCGGGCCGAGCATCGCGCTCGGGCGATGCAGGGCGGGCAAATCGAACCGGTTGTCGATCCGGCGGAATGGGTGGACGGTCCAGACGCCGTCCCCGGCGCACATCCGGTTGCCGGACCGGCGCCGACACCCAGCCTCGATGCGAGTGTGAACGAGATGGTGCGCTGGGTTGACTTCTTCCGCGAGCTAAAATGGCTTGCCGACAATGCCGTGCCGCTTGATTTGTACGAGGGAGATGAACATCAAGAGCTGCGACTGCGGGCTGCTCCGCGGGTCGTAAACATCAACGCCGGATCACCTGGTCGTCAACCTGCTCCTTCTACGGCCCCCGGATCACAACAAGAACGCCTGAATGCCCATTTGTTCCAGAAGGTGATGGGCCCTGTACCGGAGGTCACGGCGGGCACGCAAAACCCGCGCGAGCTGGGCGGTCTCCTCACAGATGTGGAAAAAAATCGACTGGAGAGCCTGCTGGTGTACAAGGAGCAGATGCCACGTGGAGCTCCGCGTCCGCGCTGGGGACGGGTGCGCAACGAATGGTCGCCGTGGGTTACCAGTTTCACGGACCGGTGGTTCTTCCGTAACGAGTTTCTGAACTCTGAGGCTCTGTGGCGAGAACTTCGGGACGAGCTCGCGCAACCGGACGCGGCGCTGGCGCTGCTGAATCCGCTGCGGCTTTTGCAGTACGACAGCAAGTTTTTGTGGCAGGGAGGGTTTGAGTACTCGCCTCAGGAACAAGCGACCTTCGGCCGGAAGTACCAGGTTCCGGAGCCGATAGCGCTGAAATTCGAGTTACTGCTGAAGGAAATCCCGAAACACCAGCCCGGAAGAGCGTTCTGGTACGTGCGGAAGACAAAGCAGTTCATCTCCAAGACCGACCCATCAGTACGCGAGCTCTGCGGCGAGTCGCCCGGAACCGCGCAGCCGGATAATCGTGACGAGCGTCAGTGTGTCCCGGTCCCCACCGCGGAGCAAGCACGGAAAACGCTGAACTTCTACCTGAACCGCGCGAACAAGTATCAAATGTAAAAATGTCTGGGTCTGGAAGAATTCATGTTTGTCATGCTTGTCTGGCATGATTCTTAAATCTGTCATGCACGTTACCCAAGCGCTCCGTTTTTTTGTGATGCAGAAGCGCAGTTTGTCATGCAGAATAGGCAACACCTAGGAGCTCAGAAACTTGTCATGCTGAGCCAGCATTTGTAGCCTCATCATGAGACGCCACCCAGCATCACAAGTTTCCAGACCCAGACATTTTTACTTTTGATAACAAGGGACGGGTGCTCAGCGTGTCGCTTCGTTTCGCTGCGGCGGAGCAGATGACCGCCAGGGGCGAAAATGAACAGTCGCGGCAACTGCTGCGCGACAACAGTCTTTACCAAGACGAAAAAAGCAAGCCCCCATAGAAGTATGTACTCCGATGCGACTTACTTATTTGTGCATCCGGTAAGTAACACATTCCCATTCAGGCGGACAAACGCCGGCCTGTTCGCGACATGGGTTAATAATTAATAGATGATGCGTTTATTCATGATCCTGGCATGACAGACTTGCTGACTGTGTGTAGGCAGAACAGATTTATATATTTTCTTGCCAAGAAAATGTGGCCGAGATGAATCAAAATCTACAACTGAGTAGTTGTAGACTGACACACAGATGATAGTTGCGCTTGCGCGTTCTCGTCTTTGATATTGTGCAAGAGCGAGTCCATCATTGTGGTGTTTAGCAAGAAAAAATCCAATGACAGTGCATTACTTTGGGGCCGCGGCTTTTTTCATTCGGATGCTCGGCGCAGTCGTTTCATTTCGCGGGCTCTGGCAGCCTACGCCCGCATCTTCAAAGATAGTCTCGTCTTGCCTGCTGGGCGAGGTCGAGAACGCGTGGCTGAAGCCACTATGGACGCATTCGGCCAAGCGGTGCAGGACGGACGCGACGGGAAGGAAGAGAAATTATCCCATCGCCAGTGGTACTGTCCCATCACACTAGATTTGATTAAGGATCCGGTGGTACTCGGGATTGACTGGGAGAAGGGCGAAGACGGACATGGTTTTGTCCCCGGCCGTGTGGTGACGGTGAGACAGGGAGTTCGCCAGCTTAGAGCGGGTCTTGTCGCCGGTGCCCGGCGAGCAGTACTGCCCGGACGAAGAAGGGCGGACGATCACGGGGCCGCTGGACCAAATGCGGAAGGTGGAGGTTGGGTGCCGCAACATATAAAGTTGCGGCCAAACATATCCTGAGTAAAAACGTACCCACACCAGAGTTGTAATGCAGATTTGCAAAGACAGGAAGACTTGTAATGCGCATCCCCATGAGAGCCATTTCCAATTGTGTTTTGGAATTTGTGATGCTGTGAACAGGATGAGCAGATGAATCTGTGATGCGGCTGCACTTGCTAACCTGCACTACTACACTGCAGAGTGCAACTTGTCATGCGTGACTCACAAAACTCCTAGGTTTGTGTTGCAAAATCCCCATCCTGACTCTGGTGTGGGTACGTTTTTANAGATGAATCTGTGATGCGGCTGCACTTGCTAACCTGCACTACTACACTGCAGAGTGCAACTTGTCATGCGTGACTCACAAAACTCCTAGGTTTGTGTTGCAAAATCCCCATCCTGACTCTGGTGTGGGTACGTTTTTACTCAGGATAAAACGTCAGGCAGGTACAGGCCGGGCCAAATGGACGCCCACCCTTTGCGGTTCCGGCAACCAAGCACAGATACGTTTTTGAGCGCGCCGCCATTCAGCGTGTTATTAACGAAGCGGGGAACGGCGACGTATACCATCCGCTTAATAGAGAACATCTAGACCGCGATGGACGTGAGTTATACGAATACAAAGAGTTGAAGGACGAGATAAACTACGTTGTTCGCGAGGGGCTGCGCGGTGCAAATGAGCACGATATTGTGAGGAAAAATTCTGCCTCCCTATACTCAAAAGAAATATTTGCAATGCTGAAGTGTGGCCACAACCCACAAGTCAGGTCTCTACTCCTGCTACCTGCTCTGTGTCCGAGTCCCATCTGTCATGGTCGGACACTTTCTACATTTTCGCATCACAAATTTCCGGTTTGCGTATGGGAGTGGGATTTTTTTCATTTTGATTCACGAGCGTGCCGCCAACGGCCAGGAGGCATTCAGGAAGTTGTTCACAGAACCAGAGTTCCTTATTGGTGCGACACGGTACAACGATCGCATCCAAGCGCTCCGCAACGAAGCAGCGCCGTCCGGGCGCAGTAGACCGACGCGTCTCACGAACGAGGAGAAGCGTGGCAGACACGAATTTCTCGCTGCTTCGCTGGTAGCCATGGGCGAGAGCATGGGGGGGCTGTGGCAGGCTGAGGATAGCGGAGCGCCGGCGCAAATGACGATGGAACAACGGCCAGCGCAAATTGAAGGCCACGGCCAGGAGCGGCTGAGCAACCTCCTGCGGCAGTCGGTCGACGGTCTGCGCGAGAAAGCTATGCATCGCAAATGTCCAACATCTCGAGGATCAGCGTCTGGGTTTCATCATGGAGCGTTTTCTCCAACCGATCGGATTTTTTGTATGGATACACTATGATCCCATCATCGACATGCAGCAAATCTGCGTCATGAATGCAGAAAATATCTTGATCTCGTCTTTCTGGCATGATGCTTGGCGTAGCATAGCTTCTGTGTCTGTTTTGTACACCGAGCTTGTTGTACTGCTAAGTAGGTGAGAACAAGATGCAGTAGAAGTCAATAAGAGCCGCCTGGCAAGGGTTTTTTACATTTAAATGCCTTGTTGATCATGATCCTTATGGACTCGGGAAGCCCCTACTGTAGCGATGCAAATCGACGCCGGCCAAAATTTTGAATTCTGTATTATCGGCTCCGAGATTTGTAGAAACCCAGAGAGCAGAACCACGAGTTTTATTGTGTTTGCGCGTGATACAGACACAACTCTTGCTCGAGAACGAAAATAACCCGCAACTACGCGAGCAGTTGATGGAAACACAGGTGCCCAGCATGGTGGACATTCAAAGTACGTTCGGCCGCAAATCAGTCGCGACAAGACTGGCAGAGTGCGCCGCTGCATGCGGGGACCGGCTGAACCCCACCGGCAGCAGGAGCTGGGACAACGTGGTCAACCAGGTGCCTGGATTTTCTAGAGCGCGACGACAAGAGCCGCTGTCCGAAGAAACGAGTAAGCAAGTCCTGGTGCTTGCGCTGACCCAGAAGCCACCGGTCGTGGACAGTACTGGCGCTGGCGGCGCGACAATGTCGGTGGTATGCCTTGCAAATTTCGATCTGGTGGGTCTGGAGAGTTCTGATGCTAGTTTGGTAAGTGTGGTAAAACGACCGTCAAAAAAGCTGTAGAAAAGTGTCAAGTACTATTTTTTTTTCATGATCTTCAATGGGTCTCCTGATAGTTGGGATGTGCAGATGAAAATACGTGCTGCACAAGCAAGTCGCGCTTGTTTTCCGAAGACGTGCTAGAGGTTAGACCTATGATTCAGACGAGTCGTATAGAAAATGTATATTCTTGAATGATTTTGATATTCTATTCCGATATTTCCAGTATTCTATACCCACCAGATCGATATTTCCAGTCCATAAGTGGGCACCGGCACCAAAACGTGGTGGCAGTTCTCTGCGCTGGCCCGGTTAGACGCACAGCAGAGTTGGCTCGACCTTTTGAAGCGCGCGTCAACGAACCAGTTGAGACCAGACATCAACAAAAAGATCAAGGACCTACAAGGTCTCTACTTGCAGATTCCCGGGAATGTGTACTATGGCCACACGGACAACTGCTGCGAGAGTTTAGAAGGTGAAACCGTGACGGGGCAGCGGTTCTGCGGACCCTGCGGCGGCTGCTGCGCTTCGACTTGCACCAGGCTAGTGGACGGTGGTCTCTGCCAAGACATGGAGAGCTGCGCGAAATGCTGTCACTGGGGCGGCTGCTTCAACTTGAGTGGCGACCGTGCGCAGGGAAGCGGGGCCAATCTGGTGGAGATGCTCGTGTCTTCGATGGGGGATGCTGACGCCTTGAAGCAACGCGACAGGTTTTCGTTGGAGGATCTCGTGCTGCAGACTTATGAAAACTTCGAAAACCGCATGCAGAGGCAGACTTCCGAAACGAGAAGGAACATGTTTGGCAACAAGACCGAGGAGACCGGTTATCCTGCAGAAAAACGCACCCACACCAGAGACAGAGTTGTATATTGTATATATGTATGTATGCCACCCAGAATAAATATCTCTCACGCGGCGGTCCCATGAGTGGCATTGTGTAGCCGTTTTTGGATGGAAGCCACTTCTTGTGCTGTGTATAAAAATCAGCAGAGAGTGGAAGAACAAGTCGATCCGCCGTGCTGCGGCTTTTACTAGCTAGGCACGACTGCCTCATCTCCAAACTTGTCATGCGGAGCTCGCGGAACCTCTGGACTTTTCTAATAAACCTTATATCTTGCCTAAGGGATCGTGGGTGCGTTGTTTTTACACAGGACACCGTTGGAGACCAGTGTTGCGACACTTGCTGTGAATGGATCGGCCGGCCGCGTGCTCGTATTGCCAATCCGCAGGAACTGCACACGATGGACATGCCGCTAAGTCACGGAAGTTTGCGCAGTCGCAGGCTAGAGCCACACGCCGAGGCGTGTGCCAGATGTGATCAGTGTTGGGCGCACTGCTGGGGCAAGACGTGCTGCCGGGACATTGTCGGCAACTGCTGCTTCCGCAATTGTCCGGGACAGGTACTGGACGGCTGCGTCGGTTGCGCTTCAACGGCGTGCAACGCGACCCGTACCGGGTACCGAGCGGCCCGTTCTTGGGCCGGCCGGGGGCCCTGCATCCGCGGGTCCGGCGCTTTGGGTTGCCGTCTGTGTGATAGTGCTGGCAGAGCCGGGTTGCATTTCTGCGAGCAAGGAGTTTTCTCCGTGCTCGGGGCCCTGGCGTACATCACGGGCGTGGGTGTCACCTACGCTGGGCAGTCATGCGAGCTCATGGGGAGGGGGGCCGGGTACTGCTGCTGCAACGTCTGCAGGCAGGCGCAATTGATTGGACAAGGCTGTGTGCGGGCGGGTGCGTGCGTTGGCAAGGAGTGTGTGAAGTGCGGCGTCTCGGCAGGCAGGACGGCCACGGCCGTCGCGGTCGGCGGATCCAGTGCCCCGCCCTATCAACTGCAAAAATGTGTGGGTCTGGAAGATTGCCAGGTTTGTCATGCATATTTTGAATGACCCATGATGTCTGTGATGCATGCCCTATCATCACAGATTTTAAGAACAATTTGTGATGCCTCTACCGCATGAGAAATGCCCTCTCCGCGTAGCACAAACTGGAGCCCTCCTGCTGGTCATGCAACACAAATTTTTTTAGAATCCAGAGACAGCATTACTTCCAGACCCAGACATATTTGCAATGCATACGCCCCAACAGCAGACCATGAACGACGGTGGCGCGCAAGCGACATCAGGGGCGCCCTCGCAGCAGACCGACGATTGGGGACTTCGGCCGGACGAACAGCCCGGCTGTTGGCCCTGCGTATGGAGTTCTCGCCACATCGAATGGACGGGGCGACCGAGCACGCCGGCAGCCGAGGCGCCAAACGGCTCGGCCGTCGTTTCGGGACTGAAGGAATGTGGACGAAAATGGTGCCCGGCCGGAGTTCTCGGAAGCTGTTGCTGTCCTGCCGTCGCTTGTTCGGCCGCGGTTCTTGCTGATGGTTCCAACCTATCCTATTGAAAATTGCTTTCGCGCCCTCGTCCTCCCCCAAGAAGAAGACAAGTTTATTTCACTTCGTATGTAATCGAAGATGATCGATGTTGTTCTCGGATTATAATATCTAGGCTGTCGAGCTGGTGTTGACAGGCCATTTTTTGAAACTGCGACACGGGAGGTAAGTACTTCGCTCTCGCTCACATTGCGTAGGAGTGACAGCTTGTATACTTACTCCAGAGGGCAACATCATGCAGGACATACAGCTGCAAGGACTTTATTTTCCAATCCTCGAGAACAGCGGCTGTTACGTGTTGCAGTTACTAAATCTGCTTGCCATGCGATGAATATCTTCAAAGTGTTTTTTCCAGTGGGTGGTGGCCGGGGGATGCGCCTTTCTTTTCGATACACCCTTGCTCTACGCATCGGAAACGGGGCGATGGCCTTCGCCGGGACGAGCCTGCTTGTGCTGCTGAAAGGGCTTCTTGGTCTGGTAGACGTGATGTCCAGGATCTTGTGGCCGCTGACGAAGTTTGCCAAACTGCTGCTAACTGCTCTCTGGGTGGTCATCGAATTATTTGTGGAGCTTATCAAGGACGGCGGACGTGGACTCGTGTCCATTTTGACGAAGGCGTACGCCGTACTGTTGAAGGGCTTCGTCTTTGCCTGGAATTATCTCGCCGCTCCTGCCGCACAGTTTATGCATTGCAAATATGTCTGGGTCTGGGACGAGAGCAGGGCGCGACTTGGACCGTCGCATTCACATGTTCCTGAATTCTGTAATGCATGCTGGGGAACGGGCGCACCGCAGCCGCAGGAGCACTGCTTCTGCTTCTGTGTCTCTGTCGTGACGCAAAATCGCAGTTTTTATTCATTTATCATGCGCGTTATTTAGATTTACCGAGCGATTGCTTGAAAAAAAATTGTCATGCGTAGGCACGTGGTACGGCAGTCAGTTTTTTATCCAGGTGTGAGGGGAACGACAGCTTTCCAGACCCAGCCATATTTGCAATGTATACGGTGCTTTTGGAACAACGTTCTCCATCCATTATGGCAAAACATTCTCGTCCCTGTTGGAAACTTCTTGGGTGTCCAGGTGACCCGGTTGGGGAGTGCGATCGTCACAGGGTGCACGGCAGCCTCGCGCTGCGTTGGGGGAGCCGTGAGTGCCGTTGCGAGAGGTGTCGCTGCTGCAGCCGGAGCTGCATGCAGATCCCTTGGCAAATGCCCGCGCACCGCCGCTGTGACTTTCGTCTTGCTCGGAGCTGGTGCTGTCTACGAGGTTGCCACTCACACCGGGCATCACCAGTCGCAACTGCAGATGGAGGCCGACACGGTGATCATCCAGCGGCTCCCGCCTTTGACCACATACCACAAGGAGGTGGGTGCCACATCAGGATTCTCCTGGAGCGAGCTTGATGAATTGTCTGAGGACGCGAAATTTCAAACAGACGCGTTGATGTCCCAAGACGCACCAGCTCGCCGTCCTTCGAGCGGAAGAACGGCTTCCCGCCTGCCGCAAGCGGTGAAAAAAGGTCACAAGTTGCGCGGTAGTGCAGCTAAGGCCACGGCGGCTCGACGTGCAGCAGGAGTTCGCGGCACAAAACGAAACACGAAGGCTTCTACGAACAAGACGAGGATCGTGAAAGAGAATAAGATTCGCCAGGAGCTGCAGGCTCGTCGTGGCGAAAAGAAGACCGAGATCGAGAAAAAGAAAGTGAATACCCTCGGTAAAAACGTCCGAAGCCCAAATTGTGAAGTTTTTTTTTATCTTTTCCAGTACATACACACCCCCTAGTGGAGATTGGAAAATTTAGAAATTTTGGCGCTCACGCATGACATCAAAGACGGGTGTGCAGCATAGTCTAGTGAATAAGCATCACTGACCGAGCCTCTCATCCTGATTAGAAAGCACTAGCAAATCTTCCAAGACGACTAGAAAACGCCACTTATGAAGACCTGCATGAGCAGGAGAAACATACTGAGCATGCAGAGCTGCATGACAAACCAGGGGTGCGGACGTTTTTACTCAGGATACTGAAGACGGAAAAGCGCCGTGGTCTACCTCGTCGTGGCGGCAGCAGCAGAGCGCGCACGAGCAGCGACAGCGAGGACGTGGCGCAGAAGCAGAACGAAATTGCGAACGCCGGCGTGACGGAGGCGTACTATGCGAACCAGGTGCGGATGATTGTGAAGGAGAAAAACGCTGGGCGCTCCGAACTGCGTCGCCGTGGTAGCGGACGCGATAAAAAAGCCACGGGGAGCGGTCCTGACCCAAACGCCGCAGCTGAAGCTGTTCAAGAATTCCAGAAACTCCCGAGCAACAGCTCTCAATGGCGGGACATCGCTGGGGTATTCGGTTCAGAGTGGCAGGAGCCGGGGGGGGGGGACCAAGCAACCAGCGGTCCTCGTGGTCCGCAGGCTTCCACTTCCCGAGGAAGCAACTCGGCCGCGGAGAAGAAGGACAATTGAGACCAAGCTACTCATATCAGAAATGTCCTTCTTGCTGATGGTGCCTGTGGTTGATGTATACATGCAAGGAATTCAATCATCCGGCCTAAGGCCCTTATTTATGATACAGGCCATCAAAGCTGCTGCCTTTGCAGCTGCGGAGCGGAAGAAAATTTTTTTCGATACGCATTGCAAATGGAATCGGCAAGTTTCTAATAGCGGCAAGTTGTAGCGGAGTTGTACAGAAGACTGAGCAGATGCTAAAGATGAAAGAAACTAAGTACTACATGTCAACATTGTATAGATACACAGTCAGGATTCATGATCTTCAGTGACCCAGCACATCGGTGACGACTTTGTCAGTGGTGGATTGTGGTTTCACTGTTGTAACAGTAGTAGTTTTAAATGATGAAGCTGATGGTGAAGCACTTATACATTGTGGAAACGCAGATCGCACAGACAGGAACAAAAGTCTGAGCATCTGAATTTCAATCATGCGTATATGACAAAAACTAGGAGGCGTTATACTGCTAGCTATGGTGCCCTGCACGGCAAAGGAGAGCCAGAACTGCAGACCAAGACCAACTCGAGTGTTTTACTCCGCACCAATATCAACTGTAGGATGGATTCACATTTATGCTACTGCTTGAGTCGGTAGAGTGAGGAAATAATCACTAAATCACGAGGTGCAATTAGCGAAAATTCTGCTATGAGACAGGGAACGGAATACAAAAAAGGATGTATCAGTTATTGTCTCGGTGATTCATACAAAAAACGATTGTGTTATTCTAAACAGGTACTATGACTCTCACTATGAATGTATGATTGATGTTTTGCCTCTTTGCTTTTGCTTATAGGCACCTTCTGTAAAATGAAAATGTCCCGAGAAAGAAAGACAAAGATTCTCATTTACAAGTACTACTTCTTATTGGGTAAATTCTTTAACTTCTGACGTTGTAGTAGCGCGTGCATGTAAAACCGGCATCGACCAGGAGCGTCAGTCTCACCGACATCAAGAAAAATAACGTCGCGCCCAGCGCGACGCGATTTTTTGTTGATGTGGTGTTTGTGCTTGACGCATATAGAGGGACCAGGAACCAAATCAGACGCAGCATTATCTCCGTGGGTATCTATAATAACTTTTGTTGTCCTTGTGTCCACCACATGGATAACTAAGTTACAACCAGCGGGGAATAAGTCTATAAAGCGCTGCCGTTGCAATCTAAAAATGTGACGAGAACAAATCTGGGGTGAGCAGGTACTAGATATAGAAATGAAGACTTGTCGAAGAAGAAGTAATATCAGGATCAACAGATGAAAGAGATAGCGATATGGGTCAAGCACCCAAGTGCATCCTATAGTGGAGGTAGTCGATTAGAAGTTAATTCATTGCCGGTGAATTACGACTCGGGGACGGGTTGTGGGATAAAAATGCGTGAGAAATCTCGCCATCCGTATCCGTTTTCTGATTATAACTTCAACTTGGTGATGAATTTGGATTTGCAGCTTCAGAAGCAGGAGCTTCGTGACTATATGCGATCTTCACTGGAACTATCCATTGTGTTCCTTCTTCTGCTCCGTAGTACAGCTGGCGAAGCCACAGCAGCATTCTGATGATTTTTGCTTTTTTCTGGTTATTTGAGTGGTCGTGGCGCTCGGCGGAGTACTTCCGCTCGTCTCTAATTTCAGTCTTCTCGGTTCGATCGCTTTCCTTGTTGTAGCGGACATACGCCGACAATTCTCCACGTCGTTGTGCTACAGGTGCTAGGTTGTTCTTGTCACTCTTTTGGTAGAAGGGTCCAACTACTTGCAAGACTTCTTGTCTTCGTGCCTCTTTCACCTCTCGAATGTGCCACGCTTTTCCAACGCACTACATGCAAAAAGGAGCTGCGCGCCGCTGTACCAATTGGCGAGAGGCGCCGCAGTATGATTTGCTTTCGAGGATTTTTTTATAGAGTTTACACAGTACTTCACACAGTACTTTTTTACACAGCTGTTTTTTTTTTCGCAGGAAGTCATTCTTTTTTTCGGCAACACGTCATACAAACATTTTTGCGACAGTTGTATGGTGGACGCCGCCATCGCGTCGCTGTAAGGCTCAAAGACGAAGATCCTGGTTCAATTTGCTGCTTAGCTGATTCAGAAACCCACCATAGGGTGTTCATTTTGCGAATAATATGTTATAACATCATAGATACTTGAGTTGCTACACGAGAACAATATGAGCGATTTTGTGAAAAAGGGGTTCATGCGAACAGGTTCTGTAGCGTTTCTTGTCGCAGATTTCTTTCTGTTCGATGGGTGTGCGCTGGACTACTTCGACACCAGCTGCGCGGGCTGCGGTGTCGTGCGGCATGTCGAGGCAAGATCGTTTCGACCGCTACCTGCCAGCGATCTGCTCGGGCAGCCCGCGCCGGGCCGGCGGGATCATTTCTTGCGGCAGCCGTTGCTAGAAACGGCGACCCGGGAGGACCAGCCGGGGGGTCCGGACTTGCTGAAGGAGAAGGTGGATCTCGGAAAGACCCTTTTGTCCGCCTCTCTAGCCAGTACGGCGCTGCCTGCCTCCACGCTCGCCTCGACGGGGTGGACCGACGACGCGGACTTTTACGACCTGCAAGGAACTTTTCGATCTGATGCACTTCCTTTATTGCCCGTGAGAGAGAGACGGCCTGGTTGTGGAGAGCACACCCAAGAAACCTCAGAGAGTGCTTCGTACGTCGCAACTTGCGAACTACCGGGCGGGGAGTCATCTGTCACGGCGCAGCTGCACTCTCCTCGCGACGACCAGCCGGGCTGCGATGCTCGTGGGTCGGCGTCAAAATTCGTATCCGCGCCAAGATCTTCTTGCGTCAGTAGTGCAAGAAAAACCTCTGGGGCTGCTTCTTCTTTTTCTGGCGGAAAGCAGCAAAAGCAAAAGGTCGCTGTCGCGGATCAGCAAGGAGGCCTCCTCCAGGAAGCAAACAAAGAGGCGCTGCGTCATGATCCTACTGACGTGGAGCCACGATCATGTGCGGAGGTCGGTCTACCTTCTGGAAGTCTACCGGCGGCGGCCGCGGGTTTAGCCTCCTCCTCGGCTGCCGCAGCTTCTTCGAGCCGAGCACCACGTGACGTCGTAGCACGAGCGCGAGGACCTTCGGCCGGCGAGAGAGTGGCAAATCTGGCCTGCCTCGCAGGTATGACGCTAATGGGGGCGACCGCGTGGTACGCCACGGCCCACCATCTGCGGAGTCCCTGCACACGACAGGACGACTTTGACCGGTTATCATGTGTGAAAACGTCCCCACCCCAGAGTTGTCATGCAAATCTGCATGCTGACAATGTTTCTCATGCGGAGCCCCATGAGAAGCATTTTCCATTCGTGTTTTGGAATTTGTCATGCTCCAATCAGCATGATATACTAGATCTGTGATGCTGCTGAGCTAGCTCAAACAGCACTGCAACATGAGTCCAGATTTGTCATGCGGAACAGCCAAAACTTGTGGATTTGTCTAGCCGACTCCCCATCTTGACTATGGTGTGGGGACGTTTCTACATAGGATACCGGTGGCGAAGCAGTCAAGCGAGCGCGGGGCACGTGGACGGGTCAACACTGGTAACTGCTGCAGACGAAGAACCGTCTTTGGGCGGTACGTGGGCTGATTTTTATGAAGGTCATGCCGCGCTGCACGACGGCAGAACGAGAGAGGAAGGTGCTCTTCCGAGCGAATATGTTGAGCGACCTTTTTTCACCACGCAAAGTGGGCGGGCACCGGAACTCCGGAAAAATTTTCTCGGCAACAGCAGCGATTATACTGCTGGCAGTACTTCTACTACGGGCACAGGGTCGTCCTCAGCGAGATCCAGCCATGACTTACTTTTCGCCCCCGGCGGCCAGGATTTTCTGTACGACCGGCAGGGGCGTCTCGCTAGGGCCAACGTCTACGTCCTCCCCTCCGCGGGCCCGGTGCCGTGGAAATCATTCGGCGTGACGGGCAACAAGAAGGACGGTGTTTTTGAAGACTCTGGTCGTGGAGAGCAGGCAACGAGTGTAGCTTATGAAGACCGTGACAACTCGTGGCAACGAACCTCAGAGGCGGAAAATCATTCATCAAGAAGGACTCACAACAGCGTCGTATGGACCGTCGCCACACAGCATCATAAGATAAAAAGGGACACACCCCCTGCGTACAGGAAGGAAGAGTTCGATCGGCTGCTTGTCCTCCAGCATCAAGGTAGAGATCAGAACGCGCCGCGCGGTGCGATCGCGTCCGTGGAGGTGTCTACGGTGCCGGCAGGTGGGCAAGTCGGTCCAGCACGAACCTACGACCGGACCGAACAGCCCGAGGGTTTAATATTCGGCACGACCTGGGTCGATTCCACGAGCGCAGTGCAGCCGCGTGGTGGGGCTGAACAGGTTCAGCGGGAGGAAGCAGCAGACGAGACGGCGCAAGGGCCATATTATAATTACCAGCACAACCACCACGTCCTTTTGCCGCCGTGGTCCTCTCTTCGTCCTGCTGATGCGCCATCTACTTCGAGAGGACTACCATTCGCGCCAAGCTTCTCGGAAAATGCGGAGGACACGAGTGCTACCTCTTGGGCCATTGCCGCGCAGAATTTTCACGACAACATCGTTCTCGCGGAGGCGTACGTTGGAGAGGCGAAGAGGCCTTTGAAGTTCATCATCGACACCGGCTCCTCTGATAACTGGGTGCTGCAGCGTTTTTCACATGAAAAAGCGTCTCCTCCTTGTCAGCACACTGCGTCGAAGATTAGCTGCAGTAGTGCTGCGCCAGTAGCACATAGTACACATAATTGGATGGAGACAAGGACAACAAATTTAACGCACGGCAATGGAGGTGCAAAAAGAGCTCCAAATATGTAGATGCATTCTTTCAAAATCAATACAACTTTGATTTCTTGGCAAAAGGAGTCGCGCGTCTATTGTCCGACGGAGCGCACGGCTTCCAGTTGGTAGCGAAGCGTGAGTTGCACATACAACTGCAGACGTCCCATGTGTTATAATACGGATCACTACAATTGTTCGCGCGAACAAGCAAGGTAGAGGACGACTGGTTTTGCTTTTATTGCGTTTTCCGGAAGCTCGCTGGGGGGAGCAGGTGCTGCGGAACACCTTCGACGTGAAAAAAGAGAGAAGCGAAGACTTCTCTTGTGTCAGGATGCAGGACGAAAAAAAGGACCGGCGCGACGAGGGTATGAAGAACAGAGACAGGCGGGAGCAAGAAAAGCGAAAACATCAGCCTCCGTTTGCAGAAATTGACATCCGGTACGGAACCGGTGAGATTCGGGGTGAGAACTGCCGAGAGCGACTCGCGCTGAAGCTCAACACAGAAGCCAGACGAAGAACCGACACGAGTGCTAGTGTAGCCACGTCGCCCGCGGCCTCGCCGGAAATTCCATCCAACCGGCTGCAACTCCCGGATGTCAGCGAAATGCTAATGGTATACAGTGTGGACAGCTTCTAAGAAAACGAAAGAAATTTTTTGTCAGAGGGCGTGGTCTTCTTGTGATTCAGGCTGGAATCATTCACGTACTTTTTGTTTGCGCAGCTGCATCAGCACTATGCGCTTTGGGTCAAAGTCGAACCGGCATGCGCGGAGAAAATGAAATTTAAATGACTTAGCATGCACTTGGGCCCATCAATTGCCTTTACTTCCTCTTAAAAGTCAAAGATAAACTTGCAAGGAGTGGAAGGCTTTGCGCTGACGTGATCATCATGGATAGGTAGTGTCGCAGCTGCTCCTGTCTTGACACGGCGCTCAGAAGGAAGGATCATTTGTGATCATTGGGTCGCACTTGCTCTGAAGCCCGTTGTTCTGACACGAAGTTTCTCTTGGACAGTGTTATGTTCGAAATGGCGCAAGAGGTGGGCATCAGCGGCCTTCTCGGCCTGGGCCTTCCGGACTTGGCGGCCATTCACGGGGCCAACGCATTATCCTGTGCAAAAGTATCGCACTCGTAGTAATCGCAGTCATGCATTACAAATCTCTTTCTTAAGGCAAACCTGCATTACAAATTTCATTTCTAATGCTGAGGAAATTTGTCATGCGATTTATACTAGTACGATGCTTCTGCATTTCATACGCATCCGCCGACGACGAAAAGACCGAGGTGCTCGTGGAGAAGCTGGCACGGATATCAAAGAGAGAAATCTCCCCTCCCCATATCGAAACAAAGTTTCTGATGCTGGATTTGCGTACACAAATCAGGTCTGTATTGCTGGAGAGGACTGCAGGCATGTGCCAAGCCTGAGGCGAAAGGTTTTAACATAGGCGACTAGCATGACATATGTCTATGCTGTAAGATAAGCAGCATCACAAACCGCCTGCATAGTGCGGCGGACTCTCTGGCTTTGCCTTCTTGCAAGACAGACAGGATTTGTGGCCACATATTTTCCGACGGATGCGCTTTCAACACGGGGTGGGGGGATTTTTCGTCGCAATGACGGAAAGTCCGCGAAAGCTCCTCTTCTTCGACGCTGGGCAGGGCAAGGACGGATAGCAAGAACACCACTGCTCGTCTTGAAGATGCAGCTTCGTCTGCTTCCCCACATGATATCTCGTCGACATCAACAATCGAGCGTGAGCAGCGGAAGCACGAGACAACACCGTCCGACACACAGCGGTTTCTGTCTCCTAGAAGTAGGTTGTCGAACGAGAAGGAGAAGAACAAGACGAGCGATCACGAACCACTGGATGACGTTCCTGCAATGCGATTTGAACTGCCTTGCTTCTACACAATTATGCAGGACGAAGTGGGAGCAGGAGGTCAAACAGAGGGGCAAGAGATTGTGATGTTCCCGCAACACAGGTCACAGGTTCAAAACAGCCCCACAGGGCCGCAGCGAAGAAGATACGGGCCAGAGAAAACACCAGGGCAAACGCACGAGGGGGGCGGCGAAGGTCCTTCTAGAGGGCGTCACCATGAGTCGCATGCTGGTCTTTATTCCGGGGACCAACGCAACCGCTACCGCCAACCGGGCGCTCGGCCGCGGCATTTTCAGGGCCAGGGGACCCTGTCGGTGGGTGCGTTTCAGGACATTGCCCCGCGAGGGTCCGTTCAAAACCCACAAGTGTTGCCTGTTCTCCCCAGCTGGAGAGCGAGGGAAATGGGGGTAAGAAAGTATGGGAGATCTACTTCTCTTGTTCACGCTTATTCCGAATTAAACTTCGCTCTTTGATGTCTGTCATAAATTTTTTTGGGTACTACCTCCACCTGTACCTAGATGCGGCCCTACAGCACACGTGTGTAAGTACTGGGTCGATCACTTCCCGTACGTATCAACATAAATCGCTCGCGTTGACAGTGCGCACTTCTTTTGAAACAGGCCCAGCGCAAAAGCAACGCATCCGCCCGCGATGAAAGACCGAAACGGCACGGGCACGGGCTTGATGTCGTTCTGGGCAACGAGAGTCACTTTGCGCCTGCGCAAAGCCGGGGGCCAAGCGTACGTGACGAGACAAGCCTGCTGAACGCGCCGAACAACGTGTCCGCAGCGGAAGAGGTCAAGCGGCCAGAGGATTCCATGGCGTTTTGGCTGGTTGATATCGAACAGGTTTGGTGGTCAAATCTGGAAACGGCTAGAGACATCAACCACGAGCACTCGTCCCGCCGGAGCGAGTCTGGCGGTACGCAGCACAAGGAGAAGAGCGGGTCCTCCGGTAGCGCAAAGGACGGAGACAGCGGGCGCCTGGAGGACATGTATTAAGTTCTTTGTGAGCCGCCTTGTTCATCATTGACGTGATCATGGTTCATACTAGGATAGTACTAGTACATAATGGATCACCAGTGTGATTTTGTCTGTCGAAAAATATATCCAAAACATGATTTTTTGTATTGGCGATTGTTTGAAGTGTTTGGTGTGCCGTGACTGATAGATAGAGACGCGGTCGACCACCGCGCGGAGCAAGACCTCCAACACGCAGACGCTACAGCGCTGAGAAGAGATCTGTTCATCAGCTTCAAATGAAAATATATCAGCCTGGGGTTCTTCGACTCTGGAACGACAATGCTCGTGCTGCCGTACAACACATACCGCACCTTCTATCTCTCGAAAATTTGACCATTGGCGCAATTCAAATCTGAGATGTGAGATTGCGGTTTTCTTGTCATGTATGAGCAGCTGTACTGTAGCAGCAGAAGCTCTGGCAGTAGCATGAGATGTCGTTAGGAAAGCGAGAGGTCTGATGTTCACTTGGTGAAGTTGTGCTTTTCTCTGCGACTAAGGTCCCCGAAAGAAGTTGCTGCGGTAGCAGGTAGTGGTGGAAAACATCTGGCGAGTGGCAGTATTTCAACTCAAAGAAAAAGTACCCATGTTTCAACACCACTGACATGTCGATCGTGAAATGAGCAAATTTTTCCTTATGTTTGATACGACTCAGCAAGCGTGTTACCCCCACATCCAACTTGAGGACAAGATCGATTACCTCTCCTGGCCCACACACTGCTGCTACATGAGCGAGGCTCTGAGTCCGGTGCTTCACTTGAAGTTCAGCAAGGAGAATGGGAAGCAACAGAAGGTGTTTTCGCTGACGAACAAGCACTACTGCGGGGGCGAAATGGACGCACTGGTGGGGCGGAGCACAGTAGGCAAGAAAAAAGGTGTTACAGTTACACGTTGACTGCTTGACGCACCAGGACACGTCGCAACAAGAGAGACAAGAACTTCTGTCATGCCGGAAACGCTCGCAAGCCTCGACGCTTCATGCATGTGTTTATTGTTCGAATCATGATCTTGAGCTTGATATTGGTTGTCATTTTCCTTTTCCCATGGTAGACCGAATCTCTCCGATCAAGCTGCCAAAAGAAATGCACCACCGTAACACTTTTTTCTTGGGATACACAGGTCTGGAAAACGGAATCATTTTAGGGGAGGTCTTTCACCGGGCCTTCCCAGTAACATATCTGATTGAGCCACCCTATCGAGTGGTCTTGTAACTAGAAGCAGGGCTCAGTTTCTCAGTGCTTACAACAATATTTTGGCTAGCTTAGGAGTAAGTGAAAGTCCTTAAGAAGAAGCTCTGTCTGTATACAATTTTCGCAAGAAAATTGCAAATCAAATTTTGCAGTTCCTATTTTTTTTCGATCACGAGAATACAAATTGTCACTGCTATTGTGCGGCTAGCGTCGCGATTCTGATTTGGTCTGCTCTGTCCGAAAATGAATGCGTTTTCATCTCATATGATCTTTGCAAGAAGTTTGTTGTTTTCAAAACGTATCGATGCGATCTCATTTTTGTTGGCGAAGGTCCTGACCTGGCCGTGAGCTTCGGGAATGTAAGCAATGACTACTTACAGAAAGTTTGTTTGCTTTACTGTTTTTGTTTTCGTTTGTGACCGCTAAATGATTTTATTTCGAGCTACCGGGTAATGTAAGCCTAAGCATTTATTTCGGGTGTCTAGCTTGTGAGCCAGACTCTGTCTTCTGAGAACAAAGCAAAGGGAACGTGCACGATCATATTCAACGAATCTCACGCAAATATGTTTGATAAATTGCTTTGACGTTAATTGTGTGCAATTGATTTATTAGTGACGCTCCGAACTCCTGTAGCCTATTAACAGCGAGAGTTTTTTGGAAGCAGCCTACTTGTTGTTGCATTGGTTGACAAGATTGATAGTTGACCGTCAGCCAATTCATGTTCGGTCCTCGTCACAGTCCTATTTTCGTCAGGGCTCGTCAGAGCCGGCGCGCTAGTAGCAGCATCGTGGTCGGTCAGTAAGTGAAAGTTTCACTCGGTATTGCGTTTACCACATTTATTTCACTTCTCGGTACCTATTCCACATCGCAGAACCTGAAGTAGAACATCCTTCTCGGTAGTTGCATCGGATTGCTCTCGCTTTGTTTTGTCTTCTGTCTACTCGGTGCTCCCGGCGAGCTGGGTCGGTGTTGATAGTGCTTGTTTACAGACAGGACGAGTTCGCTGCTGGAACTCACTGCCCGCTCAGTTGCCTCTGAATTTGCGAATTGTCGTTACTTTCGGTTTTGCCGGCTCCTACGATAATCGAGCACCTTCGTTTGATGACTGCGAAGATAAAATGGTATCAGCATCAGCTTCTATTGTTTCATATCGTCCATAATGCAGGAACTCAGCGAGGAAAAGCAGAAGACTTCCCTTTTTCGTATGCAAAAAGGTCCATGGTGTACAGATTCTGTTGAGTGCATTTTGTTGTTTTTAGAATTGTGGTCGTAAGTAGGGTGAGATTTCCTTCGGCGACGTCGGCTAGATCACAGTAAAGACTTTTGCAGAAGCAGACCCGGGGGGCTAGCCTCGGCCGCCCCGGGGGTTGAAAGTAAGATGACACGGGCGCAAGAAGGAACAGGGGCCCCCGCTCTCTCCCGGACTTCTAAGGTGCACTTGCGACGAGCGCGGTTTGTGTTCTACTTTCCTCTGACATTTCTTGTTCACCTTCACGGACAATGTGTGGTGACTTCCGAGAGTCGATTAGGGACGACGTCGATCCGGGGGGACGAGAGCACGACGATGACTGCAGGCGAAAACACAAGTAATCATTTTGCCGACCTGGACGCTGTAGAGGACCAAGAGGATGAAAAAGCGGTTTACAGTACGGAGTCGCGCTACTTCCTTCCGCCCACAATCGGAGGAACTGGTACATTTGCACAGCTCGTCGAGGAGGATGATCATATCCTGGTGTAAAATCGCGTGTGGCGGGTCGTCCATCTCTTTCAAAAAAATCTTATATGAAGTATGCGCAGGAAAGCATTTTTTTGATTTTATTTGTATCAGTATTCGGGAATGTCAATAGCAAAACTCAATAGGGAGACTGGACGCGTTGCCGCGTTTTTTACACCGGATGATCTTCGAAGGTGTACACCAGCGAACGAGAGGCGCCCTTTTTAGCCGAAGGATGAGGAGCAGCATTATCCTCTGTAAAAACGTAACCGCCCTGGCCCTAGAGTTGTTTTCATGGGAGTCTACATCCACACGCAGAAGGTGTTTCGTGCGCATCCTCAATAAGACGCGTTTTGTAGTTTTCCTTCGACGAAATTTGTCATGCGCTAGTAAACCTGAAAAACCTTCTTGTTCTGAAGAGGTCACGCTAGATAACTATGCGACACTGGGGCCCGAGGTCGTCTAGCGGGCCCTAATTCGAGGACTTGATGTCTAAGTGGAGTCTCATCCTGACGGGGAGGTGGGGAGGTCTTTACATGGGATTATGAGCACCAGCTTGACATTTTTGCCTCTGCAGTTGAACGCCACCAGGTCGACGTTCCCCGGTGCAAAGGAAGGGACAAGCCTGGTTGAGCAGCAGTGGCCGGCTGACGTTGCGGCCGCGATTGCCAATATTGAAGCCGGCGTTGACAAGAATCTGTACGAGTGGACACAACCCGGGTACTGTGCGTGCCAAGGAAATTTTTGCCCCACGAAGCTCGATTTATCACCCGAAGGCTTCAATACATGTCAAGCTAACTGCACAAGTAACGCGGCGTGTATGGGGTTCGCCTATTCCAGTAACTGCGAATATTATGTGCAACACACACTTGTCGATGGCGTGGCGCTGAGGTTCCATAGCGGCCAGCTAATATGCAAAACGATTAGAACTACGCCCCTGCCGCACAAAACGTTGAAAAAGATTTCCGAACACGAATACCACAAGAACGAACGTGCATCATTGGAATCCAATTCTTGCAATCCAGAGACAGCTTCACAGGACGAAAACGAAACGCAGAGTATACTGGGGCTGCATGTTCTATATACTTAGAACGAAACGCAAATAGTGCATACATGGAAAAAAGTTATCAAGTACATGCACCTAGAACTTTTGTCCAGTCTCGATAAAAGATTTTGGGGCGGGGGCGTGATTATGTAAATTCTATAGACCCAATCGGACAAAATGAACAAGCTCGGCAAAAACGAAGCCGCCGATAGCCGGAACAGATTCACTAAAAGCACGTGGTTACCATTCGGTTGTCTGCGAAAGAAACCAGGCAAGCATCGGAGCTCTTTCGTGACGCGATATCGCTCCCTTTGTTTAAGAGGCATCTGTGGGTGTGGGCCGTCGACTATGAGAGTACACAACTCCGCCTCCCTCTCATTTGAAGGGCACACGCAGCAACACAAGCCCTGGCATAAGTGCCGCTTTTGCATAACAAGTTCGAGATAGATTCTATTGCTGTTTCGGCTTCCGGAATCTGTCATGCAAGTAGTGCCAGAGAGGAAAGCGTTGGTTTGGTATTTTGCATGACAAACGAGGGGGAGGGGGAGTTGTGGAGTGTCATATCCACGGTTTGCAAAACCAAGCTTGTGGTCCGAGGGCTGGCGTCGCAGCAGGCTTGTGAACAGAAGTGCGACGCAGCGCAGGACTGTGCGGCGTACATGTTTGGCTCTGTGTCAGACGCGCAGGGTTCCGATCCGGGCGCCCCTCTTGAGCCAAAGACGAATTACAATGAAAAAATCGCCGGAACTTGCCGTCTGTTCGAGAACACGCGAGACAGAGAAGGTTTTGCTTACCCGCCCGATGGTGTGTTCTTGTTTGATGAAATTTACGACAACTCAGCCCTTTCTCCTGGAGACCTACGCGATCCGTCGAAATGGAGGAGGAGAACTGATGAAAACGGGACCGTGCTCGTAGACAACGTTGTATCTGGAGGAAAAACGTCCACGCCCCGTAGTTAAGTCAGATGGGGAACCTGATATGAGGCATCATGTTGAGATTGAGAAGTTTTCTGGATTCCGCATCAGAGCAGCATACTAGTCGTACTTGTCTAGTACTAGAAAACCCGCAGCACAAATTGGCCCTCTTGTCCTGATGAGAGCATGACTAAGTCCAAATAGATACCACTTAGGAAAAATGCTCCTTATGGAACCAACTGCGCGTGAGAGACGTCCGAGACGTGCGGACTTGCATGAAAGATGTGGGGTGAGGACGTTTCCATATTGGATACGTAGATGAGGCGGAAGATTTTTTGTGGCTACGCGAGTTCTGCATGAACAAGATGGATACTCGTGTGGCCAATGCTACACACCATGGCGGCGGCGTCATGGCAAACGGAACAGGAGGTTCTGGCAGTGCAGTATCCGCGTCAGACGATTCGCTTCTAGAGTACTGCTTTTACGGAACGATTATTGGTGCGGCAGCTCTAATGGTCGCGCTGATTGTAGTGATCTTCTTCCTTCTGCAGCAGGTGCAGCACCGGAAGCACTACGCATGTAGAAAAAGTTCTTGACCGAAAGCTTCATGTCGACCTGCTTTGATTGTTTTGATTTCTTCGGTCCTCATGGGTCCTCTCATGAGGCTTCGCATGCACAAGCAGAACGAGCACCAGCGAGTTGCTTTGTCAGTTTGGTTGCATGATCATGACTTTGCTGTGAGCGTCTGCAGGAGGTGCACCTTGGCGCACCGTTGTAGGACAGAAGTGCTCTAATTGAAGTAGAGACAAAAGCGGTCGACCGGACGAGGGGCCGTCCCTGTATGTGTTGTCCTTGACGAGCAGCGGCGAGGCAATGAAGCCGGTCAGCGTAATTTTTCTCTGCGATATCAATTCCTTGCTAAACAAGTCTCCTCGTCGAAGACCGGCGGCGCAGCGGTGGCGCCAGAGAACCAAAATATATGCAAACGCGCAGCTGCTTGAGCCACAGCGAGATCCCGGCACTGCTCTGGAGAATGCTCTTGGAACTCGGGGAACGGCGACGCGTAGTGCTGGCGGTGCTGCAATTGCGACTTCGACTTACAGAAGGCGCGGAAATAAAACTCCACGGGAGCAGCAGAATCGCGGATCTGTGGCATCCCAGCGGCCGAGTACGGTTCGAGATTCGACATACGTGCTTACCTTGCCGCGGATCGATCCTTATCGAACAGGAAACGCACTACCTGTCGCTTGTTCCGCTCTGTCCACCTATGACGTGGACCTATCGACGTCCCAAAGCATTGGCATTGCATCAAATTGATTGTGTTTATTTGTCATATCTTCATCTGTTCGTCTTGCACTTGCAGCTACGGTTGTAATCGCAGAAAGTTCTTTTGATCTTGTTCTCGCTTGCCACGGAGTTGTTCTCGACCTTGCATGTACAACTCCGGCAGTTACAACAATGATTTTTTCAAATCCCCAGCAATGGAAAAAAGTGGTAGGCGCGAACTGCAAACGACAGGATTGTTTTTTCTGCGCGATAACGCCGCTCCCACAGTACTACTGAAACGAAGAGCGCCAGCGGGCGACCCCGTCAAAGTCAACCAACCACTCAACCACGGAGCTGGAGCGCTGGAGGGCATCGCAGAAGAGGACTCGTTTACAGGCACAGCGCTTCCGGTGGGCCGTGATCCGGCGCTGTGGTTGGCGAACCGACATCAGGCCAGACTGGCGAAAACGCCATATGAGTTGTAAATCGGACCAGCTTCGTTGTTTGGTCGGCATCGGCAACGAAGGCAGTTAGAAGCTGCTCTTTTTTTTCTGTATTTGTGTGATGGAGGTGCTTACTATTGAGCCTCATTATTTTTCTCTTCTACGCCCGCTTCGCCGTGCTTTAAAAGCGTCTAATTGGTGATATGACAATACGAGCGGATTATAGCAAAGGAGGGGTGGGCGTGGGCTAGCAATAGCAGATGCATTTTCTGCGGCCGTCCAGTAGGTTACCGATACCGACGCAAGAATGAGTACTGATTTGCAATGCATAGGCGACCACCGATGCTAAGCCCCTTTGCGGGCGGCTCCGTGAAAAACTCTGAAGCAGCCGCACTCATTATGCGTCCAGGTAACGCAGGGCATCAGCCTCAGCCGTATCAATTTGCGGGCCCAGTTATCAGACAAAACAAGGCTAGCATAAGCATGGCGCATTTCGGTTTATTCAAGATTTTTTCCGCTCAAATTAAGGAGCGCAGACGCAATTCTCGTTATGTATTCAAGAAGCACGCGCACCACTGTCATACGTGTTCCGATAAACGTTCTGATGTTCTTGTCCATGTGCCTGTGATGCATGGTAGAGATGATCTAATGTCCGAAGCAGATTAGATGTCAGACAACATTCGCAATGAGTGTGTTTTCATCTCACGGAGAACAGATGGAGCAGGATGGCACTTATGCTAGTATTTTGTTATTTAAGTCGATACAGAGGACCAGGACACCAGCATCGGCGTGGCCGGTAGGAGGCATGACGGAGGCCAACGAGCTCTCCGACGACGGGAGTGACATGGCAAACTCAGTGTACATTGTGGATGCACTTTCGTCTCTGGATACAGAACCAACTACTGAGTACCTCCGCGTAGCCGGCGGCGACGACACAGGCCCTCCTGCGCGTGCAGCGAAACACAGGCCGGAAACTACCTACCTGCGCGTGCTGCGAAACGCGATGGCTGCAGAGGAAGCGCGCGCTGACATGGGTACAATCACGCCCTCCGGGCCCGCGCCACCACCAGAATCCTAGCAGGATTTTCGAATCCACACACCGTCCCGTACCCTTTCTTGAGGCTAGGGTTTGCATTTTTGGAAATACCCATTTTAAAAAGAATCCCTTGTTTTTTTTTCTTTCTGCGTGATTTCCATATGCTTTATACTTTCTACGTACTTTACTGAATATCTACTGCGAGAACTATTGATTTGGCTTTCCATGCGGACCAACCGCATCAGCATCTCGTGAACAGCTTCCTGCACCAGGTTGCTCAATCAATCTGATCTGTTCCTCACTTGCATTGCTTTGCTCCGCCTGTCCAGCATCTTCCTTGGCTGCTCTCGTTGACATCGACTGGTCGACATGCCAGATCAGAATCAGATCCAGTGGTTGTTGTGGTTTGGTCGACTGGTGTGCGTGCTTTTGCGTACACACACGATGTCACGGTGCTCCTTGCAAAACATGTCCTTTTGAAAGATCAGGATCCAGTTTTTTTACAAGGGTACTTAACCATGAAGATTTGTTACCTTGCACAGGCGATTTCCAGCGATTTTCAAGGTGTAATTTTTTTTGAAGAACCGCGCGGATCAATTTTACCAGGAATTCAACAAATTATGACGAATGTTGCATGATTGTATGTATGTGTTAGAAGATCCATCTTCAGCTGAGAAGACTTCGGAGATGACTGCAGCTGTGTTAACAGAAATTAGAATAGTTCCATCGCCGTTGTCACTTCAAAAGTTCGAAAAGATACATACTCACTCGGTGGAGAGTGAGCATATTATCTTGATTACTATCTGCTAGCAAACAGCTGTTTGTCGTTTTCGGTTGTGGTGTCTATTCTGGTGATCCATCATCTACTGCTTTTCTTTGACATGATGAGAGTGACGAGTCCTCCAAACGCGAACATCCGGAACGTTTCTTCCCAAGCGAGCCAGGGCGTGGATGGAGATGAACGGACGGCGACCACTTCGTCCCGCCCAAAGTTTTCGCTTCTGTGGCGCAACCTGAGTTACCGGGTTCACGACAAGCAGATCCTGAAGCAGGTGTATGGGGAGTTCAAGTCCGGCGAGGTGGCCGCGGTGATGGGGTTTTCCGGGGCCGGGAAATCCACGCTGCTGAACCTTCTCGCCGGACGCCAGGCCTGGAAACACAAAGTGAACCACGACACCCGCGTGTTCCTGAACGACTGCCCCGTATCAAATGTAAAAATGTCTGGGTCTGGAAGAATCCAACTTGTCATGCTAAATCTGCAGCATGCAAAAATCTGTGTTGCATGATTACCAAAAGTCGCCCAGTTTTGACCAAGTCGGAAGGCAGATTCTCATGCAGGATAGGCATGAGAAAGATCGCACAGAATCTGTCGTGCTAGGTGCTGCATTCCAGACCTCATGGGTCATGGAGAAGCTGCATGACAAATCGCGCATTCTTCCAGACCCAGACATTTTTACATTTGATACCCCGTCCGGGAAAACCACCTCCGCGCGTCTATCGGTTTCGTGCCCCAAGACGACGGGCTGTTTCCCTTCCACACCGTCTACGAGTCCCTGCTGTTTCGCGCACGGCTTACCGTGGAGGAAGACATTAATACTAGCGATGATCCATTACGGAGTAGCATTTCAACAGCCGTCTGCTCGGCGGATCCAGGTTCCAAGGAGGTTGTTCCACCGCGGCACAGGCTCAGGCTGAAAGAGAAGTTGTGTGAGGAGCACGACAGAAGTAGCAGAGACGAGATGGGATCTTCAATCTGTTCGGAAAATGAGGAACATATCACAGCGGACGCGATGAATAAAGACCTTGAGGGCCGTGCCGCTCTGTTGCGGAAAAAGAGCGCGTCTTACTCAACCGTGACCGGGGCCGCGCCGCGATTGGGCAACGCTCAGAAGCAGGATCGGAGAAATATGAGGAAGAGTGGCAGTCATGAAACAAAAGAATGTAATGGTGACATAGAACAGGGCCTGGACGGAAGTACAATGGAACAAGGCCACTTGAGAAGTGGAACTAACGAAGAAGCGCTCGACAACGACTACACCGAGAAGATGCACGCGGCGCCGTCGTCTGTGAAAACAGATCCGCAGGAGCAGCGCGTGCATGAGGTAATTCGGCGCCTGGGGCTCTCTCACGCGAAGGATACGTTGATCGGGAACCACCTAACCCGGGGGGTGAGTGGGGGCGAGCGCAAGCGCGTCGCGGTGGCGTGCGAACTGCTGTCGAACCCGCCGGTCTTGTTTCTCGACGAGCCCACATCCGGTCTGGACGCGGTTGCCGCGCTGGAGCTGGTGCGCTACTTGAAGCAGATCGCGCGGGCCGAAAATCGCCTCATTGTCTGCGTCATCCACCAGCCCAGCAGCTATGTGTTCTCGTTGTTCGACAAAGCCATTCTGATGAAGTACGGAGAAATCCTGTGCGAGGGGAGGGTTGCGAACCTCGATCCGGCAGAAAGGTCAACATCTGACGCAGTGTCACAACCGGACAACGGGCAAGAACGGGAAGCAGCACGTGCGGGCACGAGACAAGAGGTGGTCCTCGAAGAGAGTACTTACGACAAATGCGAGAAAAACAGCACAAAGGTAGTTGTAGATGCGGCAGATGAACGGCACGAGCTAAAAGGTAGAACTCCAGCTATAAGTCTCGGAGCGGGCGGACGAGACCTTGAGGACGGCGACGGTGCCACCAGCAACGTTGATGAAGTAGGGCGAGGTGTTGAAAATATAAGACCTCAGGTGGACGACACTAACTATTTGGTGACGGACCCGCTCGCGGCGATAGGCCGACCCGTTCCGCCGTGTTTTAATGCGGCAGACTGGCTGATCCAGCAAGCTCGGGACATGACAGAGGACGAGGATCGAGAGGTCAAAGCGTTTACAAGGAACCGGTTTTTCGGTTCTCGCAGCGCAGCTGGCGAAAGTTGTACACAAGAAGCGCAGGGAAAGGGATTGGTCCCTCTCCCAGACACAAATCTGCATCCCAGCGGCGGTTTGTCATATCTGTTGAAGAAAGTCTCCAGCAAGGGGAGTCTAGTATCGTCAGTACTCTCCGGAGTTGAAGACGACACTTCTGCGCCACTTTTGGAAGGCGGAAATAAAATGAAGCACCATCATTGTACTGACTCTACAGGTTGTACAACTAAAATGGACATGCGGCCGAGAAGCATTAGCAAGTACAACGACGACCAGCACCGCAGCAAGCGGCGTCGCTACACGCCTTTTCCCTACCAGGTGTGGATGTTGTGGCAGCGGGAGTTTGTGACTTTCTACCGCAACCGGACGCAGACCTTCGCGCGGTTCGGGAATTTGTACTTTATGATGCTGCTGTTCTGCGCACTTTTCGCCAACATTGGGATCGACCTGCCGGAAAGCGTCGCGGACGCCGGCTCGCTCTTTGACGAGGAAAACCTCTCCCTGCTGCCCAACAAGATACGCGGGGAGCTGGGCGCGCTGACCTCCACGCTGATCACGCTCAACTTCTGGACGGCGGCCTTCCACCTGCAGGAACTGGTAGTCGCGCGCGACTGGTACATCCGGGAGCACTATGCTTCGCAAATATAATGAATGTTGTCTGGGTCTGGAAAGAAGTAGCCAATTATTATTCATCGTGGTCCTACTTGCATATTACGAGACGAGTCCTCCCGTGTTTGGCATAACAGCATGGCAAGGTTTCCTCGCTGGTTTCTTTCGAGTTCAATTCTTGTGTTTAGCATTTTAAAAAGCTGCCTCTACTCAGGAGCATGACAAAAAAAAACTGGCGACTCCTCTCCACGCATCACAGATCTTGCTGCTGCTCTTCCGGCCTATCCAATCCAGACGCAGACACATGTTTGCTATGCATAACCCCAGCGCGCACCTGTACACCGCCCCCGCGTTCCTCGTGGCAAAACTGATTCAGGAGATTTTCTTTGACGTGTTCTGTATAACCTGTTCAGGTGTTACAATCTCAAACATTACAATAGAATCTGGAATCTGTGTTGCAAGAAGTGCATTACCTAGCCAGCTCTCGTAGGATTGCGCATGACAAGCTCTCCTGGAGTCTTAATCCGCATTACAAAAATCTGGCGAAATTTGTATTGCAGAAAGTGGAATGCTGTCCGAGTCTGTCATGTTCATCATGCAAGACAAACCTCAGATTCTATTGTAACGTTTGAGATTGTAACGTTTGAGCAGGTCATATTCTGCATCAGTCTTTTCTACCTCATCCTCTACCACGTCCTGAATCTGCACGCGAGTTTTTTCGTTCTTTTCGTCTCCGGGCTGGGCATATCAAGTGCAAAAATGTCAGGGTCTGGAAGAATGCATGTTTGTCATGCTTGTCTGGCGTGGCTCTTAAATCTGTCATGCACGGTTCCCAAGAGCCCCATTTTGCTGTCATGCAGAAACGCAGTTTGTCATGCAGAATAGGCAAAACCTAGAAGCTCAACAGCTTGTCATGCTGAGCAAGCATTGTGGCCTCTTCATGACACGCCACCCAGCATCACAAGTTTCCAGACCCAGACATTTTTACAACCCATAGGGCACCTCCCTGGCCTCGGGGTCGGTGGCGCTGTTCTGCGGCTCCCTGATCAAGACGCCGTCGGTATCGTAAGGAAAAATCCCCCCTCCCCATATTGAACAGGTATGTTTCTGAAAATTTGTGTTGCTGATTTGAGGCCACAAATCACATTTGTATCGCAAGAAGACAAGGGCAGAAGCTTCCGCCCCATTATGGCCGCGATTTGTCATGCTGTTGGGCCTAAAGGGGAGCCGTTTTCCATGCTGAACAACTAGGCCCGCGCGCCCCTACGTAGCAGCCTGGGGATCTGGTCGCAGTGCCTCTACTCTGCAATACAAAGCTGATTTGTGTAGACAAATCCAGCGTGAGAAATTCCGTTTTGATATGGGGAGGGGGGATTTTTCCTTGTGATAGTCGGTCGCGGGGATCCTCCAGCCCATGGTGTTCGTGCCCATGCTGTACCTGGCCGGACAAGTGGTGCCGGTCGGGCAGATATCAACTGTAAAAATATCTGGGTCTGGAAGAATGCAACTTGTCATGCTATATCTGAAGCATGCAAAAATCTGTGTTGCATGATTACCAAAAGTCGTCCAGTTTTGACCAAGTCGCGATGGAGTTTCTCATGCAGGATAGGCATTAGAAAGGTCTCGCAGAATCTGTCATGCTAGGTGCGGCATTCCAGACCTCATAGGTCATGGAAAAGCAGCATGACAAATCGCGCATTCTTCCAGACCCAGACATTTTTACACTTGATAGCAGATCCACCCGGCGATCCGGTGGACGCGGTACCTGGTCCCTCCGGCGTATATCCTGAGTAAAAACGTACCCACACCAGAGTCAGGATGAGGATTTTGCAACACAAACTTAGGAGTTTTGTGAGTCACGCATGACAAGTTGCGCGATGCAGTGTAGTGCAGGTTAGCAAGTGCAGCCGCATCACAGATTCATCTGCTCATCCTGTTCACAGCATCACAAATTCCAAAACACGATTGGAAATGGCTCTCATGGGGATGCGCATTACAAGTCTTCCTGTCTTTGCAAATCTGCATTACAACTCTGGTGTGGGTACGTTTTTACTCAGGATAGCGTACGCCGTCGACTTAGTATCCATTGCATATATAATGTCTGGGAGGTCTGAAAGTAGAGTGCAACTTGTGATGCCGGTTTTGCTTTCTGAGAAGATCTTTATTGCCTGAGCAGCCAGAGGAGTCCAGTTTTTGCTACGCGGAGAAGGCATTTCTCATTCGGGAGAGGCACCATCAGGAGGCTGGTCTCAAAAAGTCTGTGATGTTGCTGGAGCATACAACATCACAGAGATCCTGTTCCTGGGTCATGTAAGTAAAATATGGATATGCATGACAACCGTTGCACTTATTTTCCAGACCCAGACAAATTTGCATTTGATACTCAGTGGCCACCGACAATTTCCGCGGGCTTATCAAAAGGAAAAATCCCCCCGCCCCATATCGAAAAGGTATGTTTCCGAAAATTTGTGTTGCTGATTTGAGGCCACAAATCACATTTGTCTTGCATGAAGACAAGGGCAGAAGCTTCCGCCCCATTATGGAAGCCATTTGTCATGCTGTTGGGCCTAAAACTGAGCCGCTTGCCATGCTGAACAACTAGACCCATACGCGCCTACCTAGCTTGGGGATCTGGCCGCAGTGCCTCTCTGCAATACAAACCTGATCTGTGTACACAAATCCAGCATTAGAAATTCCGTTTGGATATGGGGAGGGGGGATTTTTCCTTACGATAGGGCTGGAACAGTTGGCGCGGGAGTACGTGCGGGATTTTCCGCAGGAGACGCTGGTGACCGACACGGTCAGCCACGCGCTTTCCATCCCCGACCGCTTTGGGCTGGGCTACGGATTTGACATACTCATGCTGAGCCTCATTTTCCTCGTGTTCCGCGCCCTCGCAGTCGTCGGCCTGCACTTCAATGGCAGGTATCTGTCCTAGTTGGTGCTCTACTCGGAGGCAGCTGGTGCGGACGCGAAGAGTAAGCAGCACGGACATGATCATTTGTTGAAGCTGGAGCAGTACTTAGTAGATACACAAGTAGTTTCATCGATTCATTTTCCGTGTGTGAAGATTTAGAGATAAGCACCAGATTCGACAGTTTTTTCCTTATCTTGAGTTTTGGGGTTTTGTTTGCAGGAGAAAGTGAATGCTTCAGAAAGAAGGGTCTCGAACTGCAGGAAAAGCGTGGCCCAATTTATTGTTTTTCTCAAAATAAATGGAAGAAGAAAGTCTCTGCCGTAGTGCAATAAATTTTCCCTTCCACAACCATCTTTGAGTATGGTTAGCAAGCCTTTCTGGTTCCCCTGGGGTTAGGGAGGCTCGCATGCCAAGCAGTTCTCCCAGTACTAGTGTTTCGAAGAGCGTCTGTGCTGGTCTAAAATCCTGTCTGAAGCGTATCATTTTTACACCGAATTTCACATGCGCGGCGTTGTTTCTGTTCTCTTAATATTTCGTGTGCCATTCGTATAATGGAATGCGACGCCGCGCGACTGGAATACAGAAGGCGGAAATTAGAAAAAGCACCTGCAAGAAAAACATACTATACGTATACACACCATGCGGTTCTTGTCGTTTCACTTTCATGTCAACTACCGGTTCTTGCACGCGGTGAGTTTATTTCTGGCCATCCAGCAGGCGCACTCCGCTGCACCGCGAACGCGTAGCGTTCTTCGGCAGGAGGCCAGCAGTGTCTTTGACAGCGACGTTGCAGCCCAGGAGGATGTCGCTCGACCCAGTCTCACTGCCTCCGGCCGCTTGAATCTCTCATCTGGACGCCTGAAACTCGAGCAAGGGGAGGGAGGCGTGTCGCGTCCTGCGATCGCTAGTTGCGCGCTGGCGCGGGCTGATCGCGGCTCGGCACTGCAACGTTTGAGAGCCCCCGACCTTGATGAGGAGTTCGAAGATACCTGGAAGGACAACGTTGGAACTACAAAGCACCACGCGTTGCTGATTGCGCGAGGAAAATCGATGGCGGACATACGGTCCGGTGCAGAGGACGATCAGGACCACGCGGAAGGCGGCGAGGACGTTTTTTCAGAGGAACGAACAAGCTTTTTTCCGGAAGAAACGACCGATTGCCAGAGTACCTGCAGCGAAGCGAGTGAAGCTGCAGAAGGTCAAGGCTCGTGTTCGCAGTTTTTCCGGGATCAAAGGAAGGGCTGCAACAAAGCGATGCTTGCACTATCCAAGGCAGCCTTCGTGCTGTCGCTTCTGGGCGGCGGCGCAGTATCGCTTGGATACGTTTCGAGAAGTTCTTCCCATGTTGACGACTTTATCTCCGGAGTCAATTCCGCAGAAGCGCCGGATAAAAATTTTTCCGCGGCTGGTAGCGGTTCAGCAAGCACAAGGGGAGAGGCCGTAGAACGTACCGCGACAATCCTCGCCTTGGGGGACAGCATTACGGAGGGGTTCTGGCTCGACCCCGCCACGGGCGGCGTACCGGAGAAGTGGTGTTTGGCGGAGGCTCTTTGGGTCAACCGACTGGCGAGAAAGCTGAACATGGGAGCGGGTACCAAACCTCTTGAGAAGCCGCGGCGGCCGCTGCCGTCGGATCATGCGGCTGGAGAGGAGCCGCGCCATGGATTTGCACCTTGGAACGGGAGGGAAAACGCCCAAGAAAATTTCTTTCAGGTTTGCAACGCGGGGAACTCTGGCGGGCTTTCGACGATCCTGACCGGGCGCGCACCTACCGGGGGGATCGCACCAAAGAACGCCAGCCCGCACGCCACACTGGTGAAGCAGCTGGGAAAAAACAAGACCGGAACAACTCGGGTCGCCGGCCGTGTCAGTGCAAGGTCGATGACGAGTCAAAACAAAAGCAGCCTGCTAGAGCAGATCCTCGCGACCTTCATTGCGAGAAAGAAGAACGAGGGGGATCAAGACGACGACTACATTTTCTATCTCACCGTACTGTTTTTCGGGACCAACGAAGTGAACGGCAGCTTTCACCCGGACGCGCCGAACAAAAACTGGTTTTCACGAAAGAAGGATACGCGGGACCTGATTGACAACATGAAGTACATCATCGGGAAAGTTACCCCCTTGTCCAAGTACTTCGTTCTAGTTTTCCCCTATTCGCCAAAGCCCGCGTGGATCAACAACGTCCAGCTTGCCTGGCCAGACGGTCGGGACAAAAACTTCGCACGATACAAGACGGAACTGAGGGACTTCGTGAAGCACAAAGTAGACAACGGTCGCTGCATAGATTTGGCCGAGGACAGTGTGCCACTGAGGACGACTCCTACGGCGCATAGTAGCGAAGTAACCTCCACCCAGGAGGCTGTGACTGCGCTGGGCCCCCCTGCTCCTGCATCTCCTGCAGGTGTTCTTTCGTCTTCTTCCAGCCTGGCAAAGCCGTTGCCTAACTTTGCAGCTTTTGCAAAAGACCTGCTTCATCCGAACGCCCTTGGGCACAAAATCATCGGCGAACTGGTTTACGGGGCGTTGGAACAGCTCGTAAAGCAGCGGCACGTGAAGAAAACGAAACGTCACAAGGTCTTGTTGCGCGGCAAGAAGTCAGCGCAGTCAGAAATGCGAGAAGTCGTGATATGAAGAGAGGGTGATCGTGTTTCAATTTTTTCTGTTCTCGTAGCTACAGCAGTAATCTCGAGTTTGCGAACTGTAAAGACAATGAATCTGTTTTATTTTGCCGAAAAATTTTTGAAGGAATTCTGGTTGTTGAAGTGATTTGAAAACTACATGGAAGCGCACGTGGTCGACTCGCTGCAACGACTACTTGCATACCTAAAGGATACGATACTGTTTTGCTCACGGGCCATCAGCCTTGCCTTCGCATAAGCCTTATTCTGCAGATGCGCATTTCTTTTTGACTTTTTGACTTTCTGTTTCTGGCTGTTTTTGAACTGAAGCTGCACAACCACTACCGCAGACGACCAGGATGATGACATTTTCGGGTGAGTCTGCCGCATGTGATGTCGCATGTGAGGACACCGGAAATATACATGCAAAGCATAGGGCGTTGACACATGTTCGATTAAAGTATCTACCCCTGCGACTGGGAAGGGTCCTCAAGTAGAGTTGGAGCGGGGGTCTATCACGACAGACAAGATGTTGTCACAAAACCCGAGCTGTGGAGCGACACTGAACTACAAAGTAGGCGCTGAGCACAACTGTGTCATGAGTTACGGTCCTCGTTCTTGAGTGATTAAGTGAACTCTTCTGAATGATTGTAATGAAGCTACTATGTCAATTGTTTTATGCGTTTCTTTACTAAAAACTTTTTCGCGTCGAGCTCGAGGCAGACTTGAGGTATTGCGTTACCACGCATCGTAGCGTCCATTATGTCGACCGAAGCAGTCGTGCCGGCGCCGGCCGCTGAAATTCTGCCGGAAGAAGCGGAGGGGGCTGTGGTCCCAGAAACCGCGGCGCCGGTAGAATTGCCCGTAGAGGAACCATTGGCAGCCGTAGAGCCCGTTGAGGAGGAAGGTAGAAGTCTAGGATTCCGCATTTTAGTGCATGTGTAGAAGGACGACTGTTTCAAACCTAGACCGGAACTGAAGGCTAGTTGATGCCGATAATCAATTTATCCGTTCGACGATCTTGGCTTGCTCTTGCTCTTGGTTCTCGTTGTCGTTTGCTTTTCCATTGAGTGAGTGTGAGAATTTCAAGCAGTAGCAACGTATATTAATTTCTACCCTTCATTTCTGTCCACAACAGCTGCCTACGTACAGCCGGCCGCGATGGAAGAGACCGTTTTGCAACCGTTACTCCGGAACCCGGTGTTGCAGCCCCTCCCGATGCCGACGTCGTTCGGGCTCCAGATGCCGACTATTGGTTTCCAGCAATACCAATTTCAAACGCAGGCAGGGCCGTTCTTGCAGGGGAGCGAATCCCTCGGCGTTTTGCCGGCAGGTACAAAGCATGTGCTTACTGTGTTGCACTGCTGTAGTGGTCTCTGTTCGTGTTGTACTTTGCAAACGCAAGGAAGTTTTCCTTTATTGTCCTTCATAAATAAAACGATTTGAAGGTGGCAATGGATTCCAGTTTTTTCCGGACCCAAAAGAGGCGCAAGTCGGGATCAGAGAACCTACTTCCCCATTGAACTACTCGCTGACGGTCACTACGCGGGATGCCGGGTTAACTCGCAAGAAGAAGTTGGAGCGCAAGTGGTGTTCTTGTTTCTGGGGGTTGGGATAGATGTGCATGTGCTTCGCCACGGGAAGATAGAGGGTGGCTTACCTCGTGTGGGAACTACGCAATTAATTGTCTCATCGTAGCTGCATGAAAGGGATGAAAGCAAGTCATAAAAGCCTTCGATATGATCCATGATGTTTGTGTTTCAGATCAGTCTTCCTCGACGTTATCGCGAGGGCTCAAAAATCTGTGAGAAACTACAAGGGTCATGATATGAGCAAAGCACTGTTGTTAGAAAGTCAAATTCTACAGGAAATAATTAACATGTATTTTCCACCTCTCAGGACCAGAGGGCAGAGGCAGTGAAACATCCAAATTTATGCTGCCTGTATCGGCCTGAGGAATCAAAAAATCTTCCGCTTCAAGTTAAGCTACACCTATTGGGAGTAGTGTGCGTCAGAGCAGAAAATATAAAGATGACCATGTACCATAGGCGTGAACATACGTTTTTGGCGACTTACAAACTTGCGAAAAGTCAGTGAATAGAAGACAAGACGAATAATAAATGTAAAGAGATGATAGTGGGATAAAGTCAAAGACATATCTGGGGATGACTACGAATTCGTAACTATGTGCTTACCTAAGCTGAAGCTAAGTGTCAGGGCGCCGACACAGGGCACGTAGCCGGACTCCGATTCTTTTTTTTAGATTTTTTAGAGTCACGCCTTGCAGCTAGTACAAACAAAGACGGACCGGTTGGCCTGACCCATGCATCTGTTTATGCCGTCGATATGAGAAGCGACTCACGAGCTGGATCCTTCACACGATTTTCCTTGCTGAAGCTGCGGCTTACCAGTAAGAATCGGCAAGAACCCTACTTTCTGGGACTTCTACAGCCCCTTGGTCCTCACACGTTTGTACTTGACTTACACTTGCCGGTTGACAATTGCAATTTGCCTACAAAACTATATGATTTGAGCGTGGCAGCTCGCGCTCGTCCAGCCTGTGCCTGTCCAGACACAACATCAGTGCGTCCAAGCTTCAATTTTAGGCTGAGCGCAAAAAAATGAAAATTGTGCATATAATGCTTTGCAGGCGCCGCTTCCATTATGGCCACGCCTACTGGCCACGCCAACACGAAATGATTTGGTTAATGCTAGCCTTTTTACGGATATAAAAATAATCTAAAAGAATAAGAAATTGAAAGGCCGCGGATGGACCAGTACCGCGAATGAAAGGACGCCTGTGTGTCGTGTTTGGTTCATGTGCGAAATTGTCTTCCGTTGAACACTGATACACGAGGGATCAATAAGATCCTCGTCAGCGTCGCGATGATTACTTACGCACCGGTATAGTTTATCTACTTTCCTCAGGAACTTTGCAGTTTACCCATGCTTGACACCTGGCGTCCATTTTCCCTCGTAGTTCGCAAAGTCGTGAATTCTTTCTACTTCCGTCGATAGAAGCGTATGCGTAATTGGGAGTAAAACGACGTATGATCATGTTACTTGTCGTAATAGCTGTCGTGCTGGAACGGTCCATTATGGCATGTACGCGAAGGCGAAGCCTGATTCTGATAGAAGAATTAGCCGTGAGGACTGCTCGTCTCGGAATCGTGTTTCCAAGTTCTCTCGTTTTCCCAACCCCTCGGAAAAACCTGATCGGTGCTCATAAAGAGCCGAAGGAACTCGTTTATGTCGACAAAAGTTTGATGAATTAGCTTCCGTATCACAGGTTTGCAGGGATCGATTCTTTGTGTACTTTTCTGGGTTCGTATGTTGATACGTATTTACTCGTAGTTTTTTGCTCGTTGACGATTTTGCAGAGGTGCAGTCATTACTTGCCACCTTCGCCGGGTCTTGCGGGCAGGGAAGAAACCGCATGAATAAAACGGGAGTAGTTGTTCTCCTTCCTACTTTTGGTTTTGGAACATCAAGTGTTTAAGTTTATACTTCATCAATCAACCTTTACAGTGTTTTTTTGAAAACGTAGACCAGCAAAATGGCCCCGGAGATCAGCGCCAAGGAGGCGCTGTTCCCGGTGGACGGGCCGGGTATGGCTTTGCGGCAGGACGGCATGTCCCTGGACACGGTGGACGGGCCCGGAAGGTCGAAACCGTACTACGCAACCCGAAATTTGCTCACCTTGACGTCCGTTCACGAACCAAAAAAACCCCTCTTCGCGCCATTAAAGGAACCAATCTCCTATCAAAAAACTTACTACCCGAACCCGGTATAGAAGTACCTTAGTTTTTTTTCGGCAGGGTGTCTTTTTACTTAAATACATTTCACGTTCCGCCACTGCAGCTCACGTGCCTGCAAAAAAAAAAAGAACAAATCTGTCAAGTAATGAACTACACTTCTCCGACTAGGTACGAAGACCTCGCGATTTGAGTCTGTGCGTCGCGGATATCGCGTATGCGCAGCCGGCATTGGTGGAAACGAGTGGACGGCACACAAATCCATTGCAGCCGCAGTATCAGTTTCTCGGCGCGACACAAGTAAAGCCCGTGGAGCCATACGTCGCGAGATTTGGAGGCAACGTATTCATTCATCGATACCTTTTTTCGAGTGGTGCGCTTCATCTCTGTCTTGAATTTTTATGTACGTCATGATGACATTTTCAGCGCATGTTTATCGTTCTATGTCACCGGCGCCTTGTACAGTTTCTTTGTTCACATGGACATGTTCACGACGTCACTGACTAACAGTTTATCCTCGAGACTCGGGACATCGAGGGAGCTGCACCGAAGCGCATGATTCCCGATCGCAACTACGTGCGGCACAATACGGACTGCAGTGACATCGCCTACGCCACGCCAAATTACTTCGGCCGACATGTCAAGCCAAGCACATTTATAGGACATCGAAAATACCCTTATGAAGAGCCGCCAGGTATGAAAATTTGCAGACAGCCTTGTTCTGCCAGCCAATGGAACGGGTTCGAGTTCTACTTCTTTCATTTTCTTTTTTTACCCTTCTCGGTGCGAAGCGGATCGTGTCTTTCTCGTTTTTGCTTTTTTACAATCTCACTCGAAATGAAAAAAAGTCCGTCCGCGCGACTTCCGCGAAACGAATCCTCTGGATCCAGAATACCGGATGTCGCAGCAGCCGCCCCAGGTGAGGTCGCAAGTGACCGACGCGAATCCGGGCGCTGGTGTCCCGAACCTCCCCTCGCCGGTGAATCTTGGGAAGTACATCCCCGGTTCAAAACCGCGCAAGTTGCAGTGGAGCAACAGCGAGCCCCAGTTTTCCCTGCTTTCCCAGGACATCGCCGGGGCGGCGCCGCAGCGCTACGTGGGCGAGTTGCCGTTCAATCTGTACGAAGCGCGGACCATGCGCAGCAAACCGGTGCTGAATACGGTGAGCCACGACATTCCGGGGGCGCAGGTCGGCACATTGAAGACCGGCGTCGTGTCGACGCGCAACACGAATCCGCTGATCCCCAGCTACGTCTTCCTGGACGGAAAGCTGTCGCCGTGGGACGCGCAAAAAAGTCCGGCCAGCATCGGCGGGCACGTTTCGGCACACGTGCCGGAGCTGCACGTGCGACCAAATGCCGCACCTGGAACGATGTGAGGAGCCAGATCTCTATGTGTCGGTTTTATGTGCACGTCATGTGAAAAATAAACCGAAGAAAAATATCAGGCAAAAAGTTGGTTTCCAGATGGCCAAGGTGCTTGCTTTATTCCTGTGAACTCAGAAGTTCAAGATGTATATAGAATCTAGTTGCTTAGTTGTACTTCGGTCTTGTTTAACGAATGAACACTCAATATTAGGAAGAAGAATGCCAACACTCAACCAATTTGAATAGCTTTCCGAACATCTTCATCTTTATGGATTTTTTACAATTGCATCAGCTAGGTCGTTGTACCTCACCAGATCTTGTTTCAGAATAGCCGCTTGTGCAACGCCGGCTTAAGTAGGTTATTGAAGCTGGGAGACGAAGCGCTGTCAGCCACTGTAGGATGGCACTATTTTTGTTAATCCCTTGTTGACATTTATTTTTATTTCGCAATTTATTGGACTTTCGATTTTTCACTGCATCATTCCACTCTGTATATTACAGCGATGCTGCTTGTCGCTTTTTGCTTTGTATTTACCACAAAACCTAACGATGTATACCACAGTCTCCAGCAATAGGGCAGGTCATTGGAGGTGGAGAGCTCATCAGGGCCAAAGCTGGGAAAACCCCAGTGAAGGCGTGCGCACACTGTGTCTCCACATGCTACTTGTACTACAGGCCACAGCTCATCAATTTGGAGGACCGTTGCCAGGGACTACATGACACCGTGCTCCTGCTACGAAATAGACAACGGGACAACAATTGTATAAACAGATTGCGCTAGTACTACCAGTGTGAAAAAAGCTGCGAGCTGCGTGCTTTCTCGTACACAACGTGCTGTGCTAGAAAGGGTAAGAAGTTTAGGTTGTTCTGGTTCCAGGGCTAGGACGAGGGTAAGAAGTTTATTTCCCGCCGGAGATGTTGAGGAGAGATAAAAAGCTAGATTTGATCGTGAGGCTTCGGTTTTTCTCAGTACACATTTTTTGCTGCTCTTTTTTTGCCTCCGCATTGGACGAGATGCTACTCACTTCAAACTTGAATCTCATACTGATTATATCACTCCCGGAATATTAATTGCAATCTCTATGACATCATGTGACCGCCACTTTGTTTTTTGCAGCTCAAGACGTTTCGTAGGCGATCGCGATTTGTTCTCTGGCGATCACGTGTTGTATCGGGTACAAATTTCTCCACTGCAACCAAGATGGCCGAGCAGCAACAGTTTGAGCAGGAGCCGGTCTACGAGGAGCAGCCGCGTACTACATGTTTCATGCTGATGAAATGGGGGTTGGAATATGCATATGGATTTGTTTGATGAGAGCCAATGTTTGTCTACGTCATTCCTTTCGCAATAAAAAAATTCTTATTCGCAATAAAGACGTCATAGATGAAATTTTCACAAAAACAGCTGCTCAACAAATGGGTTTCGGATTGCAGATGCCCCAGATCGGATTCCAGCCGCTTTTCCAGTCCCAGTTCACAGCCCAACAAGAGTATTTGATTTGTCCTAACTTCAACCTATTTCAATTTCTACCTCTTGATTGACAACGTGAACTTTGCAGCATAGCAATTTGACGTCGATATTAAACATGATATGATTTGTCATCCCTGTCCATCTGCCATAGATGACAAGCATGATAAAAATATACGACCCAGGGTTCCGCAGCTCGGGTCATTTGCGATGCAGCAGCCAATGAACTTCGCCTTCTATGCGGAGCCCGCGGCCAGTACGCTTTTTTTCCACACATGCTTCATTTGCAGTTGTACTTCATTGTCACACACTTAGGTTAGTACTCACGCTTTAAGGTTGATAAGTAGTACGAAACGTGCGTCAAAAGCACTTTGTTCCATCCATGACGGAAAAAACTACATGCAGCCCCAAGCAGTGACGTGGTGGGTTCCCCCTTTTACTCGGGCATCGGCAAAAAGAAGGAAAGTTCTAAGTGGTGCCTGTGCTTCAAGTAATTTAGAGGAATCGCCGTAGAGCGGGTGCGGATATGGTGCGGCAAAGAAGATGTTCCAATCCTTGCATTCGTTGTGGAGAAGGAGAAGCGCTTCACTGAGTTTCAAGTCATTTTTTGGGGATTAGAAGCCTCAGGGAATAAATAGCAGTCAAGATGAAAGGCGCAGCGCCCACATTTTCACGGCAAAGTTGTTGAAGCCTAGAAAGAACAAGGGCTTCTGACTGAAGAGTACCATCCTGCCGTAGTATCAAGATAGTCTGTCAAATAGAATTTTGGCGAAGATTTACATAGCAAGAACTGTTGATGAGGTACCAGCTCGTTGAGGTCTCTGCGCATCGTCGAGATCGAAATTTCGATCGAAATATCGTCTTGATGCTTTCATGTTCTGCTAAGTGATATAATTTTGCTGGCCTACAATTCTAAGCCAGAAAATTAGGGCAGAAGATCAACACCGCGCATGAAAATTTGTTCTGATCGCGACGAAGTGAAGATCAAGCAATGAAAGAAGCTGTTAAATCGATGCTCATCAAACTACAGTGAAGCTGCAGACTCATAGCAAATTGCCGCGATCAACAGTCCAAGGTTCGCTACAACTCCAAAATACGTTTTCTTTTCTTCGAGGTTTGTCTATCACCGCTTTTCTCGACCGCCTTTTCTCTGTACCAAAAAGCAGCGACCAAACAGGTGATTATTTCTTTTTTCCGTTTTGTTTTCTTTTTTAGAAAGTTTCTTTATTTCGATACGAACGCGAAAAGTAAAAGTATGTGTCTGACGGTGACGGAAAAAGCAGGGCATCACTTCACCAAACGGGTCTTCTAACGCCTACGAATCTTACAATGAGCAAGAATGGAACCGGTGTTGGAAAAAATCCGAGCGCGAAGGGCAAGAGCATCGCTCGGCGGAGCTCTTCTTCAAAGAAAGCGCCTAGGAGCGCCGCAGCCACGTCTGGCGCCGGTGTCCTCTCGCAGGCGAAGAAGCAAAATGCCATCTCGGGAACTGGGTCGAGAAATAAACCAGGAGCGTCCAGTTGTACCAGTAGCAGTGAAGGTACTACGATTTTTGGAAATAGAAAGACACAGCAGGAGCAGGTCAACAAGAGGCACAGTACTACGAGCGCTGGGGGTGGCACCAAACTCGTCAAGAAACAGCTGGTGAGCGAGAAGAAGAGGAAAAATTTCCATCGTAGACTCTCCGCGCCGGCGCCGCCATTCGGAAAGACGAGGAAGCCCGCAGCAAAAAAACTGGCATCGGCCACGAAGTCTTCAGCTGGGAAGAGTGTGAACGACAAAAAAGCGCCGAGGGGAAAGCTTCAGTATGTGCCGGGGGCCTACCCCTACGCGGATTATGGGCGGTTTCTGAAGAAAACGCATCCGGATCTGAAAGCCTACGGGAAGGAAGTGCGAGAAAAGGTGTGGAGAGAGGTAGAACGCGACATGTACAGCACCGGAGCTGCATCAAGCAGGAGGGGCGCGACGAGCAGTTCCGTTTTGGCGCTCGAGGATGGCGGTAGCCGCACCGCTGGCGTTAATCGCAGCCTGGCGACTGATGTGCTGGAGCCAGCGGCAGGGACGGGATCGTCGTCGTTTTCAGCGCCAGCGCCTCCAGCAGTTGGTTCTAGTACAACCGCCTACGACGATCATGAGCTTGAAAGTGCGAATTTCAGCTATCCAGAGATACTCAATAATGGAGCCAAAATCATGAAGCAGGACGGCGCGAGCGGCGACGGTCTTTGCCCTCATCTTTCAGGGACGACGACACGACCAGACGAGCCGACGAGTGCGGACAAGGAAGGCATGCTGCGAGAAGCGGACGAAATGCTCATCTCTGCGGTCTTGACGCACTTGTCGTGCAAGACGCTGGACCGAAACTGGACCGTCGACGAAGAAATCGTGGGCTTTCAAGAACGCCTCAAGAACCGACGAGAGCTGAAGTTGCCTAAAGATGAGGACCACGCAGGACTTTTTTCACAACAGCATGCGGCCGAGCCGGAAGAACAGCGAAACTTGTACACGAAGCCACACACTGGCTTCTTTGGCTGCAGCGACGAGGAGGCAATGAAAAAAGGCAAAAGTTATCTACCGCGTAATAAAGTGACGTGTCTGTCAAGCGCTAAACCACTAGACTTTGGTCAGTGGCAGAAGACGTACCAGCGATTTTGCCGGACACCGTGGCAATACGACAACTTGATCTCCGACGTGGACAATTTTCACCAATTTTTGGAGGAATTGCAGGTGAATAGCAAGTCCTGTTTCACACCAAAGACCGCTGCCGACATGGAAAAGTTGCTGCGAAGCTGCTACGTCGGCTGTCAGCAGAATTTGGATCACGTGATCGCGAGAAACTTTCTCAATCAGGCGGAGAAGAATAATATCTGCAGAAGTTCCGCCGCCCTGGGTGGTCAGACGAGCAAAATTTGCCGAACAGAATCTGAAGAGATGTTGATCAAAAACAGTGGCGGCACTGCTGGCGGTACTAGTTCCTTCTCCTCCTCCTCAACCTCGAGTGCAGGAGTCACGAAGACTCCCCGCATTCCTCCGCTACTCCCTGACTACGACAGAAAGGAAAATGTCTTTGGTCCGAGCGCCATTGACTGGCAGCATGTCGCGGACATGGTGAACCACATGTCGGGTGCAGAAGGCGAACACCCTTCCAGCGGTGCTGTTGTGGACGAGGAGATGAGGAGTAGGTCGACTTTCGAATGCGAGGACAAGCATAGCGCTGTTGATATAATTGAAGGCAACACGATTTCTTTTACAAATACAACTACCCCCCGACATCAAGCCCCCGAAGGGTCGTGTGGAAGTGCGTCGTCTAGTACTTGGATTACAATTTTCACGAAACGGCGGCGCCGCATTCCTCTGCATTCTTCCGGTCGTACAGCTGCGGACGAAAACGAGAAGAGCCAGCATGGAAACAAAGAGTCAAGGAAAGCAAAGGGTCAGTCAAAGAACCAGCAGGCCTCCTCCTGCTACGACTCCTGGAGCAGCGAGGAGTTTGACTTCGAAGATCTACTAGAGCAACCAACAGCGGCAGCACATTCAAATAAAGAGGGCCTAGACTACAACTTTATGCAGGAGTCAACGGCCGAGGACGAGGACCAGGAAGAGTGTGCGGACGTGGACTTTTTTCCACCACGCATGGTAACGCCCCAGGAATGCCGCGCGCGGTGGGACACGGTTCTGGAATTTTCGCTTGCAGGAAGCGTGGAGCGAAGCCGCGAGGTGGAACACGCGGACGAACTTGGCGGAGCTAGTCGTGCTTCCAGTCGGAAAAATAGCTACTCTTATCTTGCGGAGGTCGAACCGGGGGGAGAGACGACGTCTACGTTTTCCACTCGCGGCTCTTGGCTGGCATTCACACCAAAGGAGGACGCGCTGCTCATAAAGCTCTGCCTACAACGGGCGGATGATCTTTTGAAAAAGGAGCTAGTTGCGCTGGATCATGCCAATGCCGCCGTCGCCGGGGAGCAGACGGAAGTGGACTCATTACAACTACCCAATACGTTCTCAACCCGACAGCAGCTGCCCAATAATTATACCAGCTCAGCAAGCTCCTCAACCAGGACACCACCATCCCATCCTCCAGATAGGCGCCTCACAAGTGATCACCGCGACGAGGATCTATTACGTACCTTGGTGAAGACCATTCGAGCCTTCGAGCCGGAAAGCTGGATTGCTGTGATGTTTTCCTTCCATGAAAAGTTAGAGCAGCGGAACAGGAAGAAACACAAGAAACTGTATAGGGATCTAGCGAAGAAGTTGAAAAAGTTAAAAATGCTAAACAGCAATGGCATAACCCTCGGAGCCCAATCAATGACAGTGCCGAGAAAGAACAATAAGTCAGGTCCTGTCGTTGGCGGAGTGAAGAAGACGACGAAGAGTTGTACGACGAAAAATAAGAAAAATGTGAAGAAGGAGGTGCAGAAGCAGAAGCATAGACTAAGCACTACTACGACTAGCCAAGAAGCAGTGCGACCCGAAAGCAGAAGACCGCCACCGGCTCTACTCGAGCGAAAGGTGCAGCAACTCATGGCAGAGTTTGAGGAGCAAGTTACCCCCTTGCTGGAATTCCGGCAGCGACCGTGGGTGGTACTGCATGACCGGGTGGCGTTTTTACTGGCCAATGCGGATCGTGGTGGACACCTTCATTTCCCTGCGGACGCCGGCACGGCTGCGAAACTAGCGCCGGCACGCGTTCTTCTACCAGTCGAATCCTCCGCGGGAAATGCCATAAACATCGACGGGAAGATGAACAAGGATTCATCCGCCAAGCAGCAGGCGTCTGATTCACCGCTGCTCAAATCAAGATTCGCAGCGAGCTCAAAAAGCAGCGCAGCGACGGACGATGAAGTAAACGGGATATTACTAGAGCCCCCGACGGGGAACAAACAGAAGCAACACCAAGGAAAAATTCTCCGTCCGGAGGATGATGATTTATGGTTGCCGTCGGAAAAGAACAAGATGGATTCGGCTTCTCGGGCGCAGCAGCCCGCTTTTGACAAAGGGATAGAAGTTGCGTGGCAAGAAGGTGGAACAAGTAGTACAAGTGTCAACTACGCTCCTTCATCCGGACCGCATGTACAACTTGTTGGCAGAACAAAGAACGAACTGTTTCTTGAACGCCTCTACCGCCACGCAGAGGAGACCGTGCACGAGGTGTACCGGTCGCAGAAGGCCTGCGCCAACACGGAGCGGCAGCCCAGCTTCAAGCAGATTACCAACATGATGTACAAGCTGCACGAGGATTTCTTCCTGACCAGCACCCTGCTCCGGCTTAACAACCGCATCCTTCTACGCGACCGGATACGCAGCCTACTCGACGGGACTACTAGCACGGGAGCTTCACCCGGACCGGCGGAGGAGAGCTGCGACGTCGTAGTCGCACAGGACAAGAGTCGTGAGCGGGAGGAAGGGCTGGAAATGGTTCTGGATGAAGAGGACGATCTTCTGAACGAAAAGGTCCTCGTCGCGGGGGCATCTTCACTGTTGTCCTCGTCTACCTCCGCGATTCAGAACAATGTCAAATCTACGACAGCAGGAGCGGTAGAACTACGAGCCAACACAACAGGTGCCGGAGCAACACTACTAGTACCACCGCGGTCCACCTCTCGATCATCGTTGCAGAAAAAGTACTCATCTAAAAAGAAAAAGAAGGCGAAGCGGCCCGTCCGCTGGACGGCGGCGGAGCGGCTGCAGTTGGAGACACTCTGCAACACGGAAGTCTACGTGCACAAGAATGCCACTAAGACGCCGATGTGGGCGGAAATCGCCCGGGAAATCGGAAACGGAAAAACGGGCACCAACTGCCGCGACCACTACCGCGCTGTCACCATGTTTGCGGCGACCTCAGGATTTGCTGATGGCGAGGATAATAAAGGAAAGAAGCCCTGGACCGCCTCAGAGGACAAAAAGATTATCGAGTTCGGTAGCACGCCCGCATTGTCCACCGCGACTTCTTGGGAAGCATTGGGCAGAGAGTTGAACAGAAAGAGCGCGCTGCTGCGCTACCGATGGAAAGTGTTGGCTGCCGGTAAAGGAAATAAACCGAAAAAGGCAATAAAGAGGAACAGCGAAGTGAAGAAAAGTAAAGTGGTGGTGGCGAAATCAAAAAAGAAAAAGGTCCAGCCGGGGGACACCAGCGAGAAAAAAACTGTTGTTCAACTACACAAGCGGGACGTCGAAAATGCTGACAAGAAAGACGAGAAGAAGCTTCTCGCGCCGGCCGAGAATGAATCAACATCACATGATGCGGCGAGTGCGGTCCACCCGATGAAGCGCGCGCGCGGCCGACCGATGAAAGTCGTCTCGGTGATCAAGCGCACTGCGAAGGGGCGCCCGCCTGGGTCAAAGAACAAGAAACCCGCGGTGTCGCACCTGAACAAAGGCAAGAACCCACCGGGGAGGCCGAAGGGGGCAAAGGACAAGAAAGCGCGAAAGCCAAGGGGAACGTAAGTGGAGCTGGGAAAGGGGACGGCGCCTTGGAGCAGTGCGAAAAAAATACATCCTCAAAAAAAAGCCATAGAAAGGTTCTGATCGGAAAGTTTCTCTCGGAATAGTGCAGCGAGCATGGACAACAGAGCAATAGCATGTACAACGAGAAATTATGCAGCTTCTTGTTTCATCTACCAAGACATGGCTGAAGTTCATGAGCGTGCTTCCAAGAAAGTGAGACTCAGCGGCAGTTGCACTAAGTGCTCTTTCTCAACACTGCCTCTATCATCTCTACAGCGACACTCATGACTTGATGACAGGAGTTTCTGGCGACTTTAAAAGACCTGCGCAATTGAAGTCCCATAAGAGGATAAAGCAGCGTCAAACTGCTATAGCGACATCGAATAGTACCCATTGCTGAAGAGCACTGTGGAAGCTCGGGTAAGTACCTCTGAGCTGTGCGGCGAGCACTCCGTAGATGCCTCGAGCTCGAAATTGAGCGCATGTGTTCCAGAAAAGTTCACCCTGTTTCTTCTTTACAGAAAGTTGTATCCTACAGCCGCTTTGAGACCGTGTTTTCTCACGGACCTCCTTACCCAGGCCAAGTTTCCGTTTCGTCCCGCTGACCCACTGCGGTCGTCTTTTTTTTTGGCCATCTGACAAAGACGCACTGCCTTCCGTTGGGTGGTTTTGGATGCATACTAACTTGTGTCGCAAGGACGTCATTGATTATCACTTATTGTCCGAATCCGTGTCTTCATTGACCGTGTGTGAAAACAAAATCACCTCGGTGCAACAAAACTACAGAGAAAGAATCATTTTAGCGAGGTACAGTAAACGCGTGCGTGACAGTGTGCCTGCTGCATCTTTGAGTACTTAATCGTTAATTATCCCCCCAAAAAAAACCCGCCCAAGATGGATGAGGCACAGAGCGTTCGCCAGATCCAGCAGATGGTCAACTTCATTTTGAATGAAGCCAAGGACAAGGCAGAATATCAACTGCAAAAATGTCTGGGTCTGGAAGAATGAAACTTGTGGTGCTGAACTTGGATTCCAAAAAAATCTGTATTGCATGAGCAGCAAAGAGAACGTAATTTGTGCTACGCGGAGAGGGCATTTGTCATGCGGAATAGGCATCGAGAAGCCCTCAAAAAATCTGTGACGCTAGGGCATGCATCACCGACATCATGGCTCATGCAAAACGTGCATGACAAGTCTCAGAATCTTGCAGACCCAGACATATTTGCAATCCATACAGAAGAGATCGATGCGAAAACGCTGGAAGAGTTCAACGTCGAAAAGCTGAAGTACGTGCAGGCACAGAAGGTAAGGAGTAGTTGTAACACTACAGGAGGAGGAAAACATGCTGCATTTGTAGATGTAGCTTAAGCTTTCTATAGGGGCTGTCACGCTGCATGGGCATTGGTTATGGTTTGCAATTCATTGCATATACGAATATGACATGCAGGATGTTGAGGAGACCTGGTTGTAGGTTCTTTGAATGCGTCTATGCGAAGTGCACATCTCTGTTCTTATCAGGACAAAATCCGAACGGAGCTGACGGAGAAAAAGAAGAAGCAGGAAACCGCAATGGCCATCGCCCGCAGTTCCGCCATCAACCGAGCGCGTATGCAGGCGGTCGAAGCCAGACAAAACGCTATGGTAGAAATTTTTCAACGGGCGCGTGCTGGGTTGTTGGCAGGCACTGTATGCAAATGCAGGAATAATATATAAAAACGAAAATCGAATATGAATAAAAGATAAAGGAGTGTCAAAAGTGCAGTAAAAACACGAAAACCAAAACAGACTGCGCTGAAGACAGAGTGCGAGGCGAATTTGTCCGCCGTGACCAATTATGGATTGCAAAAGTGTCTGGGTCTGGAAGGAAGATCTGAACTTGTGATGCGCATTTTAGAACACAGAAAAATCTCTCATGCATAGGTAGCAAAAGCTGCCCACTTTCTGTCACCAAAATGGGGGATTTCTCGTGCGGGTTCAGCATTGCGGAAGCTTGTCGAAACCTGTGATGCTAGAGCTTCCATGCCAGACCTGCTGTGTCATGCAAAAACAGCATGACTCTTCCAGACCCAGACATTTTTACATTTGATACCAAGGACCGAGCCCGATACTCCGCTTTGTGCTCCGACCTGATTGTCCAGGGCTGCTTGAAGTTGATGGAGGACTCAGTACTATAATTACACTGGTGTGTCGTGATCCTGGTCTTGATGTTCTCCATGCGTCACAAAATCTTCTGGCTGCAAAGAAATGCGTCCTTGCATGCGAAAGTAGTTGACGCCACAGCACAATCTCGTACCGTGCGTAGAAGCAAGTGAAAGTTCCCATGCATTGCTTGCGTGTCAGATGTCAGTTCGAAAACGAAATGCAATTCCGAATTCGATCAGGTCACCGTGAAGTGCCGCAAGGAGGATGAACAGTCCGTCAAGGCATCTTTGGATCAGGCCTCGCGAAAATACACGGATATTATCAAGAAAGAGACCGGCGTGCAGAAGACGGTATTGATTGTTCATACTTGTTACCGCGTGCTGAAGATTTTTTCCTCTTGTTGTGGTAATGCGCTTTTTATTATTGTTTCGTTTTTTCGCAGTGCAAGTCTTAGTTGGCCAACAGTGGATGTATAGTTTGTTGTAAATCGCGGAAAGCAACCACTAGTACGCTCAGCGTGAAGTAGTGCTTTTCATACGAATCCATCAGGTCCGGCTTGACCTGTCTAATGCCTGGTTGCCGGCCTCCTGCGGTGGCGGGGTGGTCCTGACCTGCCAGGGCAACACGATCAGCATCGATAACACCATGTTCACTCGGTTGGGCCTCGTCGTTGACAACGATCTCCCGAGTCTGCGCAAGATGCTCTTCCCGAAGAAGAAGTGAGTGGAGCAAGCATGATCCGTAGTTTCGATTGATACTTCTTTTTGTCTTGCTTGCTGGAGAAGGTCGCAAATTCTACTTGTGAAGAAGACCCACGTGTTTGATACTATACCTATACTGACTACTTTGTCAACAGTTTTTCACCGGAAAAATCCTTTGGATGATGAGCTATTAGAAGCAGAAACTGGCCGCGTTACTTATGCTGAGACCAGATTCTTGAAAAGCATAAGCGAATTTGTCCTTACATGGGAGAAGGAGCTGCTACGGTGCGGTGAAATAACGCACCGCATGAAAATTCATTTACGTGGAGCATCCATCTACACTTCTTCCTTACGACTTTTTATAGTTCTTTGAAACTACTTGTTGAATCCATCCTGATGTGCGATCAAAGAAGAACAGAAATAGACAAGAGTACACGGTGCTAAACGTATTGCCCCGGGCACTGAAAAATTACGTCTGATAAAAGCACACAGGCCGGTGATATCAGTTTTTTGGCAAAGGGTGCGAAGCGTTTGCAGCGAAGAAAGACACCGAAAAGAAATAAAATGAATACGAGAAAAGCCAGGGCGGGTCGCCTGTTTCGCTTGAAGAAGGATGCGTGAGGTGCACAGTGTTTTCCTAGAAAAGCAGCTCCCTTCGCTGCACCGCAGATGGTTCCTCGCAGAGTGCGTTTCTTACGATGTACTTACTGACTTTTAATTCACAGCATCAAATTCAAAACAAGTACAAGAGCTTCCATTCACGAAGTCTAAATGTCCAGAAATTGTATGGCTTCATCCAGGAGCGAGCGGGTCGACGAGTTTGAATCTTGCCGATGTTTACATGTCGTGTGAGGATTATAAACACATCATGCGGCACGACACGGCTGTCTATGTGTTGTCTCCACCAAGATTTCAGTACTCTGCGCAAGGCAGAAATTACTTGCACAACCATGATGCTCTCGTCTCGTCGCTTGTGCTTCGCTTTTCGTAGGGGCGGCCCATCCGCCGTCAACTACAGTGGCCGTTTCCGACCGCCGACCGCTGGGTCACGATTACCAATAACATGCTCTTTTCCTTTCGGACACCCTGCGGGAGTTGCACCTAGACTCGCTGGAGTGGCCGCGGTTCGTCAAAAAGCGGTTGCGCTCTGGTCGGTGAGCAGGACAAGAGATTTATCGACATGTGCCCGGGGGCGGCAAGCGCAAGAAGAATCCAGCCACGACTCCAGGAAGCGCGCACTCAAAAATCTCGTTGGGCGAGAAACTCCTGCTGCTACTTCTATCCGAGATTTTATTGCAGCGAGATCAAGATCGTTTTCGTCTGCGGCATCCGACGGCCGCCCGGAAGAAAGATGTGGGAAAAGCGACATTTCTGTGACGCAGAAAGCCGGTAACGCGCAAAGTCGCAGTGGAGATGGACTACATCAGGGACTGCAGGAGCAGGGTATAAAAAGTGGCGGCGAGACGAGGGAAAGCGAAAAGTCCAGCGAAGACGAGAAACCAAGGACGCTCCGTGGCATGTTCAAAGAATACGGGATGCCGTTTGTCATTGTGTACTTCTTATTTCTTGAAAGTGTTTTTTAAGTGATTCTCGGACGAAACGTCGGGATGCTTGCGTTGACGACTCGCTGTGTTAAATCTGATTGACTTCGGCATGAAACTGGAAGCTGCTAGCTGCAAGACACAGAGCACAATCAAACCCAAACAGCTCTCAATTATTAGACCCACAAATATTATAAAGGTACAACGGTCTGTATCTCGGTTCCCTGGCCTCGATTTACGCCGCCTTGTCCGCAAACGTGATAGAGTGGGAACAGATTCTGCAGCTGTGGGAAAGCGTGGTGCCACAATTTGTGAAGGCGAACTTGATTAATCTCCAAGAAGTGGACCCGAATAAGGGCAAGCTCGGCGTCGCAGTGTGCTTGAACCCAATCCTGGAACCCTTCCGCATTGTGTTAGCCATCGCGGTCGCGAAACCGCTGTCGCGAGCCTGGAAAAGCTGGAGGGCGAAGGGACCCAGATGATAAAAAACATTCAAAGGAATAAAGTATACGAGAAGTAGCAGGTCGCCGCTCCGAGCTTCATTGATTCATTTCTCGTGCGGCGATGAAGGTTTCGGGGGATAATGGATTCTTGAGCGATTCCAGCACATCGCGAGCATTTAAGTGCTCAGTCCGGCGTGCGTGGATCGATTGTATGATCAACGTGTCTGCTGAATGGACCACGTAACAATACCGCGCAGCTTCGGTTTGTATTGACTCTTGGGTAGTAGATGACGAGTCGCGAGCAGCGATGAAACACTCCGTTCTGTACGATGTAGGACTGAAAAATGAACTCTAGTCTGTTATACTTTCACCTCCGATCGACACGATAATTCCTGCGCAAGTACTAGGACAGGCAAGAGCGATAGGCGCCGTTCGATGCAGTGTCTGTCATGGACAAACGTCGTGTGACCCTGAATGAAGCGACTGGGATCGAGTGCTTTACGATTGGAAAAAAATGCTTTGTTTGAAATAGCATTTTTAGGATTTTCGCTCTCTTTGGAGTGTCCTCCCGCTGGCCCCCCTGGTTTTTTCAGGCTTGGCGCGGAAGCAAGATCTCCATTTCTTTCTTTCATTGATCATATCGGTTGCGTAGCAAGTCAATGCAATAGACTGCTACGAGGAAAAGGAAGCCGAAGGATCGATGAACCCAAAGCGACAGGATAAGCATACCAAGCCACGCAGGTCGCTCCGGCTACGGTGACCTACTCAGACTTCAACTTTGATTTTGCATTGCAATATACGCGATCGCTCGTTTCCTGTATAAGATGAATTTTTCTGCAGTCATTGATTTCAAATGGAAATGCAACACAGTTTCTGATCTCGCGTTCTTCAACACCGAAATTCCACATGCAGATGATTCATGATTGGCAAGAACACTTCGAATCTTTTCAAGCGCTCAATTTATTTCCTTGTTCTGCCTGTGCTTCGTCTACAAAAATGATCCGCGAGCAAGTTGTTTTCACATTGAAACAGCCACTACAGTGATTTTTTTATTTCGCTAAAAAGTCATCAGTATCACTCGCCTAGATTCCAACGCGTCGCCACATTAACAAACACAACGCATAGATTCATATTCTATTGCCACTCCAGTAGATTAGAAACAAGACACCGATTTTTAGAATAGCACGAAAATGGGCGGAAACAACAAGAAGCACACGATGACGGGAACGAAGAGCAAGAACCCGACAAGCGAGCAGATTTCGCTTTTGTCTTCCGATGATGAGGATATTGTCTACACCACCGTTCTTTCTGCTCCACAGCACGGGCGACGCAGCAAGTACAAGAATCTGTACCAGCTGAGCCCGCACAGTGACATCGAGAAGAACCTGGCCGCTACGGAGCAGCACCGGCCCTCGCAATACGGGAGCCCGCATTTGGATGAGTACGAAGTGGAGGACGAGACCAGGAGCCCCTATTCCTGTGGGTGCAGCTGGTGGCTCGTCGTGCTGCTGGTCGTGCTCGTGCTGGCTGTTCTGGCCTCCGCTACGGTGCTGATTTATTACGAGGTCGTCCGCGACCGACAGGACGAGGACCAGAGCCAGTTGCCCCCTCCTGTCCACCACCCAGTGGACGACTGGCAGTACTACCGCACGGACTGAGAAAAAGGCCAGGATTGGACTCTCTTTCGAGAGAAAAGATGGTGGAATCACCGCAACAACTTCAGCCGAAGCATATAAGCGAGCTATCCATGAGATGCGACATCTATCTATCATTTGGAGGTCTTGATGGTCCTCTTGTGATCGACGAAGATAAAGAGAGAGAGAGTCTAATCTCTATTGTTTCACGAACGACGACCGGAAGCGAAGAACGACATCGACCTCTGTGTATTAGCTGCGTCGACGACCCCCGGAAGAGGAGCAGGAGAAAATGACTGGGACCAGACTTGAAGAATTATCTTGAATTAGAAGATGAACAGAGAACTGCAATTTGTGCTTCACTTGTATGATTTCACCCCCCGTTTCTTTTGTGTGCTAGATGCGCACAAGAATGATGGTGGGACCTACGGCGTATGATGACAATGGCAGTATGGAAAGTAGTGGATAAATACTTAAAAGTTTCGTGTACGACTTACCTGCTCTGCAATCAGATATTATGACGCAGCGTATGACAGTTTCTGTACGCTGTATCAACTGGTTGTCCTCTGTATGATTGATGTTTCAACACGAACTCCAAAAGCTCTACCTTTTCTATCCTTAAAAATACCACTCTTTCATTTAACGACCACGTCAAGCGCGAAAAACGAAGCCAAACTACAGCAACAGACTTCTACGACTAATGTAAGTCACAGGGTTACTTATCAGGACTCCGCATAAAACCCGCTCGAATACTTACCGTACGATGACGTAGGAAGCTTATGTTGTACTTGCGAAGTCGCTCATGGCCAAATCATGGGCCGTAAATGTGGCTCTGGCTATGCGCGATGAACAAGTGAGCAGAAGTATTCTTCGAACAAATCAATGAAAAGGCAGAAAAAGAAGATTCAAAGATTGATGGGGGATAGAGCAGAACGCATGAGGAGAACTTTGAAAGCAATGTAACTTCTAGAAAGATAGAATCGATGAAAATCACCACTCACGCGCACTAACGGTTGTACTGCCGGGGGCTACCACGAAAGTTGCCGAGCTTTCCCAAGAACCCGACGGTGTGGGCTATCTACGAGAAGTCTTGTTTCATCGCGTTCTTCGCTTGCTTTTTCTGTTTGCACGTCGCTTCGTTTGAGGAAAGAAAATGAGTGGTAAAATAAGGCTCTGTTAGTGATACAGCGACAAGGTCGTGTTACACAAGCAGGTACAGGTTTTTTTAGTGCCATATCTTCATCTAACGAGACTGTCTCACCGCAATTCGCCCCCCTAGGTTATTCTCGGAGCGCGTTGCTTTCATTGTGACGAGAGTGCAGCAGATTATACCGTACCAGTGATGATGAATCTGGTTCGAAGTTGGAAAATACACATGAAGGTGGTGGAAGTGTGCCGCTATTTTTGAGAATTGAGACCAGACACGTGGCTGGTGCGTTGTACTCAAAAGTCAAGAAATATAATAATGTCCGACCCTGCCGGCTTTCCCTCGGTCGCCTCGGGGGACGCTAATGCGGAAGAAGCTCGCACCTTGCGAGAGCTGGTGAGCAAGCTCACGGCCGCGAATGAGTCGATGACACAGGATCGCGACCGCGAGGCGAAGAAGGCAAAACTGCTCGAACGCGAACTGCTGGCCCTCAGGGCTTCCACGGAACAGCTGCGGCAGTACCAGGGCATGCAGATCCAGCAGGACGAGCAGCTGGCGCAGCTCCTCCGCGAAAAGACCGAGGAGTGCGAGCAGTTGCGCCGTGAGCTATCCTATGTAAAAACGTACCCATCCCATAGTCAAGATGGGGAATCGGCTAGACAAATCCACAAGCTTTGGCTGTTTCGGATGACAAATTCGGACGCGTAGTGTAGTGCTGTTTGAGCTAGTTCAGCAGCATTACAGATCTAGTCTCTCATGCTGATTGGAGCATGACAAATTTCAAAACACCATTAGAAAATGCTCCTCATGGGGCTCCGCATGAGAAACATTTTAAGCATGCAGATTTGCATGACAACTATGGTGTGGGGACGTTTTTACACAGGATATGAGCTGCAAGAAAGTCGGGGCACGAGCGCGCAGCTGGACTTGCAGTTACGTGAGGCGCTGGCCCGCCTCCAGATTGCGCAGCAAGAGCAGGCCGCCATCATGTCGCAAGGTAGAACTGGGTTCTTGCCCGCGAACGCTTATCAGGATCCGAGCCGACACGACCCGTTCGCCGGTGGGCAGCTGCCCAACACTGCGTCTACCTACGGCCCGTCTGCGACGAAATTCGCCGACGCAACTGAGGACGAAAAGGAAGAGCAGGGCTACTTTGGCGACCTGGTGTTCTGGGCACTCGGCGATCCTGCGCGGCGCTGAGTCAGCTCGCTGCTTATCCGGGAGTATTGTCGTCCGATGGATGTTGCTGAACGAGGGGAACGGAGTCCGAGTCGCTTCATGGGTCAGCAGCACGTAGAAGTGTTTATCTCTCCCCAGCTCGTGCTCGTTGTATCCGCAGTTTCATTTTCGTTTCCACCCTCTAGTTTCGTGCTACTGTTTGTGTCGTGCAGCTGCGTGCGGATAGGATGATCATGATGTGTCATTCGTAGAAAATGCAGAAGCAAAAGCGAGAAAAAATGTCACGAGCACATATCCAAAGGTTGCAAGCCATGTATCCAGTTGTCAATATGAAGCTCGGAGATTAGAAACCTTTTTCAATGCTTCGCTGTGGTTGCAAACTCGTGATGAGTAGCATGAAAGAATACGGACAACCTGAGAAATTTTTGCCGACGCTTTCGATGTACTTCTACTCCCGTGGGTGTTTCCGCACGGTGTTCTGTATCTTTGACTTGAAAGCACAAGGCTTTGCGTGTTTGAAGCAGCAACATTGCGTGGTGGTATTGATCACGAGCGTTATTTTCAGGGCGTGACCGGGAGCAGGATCTCCGCGGTGTACAACAAACCACTGCATTTCTTTCGTACAGAAGTGAGTGCATGTCATTTAAGTAGTGTCACTGCGTGATTTGGGGTGCGTGGATCCGGAGTAGGAATTTTGAATACCACCTAGGGCGCCCGACGTCAGCATCTTACAAAAGAAACCATGACAATACTTGCAGTTGTTCCCTACTCTTTCGGCTGGGACAGATGAATTGTCACAGTAAGCAACTGAACTGAAGATGGACCACGCGGCACGCCAACCTGGAAATGAATCTATGAGGTGAGCAGTCTTTGCGTAGCAATCCTGCCACCGCAGTTGTCAAGATGTCGAGCTTCTTGATTGAGACGCTCCGGGTGACGAAGACCCTGACCCAGTCCCTCGGCGCGACTACGGATAGCATCTATGATGTCTTGGATCCTGAGAAGGAGCAATTTGGCACTGTTGTTGTGTTTCGCCACACGTACTCACGGTTCTACATACTTCTTTGCATTTGGTGAGGAAGAAGAACAAAAAGAGATGAACATTTTGACTCTTGAACTTTCGCCTACCCTGGATTGATTTATTTTGATCCTATGACAACATGATCTTTTTCCCCTTGATACCCGGGCCGCTGCGGCAGTTTCTGAACCGACTGAATTCCATGTCGGACGCTATGGTCCGGAAGACGATTCAGCAGTCGTACGCGTTTTTGCCGCACACCGCGAAGAATTCAGAGACCGCGAAAAACTTCGAGATGTTTGTGTTGTCCGCCCGCAGTGCCGTGAATGCGCTGACGGATAGTGCGAGCGAGCAAACTTTGAAAGCGACGATGCAGCAAGTGGCTGACCACGCAAACGAAAGCATGCAGATCATTGACCGCGAAAAGTTCAAGGTACTGGGTCCGGACGACCACATATCCTGTGTAAAAACGTCTCCACCCCATAGGAAATCTGCTAGACAAGTCAACAAGCTTCAGTTGCTGCGCATGACAAGTTTGGCCGTGTAGGGTAATAATCCTGTTGAGCTTGTTCAGCAACATCACAGATGTAGCATATAATGCCGATTGGAGCATGACAAGTTCCAAAATGCGACTAGATAATGCTTCTCATGGGGCTCTTAGCAGGTAGATTTGCATTACATTTACAACTACGGGATGGGGACGTGTTTACATAGAATACCACAACTGGGCGACCATCAAGGTCCTCGACGATATTTGGAAGCGAAATTTGGAGTTGGGTCGAATCGAAGACCTGCAGGACGTCGAGGGAGCAGACGTCCACGGTCTCGCACTGGGAGCAGGTGTATAAACGAGTAGTTTTTGATTTATCCATAATCAACAGCCGAATAGAGCAGGAATATTGTCTAGCAAGTATATCTATGTTGATTTCACAGCAGCAATGATAATGAAACGACATCGAGTGTCACCTTCACCCATGCATGTTACCTACTTTCGCGCCGCGGTAGTCCTCTGCAGAAGGTACTACGGCTGCTGAGATGAGTTCCTATGGGTAGAAGTTCATTGAAATTCGAAAAAAGACGCGACAACTTACTTTCCTGCAACACTCGTCCTACAGGGGCTTCCCGCCCCCGTTTTTCGCGCAAGGACGCCCGGGAATTTGTGCGGGTCATGAAGGAGGCGCGCAAGCAGCGTGGCGGCGATTTTCTGTTGCAGAAGTATGTGGAAAATTTGCTCGAGGACGCGGCGTTTCAGCGGGTGTCGCACCTGCCCGTCGCTTTGGAAAGGAAGCTTTACTACGATATCACGCGGTCCGTGCTGCAGATCTTGGAACTGGCGCTCACGAAACTGCACAACTTCGACATCGTGGGACACAGTGTGCAAGTCGAGTTTTCTCTCGCCTCGCAAGCGGAGGCGGCCAAGACCGGCCAGCATGTGGTAAGAAATAGTCTAATAGATTCTTTGGCAAGCAAAGTACGAGCGCCGTACCAAAGATATGGGATCATACACCAGTAGGGGAGAACCATTTACAAGCATTTTTCGGGCGTTTTGCATCAGGCGGACAAGATGGAACAAATGAGGAACGATCAAAACGGAGTCTTCCTAAAAACAGACGAAGCCCCTGCGTCACTGGACGCGAATCAATGAAAGTCGCGTGGAGATGGTGATTCAGCAGATCATGCAAGACCACCGCGATATGCGCAAGTACGAGAAGCTGGTACCCATCATCGAGACGCAGTTCATCACCACCGTGGCACAAGTCAGTATGCGCCTGGTGACCGACCTCTTCTGCGACGAGCGGATCAAGATCCGCGTGCTCGGCCACAACCTGCGATGGAATTTCGATCCCATGAGCACAGACGCCATAGAACGAATGTTCCAGGTAAGCTTTTCTTCATCTTGATCTTATATGCCGGTGGCTTTGATCATATTGATGTTGATGTACTTCTGTCGTATACTAGCCTTCATCTCGTCGTTGAAAAGAAGATTCATTTGTTACTGTGTTTTTTCGTCGCAAGTGAGCCGCGTGAACATCAATGATGTCCACAGAACCGCACCAGCGAGCGTGCCCGGGTGAACACGGAGGCCATTGCTTTGTTTGTTGATGAATTGCTGAATGACGAGGAGTTGAACATCCTTTGGCTTCCGGACGTGATAGAGTCGGAGATCTACAAGCACGCGCTGACCACGGTGATTGCCATGCTCGAGGACGTGCTCGCGAGTCTGGAGATTACGGTGCTCGGACTACAGTTCCGGTTTTCGCTGATCTCCGCCATACTGAAGAACGACCCCTTCCGCGCCGTGAACAACAACCTGGCGAATACCGCCAAGATCGGCCCCGCCGAGGGGACCGCGGACGGGGGCGGTAATTACAGTAGTATGCCCGGCAATACTAGTAGTGCCTTCGGTAGTACTACATCAGGTGCAGCAAGAACGTCTGCGACAGGAGTGGATTCAACAAGCGTACCTATTGCTGCTGCTGGAACTGGTACAGCTACACCGGGTCAACATCTTGATCATCTGGCAGCTGCTCCGGCCAGTCCCGCCTCCAACCCGCAGTTGACACTTTACACGACCCACGCGGAGCTGCAGGACCGGCTGAAAGCCATCTACAAGGAGACCGCCCTCCTGGAGAACGCCTTGGCGGAAAAGACCGGCACCTTTCAAAAATCTAAGGGCCGACAAGACACGACCAGGGCGGCTTTCTTTTCAGAAGGGCCTTTGGGGGACGAGGAGTTCGGACTGCGCAAAAAGCAGTCCGCCGTGTACGACCCGGCCACCGGGGAGATTCTCGCACCCGCCGTGGATCCAGAAGAGCAACCGTCCTCCGAAGTACAAAATGTTTCTTCCTCCTTGGCCGACCGCAGCAAACTCGAGTTCCAGAAGCTGGCTGCGCAGGAGTCGAAGCTCGCGCGGTTCCTGCAGGTGCGGACAACGTTGAAGGACATCGACATCGGGATCGTGTACGACATGATGAAGGATGTGGAGACGTACCCCACCTGGATGCCGATGTGCACGAAGGGCACGAAACTGTCCGACCAGCAGGTTTTGGTGGGGTTCGGTATCGACACGAAGACGCTGCTGGGCACCCTCGGCGACGACGTCAAGTACGACCTGGTGCTGTCCCCGCCGGCAAGAAGTAGTAGCACTTCTTCCGGCTTGAGAACAAGTAGTTCTACTTCATCCGAAGAAGTAGATGTGGGCGGTGCGCCGGATCAGGTTGTATCTGCGTCGTCTTCCAAGAAGACGAATCACGACCTCGAAGCGCGCGTGGTGTCCGACACGGGAAAGAATGGGTTTGCGTACGGGGACCGGTTGGTGTATGACTGGGTGTTTTTCTCCTCGGGGGAAACCCGGGAGACCGAAGTCGCCCTCAACTTGTTTCTCCAGGTGAACTCGGTGCTGTACCTCCCGATCTGGGACGCCTTGCAAAAAGTGCTCACCGACCAGATGCTGCAAGCCTTCGAGAAAGAAGCAGAAAGGAGGAGTGCTGCTGCAAAAAGAAGTGCTGCATCGTCTACAGAAGGTACTGCTAGTAAGGGGGCGTCCAAGGACTTTGTATCATCTGAAGTTGAAGAAACCGAACGTGCTGTATCAAGCGCGGGGATGAAAGAGGATGCGGCAAGTGTTGTTGCAGAGACAAGAGGCAGTACAGAAGGAGAAGCACAGGTGGAGTCTTCCACACAGAAGAAAGACACGTCGGCCACTGATGGGTCAGACCACTTGCCGACGGACGGCCTGAAGGAACCTAGTAGCGGCACGAAGAAGAAGGCACCGGCAAAGAATGCTAAGGCCGCTCAGGGAAACAAAAAGACGATCAAATGAAGGACGGACACTTTTTCTAGAGTAGAGCTTGATTCTGATTGATCATTCAGCACAGACATCTAGAGTTCTTTTGCTAGCTTATCAGACCTCACTCAGCCGACCGCTACTTCCCATACTGCGGTTGTATTGCTCTTCGTTCCTGATGTTCATGACGCTAGTGTGCTGCGTGGCTTCGCGGAATGCAGCCAGCTCCGTGCTGATGGTGATCACAAAGGTGTCACCCCGGAGGGCGGAACCGACCTGGTTAAAAAGTGTGTGTCAAAGTATCGCACTGGTAAGCGAAGGGAAAAACGTTGAGTGTTGCACCCTCGCGCTACCGTTTCATGTGAATCGGCCGCGTGAACAGGTGGACGCGAAGCGAGATCCGCGAAAAGCAAAATTGGTAGAAGAAAAGGCCCTGCGTGCTAGGAATATGATAATGATGATGAGAGTGTAGGGAGAGTCTCCAAAAGGTTTTTTCTCATTGATGACGGGGTTTGATATGTTTTCCCCAAGAGAAAGCAGAGTTTGAAGAAGCCGCTTTCTTGTTGCGGTGCTCCAATTTTTCTGCAGATGTTTTCTGGTCGTGGTCGACATGCTGTGTGGAACTCCGCTTACTTTTTTTGCGGATGCGGAGCTTCGTTGTCGACTACGTCCTCAGCAGGCCTACGCGGGCGTGGCCGACAGACAGTGGAGGACCGCATCAAGAAGGAGATATTTGCTGAGTACCGTCCCGACACGCCGCCTAATGAGTAAGCGGCCGATCCGACGGCTCCTCTGGACGTTCACATTGGAGTGGCTTTGCGTGCCGTGCAGCAGTTGGACCAACTTTCGGGGACCCAGATTCTGAACGTGTGGCTGCGCGAAAGGTGGACCGACACGCGGCTGAGTTGGAACGCGACCGAGCCGGGCGCTCCGAAGATGATGCAGGTCCCCGTCGACGAGAGGTTGAGGAAAACCCCGATCTGGACGCCGGACCTGTACCTGCTGAACACGGCCGAAAAGCCCATGAGCGAAATCGAGAACGGCCTGGCAACGGCGTACCCGGACGGCACGGTCGTGTGGTTACGTCCCGGGATGTTGACGGCAACCTGCGTGTTCGATCTCGAGGATTTTCCGCGCGACAAACAGAGTTGCTTCGTGGAATTCAGTTCTTGGGTGTACGATGTGGGCATGCTGGCCTTAAAGCCGTACGCGGGGACGTGGGAAGCCTCTCTCGACCTGGCCGTGTTGGATCCCAGCGTGGAGTGGCATGTCAGCGGGAACTTCGTCAGGCTCAATCGGGTTCTCTTCGGCTGCTGTCCAAATTCGTACGAGACCGTCCGTTTTTCCTACAGCGCAGTGCGAAAGTTTGAGTTCTACAATGCGATGTTTTTGAAGCCGGCCGTGGGCCTGATGGCGCTCGGGTTCTTCGCCGTCCTCATTCCTTTCATGATCGGCGAACGGATTTCCTTCTCCGCTACCATTCTGCTGTCTTTGGTCGTTTTTCAGTTGATACTGTCGGAGCACCTCCCCCGTAGCTCGAAGGCCACTTCACTGACGCGCCAGATCGACATGATGATGACTTTTGCCTGCGTCTACATCATCTTCGTAATTGTGTTGACGGCGTTGCAAGCGGGGACTTTTGCGGAGTACAGGACGTTCTTTGCCGACTTGCGCCGGAAACTTCTTCGCGGTGGTGCTGGGAAGGCTAACGAAGAGCGAGCCTCGCTGGCCTCTCATTTCGCGCAGGGTACGGCACCGGTCCGCTACGCGAGTGTCAAAATTTCGCAGCTGGAGCAAGAAACAGATCGTCTGCGTCTTCTCCTTCGGGACGAAAGCCAAGTTCGTGCAGGTGAAAGCAGAGCATTCGGAACCACGAGCCACTACAGTGTTTCTGGAGCAAAAAAAGACAGCTGCTCTTTCGCGGCCCCAAATAAAACTTCCTCGCTTTCGGTGCAAAATCCGGCAGCGATCACCCTGCACGTCAACGATACCGCTCTGCATGAGACTGATGCTTCGCGAGCGACTACTGGTAAACAAGATGTGCCGCCAGCTGGGATTCTTGCCGACGAGGCTGGGTCGCCAGCGTCGGGCTGCTTCAAGTCAAATTCACGCAGCGGTCCTATGCCGATGCGGAAATAAACAACACCTTCGGGCATTCGGACAATTCATCTATGCAACACTCATACAGTAAACTTTGAATACCACCTGGACGTCTTTGGCTGTTTGTGTGATACACGTCACGACCTGCGCCGCCGATGGCACATCCTTCTCTTGCGTGTGCTGCAAGTAGCAGATGCTACAAGTCATGCAGGTGGTAAATGGCCAGGAGTGCGAGTGGCGCCATCTTCGTGTTACCACATTTCTAAGATCATCAGCAGGACCAGCAGCACCGTACGGGTACCGGAAGAGCTCGTCGGACTAACAGTGAGAACTCTGGTGGAAGGTGTTGCAAATCAATAAGTGAGTATCCATCTCCTGCTGCAGGAACGAATGGCAAGAAAAGCAGAAGGCGCAGACACCATAATTATACAGAGTTTCATTTGTTTCTAGTTTCCTGTATTTCATCTTCTGTTGAAGCATTTCCGTAGCATACCATAGATATGTATGGATTTCTGTCGACATGTTCGTTTTCACTTTCCGCACAGAACACCGCCATCAGTGAACGAATATCCCTCCTCCAATGCGAAAGAGAAGCGTTATTAGAGGACCACGTTGAACAGACTACATTCATCAACGCGACGAGCACGAGATGGCTGTATATGAAGCAAGTGGGTTGTAGTTCACACGTGTGCTCTCATTTTTGGCTTTCTGTCTCCAAGAGAAATGCTGACGTAGATGAGGTGGATATGCATACTTCTTCGAAAGAGAGGAAGAGCAGCAGTTATGAAAGTGGTATCGCGCATAAAATTCGCGATGATGTAGCGCGATGTGTTCCAACTATGAGATTGGTTTTGGTAGTATTTTAGAACAAAAACGACTTATGTGCTTCTGTATGCAAGCACATTGTGCGTCGTTCATGCCGCTGAAGCCAGATCCGCTCCCTCCCGCTTTTTTCAGGGGCGCAAATACTTCTCGTCCACTTGCAATTTGTGAGCACCTCGTCCGACATCTTGTCTGTGTCTGCAAAATGTTTCACCTTTCTGTGCCCACGCGGTTCATGTACATGAAGCATGCATAACAAGGGTAAAAGTGATATCTTTGAAAGATCACTCGACATGCAAAGCGTAAGTAAATTGGCTGACATCCAAACCACAACGTTGTTGAAGCTCTTTTGATGGCACTTTATTGCGACTCGAAATGCTAGTGCGCAGTGAATGGTAGAGGATAATATGCGTGTACGCTTTCCTATTTGCAACACGCGGTGGGTACGTAAACAAATAAGATACAATTGCTCGCTCAGCAGCAGTAAGGAGCGTTGTTGGGTTCTTGTTTAGTAGCGGTAATTATCAAGGATTGTTGGGCGTATTCAATTTCAATATCAATACCCAAGTCGTCGTCGCTAACGCTACTCGTAAAGGAAGAATCCGTCGTTGTTGTCGTTCAATGCGTCGTCGCAAGCTTGTGAATGCGTATGCGCCTGGTCGTTCTTTTCGTACAGTCTTCGAAGCAGGTATCAAGTTCAAATAAAATAGGCCTCGCTCGTTGAAACTCATTGATGAGGAAACGACCAGCGTAGTTGTTTTTCGTGCAGTTCAAGTTCTTGCGTCACGGCCTTTCGTGCACAACAGCTACGTACAAAATTAGACACACCCAGAATTCGTCCGTATAGCACAAGCATAATGATGTAGCGTTTGGTTAGGTAAGGAAGTAGTAGTAGTACACAATCAATGAGTATGAGTCGACAGTAGTTTTTGAGGAAACCACCTCGTTCAAACGAAGGCCGCCCCCTTTACATCGATATCCCGATATTGCGTGGCCCAACTTGGAAACAAGCCGAAGCGTTTTCAGTAGGGGAAACAAAAGAGTAACCATTTGATTTCCTCCTATCACTAGTAGACAAAACTTGAAGTATAAACGCCAATCATGTCGCGAGTGACCATGACGTACTCGATGACGGGGCTGTGTCCCGTAATCTTGTTCTCTTCGCCAACCGAGGCTTTTTTGGTGCGAGTAAAGGAACCCACGGACAGCTCAAATGCGCATGACCATCATGATGCAACCGCAAGCCTCGACTCGCGTGCTGCCTCGTCGCATGGAGGTAACTCACTAGAGTCGTCTCTATTGCAGCGGCGCGGCAGGGTCGCCCGGTCTGAAACTACAATCAGAGATGCTGTTGACAGAAGTTTTCTCGATCTGGAAAAAACCGTTGCTGCAGCTATTGCACAACCTGGCGACTACAAGAGAGAAGACAGCAACGTCGGCGATTCTAATCTGAATCGTGACGACGGGAAGTATGATGTTGGCCCTCATGTTGATCAACGCCGTACCACGCGAACTGCAGGAGATCGAAGCGGTCGCTCGAAGCTCTTGCAGCGGAGCGCAGTACAAAATGGACGGGTAGATAAAGCAAGACTCGGTGGCGTTTCCGCAAACACGCTCTACTCCGACAAAAATTTTACCAACGCCTCTGCGTTGTCCTTTACGCAGGAGCAGCTCGACCTTGTGGAGGCCCGCGTGAAGAATCTCACCAGGACGATCGACGAGGAAATTCTGAGTACGTGCGCTGAAGAAGGGCAACAGGAAGGGAAACCCTTGAGACAGGCCAGTAACCTCGCGCCGCGATTCGCGCAGGAGGGATCATGCGATCATAATGCCGGTTCGTGTGCGCCGCTGGGAGGCGGGTGGGAGGTTTCTTTGGCAGGCAGTTCGGAAACAACGGTTGTCGGAAATCTGCAGCGAGCGTCGTTTTCTGAAGGGGATAATTAGTTCGACACTCAGATAAGTCGCCCTGTCGGCGAGAGGGAGAGCTTTTTTCCACGGATCCAAGCACGGTGGGCCAACAATGGGTTCCACTACAGTAGCACTGGCGCGCGCATCGACGATGACGGAACGATCTACCGAGACCAGAACTTTGACCAGGGCGCTGCTGCCGTGAATGTGACTGCGGACCTGGAACGTGAGAAAAATTTTGACAAATGCGTCGCTGCGCGCGTCGCAGGCTTGTTCGTGGACAGTTTTTACTTTGAAGGGCTTCCGGGCAGTTCAGGAAGGAACTCCTCGTCCAACAGAACGGCGCAAACTCGCGCTGCCGCAGCTGCACTTCTGCCTGACGTCGCGTACGCTAGCTTCGGGTTCGCAGCCACAGGCAGGCTGGTGGAGTGGCCGCAGGTGGACGTCACGATCAATACAAACGCCAACGGACGACACCACGATGACGCTCCCACAGCGGTGAAGGGCAACTACACCGAGCTACGGGCGCGGATGCGCAACCTGGACGGTCGAAAGACCCCTTGGTACGAACGAGCGACATCTGGGAAGAGTAGCCGTGTCCGGGGCAAGAACGTGGTTATCGCTGTCGACGCTTCATGGTCGATGAGCAAGCATGGAAAGTGGGAGGCTACCGGGATCGCGGTCCGGAAACTGCTGGACACTTTGGCGCCGGAGGACCGTTTTACTCTTTTTCAGTGGTCGAATGAAAGTCCAGAAGAGGACGAGGGGGTACTGGTGCAAACGGCACCGAAGAAGTTAGCATCGCTGGAGCTGCTGGCCGCTTCGCAGGATAATGTGCGCATCGCGAAGAATTGGATAAAGAAGATGGATCATAATTTCGGGTACGGACCAGGGCCGGCGTTTCTGGGGCTCTCGCTTGCGGCGGGATTCGGTATCTTCCCCAAGGACGTGAGGGAAAAGTGGGGTACTGAGTCGCTGACGGTCCCTACCCCAACGCAAGACTGCATCCGAGACGAGGACTTCTGTGGCGGCACCGTCCTTTTGATCACGGACGCAGAAGTCGGCGACTTGTTTGCTAACCGTGGAAACAAAGATAAGGCTGCATCGCTGCAGGCTCTTTTTCCCGAGAGATGGGGCGTCACTCTCTCCGCCTACGTCATCGCTCCAGCAACGAAGAACGTGATTGGCAGCTGGAAGTCTTTCAAGCAACTGTCGGAGAATCATGGCGGCTATCCGGTGCTGATCGACTACACCAAGAATGATATGGCCTCCACATCTGATATGGCGAGCACGATTCTGGGCTACCAAAAGATGGACGAAAGAAAGCTCGTGCAGCAGGAAAAAGTCGCCAATGTCGTCAAGTGGGTCCGCTACTACGATCCCCTCACCGGCAGGCAGCGGCTCTCCGCCTGCACAAAAATCTTCTCGTCCGGTCCGTATGTAGAAGAGGAAGCAACTTTCAGGGAGCTGAAGCACTACGCTGTTTTTTGCCTTGATGCTGCCCTGGTCCTGCGTGAGTCCTTTGAAGAGCGCTTGCGCTGTTTGCCGTTCTTGAGGGAAGAAATCAAGGCGAGGGCAAGAGCGGAGCAGCGCATAACTGCGCCCTGCCCCGCGTATGAATTTCGCGAAGAACGATGCGCAGCCAACAGCATGACCGGAAGAGGAGCCTTATACAACGAAACACTGAACAAGGAAACTTTCTTATGGCCTAGTGGCAACCCCATGAAAAGAATCGGCAAAAATGCAAAAGCGTTCAAAATTTCGGGGGAATCGTTCGAAGATTTGTCCAACCGGACCAAGTACCTTCGAAGTTGTACCGAAGCTGGAAAGTGTACAAACGCGACCGCCTCCACAGACGGAAGCGGAGAGGACCTGTTCAAAATGCCTCTGAATGCCCTCGGCCAAGAGGATGGGTGTGCCACCACGAGTACCACAACTACGCCAACTCGAACCACCACCATGAGTACCACCAGAGGCAGCGCCCACGGCGAAAAGATGCTACCGTCGTCCCGGGACGTCGCGCCAAGTGTGCCACAAGACGCCCCGCCAGGAGGTGTTGATACGGATTGCAAAATCAATACAAATACTGTCAGGGATTGGCATATTTTGAAGATAGACACATGGTAAAATTAGTCGTGGTAGTAGTATGTCATAAAGATGAAGACGATGTGATGCTGAAAATTAAAATTTCGCGACTTCTGCAGCAAGGGCTTGCAAAGCATACTGCGAAAAAAGATACCAATACCGTCGGATGAAACGCAGGTTCGATGACGATTAGTGCACCGATGATTTCCGTTCCAATGCGTAGAATTATGCGTTTTATCATCGAGCAGATTAAAAACGATTTCTTTATCGCGAACCCTGGCAGAATGTGTTTGCACGTCTTGATAAACGACAACGAGTCTTCTTGCGATTGCTGTGTTGTGCTTATGCTGATTGCCGCCGCCCTTCTGGTGATCCTCGCAGCAGCCCTGTGGCTGCACTTGAAGCGCGCACCAGAAGACACCAGTGGGACTTGACAATATTTCGGCACCGGAGTGGCCAACGAAAGCGGATAGGAGAGCAACGAGGACAGTGGAAACGCTGTCTAAACTGATGAGTGCTTAAAGAAAGTAGCCACCAGAGGACTTTCATAGTGAGTAGGTCTCTCAATTTTGCGGAACGTTTGATCTTTCCCTTTCGTCGTTTACGTGCTATGACTTACGTACAAAAAGTAAGAAACACAAAAACAAAAGTCACCCCTTCTTACCAAAGAGTAAAACTGTCACGGCTCGTCTTTATGTATACCCCTCGTTTCGCGCCGTACAGAATCAAAAACTTTCCCCCTTTGATAGTACCCGGAAGTTTAGAAATACCCCGTTTTGTTCGCAATTCCTCTTGTGTTGTTTCTCCAGCCTGAGCCAAAAAAATGCTTAGCCAGTTCGTATTTTTTTTTTATCAGAGTCACGTGGAATCCGAATCCACGCGACCAGCCTTAGCAAACACAAACACTTTCTACTATGCGCTTTTTTGTTGATTGTATGCATCGCTACGCCGCATTTTCGGAACAGGCGACGACACCAGCCAGAGTATTTCGCATTCTTCATGAGGAGAATTTTTGAGGTTCTTTGATTGATCGGACCAAATTTTCAGTACGGGGGTGTCGAGTCGTCTTCGAACGTTTATCAAGTCATCGGAAAATGGAAATGCGTCTCTGCAGTTCTTCCTGCTTCGGAAGCTAAGCGGAAGAAGGATGCAGGAGTTGCATATTTTTGAATTTGCCATGTCAGATACATGTTGAATCCGGCATCGTGCGCGTCGTTTCATAATGGTTTTTCGTACACTTCCCTGCGATGGATGGTCGTCAATCAGTTGACTTTTGACTTTTCGTGCAGCACAGAACAAGTTCTCGTCGTTGGAAACTCGTTTACAGCCCCTGATTCGTTCACAGCGACTGATCTGTCGATCCCCGCTTACGTTTTTTCTTTCGTGCTGAACAATAGAGTACCGTAGAAACTGCTGAAATGTATAGTACCTAAAAAGAGACAAACAGAAGTATCGTCCACTTGTCGTCCTCGTGCGCACTATCATGATCTAAAGTCGATGCTAGGGGCTACCTATTTTGGCTCTGGGAAAAGTAATACGCCTTTGCGCAGGACCATAATATCGTTTCCGCTTAAGAGGCTGTGCAACAATTGGACCCCCTTTCGCCAAGGCGAAAGGGGGGGGGGTAGGTTGGTCCAATTCCGGAGGACGGGAGCGGGCACCCCGACGCAAGGGTGAAAGGCGCGCCCGGCGGTCTCGCCTCACAACAGACAGTCGAACGCCCGGCGGCTCTTCTTCGTGTGGCGCCTTCGCAAGAGGCGGCTAGTTGTTGGTTGGCAGTAGGCGCACAGGCGTACTACGCAACGAGGCCGAAGCCAAATGCCTGCGATCTATGGGCGCGCTCCGAACCCGGCGCGCTGTAACATGTGGGCGCGCGCAGGACCAGGAGGGCGCGCGCCCGCGCTGTTTTTTTTCGCATTCCGAGCAGGAAGTCGCATCGGGCCGATTGTGGGCGCCCCAGCCATGTGTTGGCCCCGGGCTCCACGTGCTGCTCGGGGGTGCTTGACAAGTCGGCGGGCGCACGGAGTGCGCCCGAAGTTTTTTTTTGCCTCTTGTTGTGAGGCGCTGGCGGAGGGGAGGGAGGCATGCGCGCGCTGTCAGGGCCGGCGACTACAGATGTGCGCAGGCATGTTGCAGGGCGATGCGAATGTAGCCGCACCGGGCGCGCGCAGCGCGCCCCGCAAAATTTTGCACATTACGCGCGCGCAGGGCCGACAAATAAAAGGAACACAGCAGGGGGCGCGCGCAGCGCGAATTTTTTTTCAATTCTGGCAGCACGAGGACGAGCACAGGACGCAACTCAAGGCCCGCTCGCAGCGGGCACGCGCCCCGCAATTTTCTTTACTGCGCACGGCTCCCGGCGAAAGGGGGGGGGGGAGGGGGGAGGTTGGTCCCCAGCGGGCCGCTACCCCCCCTTTCGCCATGGCGAAAGGGGGTCCAATTGTCGCACAGCCTCTAAGGTTTGTATTTGTTGCGGTAGTTTTGTGTCTGAAAAAGATGCGCTGCACATTGATAAACAATGGCAAAATTATCACTATACACAGAGGCAAGCAAAAGCTTTGCTTAAGCAGGGAGCCCCTTGCAATGTTTTCCCTTGATGGGACTTAAATACGTCCACCCTAGCGCTAGTAATTTTCACTTTCGTATTATCATTCTTTCATGAACTTCAAAAGAGTCCTATAGCAATCTATCACAGTTTAAGAAAAAAGCAAAAAGTAATGGCTCGGGTTGTCAGGTCTTTCCTGAGTTCGTGCCTGCTTGATGTCTTTGCTCCAGTTTGCTTTTTGTCAACCGAGGCGTTCCTCCGGGTGAGAAAATCCAGAACCACGGCGTCCACGGCAGCTACAACAACCCAAGAAGACACGGGGGCCACTGAAGAGACAACGCGAATAAATGGTGGCGGGTCCTCCAGAGAGCGCTCCGTCGTGTCGACGTCCCTCGCCGGGCAAAAGACGTCTTTCTTACGGCGCGGCAGGACAAGGGTGCGGCAAGAAGACGACTTGGAACTACAGGTGGAGAGGTACGTTGACGCACAGGACGCAGCTGGAGGTGCCTCGGCTGACCGAGATGAAACGGGCGGCTTGAACCTCGATGATTGCAGTCGTGCAAAGGACAACGGAATAACAGACTTACAGGAGGGGGCGAACAGTTTCTTGAGTTTTGACGAACAAGAAAGTGTTGATGCTAGGTCGTCAAGCAACCTTCTTCAGGAAAAGGAACGCCAGCTAGAGGAAATAGTTCTCGATGAAAAGGACGAGGGCCCCAGCAGCCAAAGTACTGCACAGAGCCGGCTTTCTTCCGGGCTAATCAATGTGGAGCAGGGTGGACACGAAAAATCTGGGAAGGGGAGACGAGGAAAGGCCACAACTGCTGCGAAGATTTCCAGCGAAATGCTACCGCGTAAGGACGCCGGGGCAGCGTCTTCGTTTTTGCTCCGCGGGAAGGCGAGGACGTCTGGGAAGAAGACGGCGCGAGCCTTATTGATGAAAAAGTCACAGTTATTTGGTGGAAGAACGAAAGTAGAGTCACGCTCACGTCCTACAGGGGGAACAATTTCCGTGAAACAGGGAAACACGCGTCTTCGTGCCCGTGCGCAGCATGACCAGGTGGACGAAGAGGAGAGTGATTCTGATGCAGGCACCAGCACAACAGGAGAAGCGGTGGACGAGGCGGAAGTGAGACAAGCCGTCGAGGACGAAGTCGTGGTACAACAACCTGGAGCAGAGCCTAGTATGCAAGAAGAAAAAGCCGGAGCCGCAATTGGAAGTGCAACTCTGCAGACAGAGATGAACAAGAACAAGAAGAAGGTCAGCAACAGCATGTATTCACTTCTGCGAGCGGCACAGTCTCCGCACACGCTTTACTCCGACAAAGGTCTGACCGCGGACGAGCACCGGCGCTTCACGGTGGAGCAACTGGATCTGGTGGAGGAGAAAGTCAAAGAGCTGAAAAAAGTGATCGAAGAGAGTATTCTGCTGTCGGACGGCGCAACTGGCTGCCGGAAGTCGCGTCGGAACGGGGCCTCCTCTGCTGCCCTAAGCCAGAAGAAGGACCTGTTGCGTACGAGCGGCTCGCTGGTGCCGCGGTTTGGGGGCAGTTGCGACGCGGCGGGGAGTGGTAGTACTAGTAGTTCCCCCGGCTGCATTTCCCTCGGGAACGGCTGGGCGGCGGCCGGGAATACGCCGTCGGGGAAAGCGCTCGCAGGAGCAACACTTGCGGCCAACACCGCGGTTGGCGGCGACTTCGGAAAAGCGGCGTTTTCGGAAGGGGATGACTACTTCACCGCCCAGAGAACTGGTCGGACCGGCAGCTTCTTCCCGCGGATCCAAGCGCGGTGGGCTACCGACGGAATCCACTACAGCAGCACCGGGGCGCGCATCGACGGAAATGGAAGGATCCACCGGGACGAGCTCTTCAACGGGGGGGCTGATGACGTCGATGTTGCCGCGGACCTGGAAGACGAGAAAAATTTTGACGATTGCGTCGCTGCCAAAGTTGGGCGCATGCTCGTCGGCCAGTTCGGTTCTTCGGGAGCTCAACACGGTAGTTCTTTCGAACAGATTGTGGCGAATTCGCTGCTGCAGGGCGGGACCTCCAGTGCAGCAGCTGCAGCTCAAAATGGCGTTGATGAAGCTTCCGCAGTGCAGCTGCCCTATGTTGCGTACGCAAGCTTTGGGCTCGCTACCACCGGGAGAGTGGTAGAGTGGCCGCAAGTCGACGTCGTGCAGCGAACAACAGCACCCGGAAGCACATCGACAGCAGGAGCGGCCGCCCGGAACGAGCTGAGAGCGGAGCTGCGCACCCTGGACGCCCGTCATGCCCCCTGGTACGAGGGATCGACCCGGAAGCGTGTGGGCAAAAACGTGGTCCTTGCGGTGGACTTCTCCGGGTCGATGAGAAAGGATGGCAAGTGGGACACGGTCATTGCCGCGGTCCAGCAACTGCTGGACACGTTGTCGCCCTACGATCGGTTTGCAATTTTTCAGTGGTATCAGCCGTTCGCGCACACAGGCGGCGCGAACCTCGCTTCCCTGGAACTAGTCCCAGCCACGCGGAGAAACGTCAACCTCGCGAAAAATTGGATCAGAGAACGGAGGCAGTCCGGGTACTCGGAAACCAGCAGGGCGCCCGGCGCGGCGTTCACCGGACTCGCGCTGGCGTCGGGGCTGGGCATTTTTCCGGCCGACGCGCGGAGTCGGTACCCCAAGCTGGTCGCTCCGCAGCAAGACTGCATCCGCGACGAGGACTTCTGTGGGGCGATGGTGCTGCTGATTACGGACGCAGAAAAGACGGACACGAATGGGTTCGCGGACCTCGCGGACACGGCCGGGCTGCTGAAGGAACTCTTTCCCGCGCGGTGGGGGATTACCCTGGCCGCCTACGTGATCTCCCCACACAACGAGGTGGACAGCTGGAGCGCGTTCAAGCAACTACTGCAAGGAAAAATCCCTCCTCCCCATATTGAAAAGGTACGTTTCCGAAAATTTGCGTTGCTGATTTGAGGTCACAAATCACATCTGTCTTGCAAGAAGACAAGGGCAGAAGCTTCCGCCCCATTATGGAAGCGATTTGTCATGCTGCTGGGCCTAAAGGGGAGCCGTTTGCAATGCTGAACAACTAGACCCACACGCCCCTACCTAGGCTGGGGATCTGGCCGCAATGCCTTCCTGCAGTACACAGCTGATTTGTGTACACAAATCCAGCATCAGAAATTCCGTTTTGATATGGGGAGGGGGGATTTTTCCTTACGATAGCAACTGTCCGAGAACCACGGCGGTTCGCCGGTGCTGCTGGACTACGAGCACGGCGGCAGTGCTATCCCAGAGAAAAAAGCTGGCAGGGCATATTTGTAATGCAAAAATAAATACACAGAAAAATTTGTCATGGGTGGCCCCATAGCATGCTGTTTCGGATACGCAATGCAGTTTTTTTTGTGTATTTATTTTTGCATTACAAATTTGCCCTGCCAGCTTTTTTCTGTGTGATAAGTGCCGCCGCGTCGGACATGGCCACCACCATTCTCGGCTACCAGAAGACGGCGGAGCGAAGGCTGATGCAGCAGGAGAAGGACGCCGCGGGCGTCAAGTGGGTGCGGTACCACGATCCCTTCACCGGGAGGGAGCGGCTGTCCGCGTGCACCAAGCTGTTCTCGACGGGGCCTTACGCGGAGGAGGAGGCGGCGCTGCGGGAGCTGAAGCACTACGCGGTGTTCTGCCTCGACGCGGCGCTCATTCTGCGCGAGCCGTTTGACGCGCGGCTGCGGTGTCTGCCGTTCTTGAAGACCGAGGTGGGCACGAGGGCAGAGCAGGGCATCACCGCCGCCTGCCCGGCGTACGATTTTCGCGAGGAGCGCTGCGCCGCCAACAGCAGGTATGGGGACGGTATTTGGAAAACTCGACAACCGAAATTTGACTGGAGACTGTCGGACTTCGACGGAGGGGACGACGTTTTGTTCGGTCCCACGGTCAATTTTGAGTATTTTGCAGATCGAACCCAGTACCTGCAGAGTCTCAGCAATGCCGATGACATTAGTGGAGGTGCTTCAGCTGTTGACCTCTTCGGAAGTGTGCGAATGAAAGGCGGCTTCAACCCTTTCGAGCAAGAGGAGGGTTGCACCACAACGACGACGACCACCACGACAACTACCACGACGACTATCGCGACGACCACCACTACGACGTCCACAACGACCACAACTACAACCACCACCACAACAACCACCACAACAACCACCACAACAACCACCACAACAACAACCACCACAACAACCACCACAACAACCACCACGACAACCACCACAACAACCACCACAACAACCACCACAACAACCATCACAACAACCACCACAACAACCACCACAACAACCACCACAACTACAACCACAACTACAACCACCACCACATCAACTAGAACCACAACCACGACAACAACCACGACAACTACAACTACTACGAGTACAACCACCTCTACAACCACGACGACAACAACCACCACGACTGCGGCGGCGTTTATTATTGTTGACCCGACCAGCGTTCCATCCACTTCTTCTACGACGACCACGACTACGGAAGGACTTCTGCTAGCTCCAATTATGCCTGCCCCTCTTGCCGAGGACGATTGCTCGTTCCCCTGGATAATGCTCCTCGCATTCCTCACGGGCCTGCTCTGCTGCGCCGGGGGCGCGATGCTGCTGCTCCCAAGCAGCGAGCAGGGAGAAGATGTGTCCGCCGCAGCGGCAGGGGGAGGTGCTGGTGGTCTTCCTTCGCAACATGACGACAACCCGCGTCCAGAGCGAGATGACATGGTGTCTGGTGGTGGCTTCGGAACACCGGTGGACACCGTTCTTGCGTCGGACAAGACAAGCGCGAGCAAAGACGTAGATAGCTACACTGCACCACCTCTCGACGACGTTGCCGAGCAACAGTTTGCCGAAGAGGACACGGACTTTGAAGTGTCGGACTCCGCGTCTGCAATGTCCTCCTCTGCGATGTCTTCCTCTGAGCCAAGCAGTGCGCCCTCCGCGCTGGGAACAAAGAGGGGCAAGCGGAAAAATAAAGGGAAGACAAAGGTCGCCGGTTCGGGAAAATTGAAAAAAGCGAAGACGAAAGGGAAGGGACCGGCGCCGGAAGGTGCGTCGTCGAGTGAAACTGCGGACCACAGTACGCCGGCTCCTTCTGACACTGACGGGGCAACAAGTGCCTCCTCCTTGGACGCGCGAACAAGGGCGAAAGTGCAGAAGAACAGAGAGGACAGGAGAAAAATCAAAGCACAAGAAGCCGACGGCGCAGCAAGCGACACAAGTGGCGCAACGTCTGCCGGTGAGAGCGGGGCTAGTGACAGTTCCACTGGGCACATTGGTGCGAAGCGGAGGCGGGTCCTCAAGAGGAAGAAAAAGTGGGTGCCGAAGAAGCAAGGTGGCACAACAACGACCTTAGACGAAGATGGAGCATCCAGCAGGAAAATCGTCGCGGCAAATGGGGACGGCGCTGACCTGGGCAATCTCGCGGAATCCGTCGAGGCTGTCATGTTTCTTCCCGACGGTGGTGCGCACGAGGGAGCAACCTCAAGGCGCCAGCAGGCAGCAGCGGCCGGCGCCGAGGCCCAACTGAAGGTCCCGCGGCGCGGTACCACGCCAGTGCCTCTGGACGAGTTGAAGAAAACGCAAATTCCGAAAAGTCCACGGGAGAAAAACAAATCCGCAAAGATGCTCCAGAAAGCGGCTTCGAAAGCAAAAAGTGATCTTCCGCGCCAGAGAAAGGACCGAGGAAGAGGTGATCCTGGCGAGTCGTCTGAGCAAAGCGCGTCGGAACGAGAAGACGTTGCAGGTACAAAGAAGAAATCGGTGAAGCCAGCGGGGACGACTCAGAAAACGAAAACGGCAAACTTCTTCGGATCAAAAAAGGGGGCCAGTGCCGGCGCCACAGCAGCACCTCCGGGCGGTGGGGGGCCCGCAGGGATCGTCACGCCGGCCATCACGGAGGCGCAGGTGATAACCGGCGTGGAGCAAACCGACGCGGAGCGGCTTCTGCGAAAGGTAGGAATTGCGAAGAACTACGCGAAAAAGCTCGCGAGACGGCTGGCGGACCCGGAGGCTGACTTGTTGGATCAAGCTGGTGGCGTGGCTCCTTCCACCGAAAAGAGCCCGCACGACGCGAGGGCGTACAAAAATTTCCGCAAAAAGGAACAAGAAGCGAAGAGGAAGAACCAGCAGGAATTTGATGCGCTCACCGAAGGGGAGAAACAGACGCTGAAGAAGCTCGGGCTCGCACCCACAGACACCATTGGCCGCATGCGGGATGCGGTGGTGAAGCTGAAGAAGCAGAACAAGAAGGGAAAGCTACTTCCGTCGCCAGTCGTGAAGGCGCCGGTTGCTGCAAAGCATGGTCGCTTCGTGGTGCGCCCCAACACCGTGTTGCTCCCGAGCAAAAACGAGGTGGAAAAATTGCTGATGGGAAAGATCGGGCTTTCCAAGCCCTACGCCAAGCGGGTCGCGCGCAGGCTGCAGAATCCTGATGTAGATACAATTGCCAAGCCGCAAGAAAATTCGAACGATGCGCGGGCCATGGAGTCCTTCGGCTTTTCGAAGCCGGATGTTGACGGCGACGACGGCGCGACCGCCTCGTCCCCGGCGGAGCGGCTTCGCCTGTGGCTCAACCGGGCCGCAAGGGAAGAAAAGAAGAAGGCAAAGCAAAAAACTCCGATGACGTTCGCCGCCACGGACGCAGCAGGCGCAGACACAACAAAACCCTCCAGCGAGACGGAAATCCCAAAGCCTCCAGACGTGGCGGAAGCCACACAAGCGTTCATCAGCGCGGGGGTGGCCAAGAGGGCTGCGCGGAAGCTCGCCGAGCAGGTTGCCGACGCAGAGAAAACCGGCACTAGAAGTATTCCTTTGGCGCAGGAGTTTCTCAAGAAAAGGGGCGGCAGCAACACATCAGATGCTGAGGACGAAAGAGAAAAACAGCAGGCAATGCAACTCCTGTCCGCTCTTGGCCTGGAGAAAGACACCTTTACTGCGGAAGACGCGGCGACTTTTGTCCGGCGGCAGTTGAAGGAGGAAAAGAGACAGGACCAGCTGGCCCTGATGACGTTACCCAAGCCCGTGACCGAGCAGGCCCTGTTGACCACCGGGATGAGCGGGACGCTCGCGAACTGGCTGGCAACCCAGTGCGCGGACAAGCGCGTGGACAAAAGCGCCGACTTGACCAGCGGCAAAGACATCGCAGCCGCGGACCTGCAACTTCTGAAACAGATGGGCCTGTTCGGCGAGACCGAGACCGTCGGTAATTTGCGCTGCTTTTTGCACCAAAAACTGGAACAGAAATACGGCGTGGACGACGACACCGGGGAGCTGCAGATCGATCTGAAGAAGATGGAACTCTTAAACCTCGGTAACGCCGAGAAGGCGTTTAGTGCGCTGGGCTTCTCGAAGGCCGGGTCGAAGAAGCTCGCGAAAAAAGCAGTGGAGAATTCTGATAATTCCACCTCTACTGCTCCGGCCACCCAAGGAGCGCCGCAGGACTACTACGGCGCGACTGCGGACCACGAGATGAAGTTGAGTGCCGGGATGAAAACTAAATCTTCCGACTTCGACACCGTCGAGGATATGGACGCGACGGATTTAACTCTGATGTCGACCCTGACGGGCATGGACACTGCCACAACCGAGAGGACCGCGGTGGTTGCCGGATTTGCCAAGCGGCAGATCGCGCTTAAGACGAAGCGGGCCTCTCTCGATCTCTCCCCGGTGAAGGTCGTGGACGTCCAGCTGGGGAACGCCGAGCAAGTGCTGCTTGTGCAGGGTTTCGCGCCCAGGCTGGCGAAGAAACTGGCCAAGGCGGTCGTGAAGCACGCCGACGAGCAGGAGGATGAGTTTGAAAGTCAGGACGACAGTGCGAAGGACGAGATCTTCGGAGGTAGTGTTACGGCCCAAGCTACCATGGTATTAGACAAGGAGCAAGCGCTCACGAACCTGGCCGAGACGGAAGAGGAGAAGCGGCAGATCGAGGCGTTTTTACGGAATAAACGGACACCAGCTCCTGCACGCGGTCGGCCCGACGCAGAGGACACGTCGACCCTTCTTCAACATCCGGGAGATCAAACCGACGAAGAGTTCTTGCCGCTGACCACGGGCGACTTGCTGGAGGATTTGCGGGAGAGAATCGAGGAAAAATTGGACGAGGAGGCTCCCGCGGAGTGCCACGAACGCCTGCGGAACTCCCGGAAGAATCAGCAGTGCGCGTCGCTGGCCGCCAAGCTGGCCGCGGAGCAGGGGATCGAGCAGCCGGGCTCGAAACTCGAGCTGCTCCGAAGCAGCGCCACTCACGAGAATTCATCCCTCGGGGAACTGCAAAGGGAGCTCGCGAGAGCACGCCGGGGCAAGTTCCCCGGTGGAGGGGGTCCTCGTCCCAAGCAGCGACGCGGGCTGCTGGCGGGTATGTGCCCTTGTTTTTGCGGCGGGGCGGCCGCGGACGACGACGGGGACTATGCCTCAGACGAATCCTTCGAGCAAGTGCAAGAAACCCAACTGCTGCAGCACCCCCGGTCGTGGTCCCCGACGAGTGCACCACAAGAACCCGCGGCTGCGGGGGTAAGCGATGAACCTCCGCCTCCTGAAGGTATCGTCGTGGTGGCAGTTGATCCAGTTGTTGTACAACAACCTGGAGCTGCTGCTGACGAAGACGGGGAAATAAAGGGGGAAAGCAGCACCCCAGCTCCTGCAACCGCAACTGAAGAACAAATAGCGTACGTCAAGGAAGAGGATGCGTTCGGTGCCCAGAGCAGTCTGTCTAAAAGTGCATTCCTGCGCTTTCAAGCCGGGGCGGAGAAAGACCAGGAGAACGTCGAGCCCGGTTCTACCTCAAAGGTCGGAGTCGGAATTTTGCCTTCGGACCCTGTAATTCCGGCGCAGGAGCAGGCCACCACTCCTGATGTGTTGACCCCGCAGGGGTTTGAGATGTAGCATCCTGCATGGGACGATGAAAGTGTATTTTTAAGTTGCTACACCAGCGCATTTGCTTTTTTTTTTCTTTTACGCGCGATGCAGAAATTGCAATGTATGAGCTTTTGACGACCGTGATTGACAAAGACAAATTTGTCAGTGTAGATTGATTGTGGAAGTGTACATACTGGCTTTCGCATTCTTGTACGATTGTTATTGTTTCATTTCTTCTTTACACGAGTAGAAGAACATCAATAAAAAGCTTTCAGCTTCGTGTCCCCTTATTTCTTTGCGATGTGCTGCCCCGCCTTGAACAATTTTTGTTTTTCATTATTAAGGTACCCGGACCCGAACCCCAATTTTGTAGAATAGACGTAGACCTGTGAAGACGACGCCTTTTTACCCGGCAGAGCAATCCCAAAGATCGCTAGGTAGTACACAGTTTGTATGTAAGTACCCGGTTCGAGGACAACCAGTGATTTTTGTTGCGATGCTCCAGCATGTGCATGATTGAACAAATGATGTTCGGAGCAACATGATCTGCTTCCGATCGTCCATTTGTTCTGCAGTCCCTTTTCTCGCCTTGCTTGCAAACAGAAGTTTGGCGTTGCTCATTTTCGACTCGTAAATCTTCGTACAACATCTTCCTTGACATATCGTTTGGTTCAGAACTGGTTCATTCGTCCAAATCGTCTGACTTCGTTGGTCGTTCAAATTCAACACAGTTTCCATGACTTGCAACCCTCTAATAGAATTGATAGCCGGAAAACTTCCCCGAAGACTTTCGACGGGTAGCAGCGCGAGAATTTCGCAAACGGGCCGCGAGTGGACGCGTGGGCCACAAGGGGCCCGCCTTCCGTCTGGGGCAGTTTCTTTTTGAGAAACAACCTGCCAACATTCCGTCCAACAACAGGGCGCAAGGCCCGTGCTTTCTGACTTCCGACAAATCTTCATCGTTGAAAAGTGAAAAGCTACGGACTTCTCACTGCGTTTCCACTGGTCTTCTAGAAAAGGAGTGAAAAGTCAGCGACTTCTTGTTTCTGAAGCATTTCCATTCTGGAAAAGTGAGAAATCGGTGATTTGTCACTTCTGAAAAGTTTTCATGTTGAAAAGCGAGAAGTCGCTCCGCTGACTTCTGAAAAGTTTTCATTTGGGAAAAGTGAGAAATCACTGACTTCTCACTCGGTTTCTCGAACAATCCGAGAAATGGAGTGGGAAAAATGTGACTTCTCACTTTGCAAGACTCTCACTCTGGTCGGAGTCGCGTTGACTCTTCCCAGAGTGAGAATTTTTCAAAAGTGAGAAATCAGTGATTTCTCACTACTTTTCTCGAAGGTACCCGAGCGCCAAATTTCTTCGGGGCTCGGGTACCTTCGAGAAAAGTAGTGAGAAATCACTGATTTCTCACTTTTGAAAAATTCTCACTCTGGAGTCGGACTCCAAAAAGGTTTCCAGCCGTCAAGATTTCGCGAGAGTGAGAAATCACTGATTTCTCACTTTTGAAAAATTCTCACTCTGGAGTCGGACTCCAAAAAGGTTTCCAGCCGTCAAGATTTCGCGAGAGTGAGAAATCACTGATTTCTCACTTCTTTTCTCTAAGCCTTTCGGGATGTGTAGGCGACTTCCCACTCCGAATGAAAAAGCCAGTGAGCTTTCACTTGGTTTTTTGAATGTCTTCGGGAGGCAGCGCGAAACCTCGCTGCATGCGAAAAGTTAATGGAATTTCATTCCCCCACTTCTCCAGCCTATTCGTAAAGTGTAGCCAATAGGAGCGGACTTTTTACTCCCTTGCTCCTGAGGGGACCTCTGGGCGAGCCCGAAGTGCAAAGCCAGCGCGCTTTCGCTTTTGTTGTCAGCGCGCTCGCAAAGTCAGCCGGCTTTGATTGCCCCCCTAGGGGGATTTGTTTTGTGCCGTCGATCTTCGTTCTGCTGCAGAGGTTTGCGAAGCTTCAAAAGAACTACTAACTTACACTATTTCGTTGGTCGTTCAAATTCAACACAGTTTCCTTGTTCGTCTGTCGTGCCGTGCCGCATCAAACGGTTCCTCGTTGTTTCGTTTCTCGACACCAAAATCTGCTTTTCAGTTTTCCTGATGAAGCACTTCATTTCTCCTAACAGGCTAGGGCTAGGCTACGACACCGCGGTTGCGCTTTAATTTCTTTGAAGAACAAGCGGCTTGACGCTGCTTCCACCGGTCTTAGGATTACGTAGTACAAAGACGTTCTTTAAATTTGATGTTGAACAAATGACTGCGGCAGGACAGCAGCGACCATGCATGATCTACCAAGGTCCAGCTCGTTCCGCGCGTCTGAAAGATGTCTGAAGGTCGGTACCTACACCTATGGTTGCTTCTTGTGCGCTGCCGTCCAGCGGCATCAAAATGCAAAATATTATACTTTTTTGAGTAGAACAGGATAAGAAGAAGCATGTCCGCGGCATGATAAAGTTTCCTCGGGACAACCTTCTCCGGGCAGAGGTCGTGCAAGAAGAGCTCGACGTCCAGGTGGTCCACTTGTGCTATGAGATCAGCCAGCAGCAGCTTCCCCCGACGCAGCAGCAGCTCGTGCAATTGCGCAGTTTACTGCGGGCCCATGCGGACCCGAGCGCACGGCGGATTTCCACCGACGCGCTGCACGCAGTTGCGTTCGAGCCGGACAGCGCCGATGGACGGGTGGTGCCTACCGGAGTGCGCCTGGTAGAGCCGAGAGGTAGAAGGGCAACAGCATTTCCGCATGGACAGCGCCCAAGATCACCTGGAGGTCGTGGCGTCGCCGCCCGTCGCGTGAACACCATCGATTTTGGGGCCAAGTATTTGAAGCGCAACCCCGATTCGGTTCTGCAGGTGGAGAAAGAGGGACGGCTGCGGCAAGGGATTACGGCGGACATTCCCGCCGCAAACCGTGATTACCTCAATCGCAGTAATAAAACACCGCAGCAAAATAGAACTTCTACGCGGTTGTACGCCACGGCGTCGTTTTTGGAGACGCGCCAAAACCGGGATCCGTTGAGTCCCTTCGAGGAGCAGAGAAATCACAACCAGTTTGTGGCGAACCACCTGAAGCCAAGGAGCGGCCAGTCCTGCGTACACCTGCTGGCTGCGGCGGACAAGAACATCCTCGCCCTGGATCTGCTGCTGCGAGATAGTCCGCCGACCTATGATGTGGCTGCGGAAGGAGAGGGACGAGATCGAGGAGAGGGTGATGTTCGACAGAGCGCGTTGCCTTTTTTCCCCGATGACTTCGGCGACACACCGGTCATGGTTGCAGTGAAGAATAACGCTCTTCGCACCGCAAGGTTTCTGCTCGCTTTCGAGCACTATCCGGACATGATAAGTCAGGGAGGTAAAAATAAAAAGCTGCAGGATGATGTTGACGTTCGAACGCGGCTTCGGAAAGCAGACGCAGAAGAAGAAAATCAGATGCTGATTAGAGACGATAGTAATAACTCTGCAAAGGATGATGCAAGAGCAGCAACTTCGTTTCTCGATTTTGTGAGTGCGGCGGGAGCTGTAGGACGAGAGGCGTTCGGTACATTATCTTCTACCCTGGAAGGTGGAGCTTCCCCTGCTGTTTCCCATTTTCCGAGCCTGTTTCTCTTCGGTATGGACGACCCGCATCACGCTGCCTTGCGCTGGACGCGCACCATGTACAGGCTTTTGGAGGCGGGACGGGAGGAGGGCGGGACGACGTCACACAGAGCTGCGAGAAGCGTTTCTGGAAGCGAGGAGAGCGATCTCGAGTCCGGAGAAGACGCTGCTTCGGACAAGTATGCTGTCGAATTGCAAGATGTTGAACAGGGAGTATCTGTAGGTCTCGACGCCAACGCGACTCGGGGCCTTCTCCAAGAGAAGACACTTTTGATCCTTATGTTTGCGAGTTGCCCGATGGACATGACGGGTTCGTCCACCGAGTTCCCTACGTTGGTGGGCCGGTTCCTTGCCTTCTGCGTTCAGACCAGAAGGAATGAGCGGTTGCAGACGATGCTGGAAATTGTCAATTTTTTTCTCGACAACTCCGCTCCGGAGTGGCTGGATCCGGAGGTAGAAAAGCAATTGCGCTGCGCCACAGGTGGGGCGCCGTCTCCTTCTTCCGCGGCTCAGCTCATGTTTACTAGCGTTTCGGGAGGTCTTCTACCTGGAGCCTTCTCTGGCAGCAGATTCCAACAGCTGCAAGCTTGTTTGCAGCAGAACCCGCGAGCGCTTTTTTTGGACGTTGTGTCTCGACATTCGCTCGCCTACCTGGCGGTCTCGCAGCTGAACGACAAGGACATTTACGAGGAAATTTTGCTCAAAAGCGCTCCAGCGTCGTTGCACGCTTTCCACCGGTTATCGGACAAATTGAAGGCGGAAGCGTTCAATTACGGTTTTTTGAAAGCGGTTTGTGAGGGCAACTACGAGAAGTTGAAACAGTTTTATTTTCACGAGGAGGCGCGGAACTCCGTGCAAGTGAAGCTCTTCGTCGACAGACAGTTCGAGAATACGGCGCTGCACTGGGCCGCGCAAAACGACTTTCACGAACTGTGCGCCCACCTGTTGAAAAGTAGGTCCGATCCAATGAAGACCAACAAGCAGGGCCAAATCCCCGCGGATCTAGCGCCGCAGAATTCCGCGCTGCGGCAGCAACTGTGGCGCGCGTTTGTCTTGGCCGCCGAAGTGGAGAAGGCGAAGGCTTCGACGTTGCTGGGCACCGACCTGACGGGCGCGTTGCAGATGGACAAAACATTCATCGAAACGTATGAAATCGACGTGGAACAAGTAGACCTTGACCTTCTCGCGATGTCTTCAGCTGCCTCACCTGCAGGAGCACAACACAGTCGTGCAGCCGTGGAAGCTGCACGTAGTGGCCGCGATAGGACGACATCAACTACATCTTCACCGAGGATCATGGAACCGATGATAACTCCCACCAGCAAGGGCGTGTTATACATTCAGATTCTGAACTGCAAGAACCTTCCGCGGGCGAGTAATTTCAAAAGTCTTTTCGGCCTGGAGCCCGAGGAGCCCCGGTGCTACGTCGAGGTGATCGTGGACAGCAACAGGAAAAAGACGCTGCCGGCCTTGAACGGGCACAGCTGCGACCCCGTCTTCGAGACCACAAGTAAGTTTTCCGCCTTCCATATGGATGTGTCAGGATTGAAATCGACAAAGTTGAAATAATTTGTAATGCATAAAATGCATAACCCGAGGTACGTGTGTTGCAGAGCAGGCAAGTGAGGCCGACTGTAAGCCTGTTTGGGGTTACAGCTCGAGCTGCTAAAGTAGCATGAGAAAATCACTCTTCTTTGCCTAAACAGCACGACAAACTGGATTTAGAGACCGCCGAAATTTGTCATGCGCCACTTGGAAACTGGGTTCCAACTAGCATCCATTTTATGCATGACAACTTTTAGTACGCATGGGGTCTGCTTGTGGCTGCTGCTTCCTTATAGCAGTATGTCTGGTGGGCTCCTGCACAGTTTGTTGGCGCAATAAGTTGGTTCGTTGGCGAACGTTAAACGTATTCTGTTGGCAAAAAGTTGGGAATGTTGGCGAACAATAAACGCATCTGTTGGCGCAATGTAAGGATCGTTGGCGAACGTTAAACGCATGTTGGCGATGTGAGGACTGTGTGCGAAAGTAAGGTAAAGGCGGCGTAAAGTTGGATGTGCCCGGGGATGATGGTGATGGCTTCGGTCCGCCTGACTCCGCGACCTGGTGGCCGAACCACGTGCGGTTCGGTGCCCTTACAGGTTGTGTAGTGGTTTCGGTCGGTTTAGCATGACAAATTATTTCAACTTTGTCGATTTCAACTCTGACACATCCATATTCCAGTTCCCGTGTACCCCGGACACGACCGTGAAGCTGTTGGTCTTCCACCACGAAGGGGTGCTGTTTGGCGGCGACGACTTCATCGGGAGTTACTTCTTTCACCTGGGCCACGAACTGCACAAAACGCCGCAGATCGAGAAGCGCACCGGCGGTGGCGGGGGCTTAGTAGCTGCGAGCACCGCCACCAATGCAGCGGAGGAAATAAAAGCGACCGGGGTGACACTCACCAGAAGACTGGAAAAATTGCAATCTGACCATTCTATCGCCGCCCTCGAACAACAAGCCGAGGAACTAGGCGACGCAGAAAATTATTCGAGACCCGAGGAGTTGTACGGCGGTCCTTCTAGTAGAAGAACATCTACTGCCTCTGCCAACCGCTGGCCGCACTCCGGGAGGCCAGAAATCGAGTTTCGTGTGTCTTACGACCGCACGCAGCTGCAATCCACGACGAAGATGGTGGGGGTGAACCAAAACGCTTTGTCCGACCACGATACGCGGGATCCGTTCAATCACTCGTTCGAAAACTTTATGTTTCACTACGCGAAAGAGCCCGAATTCTTCAAGTACTTACCACGAAACCCGCTATTTTGACGATGTTGAAAGTACTTCTTTTCAGAAATAGGGGGCCGCGAGGAGCAGGCGCACCGAGTGATAATGGTTTTGATCGCATTGATCTGCTTTGATGTTCCTTCTCACAACTACACCTATAGAGCAGTGAAAACTCGGCAGTGCCCTGACAGTATCGGGCTTACCTAGGCGCGAGAACCACGCCCGCGCATGTTGTTCTATCTCGTAACTGTATCTATCAGCTGAAAAATATTGCTCCGCATGACCGCAACGAAGCAGTTCTATTAGTTTACTCGTCCTCGTTATATCGTGGGACGGGTCGTGGTGCCGCGTTCGTGCGAATTCGCATTCGGAAAATGAACACACTGCCGGTAGTGCTCTTAGTATTTCCAGTCGGTTCTCCAGCTCAAGGGTGTATATGAATTCTGCGCAACGCCAACGTCAGAAAGCTTCGTCTTGAATCGATGTACGTCGGCACGAGACTTGCGACGGATGGACCTCCGCACATTACGAGAATGAATCGGTTGCCTTGTCGTTAGTATCTTCAGCACTAGTTCTTCTGAAGATGATGAAGAAGAATGTGTTTCATCAGTTTTTTTTTTCGCAATCACTTTCGTTTTTGTTTAGTTTTCTATCCACTTAGTTTGTCTTGTGTGCAGGTGCAGGACTAGGATCAGAAGCCGTGAATAAAGATCAGCAAGAGCAGTCATTCAAAATGTTGGTGGAGGAAAGGGTGCAGCACACACATGGCGAAACCACCAAGCTCTTTTCCCCCCAAGATACCGTCCTCACCCCCGTGGGGGCCTGCAATTGCGACCGCGCAGCGCCGCCCGGCTTTCTGTTGCGCGGGGGCGGAGCAGTGTGTACACATGTTGGGGTTGCCGTTTGCGTCACGACAAATTGGGACGGCTTGGGAAGTACTGGTTTTCTTCCTATTGTGTTCCGACTCGACGTGTTGAGCGTTGTGATGCGCGCACGTAAAAAATAAAAATGTACTACTAACTAGCACCTGAGACGATAGAGCAGATAAGTGCGAAGTGCATGGGCATGATTCTATGATAGGCCTTTGATCATTGCTCATGCTCTACTTCAGTGAATGCACTGCAAAAACGAAAACAGGTGATGCAATGCATGCTCAAACGCGGTACTTGGTTTGTCTCTGGGTTACTCTCGTGATGATGCTATTTTTCGCCGACCTGGCGGAGAAGAAGGAGGCGGAGGAGCACGGTGCGGTAAGCGGCCACGTGCTTCTGGCCGCGTATGCAGTCCTCGTCATAGTGCACATCGGCGCGTATTTGTTAGCAGTTTTTCACATTCTGACCTGGGAACCACAACTGTACATGGCGGGGCGGAAAAATAGAAGCAAAGCCGTCGTAGGACCACCGCAGGGAGTTTGAGAAGTTTATTTGGAGATCCATCTATTCTCTTCCACCTTGTGCTTCAATTCCAGCCCTAGCTAGTTGTAGTGTACCTATTTCCTTTGGAAGATCTCGAACTTTGCAAGCACGACGTGTCAAAATTAAAGCCTCAAGGTGTGCTGTTTCTGGAGGGCAACATTTTCGTTTCCACTGTACCTTTTCAGCGTTGTTGTTTTCTATTCCGACTTGTAGTCGTAAAAATTGTAAATGAAAAATTGTTTGCGGAAATGATGAAAAATTAATTGTCATTCAAAATAAACTTGGAATGTGGACGTGAATGTGGAGGAATCGATTGTGATTGCTGCGTACAGGGCGGGAAAAAACGAAGAACAACTTTGAAACAGTGCTTGCGCATGAGCATGTGATCGAAGTGAAGAATGTCGCCCGTGGTCGTGCTGCTTTTTTGATTTTGTTGATAGTGTCGATCTTGGATTGTTTTGTAGATGAAACACGACTATGCCATTTTGGCTGAAGTTTCCATCCTTGTTTCAACGTTGTCGGTCCTTGTTTGCTTTTTTGATTTTGTATAATTCTGCACAGACGAATGAAAAATACTACGTCTAGGTGATAGGCGTGCTGAGTTGCAGTAGTCGTCCACACTGCAGCACCAGAGTGATTTATTATGGTCATCGCTTGCATGACTTTAACGAAGCAGCCTTGAAGCCGGAAGTTGATGTAGGAACTCTGCATCTAAGTAAAGTATTGGTCAATGAGCCTCCTTTTTTGAAATGTCTGCGTCTGCCATAAACCTTCCGCCCGACCCCGGAGTGGTTGCAGAGCAGGAAACCGACATGCCGCCAGCGCAGCTTCGGCAGCGAAATTTCTCTAAGTCGGCGGATGATGAAAATGCTGCTGCGCTGCACCCTGATCAGACTGCCGCTGCACGCAAGAAAGTGGGACCTGCACTTTCCTCAAGAAAAGAGACGCAGCAGCTGGAAGAAGAGAGTGAGGAGCTAGGGCCAGACCAAGAGACAACGATCCGCCAAGCTGAGGACAATACCGCCGAGGACGGAGCTGATGTTCCTCTTCTGGAACGAGAACACCGGGTTTCTGATGAGCACAGTAGACCACGTTCTGCTAGCGAGGACGACGGTGATGAAGAAAAAAAAACCAACAGGGCGGCAACATCGCTGCTCAACTTGTTCGAAGCAATGTGGAAGAGACGAGGACAGGTGGCCCTGTTGCTTGTCGGAGTGGCCGTGGACAGGTTCCTTCTAACGTCCTCTCGTGAAGAAGACCCTGCCGCATCAACATCAACTGCATCCGATCCCCATGGCTCCTTGGTGGAGACCAAAGCGGCAGGCTCTACTTTTGACTCCGAGCATCGACGTGACACCGAGGACCAGGAGGATGGCGTGTTCGATAGCGCGGAACTAGAAGAGCCTGCGGTGGCTCACATGCGTGATGTGCCACAAGGTGAAGGGATCCTGAACTTTGACCGCGGCACTGGTACGCCGACACGTCTGCAGAGCGATCGCGACCTGTTAGCCTCAAAGGAACAAGCGCAGCAAAATGACGGTGCTGCAATGATGAAGCAGGCTGCGAGGATACAAAGTAAGTCCGGAAGCAGGCTGCAGCCACGAGAAGAGCAGGAGTCGCCAACGTCGGCCGTAATGCAGCTCCAAGATGGCGGCGCGACAAGGATGAAAAGGCAACAAATTTCGGGCAGGAGGAGCGAAACAAAAACAACCGCGGAAACACAACCAAGCGACAGCGAATCACAAAGAGAAACAGGCGCGACCAGTAGAAGCACGACATCAAAGTCGAAGGCAGCAAAAAAACGGAAGGGGAATCAAGAAAAACCAAAGAGAGCCGAGCAGGCTGGAAAGCCCAGCGAGGAAGAAGTAGAAAATGAAGAGCCGGCCCTTTCATCATCTTCCACAGCCTTCTTGAAAGTAGCGCAGCACGACGTGGAGCCCCCGTTACGGACAGACAAGCATTTGATTCTGGACCGCAACGACGAGATCGTCATTCTTCAGGGGACCAATTGGGCCGCGCACTGGGCCACCGGTACGCCGCTCACATTTCGCTACCTTACACTCCAGGAAGTCGCGGATTTTCTTGTGAGTCAGAACTTCAACCACGTTCGTTTGACTTTCAGCCTGGATAGCCTTTTTGGCTTGATTCAATTTGACACAGAGCAGGAATTCGAAGCGCACATCCGCCACTGGTTTCGGGCGGACCAGCCGCTTGCAGAGAAGGTAATTGCGTTCCAAAAGAATGCTGCGCAACTAGACCACCAGCAGCAGGATAACATCGCGGATTACGACGTCCACTACGACGAGACCCTTTTGGCGGACGAGGCAAAGTTCACCGACGCGCTCAGACAGTATGTTGACAAGTCCTGGTCCTTCTTCCTGTTATCCGAAATCGTGAAGGTTCTCACCGAGAGGAAAATTATGGTGATCCTGAACAACCACGTGTCGATGGCCGGGCCCTGCTGCTCCCTGGCTGGAAGGGTGGACGGGAACGAGTACTGGTTTAACGGCGACGACTTTTCGCCGGACCCGACCTACGCCCATCCCTCGAACGGGCAGGCGTACAACGAAAAGAAGTTGCACAAGCAGTACGGCCTCCCCTGTATGGCGCTCTCAAGTTGGACGCTGGTCACTGTTGCAAGCATCACTGTAGTTCCTTGATTTGCCACACAGAGCCTCTACCAGCATCAGCATGCTCAAGCTGGCTTGCCTGACTGCTCCGTGCCAGATTTGTAACTGAAAGAGCACATAGCCCCGCGATTGCTTTAGCGGCTCTGCCATTTTAGAAATCGTCAAAGAGAGATCATGCAACAGCGATCAATGTAACGCTCGAGGAGGTCGCCATACCCCTAATCAAGAACTTTTACAGCGAGCGCTCGTGGCTGTCGCACGTGAGCATCATCGCCCGGCGGTTTCACGGGAACCGTTTTGTGGTGGGTTTCGACCTGCGAAATGAGGTGCGGTCCCCCTTCCCCGAGGGTGGTTTTCTCTCCTATCTTGAAAACGGAGAGGTGCCACTTTTCTGGTCGTCTTCACCTGAAAAAGCGAATGACCACCTGGACAGTAAACAGATGGAAGAACGAGATCAGGACAGTCATAGCGACGCCAGGAGTGGAACTACATCGGAAAATGAAACATCAAGAGCACGCAAGCGGTATCACGGATGCTTTGACTGGGCCACTGCGGCGACGAAAGCCGGGCATCGGGTCCTCCACGAGAACCCGACTGCTCTTGTATTTGTGGAGCTTCTGCAGTTTGCGATGTACCTTCCTGCAGGCGAGTCGCGATCTCGGTCGGGGGCACTGCACAAGATATTTCCAGGACGGATAGTTTACTCCATTCACGAGTACCGACGGTTCTGGTGGCCATGGTTTTTCTCGGATGCTGGAGATTTTCCGTCTGACCTCTTTGGAAATCTAGGGAAGGGCGATTTCGGGACGACCGCTGTGGATTTCGGTAAACTCCTGCAAAGTGCTATGCAGCAGCTGCCGAACTGGAACGAATTTCTCGACTACAAAGACCGGATGTTTGGCCACGTGTACGGACTTGCCCCGCTCTGGATTTCCGAACTCGGCGGCGGCGACATTTCGGACGATCTGCAGCTACAATACGCGGGGGGCAACGCCGCCACGAGCTCGGAACTACTCCGCCAAGAGGGCGAGGCAGAGCGGCAGCGAGAGGACAGAAGTCACCTGTCTCCCTGCCCAGCTACAAGTGGGAATAGCGGCGCAGTAAAGACAAGCGCGGACAAAAAGGGCGCTGCCGCGACCACGACAAGCCTCCTTGATATTCTGCAAGCATCTTCGAGGGCCAATACGCACTACACATTTACCGAACACGACGCGCAGAATGTACGACGAGGAAACGCGGCTACCTCAGCGCCAGTATTATTCTTCGTGTTACATCATGATCATGTAAGAGTAAGGCGATCTCGATGCTAGGACATTCAAGGTGTGGCTGTCTCGTGCATGGTCGCCATAATATGCAGAAAGCTCACGAACGTTCTATCCTGGTCGTTTTTATTTGGCCACCTCCCGCGCAAAGCGACCGGAAGCTATGAAGCGTTTGCATGCAAAAGAAGTTTTTTACAGATACAGAGACAGACCCAAGAGGTGGCGCGGAGCGACAGCCGGAACTGGGCCACGCAGGGCCCTCCCTAAGACGGAGGGCAAGCGTGCCGGCGTCGGTGTCGGTGTGTCTATTGTGCTTCTTCGTGGCCTACACATTTGCCGCGCCAAGTGCCCGGGGGCGTCCCCGTTGGCCCCTATTAGAAAGGGTCCAGGACGCCCCCCCTACCAGGGACTAACTCCATTGATTCCTTTTGTCCTGTCCAGATTCCCGGACTCCTTTTTGGCCACTACATGCTGTTCTGCTAAAAGTGCTGTGACTGTCGGCATTCGTACGACTGCAGCGTGCGTGTTTGGAAATTTCCTCTGGATACCGAGCCCGCAGGCGCCGGCTGTCGGCACTTATCCCCTTACTGTAGCCAAGGCGCTTGTGCATCAGCAGGAACGCGAGCAGCGCACGGAGCGCGTTCGGGATGCTGCCTTCCAGGGGCGGTGCGATGAATCCACCAGCCGCAGCTCTGCCACCCGAGGAGAAGTGTCCGAGCCCCTGGGCACCAGAGAGCAAGCTCTAGCACGAGTAACCTTCGAGGTCCTCTTAATGGAGCTTCTGACTGGCGGCCTTCGGGGGGAAACCGCGTCCGCGGAATCGGGAACTAATTTTTTTCCGTCGGGCAAGCGCTTCCTGAAGAGTCTGACACGCTCCGTCTTAGGGCGTTTACATATCGATCCCCAGCATGCCAATCACGATGCCGATTCGAAACAGAAGACCGTGGCTGGAACTCAAACATCGTACGAAAAAGATTAAGGGGCTTCACTGTAGTTTGCAACGGATGCGTCACAAATTTGAGCAGCACACAAAAGAAAAGCTGCCGTCCGTGCTTCGTGAGGGGAAAAAAGGCAAGAATCCATTGTCTTGCATGTGTAGCAAAACACACACAACTTTTGTACTGCGTCCTCTGCTCCCCTTGCTTGAAGCATCATGTTTTTTGCGATATCAGACCACTCACTGAAATTCACAAAAGCGGATTATCCAGCACTGCAGATATGTAGTGTAGGTCTGCTGGAAGATTGTCTTTGTAAATGATAATTGTGTAGCTAACAGTAAACACATAGCATATGCATACATAGTCAGACTACACCAGACAGGTCAAGAGGTGGACACATTTTTCAGCGACTCGCTGTTCCGTAAGCTTTTGCCTCCCTGGTTGACAACGTTGACAGGTCGCGTTGTTGTATGGCACACAAAATGCGTTGCACCAAAACTATCGCCATACGCATGTTGACAGATACTTCTCTCGTACGGTGGGCCGATATAATTATTCCAATTTTCCAGACGTAGAGCTAGACATATTTGCAATGCAGATGAAACTGGACCAGAGCGAGACAAAAAAGGGCCAGCTTTAGCGGGAACTGAAAAAGAGACAACTTTTTCCGCCCTCACTTCTGTCACTTTCGACCCACAAGCTGCGCGACGGACGTTGGCGCGACTGTATCCCAAAACGAGAACGCGAGAAAACACTACTAGCCATGACCGCGCTGCAGCAGACGGCCTATCTTCTTCCGGTGCTGACGTCAGCCAGGTTTTGCTCTTACTGAACAACACCGTCACTCCATTGATTAACGAGTTTGACGTTTCTGGAAGAGGTCTGCGGATCGGGTACACGAACACAGGGAGCACAATTGATCTGCGTGTCGTCAAGAAAAACGCGTCGCTTTTCCGTCGCCAAGTGGCTGATTACCGGGAAGGAAAAATCGCTCTAGACCTAGAGGGCCACGGGAATGCCGGCGAGGAGCGGAAACGAGAACGCGCCGAAAGACACGACCGGGGGGAAAGCGATAACCCACAGGACGAGGATCAACGCAAGCTCTTCCATGAAGCGAACACGATGCATGGCGACAGCTCCCAGGTGCTTCCGGATCAGCCCAAGCGTGAGCATGGCGAGAACGTTGGCACACTGCCGAGCGTGGCGCTGCGGGAGTTGCAAGCTTTGGGAGCAAAGCTGCAAGTCGGCCCGCTTTTGCACCTTCGCAGCGCTATACAGAAATCTACATTAAACTTATGCACCAGGAGCACGGTAAATATCTCTACTGTGTCTGGAAAGAACTTGCGAGACTGTCAGGGGTCGCTGACAGGATCAAGGCAAAATCTGTCATCATGCAAGTGCCCTTTCTTCGGTTATTTTATTATTTACCGGCATTGATTCAAAATGTTGGTCATGGAAATCGATCCCGCACACACGTAACACGATCGCCCCATGATGTCTACGAACCGTGAGGATCGTGGTGTCAGAGTACATATCCAAGATTTGTAAGAAATTCCACGTCTCAGAAGCGGGCAAGCCGGTCCACTCGCCAAACTTCGATGAGTCTGAACTCGCTAAAGAAGTTGAAGGAGCTAAAGTTATTGAAGGCTTTCCCCTTCGAGAGGTCGTTGGCTCTCTGCAGTGGGCTGCAACCACTTGCAGGGTAGACATTGCTGTCCCGGTTGCCACTGTCGCGAGATACGTAGGCAAGCCGGCGACTCGGCCTGTCGTAAACGCCTGTAAGAAGATTCTGAAGTATCTACTGACAACGAAGGAGCAGGGTCTGTCGTATAGTCCGGAAATTGAGGAGGAATTCAACAGAATCTACAGCAAGCTACTGCCCGAAGGGAGAGACTTGCCTGATGTGAATCTGTTTTCGGATGTTAGTTTTGCGAATTGTTGCAAGACCATGCGAAGCACTAGTGGTAGCATTATGTACTTCCGCGGCTTCCCGATCTGTTGGCGTAGCAACCGGCAGACCGTGAGGGCGTACTCCACGGCGGAGGCGGAGTATATAGCTGCTTCCGACACTATTGTGCTGAGCGAGCAGAATGACTTTACAGAGTTCTTCAAACCTCTACCCACTGTCATGGTGGAAAAGCAGAATGGCTTATCTCCCTCCCTGGATGATGCCATATTGTGGATCGGCAACCAGTCCGCGATAACTACAGCTAAGAGCACAGACAACAAACCGAAATCGAGGCACTACGCACTGCGATATCTCCGCGGGAGAGACGCAGCGAGCCAGATCATGTTCTGCCCGACCTACCTAATGAAGGCAGACGGTCTCACGAAGCTCGGGTGTAGTGTGCCGCAGAGACGCTTACTTTTGCACCATATTGATAACCCCGACCCTAAGTCTTTTATTTGTGACTCCTCTGACGATGAGGATGATTTAGACACTTTTATTGAGGGGAATCATAAGAAGGGCAGGGCTAAAGTAGGCTATACTTATTCTTTCGATTTATTTTGGTTTCTCGATAGGCACAGCGCTCAGGAGGGGAGTGTGGTAGGATTATTCCTGATTAGCACCGCCGCCGCAGCGATTGAGGAGCGAGGGGTGTTGGTCATGGAAATCGATCCCGCACACACGTAACACGATCGCCCCAAATGAAGCCTGTTCCATGATGAAAATGACTGAAGGTTCTGACTCAAATCGACCCCGTGACATGCTGTTTCGTTCAGATTTTACCTAGACCAGCCGTCCTTGGTAAAATCTTGAGCAAGGACCACGGTCCTGAGTAAAATCGTCAGCCAGGCTCTGTAGCTGGTGACGTGATCCTTCTCTCAAGTGATCCCAAGTAGCTCTCCAGATTGTCCGCGCTTTGGGCAGGTCTCCCGACCTATACCAAGCCCGGGTCAACACTTTATCTGGGACCCCGTCCCCTGATCAAAACTTTATCTGGGACCCCGTCCCCTGCTCAAAACTTTATCCGGGTCCGCCGTCCTTGATAAAATCTTTACCAAGGCCCGAGGTCCTGAATAAACTAGCTACCTACGAAGCGGATCTAGGCCCTGGAATGTGTTGAATCTGGTGAGACTGATGCAAGAATCTTGGTGAATTTGGATGATTTGAGCTACAGGATGTAACGCAGCAAGAGACTTGCGTCACTTGCTTGCTTATGTGCAATTGAGAAATCATTCATCTGCTGTTGATAACGAGCTCAGTGGAGCAAACGTGTGTAAGTGTGTGCGAGTGTTCTCAAGTCCACTAACACAAAAAGATAGTGATGCTTTTGCCATGCAGTACTTACACAGCATTTTACGCAAGAGAAATTGGCTGAAGAGCAAGAAGCTGGGCCTCATGCCTAGCCCCGCATTTCTGGAGGTGCGGCTTATCATTTTTCGCGCATTATATATCTACATCTTTCATCTTCTTCGTCTTCCAGACCGAGACATTTACTTATAAAAAGATATTTTCATGCATGCAACTACTTTGATGACGGCGGCAAGGATCGAGCTGGCGCTCGCCTCTACTGGTCGATGGTTCAAAGCCTGCTCGTCTACACTGGGATCAGTTGGAGCTACTGGCACCTAGATGGGGTGACGCTGGGCCCGAACCCCAAAGCGCTAGGCCCCGGGACGAACTCCCAACTCGGAGTGAATCAGCTGACACAAGATAGCTATGGCATACTGAACGTGCACATTCAGCAGCGGGCTTCGGAGGCGGCACAGATGCAAACACTATTCGGGCTGAGGCATGAGGTGCTTCGTGCGCATCTACCGGAAACTGAGAGACGGGAGATCTGGACCAGTTCTACCAGTGAACAAGCTGGGCGCACTTCTGTGGACCATGATAATACGCGCGGCCACGAGTACGAGAAAACGCGGCTAGAGGATGGCGATGGCGCTCATGTGATCGCGGACGAGAAGAATGCTGGAGCTAGTGAGGCCGCCCGTCAATTTGCAACCAGGAGTGCTGTCGGAGCTTTTTTCGCGGACCGCTACCCCCGCATGGACCGCATGGCAAACGCGCACGACTGGCAGTATAGCAATGGTGACGCGCTCGTGACAATCAACAACGCGCCGACTCTGCTGCAATATGAGAGCGTTAGGTGGCAAATTGGGAAAATGGACACGACATGTGATTTGCATATCATAATCTAAAATAACTACATAAACAAAGATGACGCCATGGCATGCTGCAGAAACAGAAACAGAATCACCATTCCCACGCGTCGCATGACATTCTTTTCCGAGAGACTGAGACAGAGATAGCGCGTCCTGCTTTCATCTATAGCAAAGATAGGGTTGCAACTATATCCTGTCATGCTCAACTTGTAGTTAAGTACAAAGACAAACCCGTCTAGGTGATCTATGAGCAGCCTTCAAACAGGCCGGGCTTGGAAGTTGCCAGCCTCACTATCTTACCTGCTCCGTTGCGGCAAGAAATAGATACGGTTGTAAATAAAAAAATGCAAAGGCAGCTTCACCATCACCGCTGAAGAATTGAAGGGAACTAGGCCTCACTTCAACATCAGCATCCGTTGGAATTTTGCATGGCAGTGCCAAAGAACTGTGCGTGCGTGGCAGTTCATTCATTGCGAAGCGTCTCCATCTTATCAATTTCCAGCGTGGCGCTTCCATGTGTCAGCAGCCGAAAATATTCTTCTACGGATGCGCGCCGCGACAGCTGCGCACCTCAAGTTTGACGAGGACACGGCAGCAAGCGGAAAGCTCTTGCTTTCGCGGGATTCAGAGGGAAGTGAAGTCGCTGCGCAACTGCTGAGGCTCTACGGGCGGGAGACAAACTTCACGGAGTTCGATTCCAAATTTGCCGCAGCCACTGCAAGCCGAACTGCCACACTAGAGGCCGAAGGCTTTGGCCTGCGTGCGCACGTCCTCGCGTTTTTCGATAAGTTTAGTTCCGCGCCCTCGTTGCCCAGTATCGCGCTTCTGAGCCAGCCGCTGCGGGTTTCTCGGGAAGCTTCGAACGTGCCGAACCAGATCCAACTCCTTTGGGCCCTGGAACTCGAGCAAGCGTCCTTACACAAAGTAGGAAGACAGAACGTGCGACGTGAGAGCGCGGCCAGCGCCCAAGTGGATTCGGACGTCCTCGAGTCTGCCGCAGCTGTGGGATTGCTTATGCCGTCCGGACAAGGCTTTTCGCATGCGACTCCTACTCTGGACACCGAGACACTCCAACATCTGCGCACGGTTTTCCAGGAGGTGCGTGTACCATGTGCAAAAACGTTTCCGCCCCCCATGGCCGTAATGCGAACTCTCTCAGGCAATAAATTTAAATGAACATGAAGTAGAACTGGAAAGCGTCGACGTAGTCGCGCATCAGTCGCGGAGGTTGGTGGTTCGTAGCATAGTCGTGATGGAGACACATGCGCGTGGCTGGTTGTGATGCGAATTCATTCTGATTCATCTCTCGTCCTGATTTCTAGACAGATATAATTAATATATAATATAGATTAATAAAGAAAGCGCGACGCAATGAAATTTCAAGAGGGAGTCTGCGTGCACTATGCGCAGCCAGGAAACTACACATCTCAGAGGGAGCGAGCCGGCGCCTGAAGACGTCGCACTTTCTTGGCGCGCAATCTTGCGCGGCGGCTCTTGTTGAGCGGGGAAGTACGTTTTTGAGGTGGATAGTGCGCGAACGAACGTCGGCGCGCTGAAGCAAGCGAAGCCGCTCAGCGAGAGAAGGGGTACGATGCCCATGATTTGCTCCACACAGGGGACCTCACAGCACCTGTTCCATCACTGATGCTTAAGGATACGGATTCTCTATCGTCTTCACCCGGAACGTTCGCAGTACACCTTGCAGAGAACGAGACTAGTGACCTTTCTCACCTGCCACAAGAAGCAATGCGCCCCGCGCACATGTTCGCGAGACCGATGACACCTGGACGAGTACGCCGAACTGCGGCGCTCGGGGCCGCAATCTCATCCGACGCACCATTGCCCTCACGTACCGCAGGTGCGGCCGATTATAATCAAATCTGGAACTACCCAGCCCCGTGGTCGCCCGAAGAAGCACAAATCTGTGAAAGGCATCGCCGCGCAGTCACGTCGAAGCAGCCCGTGACCCCGCGGGTGATGGCAAAGGCGCTAGAAAAGATCCTTTCCGGGATGACTTTTGCCGGCTTGTCGCATGTGCTGGTAAAAGTCAGCAAGCTTGCACTTGCTGCCGCAGGGGAGGAGTTGGGTAATTTCTGGCAGGAGCACGCACTGCCCAGCATCCGACACCTGCTGCGGCCGAGTCGTTGGGACATCGATCCGAAGAAGTGGGCGTCTACGGTCCAGACTGCAGCCGAGCGCTTTGCGGCAGATTTAGGAAGCGTTGCCAGCGCGGTTGGTGACGGTGTGGTGGACAAGCTGCACGAAATGCAGAGCATCTTGATTCACGAGGACGCTAGTAAAAGGAACATCTGTTCGGCGAATTCGAAAAGCAAGTCATCGCTCCGCTGCAGTGCGTTACTTCCCAATAGCGAAAAAGATCCAGGGTTCAACCCGTGCTACGACGCCAAGCACGGTGCGCAGTTTGACCCAGATCGTTGCTGCACCGCAGGAAAAGGGCGCGAAACTTCTTTTCTGGGCGAGACGCTCGAAGAAAGGGCGGATGATATTATCGAGGAGCAGCATTGCCGGGCTGTCGTGAACAGCATCCGATGGCTCCAGAAAAGAGAATGCGAATTGCACACGGTCTACTTCAATGAAACGCATCACTGCTTGAATCGCAACGGTCAAAATTACAAAAAAGGCGACGACTGCTATGAAGTTGCAGGATCTGAGGAGCAGATGTGTCAGTCCGCGATTACCTGGTCGGGGTACGAATCCTGCTGTTCCCACAACGGGGGAATCAGTTTATTCGGCGCCAATATTCCTAATCCCATGCCGTTCAGATGAAAATCCAACTTTTTGAGTTTGAATTTTGCAGAGAGTTGCGCTAAAAACACTAGGAGTATATTTTCGACAGTCGACACCTAACAAATTCTAATTCATAACGAAGAAAGCAACAAACTAAAGCTAACCTTGCTTCACCAACAGAGTAGAAAAGGAATGAAAGAATATACGCAAGAGCGCTCTTTGAGATCGCTCGTGAAGATTATCCTCGAAAGTCATATCATCTATTCATGAAATTGAAAAGTACACTCACAACACTTTCGTTTTCGTTACACTCAAAGGCAGTAGGTTTTCACAAAGCTTCGACTTTCTCAAACTTCTAATGTATACCCCATTTGCCAGTAGCTCGAAGCAAGCAAAATGAGAAAAGCACGACCTTAGGACTACGTAAAAATCAGTATGGGTCGGAGGTCAGAGCTTTAGGGCAGTGAGCCGCATGGGTGATCGAGTTGTCGATCCTTGACCTCTAGACCAAAGAATAGGACTAACAAGTCCCGGCTCTTGTGCGTGTGCTGGTAGTTCCGGCCTGTTCCTCGGAGTGTGTGAAACATGCCAGCCCCCGAATGAATTAAGGCCCAACGATCGAGCGTGATGGTCTTCCACATTTGTATGACGAAAAGGCCTGGCCTCATTCAACGACGTGAGCGCTAGGGTATCGGGGCGGACTATTCCTGCCGCGCGTCGGAGGAACGAGCTGCGCCGAGCCCAGCCCGAACTACTCAATCATTATCATCATCATCATCATCATCATCATCATCGCTATCATTCGTTGTGCGTTTTTTCTTTTTGGAAATGTCTCCTTTAAAATAAATCGAATCGCGACGGTATGCTCGCGAAGGGTCTACTCTTTGCAGCCTTCACGCACAAATGCATTTTTCGGGACAAAGATTGTTTTCAAATCGTGGGTTGTCATTGGATCGAAAACGTAATAAATGTGAAGATCCACCAGTATTTGGGAGTGAACTGGAAAGGGAAATGCATGTCAATCGCGTCGTTATCGATATATCGTTTTTTCTTCTCTTTGCTCGTTCGTTCGTGTTTCTCTGTACGAAAAATGAGCACGCTTGATATAACCATTCAATAGCAGAACCAGAAGTTTCATTTCCAACATATGCTTATGGAAGGAAACCGTGTCGTCTGACCCCGTCCCCGGGGATGTTGTGTTTGGTTTGAAATTGCAGAGCCTTTATGTTGTTATACTGGAACAAGCTCCTTATCGATGAGCGAAGAATGCGTGACTTTTTCCGGAATTCCGTTTATCCTGGTCGGCGGACTTCCGAACGTGCTGCTTTTCGTAGCCCGGGGCGCGGACGACAGTCTGACGGTGTTCGAAACGTGGACAGAGCACGCGGGTTCGTTGCAGATCGGGATCACGCTCGCTGTGGTGGCTCGCTTGCTGGTTAACACCGCGATTATTCTGAACCAGCGGGGGCAGCAGTTTCGACGCGTGGACACGCTTCGCCAAGCGACCTTCGAGCAGGACAAGGCTCGCAATGAACAGTGGCGCACGCGTCGGCTCGCGGCCCGCCTGGCGCTGCAGGGACGTTCGTCCGTGAAGATCGGGAAATCGGTGACGCAGCCGAAGGTTGACGTAAAATCGCCGACCGCGGTCGGGGGCAACGCGTCCCCGAAGTACGCGGGGAACTACAAGGAAAACCGCGCGGGGCAGCTGATTTTCGAACAAGAGAGGGACTGGGAGGAGTTTCAGGAGGACTTTTCACAGCGGCAGGAAGAGTTTGAGAAATCCGACAAGTACGACTGCGACTCCTTCTTCCTGCTCGGTCTCCTGCTCTGGTTTTTGGCGGAAGTGGTCGCCTTGTTTCTGCTGCTCACGGATTCCTCCGAGGGCTCCTTCTATCGTACGAAAAAAGTGTTTCACTGTAAAGATTTTGCAAGTTTTGCATCACAAGACAAGTTTGTTCTACATCACAGAGAAAATTTGCCATGCGAGATACCTAAGGGAAAACACAGCTAAAAACCCACTGTCTTGCATGTGTAGCAAGACAAATACTTCTCAGATACATTTTCTGCATCACAAGTTCACAGTGAAACAGTTTTTTCTTGCGATACCTTCCGCGTCACGGTACACGCCGGGAATCTGGGGCTCGCCACCTGGAATTTCTTCCATTTGAAGACCGTCGTGCAGGACAAGGCCACCTCGGAGGGAAAAACCTGTTGCGTCGCCTGCTCGGGGTGCCACAGCCTGGTTCTGTTCGTTCTCGCCTGCCTGCTCATCGGCAGCTCCGTGGCGTTCGCGGAGTGGCTAGCGCTCGGGTTCCAATTGGCCATTTGGCTCTGCACGGGATTGACGTTTTTCGGGACCGACGCGAGAGAGAGCGAGCTGAGAAATCAACGCCGGTGAGGATCTTAGTCTATTAGTGCTGGATCTTCTCGTCCATGAAAAATATCTCCCGTCCACCACCGGTCTCCGACACGACATGACCTCCAGCTCGTTCGTGTTCGTGTCACCAGTATCAATGTATATAGACGATAAAGAACGTCGCGCCAAATAAGGGTAAGACTAGGAACAAAAGCGCGTTTCCAGCAACCACGAATTCGGTATCATGCCGTTGTCGCTCACGCGGTTCCAGAAAGCCACGGACGTGCGGACCGCACGAAAAAAGAATGCGGAGCAGCACGAAAGGGAGCTTCAGGAGGAGCACGACCGGCAGCTGGATCAGATCGCGCAAGGGTTGGCGCAGCAGACGAAGCAGGAGGAGGAAGAGCGTCTCGCGCACGCGCGGGAAGCGGCGGTCAACGCAAGTCGGTCGCTGCGGGAGATTTTTCAGGAGTCAGTTTTTGATGTCCAGCTGCGGCTGGAGCAGGAACAGATCGTCCAGGAAATGGCAGTATCAAATGCAAAAATGTCTGGGTCTGGAAGGTTGTAACTTGTGATGCTGTCTTCGGATTCGAAAGAACTCTGTAATGCATGACCAGCAATGGCCGTCCAGTTTTTGCCACGGCGAGAGGGCATTTCTCATGCGGAACAGGCATCAGGAACCCCTCTCAAAATCTGTGATGCTAGACCGTGCATTACAGACCTCATTGGTCATGGAAAACCTGCATTTGATCGTTGATCATTCTCGGTAGGTCAATGCCACCCTCGATTCTCACCCCCAGGGGGTTGGGGTCCCCTCTTCCAATGTGTATTGGTTGAGGACTGCCCCCTTCATCCTAAGTGCCATCAGCCATGGTATCTGGAAAACCTGCATGAGAAATCTTCCACTCTTCCCGACCCAGACCACATGTTTGCATTTTATAGGCAGTTCTGGCGGCGACAGAACGCATGCGGAAGGCCGTGAAGCCCGGGCCCGCCGGGGCCCGCGAACGAATGCGGAAGAAAAGTATGGAAAAGATGAAGAGCGGTGCTGCACGAGAAGGTGATCGTCGACCACCTCCCAGTGGAAATAAGAGCAGGAAAATAGAAAAGATATTAAGCGTAGACCACGGCGTCGTTCCCACTTCATCTACCGTAGGTCCACCTGTTGTGACCAGTTCCGCGCAAGCAGAAGATCCCAGCACTCGACGGCCGGAGGACGTGGTGGCCCCGCAGCAGAAAAACTACGCACATCCTTGCGTGAAAAACCAGAACTATGTCGGGCAGCACAAGTCCCTCGTGTTGGAACGACCCGCAGAGGATAAGGTCCTTTATTACCGGCCATCAAGCAAGCGCGCACCGAAGCGGACCCAGGGGGGGATCGTGAAGACGGACTTCTTCGACTACGTGTCCAAAATACCCCAAATGATGCGCCGCCCGGTCACGGCGCCGGTCCGGCGGAGTGCCGGGATACGGAGGGAACTGTTGAAGCCCGAGGAGAAGCTGCAGGCGGTCGACGACCTACTGGTTAACTGGTACAAGCAGAATGAACGGGAGGAGGCAGGAGAAAACGCGAGACGACGGAACAAGGGCTACGGCAGCGCATACGACGGAAAAATCAAAGAGTTGGAACGACGGGTCGAGGTGGACCAGATTAGGGAAAAAGCGCGGACGGAATTGGAAACTGCGAAAAAGAAAGAAAGAAAAGAAGTGAAAAACACGAATAGAGAAGAAGTGCAACTAGTGGACCACCAGCAGGAGAAGAAAAGCAGTGTAGAACAAGTTTCTTCATCATCAACTACATCTGGAAGACGTAGACGACCGTCGCCCCCGGAAGGTGGAGTTCTTGCGTCCGAAGTTGCACAACCATCCGGGACGAAAATGTCGAAAAGTGTTGAAGCCCAACAGATGAATGTTGGAACATCATCAATAGATGTGGAAGAGCACCATGAGTTCGACGAAGCGGAAGAAGAGATGCTCGATCCGCTGGTCCGCCGATTGCAGGAGCAGGACGAGGAGGCCAGGAAACCCGTCGTGCTTGAGGTCCACACCCCGCGCTCGAGCAGCGACGAAGAGGAGAGAAGACTATTAAAGACCGAACTGCACGCGGACGCGCAGTTCTTGCCAGTGGAGCTGCGCAAACTGACGCGGAACTGGTCGCCGAAGACCCTGGAAGCGGCGCGGCGGAAGATCCATGCGATTTTCGAACAGGAGCGGAAGGAAAAAGAACTACAAGAGTCTAAAGGGTACAAAATTCGGTCGCATCTCATCAAGGAGACGGAGCGGTTCGACAGCGCAAAGAGGACGCGAACGGCGGACTACTGGAACAAGCCGGACTGGGAACAGAAGTTTTCTAACAAAAGAGAATCCGACCTGGAGTTGTTTCGGAAAAAGTTGTTTTTCCAGAAATTTCCCGGCGAAATGCAGAAGCGGACCAGACGGGAACTGTCGAAACCGGTGGAACTGAAATCCAGCCAGGTCGGCCTGACCACCGAGCTGAACAAGGTCGAAAAGCAGATGTTGTTTCTCCTGGACAACCCCGCGACGCCGTACTTCTACGACGAAAAGACGCAGGAACGGATAAACGACAAATTGGTGCACACGCTGTTGACGCCCTACAAAGGGGCGGACGAAGAGGAAGAAGAACAGCAGGATACAAGAAACAAGCCTGAGGTGATCGGGAAAAAATACGAGGAGCACGACGATGACAAGACGACCACTTCTGGAGCAGCACCACCTTATCATGATTCTGCGTCTTCGCAGCTGCAGTCCGGACGCAACAAGTTTGGGGTCGACCACGAGAACGACAAAACTTCCGTGCCGCACATCATCAAGCACCGCGAGATCACCCGGCGGTCCACGTTGCGCGGCGAAACGCCCACCGCCAAGCGGTCGGACGTACAGTACCTGCGATCTACGGAGCTGGCGCGCGTGCTCGACGCGTACGAGAAAAGTCAGTACAAGGAGGAGCGGCGATTTGAGGAGGACATGCGGGCCCTGTTTGAGAATGAAAAGGACCGGAGAAGAGTTTCGCAAATCCTGAAAAGCGGGGGATCCGACTTGCCGGAACAGTACCGAAAGAGCGGAGTGTCGGCGGACGATGTGGACTTCCTCTTGCAGCACGCGCACAACTACCGGAGCGCGCAAGAGCTGCAGATAAACGTGCGCTTCCCGAAGGACGTAAGGGAGGAGGTGTTCCTGCAGCGCCTTCTACCCAGGAACGCTGTCGGAAGAAGAAGAATACCGGCGGCAGGAGCCGCGTCGACCAGTGTTGCTGAAGATGGAAGGTGCGGCAGAAGTACAACTGCGTGCAGTGGTGCCACCACAGGAGCAGGCGAACAGAACCGCGCCACTAGTTCTGGATTGACGCCTGAAGATGAAGAAGAGCACTTGATTTTGCCGCCCGTGAACGTGTGCGATAAGGCCATGCGTGGGATCCTTGCTGAGAAATTGTACAATTACGACGACAAGACTCGCGGAATGCAGTCTGCGAACGTGCCGCAGAGTCCTTCCGAACAACAGGAGCAAGCTGCTTCTACTGAGAGAAACTCTGGTACTGCTCCATTGATGAATCGTGCAGAAAAAGAAACACAGCAGGCGGGTGTAGACACAGCACAGGACCTACTTCCTAACCAGCGTCAAGTTCTTGTGCAGACGGAAAGAAGTGCAAAAAGTTCGTCTCGCGCGCGGATTTCCATGTTGAAGAACCCAGAGGAGTTCTGGTCCATCTTTGACGAGGTCATGGCCGAGGTCATCGCGGAATCCGGGGAAGACAACAACGCACTGCGGACGCAGGGAAAGAAGAAAACGTACCAGCTCCCGGGGTACGTAAAGGAAAAACTCGAGGCGTTTGAGGAGCGGGAAATGTTGGAGAACGCAGCTTGGGAGGATGAGCTTGAGAAGGAGCGAGTACAGCTGCAGCTTCGGGACGATGTGGTGGGAGGAGACGAGTTGGAGATGGAGTGCAGTGATGACAAAACGGATCCAGCATGTGCTGCGAGTTCGACGGGAAAAGAGAACGCGCTGCCAGCAGGAAATGGTACTACTGAGTTTAAAGAAAACCTCCGCGACAGCGTCGAGCGGGATTTCCCTCTTCAGCTGGACGCTGCCACTACAGAAGGGTCGTCCTCTAGGTGTGCGGAAAAGGAGGTTCTCAAACAACCAACGACCCGTGGTGAGGCGGATTTCACTAATATTTCCGCGGTACAAAAACTACATGAAGACGCGTCTGTGCAGCGGAGGAACGCGCCCCCGAAGGATCTTCCTCTTTTTTCCCCGTCGTCAGACAAAATGCGGTCCGCGTTTGCCGTAAGACAGAAAACCGCTGTTCTCAGTGCGGAAGAGGAGATGGCAAAGATCGCTCTGTTGAGGAAAAAACTGCAGGTCTCTTCTTCCGAAGAAGAAACAGTCGACGCGCAGCTTTCAGAAAAGGAAAAGTCAAAGATCCAGAAAAGCCAACACCAAGTCCTGAGCCGTGCGTTCTTGGCAGACCAAATTCTGAACGCTGTGCGGGAACGGGAAGAAGACGTCGTGTCGGAAGGCGGGAAAATGGAGGAAGCTCCTGTTCCGGATGATGTTTCTCATCTACCCTCGGGCGGAACTGAAAATGGTGAAGAGGAGGTAGAAGAAGAAGCACAGAAAGACAACTCACCTGATTACTGTTCTCAAGAAGTAGACGGTCTCGACCACCGCCCTGAAGTCCCTGCTGCCCACTCATATCCTAGTACAACCAGGCCGCAGCAGCAGGAAGATGTTCCTGCGCAGGAAGATTTAGCCGGAGATGAGAGACGAACTGCATACTCAGACCACGACTCAGCCTGCTCAGAGGACGAGTCGCAGAATATTAAAATGAAGATCCACAATAAGGTGGTTCTGGATCACGAAGACCCTTTACCGCACGACTTGTTCGCCAGCGGAGACTTGGACAAGAAGAAGAAGAAGGCGTTTTTGACCAGAATCGACACAAGGTCGTGGTTTGCCGCAAAAATGTATCGAATGCAAAAATGTCTGGGTCTGGAAGAATCATGCTGTTTCTGCATGACACAGAAGGTCTGGCATGGAAGCTCTAGCGTCACAGGTTTCGAGAAGCTTCCGCAATGCCGAATCCGCATGACAAATCCCCCATTTTGGCGACAGGAAGTGAGCAGCTTTTGCTGCCTATGCATCAGAGATTTTTGTGTGTTCTGAAATGCGCATCACAAGTTACATCCTTCCAGACCCAGACATTTTTACACTTGATAAAATGGAAGAGGGTGCGATTCTAACAAAGAAAAAAACTACCAGCGACGTCTTCTGGGAGTGGCAAGAAGAAAATTTGTTGCCCACCAAAACACCTACTTCCAGTCCTGCGAAGGAACAACAGCAGGAACAATCAGTGAAGTTAAAGGCAGGAGTAGGTGAAGGAAAGAAGGTTCTTGCTCTTGATGCCCCTGCGCAGATGGAACATCAACGACGGGAACAAGAAGGACGCGACCAGGAAGCTGCTGTTCATAATTCCGAAGAACTGCACGACGGACAGACGAAGACATTCAACAAGGATTCGATTTTTCTAACCAGTTGCGGTTTTTCCGTGGACCATACCGCGTTTATCCAGGGGAACGACAAGCCGAAAAGACGGGTCCGGGAAGCGGACGGGGAAGTGGTGGAGGAAACGGAGTTCGACACTTTGCGGAAATCTTTCGACGAGCGGCACGCGTACGAAAGCACCTTCAAGCGGTTCCTGAAAAAGCAAAAGGAGCAGCAGGAAAAAATACAGAAGGAGGAAGACCGACGGCAGAAGCGACTGATGGAACGAGCGCTCGAGGACGAGCTGCAAGCTCTCGACGAGATGAAGCGGAACTTGCGGAATTTTCTGGAGTTCCCCGGGATACCGGCAAATCTGCTGGAGGACTGGACGGAGAGGCGGAAAAAAATCTTGCTGTACGGCGGGGCAAAAATTGCCAAGAAGACCAAAGGTCGCGGGAAGCAAGCAAAAGCGAAAGCAGGCGGGAGCAGCAACTCTTCGAAAGCGAAAGCGGTGCGGGGGAGGAAGGAACAGGACAGGAACGCGCGCACGCCTCGCGGCGGCCGCGGAGATGAAGATGACCGCGCGGCGGATGGTAGCATGGAGTTTGAGGAAGACAGTGGGTGGGCGCCGACTGGCGAGCCAAGCGGCAGTAGCACAAGCAGAGCAGCAGATGCTTCTTTTACGGAGGGGCAAGAAGGAGAGGCCGGTGTGAGGACAGAAACAAGTGTGAAGAAACGAGGAAGGGTAAAGAAGAAAGCAAGCAAGGGACAATTTGTGCCTGTAGCAGCAGAAGGAGTTGCGCAGGACGAAGCCTCGGACTTGGAAGATGCGGCGGAACAAGCTGAACGTGTAGCGGTGAAAGCAGTTGATCTCCAACTTCCTGATGGGCATCAAGCCACTTTCGTTCCGCCTGTAGATGATAATCGACAATCGCGACCCAACGAGTCACCACTGCAGCTTGAGGTCGCACCAAAGGCAGTACGGTTTTCCGAGAGGGTCGTGTCTAATGTAGATACGACCACTACTTCTGCGATAGCGATAGTTTCTATCGCAGCCGCAGCAAATGAAGATGCAGCAGATCATACAAAACTGCTGCCCGCTGAGATACCGCAACTGCGCGCTGCAACCGGAGGTGAAATAAAAACCGTCCTAGATGTTACTAGATCTCCCACCGCTAGTACTGACGAGTTTTTGCCGGCGCCGGCGCGCGACAAATTTGGCAGGGTCACTGAGTCCTCCGTCGACCCTGACCAGGGTGATGCAGAAGATTCTCTCCCCATGAAGGAGCCGGCAGACTCCCAGATCGTGGACAACTGGAAGACGGTTTTTTTGTCACTGAAAAACCGGTTCATCTCCAGCCAGACCGACGAACAGCAAGGCACGGAAACCATCTTGTCCACGTTTCTGCAGAACGACGCAAATGTGGCGAAAGTGATCCGCAAATTGACGCCGAACCCCTACTAACCATTGCAAAACTTCTTGTTGTACTATCGTCCTCGTATGGAGGCTATGGATATGTACGAAACTTGCAGTCTTGGATGGCAGATCTCCTGTTTCGTGGTCTGAAACTGCATCACATCAAGCGTCGTTGTTTCTTTTGAGCAAATTTGTCATGCGCGTTATACTAGGCCTAGGGCGAAGATAGCCACAACACTTTTGCAATGCATGCCTGCCAGCAACACGGAACGGTGAACAGCATTATGGGGTGGCGTGGGAAGGAGCGCATCGACGCGATCAGCGAGGACTGCGAAGAGACTATCCCAGGCGGCAAAACCTCCTCACCAGTTCTCAAATGTCGAGTAGTTTTCGTGAAGATTTATTGTTGAGTTCACTGAATAGTACTTCTCCACAAATAATCACGAGGCAGCTGCCTTGTGATCTGAGCCTTCTGTTCATAGTGTAGTCGCAAGCAGTCCGTAAAAATCAAAATCAATATGCCTGGAAGATCGCAGGGCCATGATTTCTCCTCCTTCTGCCGACTAGACAGGATGAGGACAAAAATTCTACCTCCGTGAGAAGGAACTGCCTACGGTCCAGTAAGTAATTTGTTGGGAAAGGGTATGGATGTTCGTGCAATTTGCATGGCTAAGGCTAGAAGCGACTGGGGAGATGGTTTTTACGCAGGATAGACAAACTGAACGACTTGGAGAAGTTGAAGAAAAAATTGGACTTAAAGTTCGTTGCGAAAGTCGATAACAACTACCTGCAATTTATTCACTGCAATGATGTCATCGGGAGTTCACGGCAGACTTGAAAAAGAGTTGTCAAGTTTGCAGTTGTGCTGGCCTAGCGAGGTTCCGAAGTCTCTACTCCACTCCACGAATGGGGAGCGTGAAAGCCTTTGCCTTAATAGATGCAGATTGGGTTTGTCTTCCACAGGCACGTTAGACATCATGGGATAAAGCTTCAGAAGCTTCTACATGTGCATGGTTATGCGTGCCTGTACTTCTTCTCCTGGATTCTCTTTGCCCTTCACGCATTATTTTCCAGACGGCCCAGATGACAAGATTTGCAGTTGATACCGTTCTTGCAGCAGCAAAAGGAGAAAATGCAAAAAAAGGAACAGGAAAAGAAGTCCGCGACCGCAAAAGCTGCAGCAGCAAATAGTCGGGAGAGCGGACCACGGCCTAGCGCAAATTCGTCAGAGGTTGGAGGCGTCGCGGTGGTGAAAGGGGAGCGGAAGAAGGAGCAGCCGTTGGCGACCCACCCGGCGGCGATAGACGAGGTGATTCGACGCGCGTTGCGGAGACGCGATAGGCGGCGAGAGAAAGTAAGGGATATGAAAAATTCTTCCGACGAGGAGAATTCGTCGTAAAAATTGCAAACGAAGGGCCACGGCGCAAGCGAGTATAAGTAGTTGGTGGTCCTCTCCATTTCAACAATTTGCGATAAAATAGTAAGTTCTACAGCGCAACCAGCACGCTATGAATTTTACGAAAAAGGGAGACTGGTGATCGCTGCTGCTGTCGGCTACACAGGTACCACACGAGACAGGTGTGTTTGAGGCCGCTGGTCGGTAATTTTTTCTGCTGTTCTCACTCAACAGTCACTGTCACAAGTGTATTCTTGAATGCAGCAAAATTTTCGCCCGTCCTCGTACCTACTGTACAACTACATCCAATAATTTCGTTTCAATCTTCGTCAAGATTTCACTCGTTGAAACGCGATCGAAAATTATCGTTCGTCTGAGACGATGTCGGCACCGAAGCTTCGTTCAAATGTTTCGTCGTTTCAGTCGCATTCGATTTGCCTACTTTTCTGCAGCTTTGTTCTCTCGCAAATCCTGTGCCGCTTCAGTTCTATCTTGGCACGAACTTGCCCCGAAAACAACCGCGGATATTATCGTTATTGCTCTCCTCCGATTGTGGGCCTGCCTGCGGCAGAGCAATAAGGAAGAAAGTCCATTTGCTGCCTTTGTTTGCAGCGTAAAATCAAGTAATCTAATGTCGACGTTGATGCCCCAGTTTCTGTGTCCTCGGCAAAGTTTGATTTAACAAGCAAGAATTATGGCCCCCGGGGTCGGTGCGTTTGCGGACCCGCTGTACTTGAGCAACATCCAGAGCCCGGAAAACCCCATGCTAACGATGCTCATGGAGAACGTGAAAAACAACATGCAGAAGGTGAATTTAGCAGCGCTGGACGCGGAGAAGCAGGCATTTCACGTGACCAACCTGCTCGGACTGGTAAAGTGGAAAACGGATCTGCTGAAAATACGCATTGCAAAACTATCCCGCTAGTGTAAAATGCAACAGAGATTTTTCAAAAGGAAAAGTGGAACTTTTCATGCAGAAGCAAATCAAAATTCAGGATCCGGTATGGACACTGTACCTGTCATGGATTCTTGCTGCACTTTGTACGAGTTGTTCGATGCTTTTGCACAGCATAGAAAAAGGCGTACAGCGACACCAATCCGAACAACGTGAAACAGGGTGGCGTCGGGGTAGCACTAGGCGTCGCAGTTTCAACGTTGATGTTGGAGAAGGAAAAAGGCGTGAAGACAGCAGATAAGGAGGAGGACAATAAAATTCTGCGCGAAGACGAGAAAAGGTCTGTTGACAAGAATAAAAGCGGAAACATGTCGCATGAATTGAGGTCGTCAACTTGTCAGGCAAGTCGAATATGCAAACTACTGCCATTTGCGATGGTGGTAGCAGAGCACGAAACAAGCAAGAATCATGAGTGTCAACTCGCTTTTGGATACGATGTTGCTGCTGGCAGATGTACAAGGTCAAGGACGACCGCAATGGATTTTTTTTGAACCTCCAGTGAATGACAATGTTGAGAAGCAGCACAAATAGGATGCTGATGCTTGGGCTCCGCAGCTTAAAAGTCCCAGGTTCTTGGACAGTTCGAAGTGACAAGGCGGCGGAAGTGCCTTCTTGAGTTCCACGAGGCTTTCAATCACAATATCGAACACAGTTCTTCAGGACGCGCAAACTTGTATACTTCTTAGATCTGCGCGCAAGCTTTACTTCCAACCCCTGCAAAGCCTAATTTTGTCAGAAATGTCTCTTGTTTTTCATTTCTTGAAGGGTGGTCTTTTTCGGGAACTCCACCGGAAACAAATCACTCGTACTGCAGGTACAAATTCAAAACTAGTGCATTCTCTCAAAACTTAAATCTTGCATTGCCCTCCTTGTGACCTCAGAAACGATTGTACACGAGATATATTTTCTAAAGTTCGAAACTGTATGGCACGACGAAAACGATATGTGTTGGACTAGGTTCAGAGTGGCGGTAGAAGCAATTTGTATTAGAACGAGGGCACATCACGACTTCTAGTTCTAAATCTACATCTATCTACTCCTGACCCCCTCTCACCCCACCTTCTGCTGTTCGCATCGTGTCCTCGCTCAACGACCCAAAGAAATTCCCGTAACAAACCCAGAACAAACAAATCACTTCACGGTCCTGGAAGTATCCCCTCCTACCGCGGTTAATGTGTCTACAAATCCCTCCGAAATCCCACACATCCACAACGCGCGCCGGATCAGCTGCCCGGAGTACTGAACGTCAAGGAATTTCTGCACAAGTTGTAGTACTAGTAGTGGACCAAATTTGTCACTTGCCGCCTGGCAAGTGTTTCTCTGCATGCGTTTCAGGAAGCCCACAAGCGTGCCGAGCTTCTGCTGTCTCGTTAAATATGATAGTCCATGCGCAATGCACTTTGGTGCGTTCGGGTATGTGTATACCTGCGTCCTTCCTTGGTCCAGTGCGAAGTATACTACTTGTCCGATGAATTCTACGAATTGCTCTGTATACTACTTGTCCGAATTACTCTCTTACCTGGAAGTGCCTTCTTGAGTTCCACGAGGCTTTCAATCACAATATTGGCAATGGGAGACTTCGACAGCCATATAGATTCGGAATAGATTCCAAATAGATTTGAAATAGATGGCTTCTGTTTTCCGAAACAGCGTCTGCAGTTCTGCAGCACGCGATCGAACGGAGAATAAAAACAGTCACCGAAGTCGCGAGCTGGGCGAAAAATGAGAACAATTCTGACCAAAATTTCCCGGGCCGATGAGAAGTGGCCACAAGGTGCCTGCCCTAGCCCGAGAAAGTGGCCAGGTGAGGGGGGTAATCTTGTAGCGCAAGCGCCGCGCTATGCTTTTAGTTAGGCCTAGACTCTCGGACCAAGTAAGAGCATACCCTGGCGCCTGGGAAAAAGGTTGCTCTGGCCCGCAAAAGTTGGCACAGGCGCCACGGCATTCTTTTGCCGGGGCTGCCAGGTTTTAAGGCCAGGCACTGTCACAGTGGTGCGCTTGTGATGCGAAATTCTCCTGGCCCGAGAAAGTGGCCAGACCGATGATGGGGGAGCGTGGTGTTTCTGATGCGAAAACGTTCTGGCCCGAGAAAGTGGCCAGATAAGGGGGGGTGATCTTGAAGTACAAGCAGCACGCTGTGCTCTTACCTGGGCCTCCAGACTTTGAGGCCAGGTAAGAGCATAGCATTGCGATTGGAAGGAAAAAAGACCGCATCGGCCCAAAAAAAGTTGGCCCAAACACCACGGCACTCTCTTACCTGGCCTGGCAAATTTTTGGGCCAGGTAAGAGAGCAGCGCGGTGTTTGGGATGCGAAAGCGTCCTGGCCTGAGGAGGTGGCCAGGAGAAAGAGACACTTTTTTTAGCACAATCGCCATGCTGTGCTCTTACCTGGGCCTCCAGACTTTGAGGCCAGGTAAGAGCATAGCATTGCGATTGGAAGGAAAAAAGACCGCATCGGCCCAAAAAAAGTTGGCCCAAACACCACGGCACTCTCTTACCTGGAAGTGCCTTCTCGAGTTCCACGAGGCTTTCAATCACAATATGTTTTGAGTTGATTTAGTTTTTTTTGTCCTCTTGATCAGAGAGTTGGTACGCAGTGGCACAAGAGGAGATCGAGCTGCTGTGTGATTTTTTCAGAAGACTCATGCGATCCCTCTATAAAAAAACGCCCGCAACAAACATTGTAGAAGATCGCGACCCACGATCAGAAGTTTATGAGTCTGTTGGCACTCATTATGTCCTTACTGTCTAGATTGGTAGCTCTTTATCACGAAGGATCTTTCACTTGGTATCCTCGACGATCTGTGCAATTTTTTTCGATCTTTTTTTTAAGCCTCGGTAGAAGTAAGTCCCATTTTACAGCATCACGAAGATTGTTCTTTCTTCATCGACTTCGTCAAGTTCGTTCGCCGCACGAAAGCATCGGGGGGAAGACTTCGTCGCTCCCTGTATTGGTCCTTTTCAGCATTCTTGTGTTTCTTCTTGTTTCTTCTTGTTGGTCTCCTCCACCCGCCTTTCACACTGCCGCAGCTGCTGTGCCCTTTCTCGAGGAACTTTTGGTCGACGAGGAATTCCGTGCGTTTCAAGATGACGAGATCACCTATATCCCGTGTAAAAACATCCCCACCCCCAGAGTTGTCATGCAATTCTGCATGCCGAAAAAGTTTCTCATGCGGAGCCCTATGAGAAGCATTATCTAGTCGTGTTTTGGCATTTGCGATGCTAGAATCAGCATGGTGCGCTAGATCTGTGATGCTTCTGAACTAGCTAAACAGGACTACGCTACGAGGACAGACTTGTCATGCCAAACAACGAAAGCTGGCTGATTTGTCTAGCAGATTTCCCATCTTGACTCTGGTCTGGGGGCGTTTTTAATCAGGATAACCTACAGGCGCGAGATAAAACTTTCGGACGTCCTCGCCGCACCCGACCCGCAGTCGCTGCCCAAGCGCCTGCTTCCGCACGCAACCACCTTCGGCGAAGATGTGAGAACGCGAGAAGAGCCGTTTCTGCAGCTTGCTTCGGAGGAGAGAAACCGGCTGGAAGATCATGATTTTTCCAACGGAGGCACAAAACCTTTCTCCCCGGAGGAGGGGCACCTTGCTGCAACTAAAGGACCTCCAGCAGCTTCTGTGCTGATTACCACGCTGGCGGATGATCCCAAAAAGGTAAAAAGCACATCTACACGCACCAGCACGACCCGACCGACCGCTCCAATAGGCGGACCAGAACATGATGACCCGGCAAATGAGCATAGTCCCTCGGCCGCCGTGTGCCCCGCACTATCCCAGCAGGAGAAGCGAGCACTCTGTCGGGAATACGCCTTCTTGCTGTTCGGCGGCTTGGCAAAGAAGAAGGGCAAAACGTCCATGGCGTTTCAGAAGAACGAGGACGGCGGCGGCATCGTCGAGGGAGCCGACGCTGAGGGATTCGTGGATGCCGCGCTCGCGCGGAACGCCTACGAACTGCACGTCTTCCGCGCCAACCAAGGGCGCGATCGGTACCCTGCGTAAAAACGTGCCCACAACTTGAGACTTGTCATGCATACTATGTATTTGTAAGTGCTTGCTGTACTGCTCAAATTATGTTTCTCAATCTCATGCGCGGCCCCAACATAAGACGCCCAGCACTTAAATGCTGTTTCGGAGTTTGTTCTGTTGCTAGAAGTGGGATAAGATGGAGGTCGATCTAATATGATGCGCCAACACTAGCTACACACAAGCACACTTATTGTGCTGACCCAAGCGCAACAACTACAAGTACAACTTCCCTGTTGGTTTGGCGAGCGAAGTCGGCATCTTCCTTCTGCTGTGGGTACTACGTTTTTACGCAGGATAACCGGTTCGATGTTTTCATCCACAACTGGGCCCTGGCCGCCCGCGAGAAGCTGCGCCGCCTGTACAAGCCCGTCGCCAGTGTGTTCGAGCAGAACGCGAACCGGAAAATCGAAATCACGCGTCGCATCTGGCCGTACGGGCAGCGGAAGTGCTACAAGGGCGACTACTTCTGCATCCTTGCCCAGGTGTCCATGAGTCTGTCCGTGCGGGAAGTGGTGAACTTGATGCTGGTGTACGAGGCGAGAATGCAGCCGTTGCGGCGCAACTGTGGCTGCAAATCCGACAGGTACGAGTACGTCATGGTGACGCGGGCCGACATGCTCAAGTACCAGATGAACCTGATCTTCCCGAACACCTACCCCACCAGCCTCGTCAGCTCGGTGTCTCACACCGGCGACCACCACTGGGTGTTACCCGGGAGCGGCTACGCGGCGCGGCTGCGCAGCGCCTTTGACTACAGGTGGCAGGTGCTGCACGGGCGGGATTTTGACGAGGACAAGTTCTTCAGCTTCTGGCACCGCGGCAAGTTGCTCAGGAACATCGAGCAGCTGCGGGCGTACAGCGAAAACAGCGAGAAAATGGTCGAAGAGTGGAGGGTGGAAGACGACGCGGATTTCCGTCGCATGTTTGACAAGATGGACGCGGAAGAGCTCGCAAGAAAGAAAAGAGTCTGGAACGCCTTGATTGTTCCCGACCGCAAAACCGCGCAGGGCTTTCAGCTCCTGGGCGAGTCAGACCGGTGGGTCCAGAGCCACCAGGTATCCAAGTGCATCACTCGGCGACGTGGTCCTTCTTCTGAACATTTGTCCGGGTCGTGGTCGTGTTTGCAAAATACTGTAGAAGTCGTGCTGCTCCTGCGCGAGTTTTTATCAACCCTCATCTATGTCTACCGCGACTGAGTGTGCATGACAAGAAGCTATCTTTGAAAGGTTCCACAAAAGGAGCATGGATGTGTGTTTGTACTTACTATCGCAGAAGGTGCTGCTACTTTTTGGTTTTCGTTTTCATCAGTACGTGCTGATCTTCACTTATCTGCTTCTTGTTTTCATTTCAACGCGGCCATTGATCATACGCTGACGCTGATCGCAAATGGGGGGGAGGAGGAACAAAAACAGTCGCACTCTGATACCAGGAAGACGCGGCGCATAGCACGATCGTGACGCAGGAAAGTCTGAAGCTTTTCGAGTCCACGCAGTATTTTCACAACCTCAAGTCCCGGTTTCGGCCGATCTTGTTGCCCGGTGTGGACAAGAAAAACCTGATCTGGCATATAACCCGCTCAGGTGTTACAATCTCAAACGTTACAATAAAACATGGAAATCTGTGATGCAAGAGTGCATGATCTAGCCTCTTCCCACAGGATTACGCATGACAAGTTTCGGAGCTTCAAGCCGCACTACAATCTGGCGAAATTTGTATTGCAGAAAGTGGAACGCTCTCCGAGTCTGTCATGCTCCTCATGCAATACAAAGCCCAGATTCTATTGTAACGTTTGAGATTGTAACGTTTGAGCAGGTCATGTGGCACATCCGGTACTGGCTGGCGTCTTCTTCCTGGTTCGCGGAGTATATCCGCTTCGTATCATATTGCAAGAAAAAAGTGTTACAGATACACATTGTGTTGCAAGACCGGCAACACAGACAACCTGTCTCATGCAGGAAAGGCTTGCGAGCCTCGTTTCCTTCCTGTTTTCCATTATGATCTTTGCAGTACAAGTTTTCTCTGCCACAAAGAGAAAATCTGTGATGCAGAAACTCCAACACATGTGTAACTGTAGCGCTTTTTTCTCGTGATATGTCAAACTGGAAAGTGCCCCGCCCCGCCAGATGGGCGGATTCAGTACGTACATTGCAAAGTTACTGCATCAACTACATGGAAATAATCTGTACATAAGAGAAGAACGCGACTCAGTTTATTCGTTTCAGAATCGATGAGCAAGCGCGCAAGTGTTCCGTTGCGGAAGTAAGTTCGCAACGCGAAGTTTTCCCATTGCGGTCTATCAGGGGCGCTTTGCGGGCCGATAGTTCAACGTCACGTACGGCCACTGGCCGGCCCAAGACCTCGTCTGCGACCAGAATAGCTTGGGGCTGCACCACGTGTACGCGACCGTCCCCCCGATGCACTGGCGCGACACTGCGTACTATCCCAAGAAAAGACTGTTTTGCAGGCAAGACACGACGCTGTTGCAGATTTACTTTCAGCCGAGGTGACGTAAGCTAAGGCAAAAAAACCGAAACAGACACATCTGAAGGTACAGGGTCTTGAGCACCACGTTGCGCAGGAGGACATGGCTGTTCCGTCTTCCTCGTGTGTACTATTTCTCCAATTTCGCATAGATAGCGCGACTGTGACAACTCTTTGTCTTCGCATACCGGCCTGGGAATGGCGTACCGGCACTGGAGGGAAGTGAACGTGCACAAGGTCGACGGTTACGAAGACACAGATGTGTACTCGCCACTGAAACACTATGGCGACGCAATCTATTTCAGCTCCCAATTATTTCAAATTTTGCCACCTCAACTTTAAAATTAATATAGCTCTATGAAGTTGGTGCCTTTTTTGTTTGAGAAATAGACAGCGTATCGGGTGCTTTTGCATGAACTAGCCTCATTCACCAAAGACTGCAGGCCCTGCTCCGGAGACCTGTTGCTCCGGCCTTTTATTTGTCTTTTTGCCGCCTCAAGTGACCCCCTCTTGGACCCCCGGCCTTCCCGGACCCCCCTGATAGCCGCCAAAAAGCCGTACTGGTTTGGCAAGCCATGCCAGCGAGGGAAGGGGATTTCTACCCCCCTCCGGTAAACCACTTTACGACCCCCCTTCAAGCACCCCCCTGAAGGAGGGCCCCCAGCCCCATCTTTTTGCCTTGCTTGTTCGACAGCGCAGGACCAGACAACTTTTGTGAATTTCGCTAAGCTGCCCTGCAAAGAATCGAGCTACTGGAAAGTCACGCCGTTGCGACACAAATCAGGTGCCTGAAGTAACTACTCAGAGCTGAGGCCACAAAATTTGAAATAGTTGGAGGCTGAAATAGTTTGCGTCGCCATAAACACCACGAGGACCAGCTTTTCGCGGCGGGGATCCGCAGCGGCAATTATGGCGTTGTGCTGCGTGGGCGCGGCGAGGGCATGGAGGAAATGGAGTGCTACGCAGAGTTCGAGGAGGACCAGACGCACCCGGGGAAGCTTCAGGTGAAGACGCTGCCCACGACGACTCCTACCGAAGGAAGTGAACAACGAGCTCCCCTTGCGTCGTCGGCGCAAGTTGGTGGAGGAACCGCAGGAGGTGCCGTGAGGGGCACGAGGAAAACGAATCCTTCGATGAAATTGTTCGACCAAAGGTTGTGGCCGAGGCTGACGTCGCTGCAGAAGCTGCATCTCCTGGAGACCTGCCGGAGGGTCCGGGGTGGGGCGGCGACCAATTTTTACCGAAGCGAGGATGTTGAGGACCTCCCTGAGAGGACTAACGGCGAGTCCTTCGCCTCGGAGACGTTTTGGTTCGAGGACGCTTCTGCCGAGTCTGCGGAAGCTTTGTTTGCCCGCATTGCCCGGATGGAGAAGGCCCCGGGTAGCGATTTCGGTGCGCAGGAACTCTCGGAAACGTTCCAGAAGTGGAGGATTTTGCTTGAAAAGGTGATCCGGCGGCTAAACAATCCCAATGCGTTCAGGCACGAGCAACGGGAGCAAGCAGAGGACCTCTCTAAGAATACAGCCGCACCATCTCGTAGCGCAGAAGGAGCAGTAGAACAAGAACCAGCTCGGCCAGCGGACAACCCCTCGGCGATGAAGGCCAGTCGGGCGTCGTCTACGTCGCCTGCCCCCCCGGAATCCGAAGTGCAAGTCTTGCAGCCTGCTGCACCCGAACTCCTGTATTTGCATCCGGAGCAGCAGTTTTTTCGCATCCAGCTGGACCTAGATGCTGCGATCGAGGCCTCGGACGAACACAAGCAAGATTTTGCGCGCATCCGGTTCCTATCAAATGCAAAAATGTCTGGGTCTGGGAAATTGCGAGATTACTATCTAAACTGCAGCAGCTGGTAAAAAATGCATGCGAGGGGTATGTTCGGGGGTATGTTCGGGGGTGTGTCAGGGGTATGCAAATGCTCCTCAATCACGGGCGGACTACAATTTTTTGCCGAAAAACCAACAGGTGGGGTATAAACATACCCCAGACATACCCCAGACACACCCCAGACACACCCCAGACAGACCCCCGAACATACCCCAGGCAAAAAGTCCGAACACACCCCAGACACACCCCGGACATACCCCGGGCAGACTTTCGGACACACCCCGGACAGAATTTTTGACACACCCCGGACAAACTTTCGGATTTTGTCATGTGAGGGTTGACCCGAGGTCCAGTCTGTCACGCGAGACCGTGCGGCCAAGGGGCGAAAGCCCTAGGGCAGCGCGGGGACTCTGTCCCCGCGTCATGCCCTAGGGGCCAGCTGGGAGCGCTTTCCGGACACCGCGCGGCCAAGGGGCGAAAGCCCTAGGCCAGCGCGGGGACTCGGTCCCCGCGTCATGGCCTAGGGGCCAACTGTGGGCGTTTCCTTTCCCGGACACCGTGCGGCCAAGGGGCGAAAGCCCTAGGCCAGCGCGGGGACTCGGTCCCCGCGTCGTGTTGGCCTAGGGGCCAGCTGTGAGTGCTTCCCGGACACCGTGTGGCCAAGGGACGAAAGCCCTAGGCCAGCGCGGGGACTCGGTCCCCGCGTCATGGCCTAGGGAGTCCCCGCGTCATGGCCTAGGGGCCAGCCGTGAGCGCTTCCCGGACACCTTGCGGCCAAGGGGCGAAAGCCCTAGGCCAGCGCGGGGACTCGGTCCCCGCGTCATGGCCTAGGGGCCAGCTGGGAGCGTTTCCCGGACACCGTGCGGCCAAGGGGCGAAAGCCTTGGGCCAGCGCGGGGGCCCGGTCCCCGGGTCATGGCCTAGGGTTCAGTTCTGGGCGCTTCCCGGACAGCGTGCGGCCAAGGGGCGAAAGCCCTAGGCCAGCGCGGGGACTCGGCCCCCGCGTCAATCATGGCCTAGGGGCCAGCGGTGAGCGCTTCCCGGACACCGTGCGGCCAAGGGGCGAAAGCCCTAGGCCAGCGCCGGGACTCTGTCCCCGCGCCATGGCCTAGGGGCCAGCTTTGAGCGCCTCCGGGGCAGCCGGCGACCAAGGGGCGAAAGCCCTAGGCCAGCGCGGGGACTCGGTCCCCGCGTCATGGCCTAGGGGCCAGCTGGTGGCGCTTCCCGGAAACCGCGTGGCCAAGGGGCGAAAGCCCTAGGCCAGCGCGGGGACTCGGTCCCCGCGTCATGGCCTAGGGGCCAGCTTGGAGCGCTTCCCGGACACCGTGCGGGCAAGGGCGGGGCGAAAGCCCTAGGCCAGCGCGGGGGCTCGGTCCCCACGTCATGGCCTAGGGTTCAGCTCCGGGCGCTTCCCGGACAGCGTGTGGCCAAGAGGCGAAAGCCCTAGGCCAGCGCGGGGACTTGGTCCCCGCGTCATGGCCTAGGGGCCAGCGGTGAGCGCATCCCGGACACCGTGCGGCCAAGGGGCGAAAGCCCTAGGCCAGCGCCGGGACTCTGTCCCCGCGCCATGCATGGCCTAGGGGCCAGTTGTAGGCGCTTCCCGGACAGCGTGCCACCAAGGGGCGAAAGCCCTAGGCCAGCGCGGGGACTCTCTCGGCCCCCGCGTCATGGCCTAGGGGCCAGCTGTGAGCGCTTCGCTCCCGGGCACCGTGCGGCCGAGGGGCGTGCGAAAGCCCTAGGCCAGCGCCGGGACTCGGCCCCCGCGTCATGGCCTAGGGGCCAGCTGGGGGCGCTTCCCGGAAGCCGCGTGGCCAAGGGACGAAAGCCCTAGGCCAGCATGGGGACCCGGTCCCCGTGTCACGGCCTAGGGGCCAGGTGTGGGCGTTTCCCGGACACCGTGTGGCCAAGATAGGGACGAAAGCCCTAGGCCAGCATGGGGACTCGGTCCCCGTGTCANATAGGGACGAAAGCCCTAGGCCAGCATGGGGACTCGGTCCCCGTGTCATGGCCTAGGGGCCAGGTGTGGGCGTTTCCCGGACACCGTGTGGCCAAGGTAGAAGCGAAAGCCCTAGGCCAGCGCGGGGACTCGGTCCCCGCGTCATGGCCTAGGGGCCAGCCTTGAGCGCTCCCCGGACACCGTGCGCCCAAGGGGCGAAAGCCCGAGGCCAGCGCGGGGACTCGGTCCCCGCGTCATGGCCGAGGGGCCAGCTGGGGGCGCTTCCCGGACACCGCGCGGCCAAGGGGCGAAAGCCCTAGGCCAGCGCGGGGACTCGGTCCCCGCGTCATGGCCTAGGGGCTAGCTACGAACACTCCCCGGACTGACACCACACCGCGCGGCCAAGGAAGGGCGGGACGAAGATAGAAAAGCCCTAGGGCGGTGTGGGGCTCTGTCGCCGCGTCATGACCTGGGGCGGGGCCGGCTCCAGGCCCGGCGCCAGTTTCTTCTTTTCTTTTATCTTTGCGCGCGGCAGGCTAATGAATCTAGTGCGCGCAAGCAGGGGAGCCGCGTCCGCAGGCCCGTCGCGGGTCAGGGAATGCAAGGCGCACCGAAATACCTAGCACTAGCTGCAGGCGACCTGCCTGCCCAGTGTCACCGCGCAGACAAATGCCGGAAGGTCGCCGCACGGGGACTCTGTCCCCGTGCTCGGACCTTGTTTGTCATGCAGATTTTTCATGATCCATGCCGTCTGGAATGCAGGACCTAGCATGACAGATTCTGTGAGACCCCTATCATGCCTATCCTGCATGAGAAACCTCCTCCCAACTTGGTCAAAAGTGGACAACTTTTGGCATTCGTGCGACACAGATTTTCGCACGAGCCAGAATTAGCATTACATTTACAAGCGGCGGAGGTCTGGGGTGAATATGAGAAGGCGCTGCGGGACGCACTAGACCAGAAGTGGCCCCAAGAGCGGAAGGGTCCAGGAAAGCCCTGGATTTCCGAGCACACGTGGACGCTCATCCAGAAGCGCAGCAAGAAAAACACCCGGGAGGGGCTAACGAAAGCGGAGCAGCGAGAACTGGCGAAGGCAGTGAAGCAGGCAGTCCGGGCAGACAAGAAGCGCTGGGTGGCCGACAAGCTCGAGGAGCTCAAAAAAGCGGAAAACAGAGGGGACGCGCGCGCAACCTTCGAGGTCGTGAGGCAGTTAGCAGGGCGGAGCAGAAAGGGGCAGCCGGACAGGCTCCCGGGAGGCAACGCCAAGCACGTCGAGTTTTGGCGCTCAATTTTTGGCGTGCCGAGGCCGGAGCCGGCTCAGGAGCTAAAGGAGACCGAAACGTGGAAGGAGTGTGAAAAGGAATTCAACAGCAACAACGCGCGACCGCCGTGGGAGCAAGCTTTCCAGGAGATCACAGACGCCGAAATCGACAAAGGTATCAAAGAGTTGAAACCCGGCAAATCATTCGCCGGGTGCATGCCAGCCGAATTCTTCGCAAGCAGCGAGTTGGGCCGGCGGGTCCTTCGCGATGTAGTGAAGAAGATATTCGCAGGGGAGAAGATCCCGGAAGAATGGTTAGAGGCTTCGATCACACTCCTCCATAAAGCCGGAGCAAAAGGGGAGCCAAAAAACTACCGCCCGGTGGCGCTCCTCACGGTAGGGGAGAAGCTCCTCAGCCTCCTCATCCTCAACCGCATAAAGGACGCGGCCTACGCAAGCATCGACCAACGACAAAAAGGATCAGTGGCGGGAATGTCATGCAGAAGTGGCGTGTTTGTACTCCTCCGCCGCCTCGAGCAGGCCATACGAGACGGCGAAGACATGGCGTCGATCTTCATAGACTTCTGCAAGGCCTACGATTCGCTTTCGTGGGAAAGGATGCGCAGAATCCTGCAGATGCAAGGAATGCCCCCGAGCCTGGCGAAAATACTCGAAGAGCTATACGATGGCGCCAGCATGCGGCTGAAGACAGGCCGCGGGGAACTTTCGGAGAAGATCGGCCAGAAGTGCGGAATCCGACAGGGGTCGAGCTTGAGCCCGCTCCTCTTCATTCTGACGCTGGACTGGGCGATGAGGATGGTGACAAGAGTGCTAGTGCGCAAAGGAATCTTTAGCACCTCGGCCGAGACGGTGGAACTTGCTCGGCTGTCCTGGCTCGGATATGTCGACGACCTCGTCATTCGCACGCAAAGCAAAGAACACGCGGCAACGGCACTCACGGAGCTAATGGCAGGGTGCGCATTCGTCGGGCTAACCTTGAACGCGGACAAGACCGAGGCCATGACGTTCAACCTGCAGCCGGCGGAAAAAACGAACGAAGAAGCACGGGAGGAGCGATTCAAGTTTCGGGAACTCGACGGCACAGAGCGCAGCGGCTGGATGGTCGAGTGGAGTGGGGCGGACCTGCGCCCAGAGCTAAAACAAGGAGCGAAAAAGGCGCCGCGGATGGACATGGGGCTGAAGCCCACTCACCTACTCGCCTGTGATGATGGGTCCTTCAGCTGCTGCATCCTGAAGCAAAGCGGGTGGGCAACAGTGCGATGGCGATGGGCCGAAGCGCCGGCAAGGCTCATACGCATGGGCCGCGTCCGGTTTGTCAAGCAAGAGAAAAACGCATTCGTCTGCGACAGGTGCGGCGACATCCTGAGCGACCAAAAAGCACTGACCTACCACAAGGCGACGGGCTTCTGCCGACCGGCAAAGACAGAAGAGGAAGAGCGACAGCTCCGGATAGGGCGGCAGATCCTGGAAAAACAGAAGGCAGAGCGTGCGCGGCAGCTCGTCTCAGCCAACCTAACCACCTACAGCGGGGAAGAGATCAAGGCCGTCAGCTTGTTCAAGTACCTGGGCACGCAAGTAGAAAACAACGCGGCGACAACGAAGGAGATCGCGAGGCGCGCCGGCATGGCGCGTGCCACGGCCCAGGCACTGCGGGGCATCTGGAGAGACCGAGACATCTCCAGGAAGTTGAAAGCGACCTTATGCCAAAGCCTAGCCAATTCCGTCGCATTATACAACGCGGAAACCTGGCACCCGCGGGAACACGACCTCAAGGCGCTGCGGTGGTTCCAGCGCAGTACTTCAAAAACGGTGGAAGGGGGAAAACGCGCATGGCAGTACGCACAAGAGGAAGCGGAAGGAGCAGAAGAGTACGCAAGCCGGCTCGACCTCTGCAACAGGACGGGAGTGCCGCCGATAGAGACCATCTGATCCTGCGGGAGAGACGGGTAGCATGGACAGCGCACACCTACCTTTCGCAACCCCAACGAAGCATGCCACCACCTAACGAAGGAAGAGACCCGAAAAAACACCCCCTGGGGCAGGATGGTAAAAGAGGACTCCGAAGCCATAGGCCTACCAGTCGACGGGTTCATGGACCTAAAGCCACAGCCAGCGGCCCACGTAGTGAAGGCACACCTCGTAGCAAAAAGGCCCACGAAGCCGCTGCCGAAGCAGCAAAAGACCGACAGGAGAGGAAAGACCAAGGCGTGCAAAGCAAGGACCGCCCGACAAAACGAAAATATCCGGAAGCAAAAGGAGGAGGCCGAGCAAAAACAAGCAGCCAGAATTCATAGCGAGTATCAGCGGCAGGCGCTGGGAAAGAGCTCCCAACACCACAGGCAGCGCCTGGCAAACCGAAAAAAGCGACGCCGATCCCGATCCCGTGATGTTCCAAATCGACGCCGAGGATTTCTGTGAGAATTCGGGGCGGACAGAATACCGAGTGTGCGGCATCTGGTTCCAAAAGATGAGTGACGGAACCTACGCTGCGCGCTGAAGCGTGCGAGCGAAGATTCTTAGCAAAGCGATACACTTGTAAGCACATCCGAGAGAGAACGATGGGAAACCGATGGAAGAACTTTTGAAGAAGGATAATAGCTTGCGTGAGTGAATGGTGAACGTATGCAGGGCATTCGGAGTGGACTGGAGAGACGAGGCGGATCTGAAGCGGTTTCGACGCGAATACGCGGAGAGACGGAACAGCATCGAGCCAGAACCCGGCCAGCTATTCGTAGCAACAGATGGCGGCCTATGCGACGAGACGGGGCGTTTTTCGGCTAGCTTCGTCATCACAGGCAACACGGGCCCGGACACGATTCGCCCCGCTGCTGCCTCCCGTACCCTATCGGGCGAGCTGATCGATGCAGGAGGATGGGGCCTCGCGTGGAGCTGCGAGCTGAACGTGGACAACCCATACGAAGCGGAGCGCACAGCGGTTTTGGGGGCCCTCCAGAGGATTGCGCATTTCATACGGACGGCGAGAAACGAGGACGACGCGACGGACATCGAGAGGGTGTTGCTATTGGTCGACAACTCGGGCGTCATCTCAGCTGCACGGGCCTACACGCGCTCACCCATGACCGCGGACATACGCATGGCGATCAACGAGATACACGACGAATTGTCCGACGGTGGCGCTGGAGTTCCTGCGGACGCCCTCCCACGTAGGGGTGAGGCTCAACACCATGGCGGACGAACTGCCGAAGTTAGGCGGCAGCCGGAGGAGCGGCGACGGCGAGTTCCCTACCACCCGCAGAACCCTTAAAACCATCAAGGCGAAGGCCAAGCAGCTGGCGATGGACGAAAGGAAGGAGAGCAAGCCGACAACGGGCTATGGCCTAAGCAAGCGACCGAGCATAGTAGGGGCCTACTCGAGGAAGTGCGCCGTCTTGCAGGGGCAACGTGTCGAGTGGGCGCGCTGGGTCCTACTAAGCATTCACGCAGGACTGGTAGCCGGAGGGCCAGAACGGAATCCCCTGGCGCCGATCGTGTGCAGAAGGGGACAGGCGGGGCAGTACGGGTGCAGGAACTGCGGCAAGAAAGTGGGCAGCCTCCCACTAGTCGGCCACCTCATCTTCGGCACGTGCAATTTCTCGGACGACAAGAGACCCCCGGAGCGTGAAAACATCCAGAAAGCGACGCACCTAAACGCCACGACCATGCCGATCGTGGCGGGCGACCTATTGGGGCTGCCAGTGGGGAAAGAGCGCCGATCGTACGTGATGAGGCCGCAGCGGGAAGACGAGAAGGAAGATATCCGGTCCCCGCGCACGAGGAAAATAGTACGGAGCATGCGCAGGCACTACGGGGAGTGGGAGGGCGACAGCGACTCCGACCCAACGCCGGACGCACAAGACGAAGGAACCCAGGAGGACGGAGAAGGCGCGGAGACGAGTAGTTAGACAGTAGACTAGCAGGCTTAGAGTACGTTTAGAGAAAGCAGAACGCAACAGACACGACAAGAGCGAAACAGGCAGGCAGGACAGAAAGAAAAAGCCTCGGACAGAACAGAAAGAGGCGCGGCAAGCTGCAAAGCAGCAAAACAGGCACGCCCAGAAGAAGAGCCGAGGGGCCTGGTCTACGCAGGAGCAGGGGGCGTCCCTCTCCCGTAGGACCAGGGCGAAGGAAAGGCGCAAAAGAGGCACCTAGCAGGAGAAGGAGACGCGGAGGAGGCCATGCTGTTGGGGTACACCTGTCGGGGCCGCCGGCCTGTTCGCTTGCGTTTGTTGCCCTCGGTGCGTTCGTCTGTAGTTTGTGGTGCTCGTCGGTATGCCAAGTTTCTCAGCTGATCGGTCTGCCGTGGTAGCCATGAGTTTGTCTCTGTGTCGGACGTTCGTTCTCCAGAAATGCCTTCCGCCTGCGCGTCTCATCTCTCGTTGCCCTTCTCGTTTCCACGTGCCCACATCTTCCCTGTCACGCGTCCGTCATGCTGTTGCTCCCCTCCCCCTCCAGATGACATTAGCTTTTAGACCAAGGCCAAAGCGGGTAGACGCCACCGTTGGCTGCCGGCCTACGCGACCTCATCTTCGTCCTCGCCGACAGTTTTCCGGTACCAACGAGGCGCAGATGCGCGATTTCCGCGGCGAGGGGCGGTCGGGGGCGAGACGGAATGTATCCAAATAAGATGATAAATCCGGGCTCCCAGCAACAACCACGTGCGCCCGCACAGGGGAGGGGGAAAATTTTTGCCAAAGAGAACAAAAGAAGGCCACCCGGCCGGCCTGTGGTGCCCGCTGGGTACCGAGGAGCCCAGCACGATGGGCACACCTATGCATGCCCCCTAGCCCGGTCACAGGTTGTATCATAATAGGCATGCAAATCCTCGCCCTAGGATGAGATCGTCCCCATTGGTTCCATTTCTGATGATGATCGGCCCCATTGTTTCCTGCGCCGGATTCGCACCTGACCCATTAGCGTTCGTTAACCCCCGGGCTTCTAGTCGGGCTCTTGATCTCCGGGTCTTCTCGATTGGCTCTTGCCAGGGTGGGCTTCGTGCAAACGTGTGCGCGTTGTTTCTCTAGCGTGAAAAGTCGGGCCCGCACGCCGGCCGCGCTAAAGGCTGGCGCATCGTAGAATGAGTGAATGAATGAAGTTGCATCCTTCCAATCCCATACATTTTTGCAATGCATAGCTCCTCCTCCGCCCCTACCGGGGGGTGGTGGACCCCAGCCCGGAATCCATCACGAATGTATCAAGACGAAAATAAGTTGTATGCCCAGGGCCCCCAGAACTGCAAAGTGTCCCGCTTGTGAAGTTTTTATTTCCCCTAGAGTTGTAATGCGGGTATTTACGGTATTATATCGAACAATGAAGTGTACTTCATCTTTTTTGTTCTATTCTCATACTGACGCCGAATTTATAGATGCATAGCGACGAGCTGTCTGTGTGATCTCAGAATACCACAGGGGGGTGACATCTACAACGTTGCTTCTATTTCGGTATACGAAATGAAACGAATGCGCCGCATGCAAGGAGGACAACAAGTTTTTCAAAGCTAGTATATTTATCTATCATGATACAAGCAATCTCTCGGGACAACTGGGTTCTTGCAACTACTTGTTTTGAGTTTGATACGACCGGCGGGACCGGAACGCGTTCTTGCCCTACTACCAGAAGTTTACTCGCGTTCCGGCTTGGGAAACCCCGTCCGGCCTACGAGTGCTGCGGCAGACCTTCGGGCCGAGGGTACACCACACCCTCGTGGCCTATACCAAAGACCAGCTCGCCAGTATCGGTCAGGCCGCTGAGGAACCTGGTGTGAGCAGCACACTGCAGACCCAGATCTCGTCGTCGGTGTCAACATCTGCTTCTCCGACAGCGGAAGTTACCACTTCTAGCGGTGAACAAGCGCACAAGGAAAAGAAGAAGAGAAAGAAAATCAACTTTGGCGCGCCAACAACGCGTAACGTTACGCCACGGTGGCGGCCGTTATCAAACATGAAATTACGCCACCGCCGAACCGAGTTGCAACTTGTATCTAAGTACAGTATTTGTTCATGATGTTAACGTACGAACCGGGCTATGACAGACTGCAGACGGGATCATGTAAGTAAAAGATACTCAACGGGGACGCCCTGTTCGTATCAAGACAAATTTGTTTGAGAAGAGAATTCCGGCGCGCCGTAGAGTTCTTCTCGCACGACAAAGAATTGTGTACGACGAGGCGTGCGTCTGCAGGACGCGACGCTGAGCACTATTTCTTAGGTCATCATGACGAATCATGTTGTTCAGGACTACAGATGCGCTCCTAGGGGCGGGGGCGCAATTGTGTTGGAGGGTCTTTTATGCGCAGCCAAAACCGCACGTGGATGCAAGAGATTCTCAACATGACAAGTGGGTTCAATCCCGACTACTGGACGGTGGCGAAGGTGCTGGAAACCTTTCCAACCGTGAGAGTGCTGCCGCGGATAAACATGAAAGACAACAGATTCCCGGACATAAAGGATGATTGGGAGTTAAGGCACCACGTTCGGTATCTCTTACAGGAACTCGCCGCTTTCGCTTTTCGCACCACACATGCATTAATAATTTTACCTAGCATGCGATAATGAAATGAGCCTCCCTGTTGAGCGAATGTGGTGTGGTAAAAATCTAAATCAGTGGTCCACCCGCATCGGCATTGTTGAACAGTGTGACAGCACTATGGGCTTGGCCTTGACAAACACGCCTATATACTTAAATACTTATATTGCTTTTGCATGCTTGATGACACGAAACTGACTGTGACAACCGATTGCAAAGGCAATAATTTTCTGTGTGATACTTGGCAAATCATGGAACCGGTTATTTGGGTCAGCAACGCAAAGCCAAACTCTTGGGAACAGGAAAGTTGGTGGGAATGAAGAAAGGGCTTCGACCGCTCTGCACGAGGTCTCTCATAGTCGAAGAGAATACATCCAATTGGCCCCCAATGCTGCATAGGTTCATCGCAGGGTGTGTCTTCACGTCCTGTTTACTATCTGAGTCTTCATCTTCGTGATAACCTGAATGAGTGCTGCTCAATACTTACATTCATATGTAGTGAGGTCACGAACGTTCTATCCTAGCTGTTTTTTTGACATGTCTCATCCAAAACGACCGGCAGTTTTCAAGCGGACGGAAGTGTTTTTGGACATAAAAGATTTTCAATTATCAAGCGGCCAGAGCTTTAGCGGCAAAATACCCCGAGCGGATTGTATCGATTCCCCCTTGATAAAACGACGCAGGGGAGCCGGCAAAAGGGGCGCCCTTCTGAGGCGCCCGCCGCCTTGGTTTCTGGCGGTTTGGGACGCCCAAAAAGGAGCGCCCAAAAAGCAGCAGTCCGAAAAAAACAGCGAGTCCGCATGGTATGGGCCTCATTTAGGCCCACACTCCGGCCCTGCAAAAGACGCAACAAAGATCCGCCATTTCAGAGGCAGAGTGAAGGCCAGAAGATGCGGCATTTTAACAAAAAAACAAAAAAGACCAAAGTCCGCGAAAAGCAAAAAGCCAATCCGCATGCTAAGGGCCCGACTTGGGGCTCCCAAGGGGCCGACCCTTGTGGGGGCTCTGGCGGGGCCATAGCACGCGGGGAAGGAAGGTTTTTCGATTCGAAACCAAATGGAGGCCAGCGCTGGATCGAGATTTTTAGCGACCGCCGTGCCGTCGTGCATAACATTACTCACGATGGCATGGTGGGCATAGAAGTCGCGTCTTTTTTTGGTGTGAAGACAAAAAAACCGCCATGACCTCACTACCCCCGCTGAGGCGGCTATTATTGGTAGTGTCTCCTGCTGGCCACAAAATGCATTGCGATTGACGTAGCACTGCTGAATTTTAATAAAGTTCTTGCATCTTGTTCTACTTCGAAGACCATGTAGTCAGATCCTGGGTGCATGAGCGCTCGGCGTATCGGCATCGAAGGGGTTTGTCGTGCCTTATAACGCGGAAGCAGAAGAAAGAAACCCAAGTGGATCTTCATTATTGGCAAGACGAGATGGGGGGCGCCGCCCGCACTGGGATGTACATCGCTTTCACAAATCGCGCTGCTCGTGTTGAAATTAACGCTGAATAGAATGCCGTTGGGTCACAGTGTCTTTTACTCCACCGGCAGAAAACCTTCGCTGTCGGAATCCATTTTGTGTAAGATCGGACGTGTGCGCCCTTCTCTAATGTTCACACGCTTGATCCACGTCTCCTTATCAAAAGAGCGCGATCTTCGCAATAGGATAAGGATCAATTATTATGATCAGCGGAAAAACTCAACCTGTGAAGTCAGTCGGAATACTAACTACTTATGCATGAATCATACACTACTTAACACGGCAATTTTAGCCTGCAGCTGTAGTTGCACAAAAATAAGTAGCTTCTGGAGGCGGGATCCTCCACGCTAGCAATTTGACGAGAACGAAGAGAATGCTCCGCATCAGCGTGCTGCGAGAAAACGCGGCACAGCAGGAAACGCGTCTTTGGCAGACATCTGCGGAGGCCCCGACGAGTTTCGCGCTGCGTTTTGAGAGAATAATGAAGCGTCTTTCGCTTTTATCCCTAGGCGCGACCGTGCCGCAGTTTGCCTTGGGTTCCTGCCCTTTGACCCCCAACTGCAACTTTCCTGACAACGGGTCGTGCGGCAACGCGTGCTGCTTTATGAGTTTCGCTTTTCTGGGTTACGAACCCGGCGAGGTGAAAGACGCGATCTTCGAAAAGCTGGCCCCGCAAACCGCGGGCGGGCCGGACGGGGGCTACACTTTGCAGTACTTGGACGGCGGCAGCTACGGGTTTACCAACTTCAGCTTCCCCGCCCCGGTGGACCAGACCCGCTATACTAAGATCGCCTTCATTGGACAAGCGTGGCACGAGACGGACGGCGCAATTTCAAAGCTGCAGCACAAGAAAATAATCACACGGTACAACGACATATCGAATACAAATGCAAAGCATCTTTAAATATCGATGTGGGCGGTGCTCTGGAAAATAATTCGTCATGCCAAATTATTGTCGTGAATCAAGAAATACGGCTCTGGTGCTCGTGAAGTATGCTCCCAGAAGTTTTTTCTTGCACATCGGAAGCTACTAGTTCTTGCGTACTGTGTTTGCATCACAAACCAGTGCTGCCTAGCGGTGGCCTGATGTCGACGACAGGGTATATTTATTTTTCGTGTCATCCGACCCAGTCGTGCAGGTTCCAGGTTTTCACGTACTTGCGCATTTGCAAAAATGCATATCACACCATGAACTTCCTGATTTACGTGGCGAACAAAAAGTACGCTAAAGAGGTGGGCGAACGATTCGGCAAGACTACTACGGTGGTGCGGGTCACGTCCACATCGCAAATCGGCGGCGCGTACGGGGATTCTGGGCAAAACTTTTGCAACATTATTACGCTGATGAACGCGGTGCCGCTGAAGCATTATCCCAAGAAAAATAGGTCGTCGGCCATCCCGTCGAACTTGCCGTTTTGCGATCTTTTTTTGAGAACATGAGCATGACTTTTTGTGGTGCCGGAATAACGTCAGGCCATGCATTGGGTGTACAGTCCATGCCTAGTTTGTCTCCTATTTTGGCATGGCAATGAAACTTGACGATTGGTGGAATAGCGGCGCGTTGTTTGTGCAAACGTACAGCGCCCACTTTTTAAACAAAATTTCTTGTAGTTGTGAAATTTGTGCAATTTTTCTTCAACTGCAAATAGAAATTCCGATAGCGACAGGATTGTTTTCATTCGATTAGAGCCACGAAATCTCCACCGACCGGTACGGCTGCCCATTTTCCGCATATGGACGGCTCAGCTGTCACAATCTCAAAAGTGACAATTTCTGATGCAAAACTCGGAAGATCCACTGTTTGTCACGGGATCTCCTGTCGGGATGCTTTTTTTGTGCGGCATTTTCATTGAACTAAAGATAAGTCGGAAAAATGCAAGCCGTGCGAAATAATCTTCTATCATGCGAAAAGTTCTTGAAGTGCACGGGTATTTCATTTCTGTTGCACTTGTGATGCGAAGCTGATGCTGAAGTGCAATTTCGACGGTCATGTGTACAACATGCGTCGCTTTTGATATCTTTGTGAAGCCTTAGGCTGAGCAACTGATACTGTGCCATCAGAGGTTCTCTCTACGACAACTGGCGAGATGAACACGGTGGTGTTGAGCGAATCTGCACAATCTCCAGCTAGTGCTACGGCGCCGGGCTGGGTGAGCGAAGAGGATTCAACATCCGCGGCGTATCACACAGAAAAAAGCTCCCAGGCCAAGATGTTTGTATATGCAAAATATATACGCGCAACGTTCTCTCTTGCATAGCCCAACCGCCATGCTATTGGCCTGTATATGGCAGATTTTGTGCTTATTCATTTTCGCATCCAAAATTATGCCCTGGTAGCTTTTTGTTTTTTCTCTGGGATACGGCACGGCAGACGAGCACTTCTGCGCGAAATGTTGAAGGTCGCAGAAGGGCAGGAAAACTACTACCCGAAGTTAGTACGCGTACTGCAGAACAAGTGTCCTCCTCATTATGCAAGGAAACGAACAAGAGTGAGTTTGCTAGTGTAACTGTTCTAGGGGTGGGTCCAGCATTATTTGATAGCCCGAACAAGGGTGCGAGCAGCCATTATTCATATGTAGTGAGGTCACCGAACGGTTCTAACCGGGGAGTTTTTTTGCCATCTACCGTGAAAAACGACCGGCATTTTTTAAGCGGCCCTGGATGACCTGGCACCGAATCGCCAGCGGATTCTATCGATCGCCGCTGGGTAAAACGACGCAGGGGAGCCGGCAAAAGGGGCGCCCTTCTGAGGCGCCCACCGCCTTAGTTTCTGGCGGTTTGGGGCGCCCAAAAAGCAGCGCGAAAAAAACGCGCCCAAAATCAGAACAGCGAAACAGCATGGCACGGCCGCGATTTCGGAGCATTTTGGGCGGCCGCGAAAGCGGCCGCCTTTTCGCCGGTTTCAGAGCCTGGGAAGCTTTGCAAAAAGCGCCGGCGTGGAAAATAAAAACGCGAAAAAGAAAAAGCACCCCAAACGCGCAAAGCCAATCCGCATGCTATGGGCCCGATTTTTCTTCGCTTTTTGGGCGCCCCCCTTGGCACCCGGATCGGCCCCATAGCATGGGGGCCGGCTTTCGGAGAGGGATTTTTTTCGGAGATTTTCCAAAATTTGCGACGTTTATCGAGCGGCCGCCATACCGTGCTGCCTAACGTTACTCGCGGCGGTATGGCGGCCCCAGAAAAAGCAAAGCCGCGGCCAAGGCGACGGCCGGCAAGAAAACGCCCACGACCTCACTACCTCCGCCCCGGCGGCTATATTTGGCACCATAGCTACCAACCATACCCCGACTGCAAAAGCGTATCATGCGGAGACGGTACGCCAATGGCACCAATAAAGCGCGCTTGTAGTATGCTGGATGCTGTAACGCATTACCAGCATGACGGACGAAATTGCATTGCATGTTTCGACGCACCGCAAACATGCAACATACAAGGTTTTCTTCATCTTGCATACTCCGTCTACAACGTGGAACCCGCGCCGCCGCCCGCGTCCCATATGGAAGTCGTTATCGTGTGCATCGGTTTCGTATGCGACGCAAATATCTCTGGTTCTGGAAAGTTGTGCTGATGCTGATGCGTGGATAGCCAAGATGAAACCTCCATTCGTACAAAGTCACGCATGGCAAGCCGCGTCCTTTTTACATGACGAGCAAAGAAATGGCGCTGCATTGTCCCATGCGTGACAGGTTTTCTTTTTGACTCCTGCCAGCCAAGCATTACTAAAGTAATGTTGCACTAATCTCTCCGTCCTGGACATGTTTGCGTTCGATACTTCGCCTCAATGGCGTCCCTGGTCCTGGTCTTCTACCGTAACTTCCAGGTCTTGTCCCCGGATTTGCAAACCGCTGCGCTGCTGGCGTGATAAGTAAAACAAAGCTGGCGCCCACGACACATATTTACTGCGCACCAGGAGGACGATGAAACTACAACGTGCTGGCGTGGGACGACGTGCTGGCGCCCTTTTACTCTGATCGCAGAGGGGCACGAGCTTCCTAAAAAAAGTCAGCTCTTCGTTGTGTACCATATATGGAAAGTAAGGTGGCGAAAAAAGAAACGGAATGGACGAAAGCTTCTTTGCGAGCTTCGTTGCAGCTTTGACAAAGGCAAGTGTTGCTGTTGACAAAAGGCAGGACGTTGCTTCTGGTAGATTCTTGAACACCTGCTTTACGAACGGTTGAGTTCAGTTTTACTCACCGTGCGTTTCTTTTGTTCTTGAAAAACATTTTTGCAGAAGCCGAAGACTCTGTGCTGTTGTGGTGGTCGCGCAAGAAGAGTCAAACGGGCTGCTGCCGTGTTCACCGATCACTCTCTATTAATGGGAACAAGTGCTGTGTTTCGCGCACCTGTCCTGCAGGCTCCCTGTTCGTTCTTGCCAGTGCCGGAAAGTTTCGGTAGAGCTCTATGTTAGTACTTCACACCAATTTAATACATGTTTTTGGAGGACGCGCTAGAAACGAGGGTAGGTACAGGTTTTACAACTTATGTCCGCCGCTGCCGGCGGAAGCGGTGGCAGAAATGCCACCGCCCGCGGTCGAACCAGCAGAGCTTTACTACAAGCGGCACTGTTGCACTTGACGGACCTGCTGCGCACGCCAGCCGGGCATCAGTTTCCTACGGCCCGAGCTCTCATGGTGCGTCGCCGCGGCGATGACCTGCCGCTCGCCACCGAAGTCGAAACCGCGCATGAGCAGTTGGAGGAAAGCGGGGAGGCCGGTGCGAAAGCCGCGCGCACCGCAAACACGGTGGCGGCAGTGTTGAAAATCAAACAGCATTTGAACGAGCTGGCAACCATCACGAAAGCCACCGAAAAACAGGCAGTGGACATGGCGCACAGAATATGCTCCGTGGTCGCGCATCTACTTAAGCTGCACCCTGCTCAGTATCTCGAGTCAGTACCTACACGTCGGGCTGGAGTTGTATGTTTTCTTTGTAGTTTCAAGTACTACGAGCCATACAATTTCTAACTTACTTACGATGAAGGTCGAAATCATGCAGAGATGGAGATCGCGGAAAGAAGGAGAAACAGTCGCGCCACAGTGGTGGAGCGGCTCCAATTCCCTTGTAAATGGAGTGCGCAGGAGGTGAAGTTGTGGGGGACAAATAGATTCTTACGCAAGCAGGCTTTGTTCGCTTTTTCATACGGGGCGGACAGCGCTGGAAGTGTTGAGGTGGAGATGGTCGCACAAAGAAACCGGGCTGCAACGGCGCTTGACACAACGGTCGCGACGCTGCGTGCGTTCAAAAAAAAAGCAGCACAGCTCGTGGCGACGGCGGAATCCGGGGCAGAACAGACGGTGACGAAGAAGGAGGAGCCCACTGTACAGGGGCTTCAGCAGTGGAAGCTCCAGGTCCTGCACGATCCTGCTCGCGAGGCCCAGTTCGCCTTCTTTACAGCGAGCAAACCCTACAAACAGGCCGGGGAGTTGGTCGCCGCCGCAGTGGGAAAGCTGCGGGCCAAGGCGGCGGCCGCAGATCGCGAAGCCTTCGCGGTCCGGGAAGTATGAGAGTGCACAGCTACTTCTCCTCTCCCTCATTTGTCGTACACAGCACCGAGTCTACCCGTTGCCGCTTGGCACTGCTTGCGTGACAAGTTGCGGAAGCCGAAATAGCACTGAGAGTCGGTCGTCGATTTGTCATACAGCAGTTTAATAAGCTGCATGATTACTTACTACAGATACTTTCCAAACAAGCTAACGTTGCTCTGAATGCCATCCAAATGAGGGGGTGGGGAAGTTGCGCATACTTATAGGAACAAGCAAGCAGCTATGGAAAGACAGCGGGGCAGCGTACCTAATTATGTTGTGCAATACGTCAATCGGAAGATGTGATCGTCGTGTGACGAAGATGCCTTGTGCGAGAATAATCATGTATGCGAATACGAATGTGAATTAGAATTTGTGCTCCTAGTACCAGCACTAGCTATGTAGCTTTTTGTTGAAGAAATGAAATGTTGCGTCGAGATAGAAAAAGCCTATCCTTCCGTCTCTTCAGGAATCCACCCCTTTCTCCGCAACACGGACGTTGCGCAAGTCCGGCAGCTTCAGGCGAAGGCGGACGCTTTGTCGCTAAAGGGGAACAAGTATGCCACGGAAGCGGACAAGTTTGCGCTGCTTATCCCGAAGTACGCACAGGCAGCGGACTGGGTCGGGGCGGAGGCCTATCGTAAGGAAAGATCCCCCCTCCCATATTGAAAACGTATCCGTCTGAAAATTTGTGATGCGCATTTGTGACCTCAAATCCTGTCTGTCTTGCAAGAAGGCAAATCCAGAGAGCGCCCCGCATTTTGCAGGCGGTTTGTGATGCTGTTGGGCTTAGGGCATACACGTTGGCCATGCTAGGCGCCTACGTCAAAACCTCCCGACTGAGGCTTGACATATGTCTGCAGTCCTCTACTTTAAGACAAATCTGATTTGTGTACGGAAATCCAGCATCAGAAACTTCGTTTCGATATGGGGAAGGGGGATTTTTCCTCACGATAAGACCGCACAACGGATTGACCCGACGGTGGTGCTACCACCCTTCACGTACTATCAAATGTAAAAATGTCTGGGTCTGGAAACTTGTGATGCTGGGTGGCGTCTCATGATGAGGCCACAAGTGCTGGCTCAGCATGACAAGTTTCTGAGCTTCTAGGTGTTGCCTATTCTGCATGACAAACTGCGTTTCTGCATCACAGAAAAGTGGACCTCTTTGGTAACGTGCGTGACAGATTTCAGAGTCATGCCAGACAAGCATGACAAACATGCATTCTTCCAGACCCAGACATTTTTGCACTTGATACGTACGCTCTGCCCCCGATCGGCGGGGACCTGCAACTGCCGGGTGACGAGTGAAGATGCAGCTGCTTGTTTGAAGAGAGATTCGATCTCGAATCTCTCTTCCAGACTGGAAGTACACAAGGCGACACTTCTAGTAGAGCGACAACTGCGAGTAGATGAACTCATGTTGATTTACGGTCCTCATGTGGTCCGTGTGCAACAAGCAAAGCGTCCGTGGAGAACAGCAGACAATAACTACAACAAGATGTCCCGTCGCGTTCGATACTTACGATCTTTGTTTTCACGATTATAGATGTACGCTCCTTGAACTCGAAAAAATAATTTTTTCCGCCGGTCTTGACCGGTTCTTAGATTTAGATCGGAGCTGACGAAGATCCTGGATCTTCACGGATCTAGTTTATTATTACACTGGGCGGAAGACCACGTACACGTTGCCCTTGCCGCAAGCGCATAGTCCTGCACGAGAGTCGGCGGGTCGATCCATCGGCCCAGTGCAATCGATTCGGCCATTGTTTCTGTGTGAATGCTACTTATGCCGATTGGTTCTGCGAGTTAAAAATATTGTTCGCGTCACCAAGAGAAGAGGCACGCATAATGTGGTCAAGGCCCGCTTCAGACGTTGTGGCTACCTAGTTGTAAGTACTAAGTAGCCAGATGTGGTGGAAACGACCTATGAGTCGTTTCTTTCGGTGTGGTCTCACGATAGCTTGATGAAATTCGTTCGGTTTCGAGAATATAAGAATGTCTAGGTCGGTTGCCGCATTGATTTGAGAGTAAGTACCGTAAAGCGCACATCAGAGAAAAGGCTGCGTCATGTCTTGCTGAACGTCATGAGTAGGAAGTACCATCATTGTAAATAGAGTAGCTATGACCATCGATGGAAACGCGAAGCGGAAAGCAACTGTCACACTGCCGTTGGTCAAGGAAAAAAGTAGTGCTGGTTTTCAAGTACTGCCTCCACACCAGACACGACCTTTTTTGGAGGACTTTTGTCCGTGAATAAAGCTGCGCTTGATTTTGACTCGTAGACTCAGAATCCATTCTGACAGAAGATTCCAGAACCTGTGGACAAGAAATAAGTAGCAAAGTCCGTCCCTAGCAAGGGAATTCGATGGCACTAGTACCATTTTTGGGGGAGCACAAAAGAAATCGTTAGTATCGTAGTCGATGGAGCAGTGCAGAGGCTTTTCTTCTTTGAGTTTTATTTCAAAAAAAATCAAAGTAAGAATTTCTTACAATGCTTCTTACTAAGAAAAGCGAGCGCGTGAGTCTGAACGGGATAACGATAAATTGGTTTAGGACTGGATGATTGACTACATCTGCAACAGAGGAGGTGTGCTTTTAGCTTCTGTAGCCATCCGAAGTATCGGAGAAACAGCATAGGTACGTATCTATGGAAACCGACTGAGGGGGACCTTTTACGGGTGAGTCTCAAGCTGAGCAAGAACGCTCTTGACTTTTATTGCGTTGATGAAGTAAAAAGTCGCTAAAACGTTTTCTCATCTTAAATCTACGTTGTTTTGTTTTTTCCACCTCGTAGGCCACTTTCTTTATGAGAAAAGGAAACGAAGGCGAACACATGCTGACTGAGGCTGCAGACAAGGCGCTGCCACTACTGCAGCAGGGTGGCGAGAACACGTTAAATGCGGTCAATAAGCTCGTCCAGCAGGGGCCGAAGGGTGTCTCGATAACAAAACAAAAAGAGTCGCTCCCACCCGTCCAGAATGGAGACATGCTTGTCATGCAAGAGGACCCCGCAAGCGAACATAGATAGGCTAGAGAAGCTGCAGAAGTTCGTGTGTATAAATATAGAAAATATCTTGCAAAATAAATTATCTTCATCGTGGGGGGGTCACTACTGTCGGTGTTGGGTTTGTGAATATGATATGTGTCGTATGCAGAGCGCTGAATTGCCACTGCGTCTGCGACGTCCGCACGCATTCATAAATAGACACGCGCATACCTATTTTCATGTTCATCTGGATCTTTGGAGAACTTCACTCGTTTGATCAAAGTAGTTGAGCGTGCTTCTATTGATGTGAACGTCGGGGGCGACCTCGTTAGATATATTTTTTTCTCCTCGGGTGAGGACGCGAACGGTTTCAGTTTCATATCCCAAGCTCGCCTTCCTGTGCGGATTGATTACGGCGCTGGTCGGGTTACTAGAGGTTGTGCTCACCGTGCTCAGCCCGCTTTCCATCATATTTCGCCCCTTCCATCTGGTACTATAGCAGCGTTTGTTTCAGGATGTATTTGCTCGTGGTAAGCACTGTTCCTACCGTGGTCAAGGACGTGATATTTTTGCGAGTTATAGTTAGCCCCCGAGCCAACTTTTTGGCAGGCATAATCCGTTGATAGATTCGACATTCCCAGCGTACTTCTCAATCACTATGTCCTCTTTCAGAGTTGTATTTCACTTTGAGATCACCATGTGTCCTGAGATGTCTGGTGACATCTCATCATCATCGTCATCAGTCATTTATCCTGCAGTTGGGGGCATCCGAGAAAGATGAAAATTCACTCCAGGTGCTCAGCCTGTACATCATTTTTTTTGGCCTGACCGCCGTTATACTCGAGTGCGACGCGGACTACGCATTGGAACAAAGAGATGAATCTGGATTCAGGCTGGGAAGAAAGATTCTAGGATTCTACTCAGAGCTGGCGCTGGAGGCTAAGATGCATGGAGAAGTAGCCACTTCTGAATGCAGCAATTTATTAACGCGACAGTATGAATTGTTTGGCATGGAAATCTGGAAATTCGCTGGCTAGTGGGACGACGAAGATACAGGAACCCTTGTGCTGTATTGTGGTGGCATTTCCTGAGACAAGGCATCCTCGTACAAACGCAAGTAGTATACTCAGGAATTAACTTTCCTGCCCCTGAAGACAAATGCTTGCAGTCCATATAAGCTGGCTTGCGACAATGAAATATCCAAGGGAAATGCGTTATATTTTGTGTAATTTTGATGCTGCAGAGCACAGACTCAGAGGCGACATCATGATCATGCTAAGAATGTGCGTTGCGCATTTCGCACGGGAACAATAGAGCACACTTGGAAGTTTTCGTAATTTGACGGACTCTGTTATTTGATTATTAGAAGTGTTGCAGTAATTCTACAGTGCTTATTTTCCAGCAGTTTCATCTTTGTTAGCCATTTCGACATCGTTTTTTTCTCTTGGATATGGAATATGTCATGCAAATACGTCCGGGTCTGGAACTGGATTTGTGATGGAAGTAGATTTGTTGTTCATGCACCGCAGCCAGTGTGTGTGTGAGTGTGGTGCTGGTGAGTTTCCTTCGTGATGATATTGGCAGTTTGTCGTGCGGTGTGCGAACGAACTCAACTGGCAATAAAGTCTCGCAAAACTCGCCGTGCTGGACTGCCCTACAAGAGATTATTCTGTGATGCAAGGATCAGTAACGCGATCGAATCAGAAATCAGCATCTGCATCTTCCAGGCCCAGACATGTTTACAGTGGATATAAGATATTGGCCCCTGGTGCAGTTCTACGTTCCGGACGCGATCGAAAAACTGGGAGAATACCAAAAGATAGTCTTTCACCGTGCCATATTATCCAAGAAAAAGGCTGTGTTGCCATCAATCTTTGAAGCAGGAGATGTCAAAAAGTGAAGCCTTGAGGAGCTTCACCCTGACTTGTCATGCGAGAAATGCGCACCAGCCAGCCTCACATCGTGGTAAGTTTCATGTACTTACTTTAAAAACAAAATTGTAGACGGGGCGCAGCCACTGCCACACAGTCTGTGATATGCTCATGCTCTCACGCTTTTAAGCGATAGCACAGCTTTTTTCGCTGAATAGACATCCTGCTGTGTAAAAACGATCTGAGTCGCATCCCGGAATTACGGCTTGAGGAGAAGCAGTTCTGTAATCTGCTATGCGAAAAGGAGAGGAAAAGCGGCCTGCGTCATATAATTACGCACGATGGCTGTTTTGGCGAAGCATGGAGCGGAGTCCGTGTTGTTAAGATAATTTTATGCTCTTGGTCGCTGCATGAATTTTCCTGAAATCGGGAATTATGGTATGTGAACTGCTCGTGAAATAAATACACTACGGCCCTGCAACTTGCCAACTTCGTTTTGTATCGGCCGACTTCATCAAGCACGGCGTTGCTATACTACGCAAGGTTCTAGCGCCAAACCCAAGCGTGGCGTCGCGGAATCGTTTTTACACAGGAAATTGCAATATCCTCACAGACGTCTATGGGCGTGCGGCTTTTTACGGCTTCGTCGGAATCTATGGTAGTGGCAGGCGGGGAACCATTAAAATGCAAATGGCTTGTTTTACACGAGATGCGATGCCGACAGCGAGCGTGTCTTTGTATTGCATAATTGCATTATAAGATGCAAGTGCAAGTAGCATGGTCGAGGATTGCGAGGCCGGTTGGAGTGAAGAGCAGGGGTGCTGACAGGTGCAGTCCTGTTTGCCCAAAACAGTGCAGCAGCCTGCCCTTTGTCCTTAGATAGTACTCAGAGAATAATTTTCCATGCGCCGCTCAGAACATCAAATATGTACCCGGCGCATTCGGTGATGGTGTCGACATCAGCATGCATCATGAAGACTTAGTTTATTCTTTGTCATTGATTAAGTTATTTCATCTCCATCCCCGTCATGTTGATGTTTTCCCACCTGAGACAGCCATAGGAGCCTGTGTGGCACGCAATGCTTTCTATGTCCGTTCTTTCTGGTAACTGGAAGACTCCTGAGGTTCCCTTTTTGACGCCCGGCTTTGGATCAGTCTGGCTTATTTTTGAGGATCTAGCTCGTCCCGGCGCTTCTCGTTATGTATGATACATATTTGGTGGAGGTGGATGCGAGATCATGATGATGATCGCATTGCACAATGAGAAGCAAGTAGTTGATCTACTTCCCGTACATGATGATGATGTAGTAGGCCAAAAAAAAAAAACTTTGAAATTCGTAGGAGCTATGATCCTCACAATTTCGTTCGAAGGGAAATATCGTACTATCACTCCCCCTTCTATAACTCCTATTGCTGAGCGGGGGCAGTTAAAATTTCGCGCCGGGAAAGAAAATCGCCCACGTCGAAAATTTTTTGACACTTTTCAAACTTTGCAAGAACACTCAGAATGCAAATAACCTACTTAGGTTGATCCGCCTACTAGTATCCACGTCACTTGAGTTCATTGGGGTACAAAGTTCAAAGGTTCACAAATCAGGCTAAGCCGGGCACATTCGTCACGACTGTGCCGGTTATTTCTGTCACCTCTCTCTTGATCGACTTCATGGATTCATGCTGATTTGCTTGGATCTTGGCGGTGGATCAACTGAGATGTGGGTCATTTGATCCCTATGCCTACATTCCCCCACACGGCTAACCAGTGTGCCCCTACATTCCCCCACAAGTGAAGAATGTGGAATTTGGCCCACGGATAGACGCAGAGGACAAAGTAAACTGGGTCACCACCAAACTCACACTTGAGCCATTTAGCCAACCAAGACCACACCCCAAAGAATAGGCAGAGCGTTGTGAATGCTTACCCCCGAAGCAAACTCAACTTCAGAAGCACAAAAACCCCCGAAGCTACTCTGCTAGCCCCTAGAAAGCGGAAATCAACGCGCGATCTACGTTGGAGGAAAACACTCCGAGCACCCTATATCCCACTCCGCAGTCCGGGATAACCTCAATTCTCGCAGGAGAAGGATCAAGCTAGCACAGCAGCCGAATACAGTGCAGCGACTCCATCCTTTTTCTCCGGTAAGGGTTCGCGAGATAGTGCGAAAAAGCACAGAAGAGGACTTGCCATCGGCTTAGTCAACGCACGGATCAGCTTTGTTCTTGTCCGTTGGAACGTGTGCGATGTTTTCCATATGCTCTTTTACCTCATGCCATCGCAGAAGAAAGTGCTTAGTCTTCTTCGTAGGCTGGCAAACTGGATTTCGCTACTTCTATCGCGGACTTGTAGTCAGTGAATAGAATCCCGGGTAGTTCTTGATTTTCATCAAGCCACTCCAAGAAGCCCTGGCTTTGCGTTAGTTTCAGCGTATCAAGCAAAGCTATATACTCACTTTCGCAGGTACTGTAAGCCCTCAAGGTTTGACGCTTGGAAGACCAACAGATAGGCATACCACGAAAGTGCAGGATAGAACCACTACTACTTCGCAAGGTCACGGAGCAACCAGCGAAATCAGCATCAGAAAACGCAACAAGGTCCGGCAAAGACTTCTTGGAGCCCTGCGCTTCAAGGACTTTGCGATAAGTTTCCCGAAACTCAGCTTCACGCTGAGGCGTGTAGCACAACCCCTGGCCCTTGGTTTGCAAGAGATAACGGGCAATCCTCTTGGCTGCCGTAATAACGGACGCCGCTGGTTTGTTTTGAGCCCTCGCAACCCGATTTATGGCGAAAACCACATCAGGGCGGCACATCGTTCCGATGTATTGAAGCCCACCGGGGATACTCAGGCACGAGCTTCCCTTACCCTTCCTCAAGGTCAGCATACACGCAAGGAGTTGCAAGCGGTCTACCTTCCTGCGTGTCAAACTTCTTGGCAACCAAGTTTAGCAATAGCTTCCTCTAAATCCAAAGTGAGGCATCGCTTCTCGCGATTGTAAAGCATACGCACACCCAAGATGTCCCTTTCATGTAGTGGACCATGAACAATTGGAGGAATCATCAATCTTGCCACTGAATCTGTCAAGAATTCGCGCGCAAGCAGCTACGCGCTCTTGTTGATCTGGGCCAGTGATAAAAAAAACTATCATCGACATAGATCGCCAAGGTGAGCTTGCCCCTCTTGAACAGACCAGGCTCTTGCGGTGATCGCTTCCAGCCATCACTGAGCAAATATCTCGAGTAGCAGTCATACCACTTTCGAGGTGCACACCGCAGGCCGTAGAGAGATTTTAACAATCTAACACGGTCCCCGCCTGGATCAGCACTCCAATGCTGTGGAAGTCTGACGAAAACTCGATCAGAATCTTCAAGGGTCGATCTGATAAAAGCGTTGGAAGTGTCAAAGTCCTCAACAAATTTCCCCGATGCCGCAGCATCTACAAGCAAGGAACGGGTAGCAGCGTGCGAGACAGTGGGAGAAAAGATCTCAGCTTTCATCACTTTGGTTTGCCTGTTACCAAGCGCAACCAAGCGAGCTTTGTACTTTCCGCACCTCTTCCGGGTGTATATCACCACCGCAGGAACTATTTCATCCTGGTCAGTGAACTCACCATCTTCAAGCGGTCGCCAGCACTTAAGCACTTCCAGCTGCGTACGCTCTAGCGTATCAGCTTCCAACCACTTGGCGGCATCTGGCCCCTCAAATGCCTCTTTCCTTGTAACTTGTATGGTCCAACAAACTGCGTCACCATCCTTGGTTCTGGACTTTTCTGAAACCTGAATAAAAGGACTGAGCCAAATCCCAGTCGAGAATTGCCCCCGCACCATTTCCAGCTGCAGCCGCTTCCGGATTTTCATCCTTAGACGGGCCCCCAATGGGCCTAACAATATCCGAAGCGGTTTTGTCCTGCTTGGATTTCCGTCCAGGCTTTCGCCAATGTGGACACTTGTCGCGAGTAAGACCTTTCGGGCGCCCGCGCCTGTTTCTCACCTTTATGAGAACTCCACCCTTCTGACGCCATTTGAATGGGTTGAGCTCGTCATCGATAAGATCAGTGCAGTCGGGGCCTTTTACTGAAGGTCCTGCGGGTTGTTATGCTTGTTGGTCTTTTGGGCCATCTCCGGCGCCCTGCTGATCAGGCAGGTCCTTTTGACCAGGAGATTTTGGCGAACCATCGCCAGCCGTCTCCGGTGGTAGCAGCTCTTGTTGCTGCTTAGCATCGTCAGCGGCTTTGTCCAGCTTCCGACGCTTTGGCGCTGGCTCGTCGTCTTTCGAAGCCCCCACAGAAACTCCCTCTAGCCTCTCTACGACTCCATCCAACGCAGATCGAAGGGCTAGGCGCCTCCCAACTGCCTCGGCTGGGTCAAGATCAGCAGGAGATCGCAAATCTGGCGACCCTTCTAACGACTTGCGCAGCGTTGTCACATCCGGCACGAGAGTATCCTCATCGAACTTTGCGGATTTTGACTCGATCGCACAAAATTTCTGCCCATCCCGGCAATTATCATTCTCGTGAAAGACACCGACCAGATGCGAGGAGCTCTCACGGATATAGCCGAGAGAAACACCTTTCTAATACCTGTCCGCCAGTTTTGGAACCTTCTGCGGATCGTCGTGGGCATGCGTTTTCACGTAGGCCACGCATCCGAAACGCCTGAAGTATTTGCATTCAGCGGCCCGCTGAAACTTCTTGTAGTAAGGAGTTAGGGCATTGGTCTTGCGCTGCAGCCTGTTCTTGATGTGAGCGACGTAGCGCGCACACCAATCCCAAAGCCGAGGATCTACCCCTTGAAGGTTAGCCCGAAGACCATCCCCAAGAGCCCTATGCCACCGCTCAGCGTTCCCGTTGGTTTGCGGCTCCCGGATGATGCTGTGGCCAGCAACAGCACCGAGCTCCCTGCGAGCTGCTTTCCAAGGACCATTCATCCCTTTCAGGACTGGCTCATTGTCGCAGCGCGAGGCTTTTGGCTTGCCTACCTGAGTACAAAACTTCTTCAATTCTTCACCACGCTCATCCTTGGACTTGATGCCGAAAGGCTCCAGCCAATCAGTACAACTGTCTCGGATGGTGATGCAGATCGTACTTCCATCCATGCTAGGCGGTAGCCCGCCGGAGAAGAAGTCCGTCCCGACCTGATCCATCCAATTTTCATGGAGGTACGCGACCGGTCGCTTCTTCCGGTGCGAGTGGCTCCCGTAACTCTTGCTGAGCGCGCACGCAGGACAATGCACCTTGATCCCCTGAACTCCGAAATGTCCCATGCGTTGATGTAATCGCAGCGCAGAACAGCCGGAATTCGTATTGGAAATCAAATTTGCGATAGCATCGCCATCCATCAGGTAAAACCCGACACAAGGCAGCCGCTTCACAGTATTGGCCTTATGCTTGTACCCGCTGAAATCTTTCAACCATCTCGCATCCTTCGCATGGTAGTAGCTCCCATTCTCCTCCTGGGCGAAAGTCTCCACGGAGAGCAAACACACAGTCAGAGAAGGACGATAGAGCCCAGCGCGAGTTCCGAGGTTGTTAGGCTTAAGAAATCCGTATTGGGCCTGTTCCTTGCGCGGTCCGTCAGCAGTGTTCAGGGTGACCGTTTCGCCCGTGAAACTTTCAAACAAGTCAGGATCTGGGAACATGTTGTGACTTGCGCCACTGTCCACAATCAGCCGCAGCTTCTGCTGCAGCTTCTATCTTATGCGACTTCCTGCCCATCACCTTATTGACCACGTGGACGCCTGCACCACTAGGGGCTTCAGCTCCACAGACTTGACTTCGCTTGAACGTCGTGTGCGCGGCCAGGCCAGCAGCAACACGCGGACAAGACGAATCAAGGAAACAATGACCAACCCGGGGCGAGCGTTTCCGCCTACGCCAGGCCAGCACATTACGAGAAAACCTACGACCAGAAACCCGAAGCGGAATCTTCAAGGTTTTCGCCCTGAACTCGACATCAGTATCTCTAGGTCTACAACACATTACGGGCTGCGTAACATCACCACGCCCCCACAGAGACCACGCGACCAGCAAAGCCAGAAACGTGAAGCACACTGCTGCGGGCACAATCGTCACGAAGTCAAGACCCTTCAAAGCTGTCAAATTTGTCAAAGGCTGAGCCACGTAACCCGCTAACCCGGGCACGTTCGTCACAGCTGAAGCATTGGCAATTCTCAAACTGGTGAAAACATCTTCCCAGAATGGACCAACAGCTACTACGAGCTGGAAGACAGCGAACACACAAAGGAAAAACCAGTAGAAACGCGCCCAACCCGTGGGACTTTTCAAACGTCCACTCTCTTCCTTCTTGTTCACATTCATACTTTCGTCAGTGTTGTTGCCAGTAGTGTTTTCCTTACTTAGCAGGCTCACAGACATCAGCGGACTCGGAAGAAGACAAATCATCGTCGTCATTCTTTCCCCAGCCGAAGTCTTTGGAGGATCCGACGCCGACGAAGTGAGTCTCTTCACCGTCATCCTCACCTTCTTCCTGCTTCTTCTTATTCTTCTTGTTATTCTTCTTTCCGTTACCCTTGGACGCCGGACGCAAATGCGGGTGCTTGACCCAGCATTTTTCAACCGGATGACCAGGGCGACGGCAGTGCGAGCAACGGACGGGGGTAGGCTTGCCGCCTTTCTTTTTGACCTCCACCTTTAACGCCTTGGCCTGGTTCTGCAGGGATTTAATCTGCTGAGCCTGGGCAGCGTTCGCAATAGGCTCTTCCTTCTTTCCATTCCCCGCACGCAGCACGCTCGTACTCCCGAAGGACATCGATCAGCGACTGAACATCGGTGGACTGCTTGACGTTAGCCAAGATGGAGGAAGTAACCGGAGCGAAGGAGGGCAGCACACCCATCAAGATGGCTCCGATAGTCAGCTCATCAGTGGTGACTTTCGATTCCAATTGCTCACGAATAACTTTGGTTTTCTTAGCGATGAAAGACTCAACGCCCTCTCCCGGCTTCTGCTTTTGCGACAGCAGTTGCTCTAACCAGTACAAGCGGGAGGAAGTACGCTGCGAGGCGTATTTCTTGTACAGAGCGTCAAGGATCGCGAACAGATGACGCGCATCCGCACCGGTCAGCTCACGAGCACATTCGTGAGCTTCACCATCCAACGAAGCGACAATGGCAGCGGAAAGCTTACGCCCTTGCGCTTCATGGTAATCACCATGCTGGTTGATTTGGTTAATGGTGAAGGCCGGATCGTTCGAGCGATACCCGTCGAAGAAATCCTTGAAGGTCAGGTTAGTAGTGGAGGCAGTACCACCCTGGTAACCTTCCCAATCAGGCATCGACTCCAGGATCGTCTCGAGATCAAAACAGAGACCACTTAGACCAGTCAGACTGGGTCTTAAGGGTCGGGATTTTCCATTTCCCATCTGCTTTGGCCATTTTGTGTTGTGTGTGAAAGTTATGTGTAAACACAGAAACTACTCGCGTAAGGATAAATTTGCAGAGGTGTAACAACCTAGCTAGCTCTTTGGCCCAAGATTGTAAGAACACTCAGAATGCAAATAACCTACTTAGGTTGATCCGCCTACTAGTATCCGAGTCACTTGAGTTCATTGGGGTACAAAGTTCAAAGGTTCACAAATCAGGCTAGGCCGGGCACATTCGTCACGACTGTGCCGGTCATTTCTGTCATCTCTCTCTTGATCGATTTCATGGATTCGTGCTGATTTGCTTGGATCTTGGCGGTGGATCAACTGCGATTTGGGTCATTTGATCCCTATGCCTACAAACTTTCCAAAGCTGTCGCGACTTGGGAAGTCGCCCAGAGCCCAACGTCCCAAAGCTATCGCGATTTGGGAAATCGCCCAACGCCCATCGCCCAACTCCCGCGTCGCAACTCCAGAAATTTTGCAACCAACTCAAAACATTTTGCGACTCGGAATATTTTGCAGCGCGCCCGAAATGTTTTGCGGTTGAAAATATTTTGCAGCCCCAAAAATTTTGCAAACCAAAACTACTATGCAAGCCAGACGCCCATCGCCCAGCTCCCAACCCCCAGCGCCCAGCCCTCATCGCCCAGCTCCCAACTCCCAACCATCGCCCAAAACCCATCGCCCCAATCCCGCCGCCCCACTCCCATCGCACGCCCAACCTCCACAGCCCAGCTCCCACATCGCAACACCAAAAGTTTTGCAACTCCAAAAATTTTGCAACTCCAAAAATTTTGCAACTCCAATGATGCCGCGACGCCGAATATTTTGCGACTCGAAATATTTTGCAAGTTGAAATATTTTGCAGCTCAAAATCCTTTGCGGGTTCAAATATTTTGCAGCTTCAAAATATTTTGCAACGCAAAATATTTTGCGAGCCCCGTTGAAAATTTTTCGCAGCAAACTCCCAACAAAACTCCTCGCCCCGGTTTTGCAGCTTTGAAAGCGGGAAGCACGGGGAAAGCGGGTGGGAAGCACGGGGAAGGCGGGAAAAATGGGGAGAGTGGGAAGCACGGGGAAGGTGGCTGGGAAGCACGGGGAAAACGGGAAGCACGGGGCAGGCGGGAAGCACGGAGAAAATGGGAAGCATAGGAAAAGCGGGAAGCACGGGGAAAGCGAAGAGCACAGAAAAGGCGGGGGGCCCGGAGAAAATGGGAAGCGCAGCAAAAGCGGGAAGCACGGGGAAAGTGTGTGGGGGGCACGGGGAAAGCGGGTGGGAAGCATGGGGAAGGCGGGAAGCACGGGGAGGACGGGGTGCACGGGGAAAGCGGGAAGCACGGGGAAGGCGGGAAGTACGGGGCAAGCGGGAAGCACGGGGAAAGCGGGAGGCACGGGGAAGGCGGGAAGCACGGGGAAAGCGGGGAACACGGGGAAAGTAAGCGGGAAGCACGGGGAAAGCGGGAAGCGCGGGGAAGGCGGGAAGCACGGACGGGCGAAGGGCGCACGAGAAGCGGGGGGCACGGGGAACGCCGCCGGCCGGCGGCCAATCAAACACCAGGCGAGCAGCTGCCCAACACCCTCCCCCGGCGCCCTCCCTCTGTTCACGAAGGGAAAGCCGCGCCCCAGCACCAGGCCTGCAGGCGAGCAGCTGCCCACCACCCTCCCCCGGCGCCCTCCCTCTGTATGTTCACGAGGAGACCGGCAGAGGGCGCCACCGTCCGCCGTCTCTGTCTTGGGGGGTGCGCGCGAGGGAGGGGAGCACGCGGAGGCGGAACAGATTGCGTGCGCGCTACTGCGGGGGGCGACGTTGTTGTCCGGGGCGGGCTGCCGGGGGAGGGTGGGTGGCCCCTGCGCCTGGAGGGCAATCAATGAAGGCCCCACCCCGGCGCCCGTCCCCCATCCACGCACGCGGCAGGGGCCCCGGCGGGCCCCTGCACTGCAAGGCTGCGCGCGGGAGAAGGGCGGGGGGCAGGCATCAAGGCGCGCAGGGGCGGGGCACACAGGCAGGCGGCACGAACGGGCCACACCGCAAACGCGCGGGCAGGGCGTCACGCGCCAGCGCCTCGCATGGCGCGGACTGTTCCCCTGCTTCCTTCCCCCGTCCACTGGCGCCCGCCCGCTGCCGCGCTTTGCGTTGTTGCTTGGGCCTAAGGCTTGCCGCCACGCAAACGCGCGCCCAGTGCGGGCGGGGTCCTCGCGCTCGCAAAACGACGGGAACCACGGGCGCCATGGCGCTCCGCCTTCGTTCTTTCAGCAAGAAGCGGCGCAGATGCCTGGCCCCGCCCTGCATCAAAAAACTTTTCCCTTGCCCACCCTCTGGCGCTTTTCTTTCCCCCCTGTCCACTTGTTCGCCCCCCCACTGCGCGACATAAGCTGCGGCCTTGTATCTACTTTCCAGGTTGGAGTTCTGAATGTCTGTCTCGCCATCTTGCTCACTTACTTGCAGCGAGAAGAGGGCGCTCCAGACTTGAGCTACGAGAGCATGCGGACGCAGTTTTTTCACCAGCTCGAGAACGTGCAGACGGTTGCCGCAAAGTTTCAGCAGCAAAAAGCTCAGGAAGGGCAATATGACAGTAGGCTCGGATAGATGTTGTCACAATCTCAGCTGAGATGATTCCGTGCATAGCAAAAATTTCTTGTGATGTAGCAGTACGCTTGTGATCACGGTCGTCCTGGACCAATTTGACGCGAGTGACCTGTCCTCGATTTCTTTTACCGTTCACATCGACAAAGAGTAGTCTAAGTACAAATCATGTTGGAGCAGGGTCTTCTAGACTTGGTAGCTCGTCAGTTGCGCAGATGGGATTGTGACACCTCTTGAGTTGCAGGCCATACGCGAGACGCCAGGTTGTGAGACATTTCCAACAAAAGCGCCAAGAACCTTGTTCGCGCAGCGGGAAGAGGACGCGAATTACTTTTTGTGGACGTATTTTAGTTCAAATCATCATACTGTGCACGCTAGGCGCGACCAGTGTGTCACTTTTGCTCGGCTCGTGTGATGTACTTACTATCGGAAGACTGTCTCGACGTCGACAGGAAGACTGAGAACTTACTTGTGAATACAGAAGTAGATGATGACTCAGAATTTGAAGAGCATCCGGACTGTGACCGCAGTTTTTGCTTCATCCATCGATGGATCACACTGATGGAACTGGTGTAGTTGGTACATGGAACTAAAAAAGGAAGCCTTCAAATTCATTGCAAGAGGTGGTTCTTCATTCATCCGTAACGAAACCCTCCGACAGGAACCGATGTTCGAATGATGTTAATGGTGGTCGTGGAAGCCTCCTGTCTGTGAGTCGTGGAAGGTTTTGTCTGTGAGGCGTGGAAGCCTCCAGCGGGGGGCGGTTGGATCGTAAGCTCGAGGCTTATTACTTATGGATACGGGATGGCGAGACGCGCCACATTTCTTCTGGCGACGGCCTTGCGAGGTTTGGGTTTGCTGACAGCGCTGGACGTGTTTTGTTCTGGATGCGCCGAGAGCTCGCCTCTCATCGGCGGCGCGGGCCCGTTGTTCAAGATGTCTTGCCTGTTGGCCATCTCACTCTTAGGCGGGAGCCGTGGTCGTTTTACCCTTTGCCCACGAGTGGACTCCGCCTGGCGGGCACGCCTTTCCGGGGTGTGTAGGACCATCGTTAGCCGCCTCTACTAAAATCTAGTATGCGTGGTCAAGTCTAGATCATGAAAGCACTCGCCGGAGCTCTTACAGCCCCGAGGACGCCCCACCCCACTCCATGCGTCCATTAAAGTTCCGATACGCCAAACCCCACGTCGAGAGAGAGATGTATATGAATTTGGACGAGAGGGAGGTGCTGGACAGTGGCTAGTAGGAAGTGTGAAGGTAGAAGATGTCCACCTACAGCACCCATCCAACGGCAAGCATTCTGTCTTATGTTGTTATGTAACCATCACGCCTATTGTTTCATCGGTTACAGCTTTTTGCTACCATTTGTTAGAAGGAACCAACCGATGTTCGAATGATGTTAATGGTGGTCGAGAATAAGACTCCAGGACCGCATTGCGTCGAGGACTCCAGCACCGCATTGTGTCTTGCACGCGCTGGCGCGGTAGGCTTATTTTCAAGTCTTGCGAGCACCGAAATGTCTCGTGCAAAGAAGTTGCGTTTTGTCGTCTGCGAAAACATCTAGTCCACAAATTTTCCAAAGTACTTTAGCGCCGATCCTGTAGCGCCGATCCCGCGCGCCGCACCGTGCTCTTGGTACTTGCAAATGTGATACGTCTTTTATGCAGGATCTTCCACGACCGCGTATTTAATTTGTTTCGTGTATGCATTACGTGTTATACATGGTGTCAACGCGGCGCGTAAATCTAAATGTGCCCGCCTGATCAAGCGGTGATTCGGTGCCTGAGAATTTTTGTTTCGAGGCGTTGGATCTTCCGTTTCCTGAGCTGTTAGCTCCATAGTTACTTCCCATGACCGTCAGCGAGTCAAAGAAGCGATCAAATTGTAGTTACTTATGTAGGACCCGGCTTAGGAAAAAGAGGTCTGTCCACGTCAGGGCGGTGCCTGGCTGCGAAGCGTTAACGCCCCGCTCCTGTCTACTGAGGGATAGGGTAAGGGACCTCGCTTTGCCACCACCTATTGAATCCACCCGTCCAAAAATCAACATCTTTGTGAAATTCCGTTTTTAATTCGTCTTCGATCTACTCGACTGTGTGACGAAGCTAGTTAGAGGAGGAAATTATAAAGTAGTAAGAGTCTCTGTCTATGTCACTCCTTGAATTTGTTTCAGTGCATTGCAGTGATCCTTTCATTTCCAAGAATCGTCCTCACAGTACTAGCTACCACAAAACCACGACGCACTGTGCTCATCGTTATCGCCTACTTACTTTTTATCTGCGCGTCGCCCTTGTCTTCTACAAAACCGAGGCTACAACTTTATCCATCCCCTGAGAGGACGGTCCTGCTCGACATGTTGAAGTTTGTGGATGGGAACCTCCAAGGGGACCGTTTCTGTCGTTCGAAGAAGCGCTGTCGCACCAGTAGGGGGAAAAACAAAATATCGGACCGTAGTTCATTTTTCGTTGAAAGGCCGGCCGTCGGAAAAATGTTGTCTTCGGTGATGAATTTTTTATCCTCGATATCGGCCGCGTGGATCCTGAATGTGGTGGAGGACAAATGCTTGTTCTCCCGACGTTGGGCGTGGACGATGCGCCGCCAGCGGATCGCGATGATCCTGTGCGCGATCCTCGGGGTAGAGGTGTACTACTTTCGCTCTTTCACGAGAAAGAACGACGTAAAAAATACGGGAAGGGAGGAGCCGGCGCCCGGCGGGGTCGTCGTCTTCGTTTCGGCAACGACAGTCACGATTCAGGCTTCTGATTCGAGCGAGGTGCCTGAAGCCCAAGGTGTCGCCGTACGAGCGACCAATGGGTACGGGAGTGTCGTCAGCACCTCCCCATACCAGCCGGGACTGCATTTCGGGAGCCCCTTTGTGTACCCCGACGGGGTAACCTCTTTCAGTCACAGTCGTATCTGGACCACGTCTATTCCAATTTCGAAGACCCAAGACCCGAATTTCGGGACAGCGAGGGCGGCGCTGCTCGAACTTAACATTCGAGGCGAGCAGCCGTGGGCGCAGCGCTGGCATAAGGATTCAAAACAATTCGGCCGGGTCAGTTTGTGGGACAGCCTATATTGTTTCGGCAGATTGTTCGCTTTATCCGGGACAGGAAGCTGTACTTTTACGACAAACGTAGCCCAGCCTGTGGTTGTTGGGGTAACAGATGACAGGTGTACTCCCGAGGGTGGCTGCACCAACGTGGATGTGTGTGCGAGTTTTACCATCGCTTCTGCGACCGACATTACGGGCGGACATTCGCGGCCCTCGACGTACGCTGATGGCAGTGCACCGCCTGGCGCCAATTGGTGGCGTTTAATGGCAGACTGCTCCGGGAGATCCGGGCGGTCTCTGGTGATCTACCGCCCAGCGAAGGGGGATGGGACGCTGCTGCAGATGTATATCCGAACGTTTGAGATGACTGACATAGCGACCAATGACAACTCCCATCAAGACGATAGCGGAAATGTGAAATGGAGAGTGGAATTTGCCAAACCTGGGGGGACTCTGATGGGACTTCAATTCCACACCCAACATGGCTTTGCCCAAGCCGACTATAACAAGGTGAAGACTACCAGTCTGAGAATCGAGGCGGGTTCGCTGCTCGTTGATTTTACTGATCTGCAGACACTTATGTAGGCGTCAGGATTGAAATAGACAAAGTGGCCGACGGTCATCCTGTTTGGGGTCTGCGATAGAGCTGCTATAGTAGCATGACAAAGGACGCCTACCGTCCCTAGACAGCATGACAAACTGGATTTAGATGGGGCGTAAATTTGTCACGCACCGCTTGGAAATTGGGCTTCCAAATCCAACTGGTATCGGTTTTATGCCTTCTAAATCACTTCAACTTGTTCGTCGATTTCAGTCCTGACACCCCCATAACACCGCTGCCAACGGCCGTGGGAAGTGCGACCGAGGGGTACTCCGTTGGCCTCATGTTCGACCGCCCGATTCCCGTCGCGGACGTATCAAAACGAAAAAAACCTCCACCCCATATCAAATGCGAAATCTGTGATGCAGGATTTGTGTATACAAATGCGCGCTGTCTTGCAATACGGCATCGCAGCCAGATCCGCAGCCTACGGAGGGACATTTGGGTCTAGTAGGTGCTTAGCATTGCAAACGGCTGTCCTCCAGGCCCAACAGCATGCCAAATCGCTTCCATAATGGCGCGGAAGCCTCTGCGTTTGTCTTCTTGCAAGACAGACGTGATCTGTGGTCTCAAATCAGCAAGACAAAGCATGCCTTTTTGATATGGGGAGGGGGGACTTCTCCTCTCAATAGAACGGAGATTTTCTTCACCTGGGCAACCTGGGAAATGCTCTGGTTGCGGTGGAGGCTCGTATGTGTGTGGACCACTACGCATTTGAAAACGCCCAGTTCGAATTTGTTATGCAGGAAATGCTACTTCTGTGTTTGTGTAAGTACGTTTGTGTAGAAGTTCTCGCGGACGATGCGACACTTGTCATGTTGGATGTGCGTCATGTTGTACTTGTAGCCTAGTTTTCCTTTTCCCGTGCTACTTGCTGCGCGAGACAGGTCTCTACTGATGCAAAGCGAATTTGATGAAGATGTGACGTTGCTGTCCATCCTGATGATCCTGCTGAGTTACACTATGCACAGTTTATTTTTCCTCGGATAGAAAACGGGACTTCCCTAGTGGCGGCCGGTGGCGGGTCGGCTTCCGCTTACTGCACGGAGGAGCTCGGCAAGGCTTTTTCGGGGTCCAATTGGATTTCGTGGCTAAACCCAAATGGGTATCAAAAGGAAAAATTCCCCCTCCCTATATCAAAAAGGCACTTCTCAGAAAATTTGCAATGTTGATTTGTGATCCCAAATCTTTTTTGTCTTGCAAGAAGGGAGCTCTACGGTCTCCGCCGCATTATGCGGACGGTTTGTGATGCTGCTTGGGCTACAGCATAGACATTTGTGATGCTAAGCGTCCACGTCAGAAGCTCTTTACTCAGGCGCGGCATGTGCCTGCAATGCTCTACTGCAAGACAGCTCTGATTTGTGTACGGAAATCCAGCGCCAGAAGCTTCGTTTTGATGTGGGGAGGGGGGATTTTTCTTCTTGATAATGGCGAGGCCCTCCACGGATCGGGCGCGGTCCCGCCCCAGGACTGGACCTGGAATGAGTATACCCTGCTCAGCTGTTACAATTTCAAACGTTACAATAGAGTACGGAAATCTGTGATGCAAGAGTGCATGTTCTAGCTCACTCTCATAGGATTGCGCATGACAAATTCCGGAGTCCCAAACCCCACTACAATCTGGCGAAATTTGTATTGCAGAAAGTGGAACCTTCTGCGAGTCTGTCATGCTCACCGTGCAGCACAAGTTTCAAATTCTATTGTAACGTTTGAGATTGTAACATCTGAGCAAACCATAACGAGTGTGCGCAGTTTTGCGCCCAGGAGCCTCTCTGTGCCGGAGTCGAGTACTGGACGGACGCATGCACGTATTCGCCAGCTCGCGGACACTGCAGACCCGTCGGCACGGCCAGCTCGCGCGAAACCGCGAAGTGGTGGAAACGGGCCACGGTGGCCCTCGTGATGACGGACGCGTGCCGTATGGCGATGCTGAAGGAAGTGGAAACGCATCTTCACCACCGCCCCAGGCGTGTTCCCGCCCTGCCTCTGATCCGCGTGCCTATATCCGATTTAGATATGCTTTACTCCTCATGCCTCGGCGATAACTGCAACCCGACGGCAGCGCTCAAACGGCCGGCTAACGACGCGAGTGCTGGAACCGAGTCAAGCCCATATGTTACGCATACAGGAAACCATACAGAATTGGGCACTTCCGCTGATTGGATCGAGGTGCGCTTCAAGGATCGCGTGCCTCGCAAGGTCGCGGGTGTGGTCCTTTTCAAGCGCAACAGAGCAAACCAAGAGCACGACGTAAAACTTCAAGAAATCGGGCAAATTTTTTTGAACGGTTCCCCCACCGCTTTCAAGAACACGCCGAGTTTGGTCGACTTTACAGGGACCTGGATTTCTATCGACCAGGAGGCGTGGTCGATACGGCTTCAGTATGCTTGGTTAGTGATCGTCGCTGGGTGGTGGGTGTTTGATATCCTGTGCAAAAGTATCGTACAACTCGTATTGCAAACATGCATTGCAAATCGTTTTCTTAAGGTAAATCAGCATAGCATTACATTTCTCCTACCGAGGAAATTTGTAATGCATTTACTTAATTAGCGGCCCTTTCATAAGTCCGGACATTTCACTCCTTGTCACATACCCAACGCTAAAGAAAAAAAAACGAATTTTGAATAAGTCGGAACGTGT